TGCAAGGTGTGGTCCAGCCAGTTCAGCCAATAAGCCGGACCAGCCACCCAGCCAAAATGAAGTGTGGACCACACCTTGTCAATGGTTATTAAGAAAAGTCCATCTTCGCCCCTGCAAAACTTTGCAAGGTGTGGTCCACTCAATACGCCCGATCAGCCATCCCGTCGAAAAGAAAGCGTGGACCACACCTTGTCAATAGTTGTTAGGAAAGTCACTCTTTGCCTCTGTGAACCATTCGCAAGAACTGAGTTCTTTTAGTCCAAAGAGCGAAACAAGTATTGGGAACGGCGGGCGGGGGGGGGCAGTCAAAATGCAAAGTTCAAGGAATCAACTCTAATGAGACAGTGCAAATTGACTGCCTTTTTGCGATCAATCACAAAAAAGCGCAGAATCGGGGGCACAGCTTGAAACGCAGTCAAAATGCGTAGTAAGTCTAGACATTCAGCTTTTCTGAAACGTGCAGATTGACTTACTTGACGGAGTTTTAACAACCACAGTGGGTCCTGGCGACGACCATATGAACTTTCACTCACGTGCTCGTGTCCGACCCTCGATCTGTTGAGGAACTCCAGTGGCACAACCCGATCAGGCTGCGCCCGCCAGGCACGCAGGTGGGGCGACGGCTGAGAGACGCAGTCAAAATGCACAGTCAGTCTTTACAAACAGCTTCTCATAGACGTGCAAATTGACTGCCTTCGCTTCTATCCACCACAGAGGCACGCAGACGGTCCACCACAGAGGCACGCAGACGGGGCACGGCTGAGGGGCGCATTCGAAACGCGCCAACGACCTACACATTTGACCTTCTAACACGGTGAAGATTGACTGCCTTCTATCAGTCAACCACCACGAGGCGCAGAGAACATGACACAATCAAAAAGCACCAACAAACTGACGAATCAACTAAAGGCCCCACTCACTTGCATCTGCTCGTCGTCCTGCGGGGCGCTGGTCCTTGTATCTTGCCGCTGGGAACTGTCTCCAGAAGTCATGGCGCACCGCCGTTTCTTTTGACCGGTCGCTGTTTCAAGCTCAGTTTCTAGAGCTTGGGCCGTTAGGTCGGGCTCGAAGGCTTGGTTGAAAGCATTATCTGCACTTGGAAGCACGGGATCAGCCCTCCTGATGCAAATTGCCAAAAAAAACAGCTCCCCCAGCAAACCCTATGCGCTTGGATTGCCCTCGTCTATTAGGCAAAGCGGGTGTGGCGGTCAACGCAATCAGCCCCTAAGCAGACACGGTTGCTGGGGCCAAGAGTCCGATCAGCTCCCAGCATACCCAAAACCAGCCCAGACTTGCAGCCACAAGCAGGTCTACGAACAGTCCACGATCAGTTCCCCAGCGGTCACTATATTCAGTTCGTAAAAAGCACCAAATCAGCACCAGATTAGCAGACCATGAACATGCCAAAGCTGAAAGCTGAAGCTTTCGAAAGCTGAAGCTGACGCGCGAGCCGAGCCTAGAGCTTGAACATCTCCTCTTTCTTTGCATGGATGCAACGAATTGGCCTGTACACTTGATTCAACATACAACCTTCACTCTCCCAGCCTGTCACCACATTAAATAAGCTGATTGAAGGCAACTCACGACTAAAGCCGAGCACACGCAGAATAGTTTCGAATCCATGAGGCTTCTTGTACTTTGCTTTTGAAAGTACTGCCTATGCAGGTTGACTGGCCCCATTCATACCATGGTTTTGGAGGAAGCATCCTGGGGCAGTCGATTCCCACTGCTTTATAGGTCATAAAGCGGGGCCAATGCAATCTGACTGTCCCTCTTTAATCAGCTCAATCAGCTGAAGAAGCTCCCCGCTAGAGGTGGCAGTCAATCTGCACATTGCCACAGATTGAGGAAGGACGCTCACCTTGATTGCTCCAGTGGCTGCCCCTTTCGCAGCCATGTGTTCAAGCGCGCTGCAAGATGCGTTCTGCTTTCTGCAGGCCACCCTTCCTCTCTCTCCCAATCTTCCTTCTCTGACTTGCCAGGTCCGAATTCTGCTGAAGGAGCTGGTCTGCAACCTTACAAGTCTAAAGAGCCGCGACACTAAGCAAGGCGGCAGGAGCTGGCGCCCCTTGCTGGTATGTGAAGATGTTTTTCAGAAATCCCAAGATGTTTCTGGAATCTTCTCAGCTGACAGGGAAGGTTTTGAAAAGTGCCAGTTGTGCAGATCGCCAATGGGGCGCCATGGACTGTTGAGGTCCGCCAAGAAGCGCCATGGCTGCTGAATTCCGCCAAGGGCCGCCATGCCTGCGAAAATCCGCCAGTGGACGCGCCACTGCCAGCTCAGCTTCTTCCCTGGGAGCTATGGGAAGCTTAGAGCTGGCAACTAGGCTGGGTTTGCTCGATGGTCTGCCAGCAGGCAGCAACTCTGTGGTAAGGGTCGGGACGGGAACTTCTCGAAGGGCCGGTACGCTTCGGCAACGAACCGACGGTACCAAGACCTAAAAAGTGCTGGGTATGGCCGGCCCGCCCAGGGGGGTATGACATGGCCGCCTGGGAGTGGCCGGAACTGGGGTTCACAAGCGCATCGTCTCGAAAAAAAGGAGGTCAAGAGATTCTCGGGTCTGCGGGGACTTGAGTGGCATAAATTATCGACTAGGCGTATCAGTCCTTGTCGAATGTCAAAGTTTCATGCGTGCTGTTGCGCTTGGCCAAGAACATAGCGAATTGCCACGTGTGAGTATGACGGTCGTCGATTACTTTGATCGAGCGGCGGCCGCACACGCAGGCTCGAAGATCAATTATTATATATTTTTAAAAAGTTCTAAAATTGTGCGTCCGCGACCTTTTTAGCCTAGTGGTTAAAGAGGTTGGTCGGATGGCTTGAGGTCCTGGGTTCGAGTCCGAGCTCTGGCAGTGTCGCGTTTACACCACTTCATTGTCAATGGGTTGCCGTGGACACGTGGCGATTTCCTATGTTCTTGCCATGCGTGAACCTACGCATGAGGGTTTCGATACAATTTGTCGAATGCGTTACATGCGTTACATATATACATATGAGTCTGTGTCAGGTTTCGACTTCGACTTCGATAGATGGAGAGTGACTATAACACATGTCTTCGGTGAAACTTATGCCAAACTTCACTTGGTTTGCTGGTGAGAATATTTGGAAAATTTTATGTACGGAGCCCGCAGACAAGGTAGACAGGACAGACAGGCGTTTGGATCATGTTTGCCGGCCTATCCCAGGCCATACCTGGTAATATGTAAGTTGTACTTCACGGAGTCACCAGACAGGTAGACAGCACAGACAGGAGTTCATATCGTGGCTCCCGGCCTATTCCAGTTCGTACCTGGTAATATGTAGAAATATTGTAATTCAGGGAGCAGGTAGACAGCACAGACAGGAATTCGGATCGTGGCTCCCGGCCTTTCCCCGGCCATACCTTGTAAGAAATTTGTAGCTGAGGCCATACCCCATATCGAAGCCGAAATATTATAACTGACTTCTGGAAAAAACGAGGTGAAACGGCTAAAGGTCGTGAGTAGCTCGGTTTTCATGCGACCATTCTTGTGCGTTACGTCGACGGCCTGTAATATGGACTGCGTATATTGGGTGTTATCCTGTAAAAGGACGAGCATAGAGCATAGCTTATGCGCTACAAAGCAGGCCGGGTTGAGCGCGTTCTGCGCGCGCTTAGTAGTAATGTGCAAGGTGGGCCCGGGCCGCTGCTGTCAGGATTTTAAAAGCGCATATATTTGGTCAGCTAATGGTAAGCTATTGAAATTCATAGCTTATAAGATGATTGATGCTCCATTCGTCGCATTCTGATTGGCTAATGCTGTTTGGACGCTGGAGCCACTTTCGTACGGCAGATGCACAATGTCCGTCACACGTGTCAAGCTAGCCTGCGCGCGCGAAAGCATGTTTTACACGTGCGAATATATACTACTGCGCGCGTGTCATTTTCTGCACGTGCTCTTATGGACGGTTCGATGATTAAGTGGCGTAGAAAATGCAGCGCATCCCGTAAATGCTGCGCAAGACGACAAGAATATTTTGTCGAGAGTTCCCCCTAAAAACGAGGTGAAACGACAAAAAACGACCAGTATTTTGAAACACCCCCCTAAAGTCACCGATTATTGGCGCTGGAAACGAGAAAAAACGACCCCTGAACGAGGAGAATGACATCCATTTCGAGTCATCCAGTCCCTCACGCAGTAGATGAAGTGTTGATTTGACGCGCAGAGTCCCGCCCGTGTGGATACGGTAAATTTAATTTGCTAGGCTTTTCGGGCCTAGACTCATATCGACTGAAAACACTCAATGCGAGTAAAATTGTGCGATCGATCGCTGAGTGCCTACACCCGGCGCAATCGAAAAGTACTTTAATTTTAACCGACGGTCCGACTCAGTTCGTATTTCGACGTCGACGTTCATGGAAAGTTCCCCAAAGAAAAAAAAAGGGCAAATCGCTATCGAACCAAATTTGGCGCCGGGTCTGGTCCAGCCCACGATGGGTCCAAAACTCATACGACGACTAAAATCCCCTTAAGTGAGTGGTCCAGTCTGGAGCGTCACTTTCCGGGGTGGACGCCGATTTCAACCGCGGGATCTCAGCTTATATCATAAATGATATAAACCGAGCTAAAAATATAGTATAACGGATCCACAGTACAGAGTTTTTCCTTGGGGCCTTGATGGCCAATGTGTATGTATGTACGACCATACCAGATGATTTTGTAGCACAATTTGAAGAGAGAGGAAGAGAAAAGAGACTAGTACCATAGCATTTGTTTTTCCTCTTAGGAAGAAGTTTGTGGAATATGTATGTATGTTAGGCACTTGGGGAAAAGGGACAATCTTTGTCCCTAAGTTCCGACGCAATGCGCGGGTGGCCGGAGGGAGTAAACTTGGGGTCGGAAGAGCTTTCGACCTGTGGTACAACCCTACTGGACCATTTTACTCTTGTGGATCCTGGGGGGTATGCCTTTGCGCTCTCAAATCGGCTAGAACTTTGGTTTGATTTTCATTCGACTTGCTGGTGCAGATTGTCAAGTAACGCTGGCGAGTCCATACATCAATGGAAGAGAGGCCATGCCAAATGACTTCAGACCGCCCTGTCCGTTACAACATGTCCACAAAACATCCACATGGTTTGCGTCAACTCGTACTCCCAAGTCTGTACATCAAAGGAAGAGAGGCCGTGCAAAACGACTTCGGTCTACTCCACCTTATACAACGTTTTCACAAAATCGTCCGGGATTGTTTGAGTCAATTCGCAGGCCCACGTCTATACATCAAAGGAAGAAGGGCCATGCAAAACGACCTTGAACCGCTCCTACTGCTTTGCCCCTATTTAGCCTGCGGCTGCCCGCAACCATGGGTGCTCGAGTGCTTCTGCGGCACTGCACTTTTTGGCCTTTAAAGCCAGCACGAACTCCTTTGCATCTCCGTTAAACGACTGCAAATCTTTCAGAATACCCTCCAGCAGGATCCCAATTTCGAACATGTCGCTCGCTGTGGTATACCTCCTGTTCTCATCCAAGACCCCAGGCATGTGACAGATGGCAAGCTTACAGTTTTGCGATACCACATCCCCTTCCTTTGCAGCCGATTCTAAATCAATCACCATGAATGCTCTGCCCAAACCCCTTGAATGGGAACCCGCAATGTCTGAGCCCCCAACATCAGCCCTTGTGCTGTCCAGGCTTCCATTGTCCGCCCCCAAGCAAACAATGTTCGGCATGCGGAAATCCCTGTGCACGATACCATTTGAGTGGAGCGTTCTTGCTGCACTGCAGCAAGCGTATGCAATAGCGCGGGCGTCCTGCGAATCAGGATCCAACCAGAATCTATGAGAAGGTGACAACGAAGGACAGGTGACAGCTTATCATCTCTTTCTAATCCTTGTCTGCAAGCCTACAATAAGGTACATCATTCCTTCCATCCGCAAGCAGGATTGGTCATCTAAAGCGTATTCTCAGCAACTGCGCCTTTGGTACTCTACACAACCGAGTTGAGGCGGGCACAACAGATTGCAGACAAGATCCCAGTCCATCATCTCTGAGGATATAGAAAGGATCAGATACGGCGTAAACACACATCTGCTTCATTGAATGCGAGGAGCTCACCTGGGGATCAGAAGCAGGCCTCCCGTAGCCGAGGGGTGTCGTCTCAACTGAGTAAGTCTTCCGCCGCCCTTGCACCTCGGGGCTACACTTTGCCTGGATCAGAGATGGTTGCAGACCTGACGCTGCTGCCTCCGCCGCTGCTTCTTGCGCTGCCTTGTAAGCACGATCCACAGCCTCGAAGCTCGTCTCATAGTCTTCGCAATACTTGTCAAAGTTGGAGATGACCTTCTGAGCCCCATCTTCATGGAAGACGATCTTCGCCCCTGCCACAGATTAATGGAATATGCATGCAGTTGGAGCCTGCTCGAAACCTACCGGTTTTATTGGAATGTCCCTTAAGATAAGGTTAATATTTTTCGTGTGCCCTGAACTCCCGAAGAACCTCAATGTGACCCTAGCAGCAAGTCACCAAGCCAAAACTCAGGCACCAGGAATGGTTGGAGACATGCATAATGCATGTTAGAAAGTCTTGCCAAAGCGCCAGCAGTGAAGCAGAGAAGGCACTTGGAAGCTTCTTGCAGTTTTCTACTTCAATCCAGCATGCTATGTGTCTTTTCACTCTCGCAAGTGCGACAGATGACAATACAAAACCTCTCTGGTGTGCCTCATGCCACCTGTTGTAAGGAGCCCACAGACAACGCAACTAAGGAGAATCTAAAGCGGATGTTCAAAGGGTTGGCCAAGCGTTGGATAAAGGAGACAGCAAGAAGTCTGGTTCTCACCCGAAGGTCGTTCCAACAGGTCATAGACAGGAACTCTGCCTAGAAGCTCAGGTACACTTTGGGCCATGACATCCAGGAGACGGTAGATGAAGACCACATTCTTGACCCACTTGATGCGGTCCTGCCTTTCCAAGAGGTTGAGCTCCTCCCCAATTTCAGCAATCTGCACAATCACACAGGAATGATCAGAGATGTTGACCAAGATCACTGGCGGGGTTGTCAACCCACCCTCCAATACCTCACCAAGCAGGCAGGTTCCGGCCATCTTTCTGAGCGGATTATCAGACACAAGTCCCGTCTAGAGCCCATGCAAACACAGGGCCCCAACAAACAAAGAATTGAAAACCTTTTACATACGCAGGCAACCACAGACAGCATTGAAAAAGGCAGAGTCTCAAACGGAATGCCCAAGAGGACACTCACATCTTGCTGCCCTGCTCCCATCCAGAACCACTTGAAGATCCCCTCAGCTGCTGCATACCCCACAATAAACTTCAGGTCTCCATAATGCATCATGGATAGCTTCAGCTTTTTTCGGCGTAGATCTTCCACTCCTTCCAGCATTCTTCTTTTCTTATCCTCTCCAATGAGCAGCGTGCATGCCTTGGCAATTCCCAGCGTGTCAGGCCGCTTTCCTCGAGCGATGGCTTGACTGCTGGTATCTGACTCAGCGGCATTGAAGGTCAACTTAGGCTTCAGCTCGAGCCCGCTCAGCTTCTCAAGGAGGCTAAACAACTGCAGCAGACTGCTGCTCACATGCAAAGTTATATTCTGTTCTGTTGTGGCTTTTGGAGGTTCATTTAAGATCCAACTGCTGAGAAAGGCTGGCAGTCGAGACCCATCCGTTGATACCAGGTGCTGCTCTGCAAGTTGCGCATCTTCTGATTGAACAGCAGTGTAACACTCTGATGTCACTGGTATCCTGGCGCTTTGCGAGTGCCTCAATGCCGCATCTAGCTCGGCTCGCACACTGGGGAGAGCAGGTGGTGGTCCTGGTAAAAGGTGCTGGATATATTCCCGGGATCTGTCCCCTGCGCACAAGTTGCAAACATGTTTAAAAACCCTTCCATGGAAGCACATTCAGCCAACAAATACACCTGCGTAATCCTAAGCAAACAAGCAGCGAAGACTTTTCAGAGAAGAAGAAAGCTTGCAACATAGGAGGAAAGATGCGGACATGCATGTCACTTACCAGTTCCTGTGATACTTGGACCAGCAGCCGCTGCACAAGGCCAAAACTGAAAGTCAGCACGAATGAAACAGAGTCCCCGCTGCCAAGCAGGCTGTAGAGGTTTGAAAATCAGCAGCAATGTCATGCTCAAAGCTCTAGGTGCAGAGTACTCAGCAGCCAGGACGAGACAAGCCTACTGTGCCACATCTCCTCAATGAGCACCGATGCATTGCCTTTGTTGACTCAAAGAAAAGGCAAGCATCCAGAATTGGTCTAATGCAGCAAGCAGAGTCTGTATGAATGCTTCTGCCGGGCAACTTCCATACCAAACACCAAGCTCAGGGATTGTGTGACCTCTCTTTCTGGCCAGACAGGTGAAACAACCCAAGAGGCAGAGGAAGACACTCCAAACAGGCACCGGCTCTCCGGAGGCGGGGTGACAATCGACTGCGTCTACCATTAGCCAGAGAGCTCCGGCAATCTGCCAGATTGCAGGCATGCACAGTTGCTGTTGCACAGGTCTAACATTTGTTCTGATTATGCACTGAATGCTGCTCTATGGTTTCAAGCAATCATATGCTACCTTGAACTCCCAGATAGCAAACCAAGTGCAACGACTATTTGCTGACTGGAGCCGCTCCACTTTGTCCTACACTGGGCGAAATTTTAGTGATATAGTTGAAAGAGAAGGTTTTCCAATACTTTGGTTCAATTTATTGTGTTCAAGGACTTATGCTCAAGGAGGGCAGAAAATAATCCTCAGGCAACTCGTGCTCTGAGTCGCTAGTGGGGTTCTCCCTTGCAGCCAATCTTCTGGAGACAACTCGAACATGCTCATGCAATGACGATGCAAACAGATTGTCCAGCCTGAAAGAGACTCCAGATGTGCCTCACCCCGCACTTCCCTGAAGGTGTAGCTGCCAGCAGGCACCTGGCGGCTCGTGTGTATGGAGATCACGCGCTCCCCCACTGTCTTCGTCAGCTCTCCTCTGCCCCAGCCTTTTGTGACGTCGAGATAGTCCAGCACATCCTTGCAGAGGTATGGCGGGTCGTCGAGTGTGCAAAATTCCTCGGTGTCGCCTCTCCTGATCGTGATTAGTGGGGGATCGCTGACCTCCATGGCCGGTATGACAGCGGAACCCGCAAGCTAAGCAATGTGGCAAAGTTACACTGTTCTAGATGCTGCACTTACATGCAGCAAATTCTGAGTGCCTTCGTGCTGCATCCAGCACTTTCTTACAAGAACCAACACCTCTGACGCGATGTCGGCGTGGCTTGGTCTGCCCGAGTGGGCTCTACCTGACCATGGCTCGCCATCTTGCTTAGGGACGGCTTGAGGAAGAGGTATCAGGATGCTCAGCCTCCAGAGCAGTCTGCGGCAAAGTGAGGAACCTGTGATGGTCAAGGCTAACCCTAACTTACTAAGACTTGGATACCAGCAGGGTTCCGACTCTGGGAACATGGTGGGAGTTAACGGTTCGCAGAGTAGCGGTAATGGTAAGAGATGGGCCATTTTGAGCAGTTCCGGGTCCCTATGGCGGATAGCTTATACGACAGGCGATCCCCGGGGGGAGCTAGTTGGGTGGAAATGTAAGGTCGCGCCAACTGGCAGCCGCCGGCTGAGCCTGTCTCTGCGCGGCCCGGGCGGCCGCGCCATCGTCGGAGCGGGCGGGCGGCCGCCGCGCCCTTGGGGCCTGTATCATGTAACGCGGCCGTGCCACGTAAAGGCGCGCGGCCGCGCGGCCGCGCGCGGCTTTTCGCCATTAGTGTCTTTTTCGCCATTTAGTGTCCAAGAGCTTATACTTAGTGTATTTGCAAATTTATTTTCGCCACCAACTTGAAGTTTCAAACTTTCCAGGCGGGGTGCCACGTGGCGACCTCTGGAAGCTTCCAAAGTTCCGAACTTCTGGCAAAATCTAGCCGAAGGACTAGGCCCGCAAATATAAGTTTCGGCCTAGTTGCTAGCAGCGAGTCGGCCGGCCAACCCAAGGCGGCCGCCGCCCGCCTCCCGCGCGCAACGGTTGACAGCTCATTAGCTGATGGCCAGGCATGGCCCCTACCTATTTCTAACCGGTTATGCAGATTTTTGTCCCGAGCCGCGCCAAGCCTGTACCCGAACGCTGGCAGGTTCAATGGCTGAGCCCCCGTTGGGACGAGCTTGGGACCCGCAATTGCCGGGTCCCGCCACATGGCGCTCCAAGTGCGCCGGCAGCCCACCACAAAATATGCCTCTTCAAACGATTGATCACTTGCAACACTGTCAGAGACATGAAAGCATATCGACATAGCGCTATCGAACAGGATTGGCACGAGCTGTGTATGCAATCCCCAGATTGTCCAATACATTTTGCTTTCGGACATAGAAATCTTTGAGCGCCTGCCGGTAAGCAAATAAAATGGACTTGCATGGACACCATATAACAAGAGCACCTTCTACGTAAGTCTTTCGATCACGACTCCGACTTGCATCAATCATTTTGAAAGACCGGCAGCATCTTCAAGTATGCGTCAATCTAGGATCGTACGCCGGTGATTTTTTTTCATGAAACCAGTGACTGAAGTTTTTGATCGATTTTGAAATATTGAGCCAATCACCACGGTGACTTGTGACCAATCGATAGACGTCCGATCTCTCTAAAGGACTCGATAAGAGTGACCCGGCAAACCCGGGCGCTGAAGTACAAGTACCAACTCTTTCAAAAATGAAAATTTCCTTCGGTGCCCGCTTTGTTCTGGATCAACCAGTTTTTGCAAAGTTTTAAGCGTCGTCGCCTGACACTTCGAACGCCCAGGGTGAGAGCAAAACTTCGAAACATTGCGCCACATCGCCGCAGCGCTTGCTGTGATTCCAATGATATTGATACACATTGATGCTCTGAGACTCATATGCGGCCGCATCAAGATCAGATTCATTGTCAACGGTGATGACTATCTAAGCCAGGAAAGAAAAACATTGCAGATTTCAAGGATGTTGTCTTGTTGGGTCTCGTACATATATACACATTGCTCTCCTCTTAACATTCCTGAAAACGTACCGTGTGATGCTGGTCTACACTGCATCTTCTTTCCGGATGCAGGCCTATCCCCATCTCCACTTCGAGTGAAAGTGGAAGGCCTTTGCCTCTGTCTCACGCTTTGTTTCCGACGTATGGGTACCTAAGCGGTAGTCCGCTTTTCACAGTCTCACTCCGGATCAAATGCAACTTGAGGACTCGGGCTGTTGAATCCCTTCGATTGGCCCGGCTACTAAAAAACTCCTGAGATTCAGAAGTCTATTCTGCTTGAAGACATTATCTTCTAGCGTAACGATGTGGGCACCAGCTTTGTCGAGTATAATATTGTTTCTGCTAAGGTGGCAGTGTGAGCAGTCTGAATGGTCGGTCGATCCGTAGAAGGTTCTTCAGCGGTCTCGCTAGGTGCGAATCACAAGGGCTGCGGAATTCCCTCCGCCAGAGTTCGATCTCAACGATCGATACGTCCTGGCAACAAATATGTCACCCAGCTTGAAACATCAGAACCTGTTTGACCTTTGACACAAAGCGAGCCTAGATCCGGACTGATCAGGTTGAGGACTCCGTGTTCTGCGGCGTCCATACTTATCCCAGTCTGTTTGGCTTTCTACTTTAGCTTAAGTCGACACTTTCCCAAGTATCCATTTGACAATAAGGAAGTTAAGTAGGAGGGTAACGTGGACCTGCTCTCACTGTCTTCGAAGCCATCTGCAAAAAGTGACGAAGTAAATTGAGGTGAGGAAAGACCGTCTGGGGGACCCGGAAAGGCAACCAGTGAGCCAAAGTGAAGGAGACATTGTTTGAGGAGTCGACTTCAAAGCACAACAAACGTGGAGATCGACCATAATCAACGGTTGGAGGACCAGATTGTGGCCTGTATCACGCTCCATTACCAGACCTGGGTTGCAAGACCTCGTTTTCGACACTAGCTTACCGTGTTTTCCTTTCCAGGTACACCTCAAAGCCAGACGGGCCTCAGCATCCGACTTGCTTCTCCAAGGAGCGGTTTCAGCATTCGTCACTTCATTGTCGTTCAGCTTACCTGAAGTCCGGCCTCCTCGCTTTCTGCGCCTGGCGGCAGCAGCACGAACGCGGGTCCCGCAGCAGAAAGCTTTCCGCTGTATGCTAGAACGGAAAGCACGGTCGCTGCTCCGATCACGATTCCACCGACCGCTCCGATCAGGAGGGTAAACCACTGCAGGAGAAACCGGGGAAGCGTACGGGAATTAGAAACTCCTGACGTGGCGAAAATCATAGAAAGCGTCGTCCAAGGAACTGTCTCAATCTGAACGGGACTGAATACAGCATTCGATTAGATTAGAACGTAAGAACTCATATTGCTGCTCTATAAGGGACGACTTCGATGCTCAATCTTATTTGGCTTAAATTCAAAAGTAAGATCAAGATGGTAAGGGCTTTTCGCGAAGTACTATTACAGCAATAAGTACGCTGTTGAGCGCAGCTCGTCTGGTCCTGTCTTCTTTGAGTGTTACTGTCTGCAACGCAGCACTCCATTTCACTTCGCTCGTCGCTGAAATTAATAGAGTCGACAGAACGTAGGCGAAGCTGGAGAGAGTGGTGACAGGTGAAAACGACAAGGAGCCCACCAAAAACGGCCGCTTACTTGGGCGGTAAAGCTGCCGCTCCCGGCCGCAAGGTTGGCTGCTGTCGTGGCCGCAGCGGAAGCGGCTGCCGTCAGGCTGGCCACACTGAGGGTCTCTGCAAAAAAGGCGCCATGTGGTGAGTGAACGGAACCTTCAATTCTGCTTGGAAATAGTTGTCAATCCTTAGACGCGCTCAGGTGCCTGAAAGGCAGCTGTGAGGGATACTTGTTTGCGTCGCTCTGAGAACTCGGCGTTTATCCTCGAACGATTCCGGCGGAACGTCAGAGGATGCGACCGTGCAGCAGTTTCCTCGCTCGGTGAGACGGCTTCGCATTTGATACGGGCAAGGAAGAGAAATTGAGTAAGAGATGACGAAGGATCTTTCCGATCGACGAGAGGATCTGTCTGAAAGTAGGTAAAGCTTTTGGAGTAGAGATCTTTTGAAAGATTCGAGGTCCAAAATTCGCTTCTGGGCTTCATGGAAACGGTCTGACTGGTCCACATGCGGGCTCGTTCCGGACTGCCTTGGCAATCTCAACGTGCAACTTTCGCATCTACTTCTCTGAGGAAGGCAGGTCTCAATCATCAGCGAAGCAGATTGCCCTTCAAGCCCTTATACTCACCTGGTTTGACCGTCTCCCAGTAAGGATAAACGATCGCCTCCGCCTTTCCCACAATCCCCTCGCTCAGCTTCGATCCCTTGAGCGAAATCTCCGTGACCGGAATCTCAACGTAGTAGTAATTATCTTTGGTCAAGGGCGTACGGAAGGCTGTTCCGGTATTGTACGGAGCTTCCTTGGCGACTTCGCTGACGAAGGAGTCGTTGAAGTAGAACTGACCCACGTGCACCACGTGGCTGTCTTCGTAGGCCGACAGCTGGTCGGTCCAGACCTTTTGGTAGGGCACATGGATCTGACGAAGGAAGGAAGGTGTCATGAAGGATATCTATCGCAATCTCCAACGAATTGACAGTTCGATCAGACAATCGTTTGGTTCTGTTCTTTCCACGTCGAGCGAACCAGGGCTGCACCTGTTCGGTGACGAGGGAAGTTACCTTCCAATAACCTCCAACAACAGAGAGGGTTTGAGCGGAGCCCAATTTTGATTTTACTCAAATGAGATCATTCCTTCATCGAAGAACATCCAAGCAGATTGAGCGAATAAAAGCTCAGTTTATGATTCTTTCTTTGTTATCAACCTTGGTTCAAACGTTGGGTCCTTCAAACATGCAGGCCTCAACTGGCTTCTTGAATGACAAAAGAGAACTCTTTTGAGAAGCCTTCTGGTCAAAAGCATGGCAACGAGCGATTCCAAGCAGCTCCTCCTTTTTGAAGCAGCATTGAAGTGGGAGGGAGAATGGAGCCGCTGATCAGCCCGTGACACACTTCAGTTTTGTGTCCTTTTCTAATCGTAGGGCTCTTCGAATACAAACGTACTGTGAGCACGATTACGGCAAGCACATTCATTTTTGGTGCCAAGACGAATCGTCAGTGGTTGAAAGCTGCATGAATGTCCAGAAAGCAGCCTTGTTATATAATCAAAACAAGTCTAGTCCTTCGACTTGGAAAAGCTTCTGATAGCCTTTCTTCAGGAACCAGTTACATGCCTTCAGATAATCTCCTTTCAGAAAGTCTGTTTGTTATTGGATGCAACCAAGTCAAAAGCCTCACTTACACGAAGGCTCGCTCTCAAGAGAGCTTGTACCTGACTTCTATTTGGTCAGCTTCAAGCCACCAGGCCTCCGATTCATTCCCCTTCCAAATAACCAGGGACATGATGATATCAAAGTCAAACAAACTTACGATTCCTCCGAGCAACACAAGGAATCAATCAGCTGCAAGTCAGGCAAGAGCTCCCACCTTGGTGTGAATGTGCGTCACCCGCCCCTCATACCACCCGGGCATGATCGTTTTGAACGTCGCCACTCCGTTTGCATCTGTAACCAGGGTCCCCCTTAGATACGTGTCGCTGTCCGTCGGAAGCTCATGGCCCAGGTTGTTCTTGTCCGGCTGTCCGACCTGCTCCATTGACCCCTTGGCATACCCAGAGTAAAGGCCAAGCGCGTCGCAGTGCCAGATGTCGACAAACACGTTCGCCAGGGGCGAGCAGTCCGTGAAGTCTGTGACTGTGACTGAGAACTCGAAGGGGATCCCCGGCTTGCCCTCGCTGATGTCAGCGCGAATGAGGCGGTTGTGCAGGTAGTAGGGACCCTCCACCAGCTCAGGCGTCAGCAAGCAGGAGGTGACGTCATCTGCTGATTCAGCGAGACTGCGAGCCAGGGAGCAGGCGAGTGAAGTCTGGGAGGAGAGAACTAAGCTGAGGAGAAAGATAGATAAGCGTTGAAGAAGCAGGCCCCCTGGTGGTGACACGTGGCTTAGGCGTTGCCTGGAACCCATTGTGGACGTATTATCTGCTTTTTTCAAGCTGGCCCTTTTACAAAAAATACTCAGCTTCAAAACACAGCTTGAATTGAGGAAGAGCAATACTATGTCAAAGAGCATGCTCTGAAATCAGAGTCTCGTTGTGAAAGTCGATTTTGACTGGGTGATCAGACCAGCTTCAAAGATGTTGATCTCAAGCAAGTCTCAAGCTGTTGTACCAGGGTTTTGGGGTACTGAAGAGAACTCTACTTCTGCTACGGTGACGCTATGCGAATTGCTATGCGAGGGCCTAGCAAAGCCTTCTGCCTGCTCAGCTAACAGTGTAAGCTGGATCAAAAGCCAAGCGGATTTGCCAAAGCACACTAGTGCTAGCGTGTCTTTGTGTCCAGGACTACAGATTGCTGCTTCAGACACGCTGTTCGGGAATCGTCTCTAGGACGTAGCTGCCCTGAGTCGGCCGTTCTGTGGAATGAAGCTGATTCTCAGCTTCGCGTGTCAAGCACCGGGTTGGCTAGCTTAGCATCTCAGCATCTTTCATACCTAGGATTCTGCTTGAAAGAAGCTGGTGTCGAAAGGGAAGGGAGGTCTCAGGTGGGTCAGAGGTATAGAAAAGACGACGGTTTAGCTGATCAGTCATGAAAGAGCAAAGCGATCTTACATGGACAATGCTGACATCTCTCTAGCCTTGAACAAAGGCAACAGCCGGAACCTGAAACCTACGATAGACGACACTTAAACTTAAAGTGAACACATTGTACAGTTGCGTGTCGACAATTATTAGTGTCGACATAGTAACCGACGTAAACCGCAGCCGGCTGCTTTTCCGAACTTTTCGACGACGCCAATGATGGGAACGAGTAGCATGATCTGTTCACATTATGTTTACTGTTGTGAACATCTGTAACCCACGATCGGGCACATGCAGAATCCAGATCCTTGGATCCGGACAGGCTCGCACGATCGGCTGAGGGGGAAACGAGGCTCCAGCTAGTGAATCTAGGTAGTAGGACTTGAAGGACTTTCGGACTTGTAGCTGCTCTTTAACTTCTCGAAGTACAAGTATCCGATGTGTCGTAGCAGAGACATAGCAACATAGGTCCTTACATCTGACTGCTTCGAAGATGCAAGCATAGATATATATTAAGAAGGATTTGTAGGTTGTTGAGGAGCACTGGATGCACTTAAAGCATATCAGCATACTAACTAGATTGATATCATAGGGATATCATGAACAGAAGAACGTCGAATCGATATTCATGAACTGGTCATTCGATAATCTGCATGGTCAGTTCCATTTTCGCATGCAAAGTAGAGGTTGACGTCTTAATGGCACTCAGCGAGGATGTCTATCAATACGACGTTGCATTGACGGGACGTGTCTAGACGGATATTGCCAGAGTCTTGCCAGAGTAAGCTCTGAAGCTCCGCCTCTGAATAAATACCTCCATATCCTACTACTACCTACTGGCACTACCGTATGCAGAGCTCTCAGCTCTGTGTGTGCAGCTACAGAATTAGCTGCATAAGCTTCCGATGTTTGCCGCTGGCCGGCCGGCCGGCCCGCCGCGCGCGCGCTTACTACGCCGCGTGTGCGGCGCGCGGCCGGGGTTTTGGGGCGGCGGAGCCGCCGCGGCGCGCAGGCCTCAGGCAAAGGCAGAGGCTCAGCCTTAGCAAATTGCAAGCTCACTGCAGCCTTTGTCAGGGGTCCGGCCCAGCTGATCTTCCATGCAAGACATAGGCAGGCGGCCTGGCAGCCCGTCCTGCTCAGTTTTTGGCCCTCCAGCGATGCCTTTGCCAACTTGGCTCAGGGGGCCTCAGAATATATGGCGGTATGCGTTGGATCTGGCAGCAGGGCATGTCGCAGGTTGAGCAAAAGTAGCTCTATGGACAGAGCTAAGTTTTTGGGGGTTTGAGGCGCAGTAGGGAAGATGAGCTGTGCAGCTGTACGTCTGAGAGGGCACCCTATGAGTTTCCAAGGTTTGCAGCAACAACATGAGGTCCATGCCAGACTTCGTTGTACAGCTGCGCATGCACTGAATCCATCAGGCACGAAGTTGTCTCCTCAGATTAGATCAGGATTCAAGCTGTACCCCGGGATCAAGGCGCAAATCAACACAGTGTGCATCCCTGAAACTGCTTACTTTTCGACAAGAGGGTCTTCTTCTTCCGATCTTTCCAGCAATGCTGCGCTCAGGTTACCATTGAACATTCGCTTTGCACGGTTAGGACTGCCAAAGACTGGTGCAGCGACTCTGCCGCCGACGAGGGCTCCTTCGAAGCGTGCTAATGCTTCCAGAACTGCGGAACCCTCTGATCCAGCGAAGTCCGCTGTCTCAGGTCCCAAGAAAGTGGACCCACTCTTTGAAGCCGAGCTGCAGTTTCCATCCCCCCACAACAATGCTGAGAACAGAGACACCACGTACAGTGCAGATCTCCCACCCCCCGCATCATCTTCGGATCGCTGGCTTCCAGATTCGAACCTCTTCAATTCATCAGCGTCCAAAAACCTGAAGTCCTCGGTAGCTGAAAGTGAGAAACCCTTAGCCTCCCAAAGCCCTAAAGCCTCAGGCAGCCTTCTCGGCGCTGTGGCTCTGATCACTGGCACGTCAGTAGGAGCGGGGATCTTGGCACTTCCTGGGATAAGTGCCCCCGCCGGGTTCATTCCCGCTACGTCGATCATGGTCGGCTGCTGGGGCTTCCTGGTTGGGGAGGCCCTGTTGTTGGCGGAGGTGAATGTGGAGCTGCTGAAAGGGGTCGCCGGCGACAAAAACAGGGCCTCGGATGTGCTGTCGCTCCGGACGATGGCGCAGAAGACGCTGGGTCCAGCGGGGGGCACTGCGGCCACGCTCGCATATGTGTTCCTGACGTATGCTCTCCTGGTGAGGCAGACTGATCGTTCCTGCAAAATGTGCCGAGGTGTTGGTGTATTTGAGTCTTTTAGCAAGCGGTGAAGCGACGTCTGTTGCAACAGCATGATAAAGTCAACTTGTGACGTGTGGTGATGTCTGTGTCAGGCAATGCAGTGTCTCTTTGAGTTTATGAATCTGCTTTCAAAGGGCAGTTCATCGAAGAGATTTTTGTTTTGTGCAGTGCCCGCACATGGGGGCGTAAAGCTTGTCTGTGCACTTGTGTACTGAGCCACAATATGACACATATCCAGAAGCTATTCAAACCCTCCTAGATGAGTGTGATACTCGATCAATTGTGAGCGGGTGGTCTCTATACGATGTAGACACTCGGTTTCAAGGTCTCCACTAGAGACTTGCAGCTTTTCCCCTATGCTGCTGTTGTTGTTGCTCCCCCTTTACCTTCTCGCAGAGTGTTTATCGTGGTTGCCGACCTTGATTCTCCTGTTGGCCATCGTACATCATCCTTCTGTACATGAGTCCGCTTGGAAAACCCGTACGTATCGCTTGCCAATCCTCACAAAGACCGCTCATCGCTTGGCTCCCTCTTGCAGACCGCATACATTGCAAAGTCGGCCGACGTGCTCTCCCTTCTGATGGGGCTGCCGACCGAGTGGGCCGGCGTTGCATTCGTGGGGTTCTTTGGGGTGGTTCTCTTGGTCGGCGGAACCGTCTTCACCGACTATGTGAACCAGGCTGCAACAGGGATCATGCTGACTCTGTTTGCAATCATGGTGAGTTGAGCCTGAACCTGCTCCTTTCCTCTTTATGGTTAGCAACGACTCCGGATATAGAGGTGTGCACAAGTCTTTTAAGTAGTGGGGTGCAGCTCTGCACCTTACAAAGCGTATCGGCTTACAAAACTGTTTCTCCAGTTTTGCAAGCCTTCTACTGCACTGAGTTCCGATCTGAAGCCTCCGGGTTGGCAGGATCATGTACTCCTATAGTTTAGGTAGGATAGTTTCTAGGAAGGATGGTAACACTCCCTGGGGAGAAACGAAACCAAAACCTAAACCGACAATCACACCCGTCCCGCACCCGTACCCACCCTAACCCCCAAACCAACCCCACCCGTTCACCGGGCAACGACCATATCATACCTAGAACTATTTTACCTAAACTAAAGGTCTATCAGGATCATCCACGTTCTGGTAATATCACAGTGCTTTTAAGCAAGCTGCCGGGTTCGAATCGGAAGGGAAGTTTACAGGTAAGTCGGATGTGTTGTCGCTTTGCGTGTCAAACTTGACCAAGTCGTCATTCTTTCAGCTTTCCCATATATTTTGTGACTGGCAGCTCTTTCGAAAAGTGCTTCCATGAATACATGCACCAGAGCTCAGCAAGGGTGTCATCTGCGCAGGTCGGGGGGGGCTCTCTCTTTGCGGACTGGTCCATTCTCGAGAACGCAGACTGGGCGGCTGCGCCGGCCGCCGTCCCGATCATCTTTCTGTCGCTAGTATATCATGACTTGACACCCGGTAAGATTCTGAAACCGGGACTTGAGAAGGACACTAACATTGCTTCGAAGCTAGAAGCGAAGAGCAGCACAACGGAGCAATCAAACAGAAAGGGACACAGAGGAGACGCAAAGGAAGAAAGACCATGCGCAGTAGTAGTCAATGTGAAAGTGTGCACAATGAGTCACAGGGAACGGGGTTGATGCTCTGGTTCTGTTGAGGAGAATTTGCTTAGCTTGTTCGACTGCCTGTAAAGGACCTTGTTGACTTTTCCAAGTAGCGCTGAAGCTCGAGTCAGTTGCCCAGCTAAAATAGAGTAGGTTGAGGAAGCGGCACGTGACCTTGTCAAGCTCTTTTTTGAGGGGCCGGTTGCTGGTGAGCGTGCCGAGTTCTCCAAGAAGAGCTGTATGAGCAGCATACCCGGCCCTTAAAATCTTTTGTGGGGGTAAAGCTGAACCGTAGTTTGTGCCCCCTTTTGCAGTGCTGTGCAGCTATTTGGGTGGCGACATCAAGCGGATTCGCCAGGCCATTATTGGGGGGAGCCTGGTGCCGCTCCTCATGTTCGTCTCCTGCAACGCGGTGGCGCTCGCGATCTCGCCAGTCACGGGAGGTGGCGACCCGCTGAATATCATCATCCGGTGAGAGTTTGGACTTTTTGAGATCTTTCTTGGGAAATTATGTGGGATTTTGGAGCGTCTCTACTCATCTAGATACGTGAGCTCTTGTTGTCTGTGAGGTCTGGGTGCATTGAAGGGAATAAGAATGACGAGCCGGTCAGTGATTTGACCATTTGTTGGTGGATCTTCGTCCGGAGGGGAGTCAAAATGTTTTCAAGGAAAAGAGTACCTGGTAAACCTGGTCAAAAGGAGATCGAACGAAGATGAAAGCGCTGCCAAAGCTTCTGACAAGACAAGGCAATCGAAGCTCCTTCAAATTAGCGGGTGCTCTGTTTTCAAACTGACAGCTAATCAGGCCGGGCAGCAAAAATCATGGAATTTGCACGCGTGTTTTTGTCGAGAATCAAAAGGGTGTCGGTGTTCATTTCCGCTTGATGTGTAACTGGAAGTCAAAGACCCATGCCCGACATTCCTTAACTGAAATTGAGTCTCAACTCCGCTTTTAGTCTCCTCGTGTATCCACTTCAGGCAGGTCCCGACAGTCTGTCTCGTGTGCTTCTCGCGATGAAGGAATGACAGTGTTACTCTCCGGCCCATGCTGTCATAAGGTTTCAAGGAACCGTGCCCCTTATTTCCGAGGACCAAGTCGATTCTTAAGAATGCTCCTCGTATATCCAGGTTAGGAGGTCCTGGCCCCGCCGCTCTGATTGAGTGCTTCTCCCTGCTGGCAATCTCCACGTCATTCATCGGAACAATCCTGGGGGCAACCGAGTTCGCGCTTGAGCAGCTCGGGGGGCTGCAGTTCGCAGGGGACAGACCCCCCCTTGCCGAAAGAAAGGAACCTACAGAAAGTGTAAATACTCGCAAGGCCACAGAGCGCAGGTATCAAGGGGGTTTGGGAACCGGGTTAAGAGGAAGCTCGTCAAATCAGGTTAAGTCGTCAAAGGGATCCGGAAGGGCAGGGGAGGCGGCGGCACACGAAGAGATCGATCGGTTGCAAAAACGGGTTAAGGACAAACTCGCGCAATGGGAGTCGCGGTTTGAGCGTGAGGTGGGGAACGGGCGCAAGAGCAACCTGTACAGTGTAAATAAGCTCGATGAGCGCTCGGTGCCCAGAGCGCGCACCTCCAGAGAAGGTATTCACACCAGGGGTGCTTCGTCTGTGAATAATGTTAGCCTGCCTAGTAGCTCAGCCATTGTTAATAGTCTACGTTTAGAATCCCCGTCTAGCCAGACAGGTTCAAGTGATTCGGAAAACGGAAACGGAAGGGGATTGGCAAACGGAACCGGACCAGCACCAGGACCGGACTCAAGCGGGATAAAAACGGACGATTCTGTGGGCGGCCTTTGGGCTATTGAAGCCCCGACAACCGGGAAAGTGAACTGGGCACTTCGTACGGGTGCTTTCTGCATGGTTCTGATTCCCCCGGTCGGAGTGGCCAGCCAGTATCCGGACGCGTTCTTCCAGGCGAGCAACCTTGCGGTGAGGCCTCCGACTGAGTCCTCGATAGCTCTCTTATTTTCTTCTTGTTGTTTTCGTCTGTTCTGGACTGTGGATTGGGTGGGGCTCTGGAGAGGCTTATGACTAAGAGAACACTGAGGACGGACGACGTCGGGGCGATAGTCCGTGGAAATTGATGCACTCCTATTCATTCGCGGATATCATGTTATGAAAGTCGATCACAGAAGGATTGCTTTTCTTTGACCCAGTGTGGTTATGGGTTGGACTTCTGCTCTTGCTCCGTCTGTGACATTCATAGAGACTGGCTTCATCACTGCGTCTCCCAGCGGCGCAGAATGAAGTTGGAATGAAGTGAGATTTGAGCCTGCCCTCCAAGGGAGCCTGTACTGGAGAGTTCCGTCCTAAATCCTCTCTTAATTCTTTTCGTTATCTATTACAGGGAGCCTACGGCATGACGACACTGTACGGCATCTTCCCTGTGGCCATGGCCTGGAGCATGCGGTCCAGTGTCAAGCGAAGGGGCGACGACTCGATGGCCTTAGGGGAATACTCTCGGCTGGTCCCCGGGGGCCGATTCACACTTGTGTTGCTGGGGCTGGGCGCCGCGGCAATCATGGCGGGGCAGGCCGCGCTGGACAGCAAATTGGTGAGGTGACGTTTCTTTGTTTGTCATACGTATGAAGTTTCATGTCGTACTGGAGAAGTCGTTCGTGGTTGCTGGTTTGGCTTTCAGTCCGGTTGTCCGATCTTTGCCTCCCTTATTGACATGACATGTTCCAAAAACGTCAAGGCGATTTTATTCGTGATTCTGTTGGCTGAAACCCTTACCGGATTGACCGCATTGACCGAGACCGAAAAATTGAACGACTAACCCCCTACTAACCTCAGCACATTCCCTGCTTAAAAACTAAGAATGCTTAAACCCATATTAAACCCTTCAACGCAAAAATCACAAAATTTCCACGGGGGAGGACATTCTAGTTTTCACCGTTCTGACGTTGAGCCGTGTAGAGAGCAATTCAGTAGTTCTTCTCGACAACCTCAGGTCTAGGTCCTCCTTTTCCGCGATCTTTAGAAATTTCAGTCTCTGCCAGTGGAAACTTGAACGTCCACCCATCCAGACTCAAACGGCCGAATCGAGGACTCTCACAGACGGTCGAGTCAAGTCGGTTTGAATGCTGCGGGTACGAATGGCATGTTCGATGCCTCACGATTCGATGAAGAGCCAATTCGACGAGCGTCTTTTTGCATCACGAGATAAGCAACCAGATGTCATCAAAGCTGATTTTTGTGAGTCAGTCTGCTCCTTTTCGCAGCTTGAAACAGACTCGCCTCGTCCCGATCATGAACATCATATGCCAAGGGGTAGGGCACACGCTGAAAAGGCTTGGTGTCCGCTTCTCTGGACCTTATTTTTGCATCTGTTGGTGGGTAATGCAACCCTTTCCTGAAGCTCGTCTTAGCTCATAAGAAAAGTTCTCAATTCTAAAGGGAGAGAACGATTCATTAGTCAATCTTCACAACTGACTGAATAAAGGGGTGGTATCCGGAAACACTGGTCCACTTGGAGCAACCGGGCTTAACCCATGCAAGTTCATTGGAAACCCAAAGCTTTGCAACCAGACAAACTGCACCTTTCCAACGTTTGAATAACTCCTTTCTTTCGTTTCCCTAGGCTGCGGGCGCTATTGCCGACGCCCTCGCAGAGGCCGGCCCGGCCCTCGGGGCGCTTCAGGACGCGGCGGCCGTAGCCGCGGCGGCCCTTTCGGACGCTCGCAAACATGTACAGAGTTTTGCTGCGGACTCGGACGCTCTTCAATCCGTCCGGAACGCTCTGATTGAGCGGTATGCTGAGGTGTCGCAAGCGCTGGAGGAGTCAACGCTAGACGAGTCTCTGCGAAGTAAGCTCGACTCTGCGACGAGTTTGCGAGCGGATTTGGAGGTGGAGTTGAGGCAGCGCTTGGCGGAGTTGGAGGAGTTCAGGTTGATGGAGAGGCTGTCGGAGCGGTATGCTGAAACGTCGCAAGCGCTGGAAGGGTTGAAGCTAGACGAGTCTCTGCGTACTACTTTTGACTCGGCTTTGGGTTCGGGTGCAGATGTAGAGATGCAGTTGAGGCGGCGCTTGGCGGAGTTGACGCGGGATGTCGAGGGGTTCAGGGTGGCTGAGAAGCTGTCGGCCGCGCAGGGGGGGCTAGAGAAAGTCAGCATGGGACTGGGAGAGCGTTTGAGCGCGCTGGAGGACTTGAAACTAGACGAATCTCTGCAAACTGCGGTTGACTCGGCTCTGGGTTTGGGAGCGGATCTGGAGGTGGAGATGAGGCAGCGCTTGGCAGAGTGGACAAAAGACCTGGACGGGTCAAGGTTGGCCGAGAAGCTGTCGGTTGCACAGGAGGGGCTAGAGAAGGTTAGCATGGAATTGGGAAAGCGTGTGAGCGAGCAATTGCAGGAGTTTCAGCGACTGATGCACTAAGTCAAAAACGCGTTGACGATGCTTATGTGGTGGTGCGACACAGGTCTAAAGAAGATCAATCCGACCTGCCACAGGCAGGTCTACCATTTCAATTCTGGTCATAACAAAATAATTTTGTTAAGACGTGCCAAATATCAGATCCGATCTGCGAGCTACTGTCGCCGCATTGTTAGACACCAGACTCACGGGAGCTTGATACTAGGCCGTCTCATGCATGAGAGAATGCAGTGCATGATCGTTCTCGAGAATTTGGAAGACTCAACTGAGCTAATTGCAAGGCTCTGTACCGGAATGTTAATCTGTGCCGCATGGCCGACATGCATGCCTACAGCTATCTAGCCCTCGAATACATTGTGAACATTCAGTCTGAGTGCCGCGGCGCCGCAGTCAGTATATTGAGGAAGACAGACCATCATGGCACATCATGTGCATCATCTTACTAATTAACGGTCATAATCTGATTTCTTATATATAGAACTGCATGCGAGATTGACCGGATCATAATTCTACGCGTATATGTCTAGTAGAGATCGATCATATCATATCTGCATTGATATGATATATTCCGCATTAGTACCATCGCACGGGCTGACGGTACGGACCCTGTCTGTGGTGTTTTGCAGATAGCACACGTATAATCGAGGCGCGCGCTCTCGCGCATGCGTTTGCACCTGAACATATTATACAGACGGTCCGCCGCCGGCTATATATGATTGCGCGCTCTTGCAGCAGATCGATACATGATATAATTGATAGTGCGCGAGTGACATATGGCAACTCGCGAATCAGCACTCAGTTGGATCCAGGCACTTGCGCTTTTCGTTCAGTAAAGGGCTGAGGGCCATACACTTTTTCAACTGTAGCCACGTTTCAAATATCTTTCAAGCAGAAATGGTTGAGCTTGAGTATAGCGCCTAAATTGAATTGCGATTGATATAGATTCTTATGGTTCTACTATGTACATTTTATAGCTGTAACGGGATGCACATCCGAGGCAGTGCTAGCGTCCTAGCTTCTGGGATCGACCCTATTCGCTCAGGAAAAGCTTCGAAAAGGATTATCCCTGCTCTACATGTACGAGGTCGAGTCGAGACTCCTATCTAGCTCGTCCCTTGTGCACACGACCTCCTACTGAACAGCCCTTGCATTGTCATCGCCTAACTTTTCTTGCACAAACTGTCCTTGAAGTCAAGAAGCGGGCTTGGCAAGGTTTCAAACTCCGCATTCTTGAAATAACTTTGGCGCGTTGGCGCCACTATGTCTGGCCGCCAAAGCTCTCCTATGCGGAGGAGTCCCGAACCATGCTTGCGGCAACTTTGACCTCCGGTGGAGCAAACAGGAAGACACACTCTGCCAGATACTCCTGGTGCCTGTCAAGGGGGAAGTCGAATTTCGGGATCTAGATTCCGCCATCTCACACTTCTTTACACTTCTTCTAGGACCGTCTTCGTGACACTACCTTGTGATGGTAGTGGAATTATCGCACTTTCTGGCCTTTAGAAACAAGTTCTGAATGTATCAATTATTTTCCAGACTGCTTCTTTGCGAGTACCTAGATCACCTGTGCCGTCCAAAAGACTTCACAGAGAACAAGCGTCAGTACTTGCTTTGACAGCAAAGGCAACAGCTTGCAAGGCAACTTACCCATCCAAAGCATGGCAACCCCCCGCCACAAAGTCAACGCACCGCTGCTGTTCATCGACCCTGCAATAAGCAGAACCAAACCTAATTCAGAAAACAAGTCATTGAAGGACACTAAACGAATCAGGTTGTCACCTGTCACCCTTTGTTGACGAGTCTTGTTCTCCAACGAGTTGGCAACTTAATTTGTTCAGTGCTGTGGAACACCCAGAATCACAGCTAGCTGGTGGCCTCCTTGATTGCAATCCTGGAGAGAGAACTCTTGGTCTGGATAGACCGTAATGGAAGCTGCATATTCTCTGCCCAACGCTCAGAAGCTCGGACTGCCTTGGAAGAGGGGTGGATACTCTCAAAGCTCTTTGAAAATAGACTGATGGTGGCAAGCTGCCTCACCCTTTGACACCGTTGAGATTCAGAATCACTGTCGTGCCCTGCTTGAGTGCGGAGACTGCAGAGATGACCTGCAAGCACGCTGGTGTTTGTCAGCTTGTTGGGATCTCATACACCTCTGGCAAGTATTGACAGAATTTGCAGATAGCCGCCACTTCATCCCTGACAGATTCCAAATGTCTCTGCTTGACCGCTTCTATCAACCATAACCAGAGTCATTCTGAGACGGTTCGTAGAATTTCTCTGATAGGATAGAAGAGTCATGTAGAATCGAAAGGTCTGATGCTGGCCTGACCTCGCTAAAAGCTGTGGGCCACATCACTATGTAGGAGGGTTCTTCCTCAACGGCACGCTGCTGATCCCAAGTCCAGGGCATCAATGCTGATCGGACTCCCGTCTTAGCTGCAGGAAAGAAGCCTGTAAGCTTCTGTAAACTTTGGCATCATACAGCAGGCAAATAGGAGCTCCTCCTCAGGATCAACACTTTAGCATCGTGAGCAGCTTGCACCATCGGTGCTCAGACCTCCTCCTTCTAATGCAAGAAATAAGAGTTCAAGATTGGGGATGGTTGAGGAAGAAGATTCATATGCAGGCTGACTTCTCTTTGTGTCCCGTGCCAGACATGCATCTACAGGTCACGGTGGCCCTGCAGCAATGGTCTGGGTGATTGGTCTAAATGTCTGATTCTGCTCTCCATCTTTGTAATCATCATTCAGAACAGAAGAATGCTGGCATCAGGCTCTGCAATCTGTCATGGCAGATCCTTACATTGTGTCTGCGAGAATAGGGAAGCACTGTAAGTCAATCAAGCAAGCCAGCCAAAAAGGATGCACCACTGAACTCGCCTGGTTGTGCGTTGCTTCTGCTCCTGGTTACCCCAAACTTGAAACCAGCAAAGCTCCCAGCTGAGAATTTCCTAGGGACCGACTGATCTACGGCACCTGCATACCCAGCTTTAGTTGGTCTCACGAACCTTCTCTGCTCTGCAATGTTCCTGCCTGCTGCACTTGCAAAGGTGCCACTGTGCTGAAAAAGACCGGACTTTGCAGCAGCCATCGCCATGCTTGGCTCCCCTCTGCTGGTCTTCGGAACAGGCGCAAAGCGAGGCAGGAACACAGATCTGAACCGCAACTTCAGCTCGCTTTCTTGCCTTCCTTCGACTTGTAAAAGTTGTCCTTGCTTCCTTGGTTCCCTGCAGGCTGCTGTCGACTGTTCAGAATCAGTGTTCAGTTGTCCCAGATCACTGCGCCTCCTTTCGAATCTCTGAAGTGGTCGTTGGTCTGTACGTAAGAACGTTCCGGTCAGCGATTACCGCCGATGTAATCTCAGCCACGGCTCTGTATGTGCCTGTACGGTAGATTTACTTGCAGCAGGAGTTCGGAGAACAAATGTGCGCGCGCGTTGTCAGCCTGGATTCAGTTGCGAGCGAGGCAGGTTTCAAGTCTAAGCACAGCAATTGAGCTGCAGCCTGAATGAGATGCAATGCAATGATGGTTTTCTCATGGATGGTCAACAGGCTGAGGTCGCTGCAGTCTCAGAGCAGCAGATTCAAGCTGAAGGGAGCAGCGCAGACTCAGATCAGCGCCAGGTCTGAGAAAAAGATAGTGAAAATCCAAAGACAGGAGAAAGGGGCGAATATCGTGTGAGTGCCTTTGAGCTCGCTTGAGCTCAGTTGTAGACTCCCAGGCCAAATCCAGTGCTTCAGCGTTAATGCATGGCACCCCGCCGGGGCCTGTCGAGCTAAGAAGATTCTATCCGAACATAGTACTTGACAGGAGAGCTCAAACGTCACATGTAAGCTCCTTAGCTGATTTTCACATCTGCCCACTTGGGCCACATTGGCAGTTCCGGTTGAAAAATGTATTCGTCCAGGAACAGCAGCTTCAAGAGCTCCGGCGGCAGGCAGGCAGGAGTGAAGGTTGCGATACTTGCGACTGGACCATTCCATGCAGATGAGTCGGTCACTGAGCAGACGAAGAAGGTCCGAGGCTGCAGTACAAGGTCACTTCTTGAGGTATGCATCATCTTATCCCATGAAAGCCGTGTGCATCAAGCAAAGTCGTCAAGATGAGCTGCTACTGTAGCTGGCAGGCAATTTTCAATCAATGAAGGACAGAGTTATCACAGAATCATTAATCACAGCAATCTCGACATCCTGAAATTTCAGGCATGCACCAGACTTTGCCACCACTATTTCCATGGGTAGATCCACAAGACTGGGCACTTGATTTGGTGTCTTGTCCGATCACTCATACAAACTGATTGGGCTTCAGCAGCCTTTCAAACCATCTGCAATTACTCTTCATGCAAGCAGCTAGATCTACGAGTCAATAGAAGACGATGAAACGCAACATTAATTTGCTTTTTTTTGTTTTGTTGTTTGTTTGTTTACTTAGCTACTTCGCTTCTGCAGCTCAACGGCCTGCCCCTGCTGTCCTACTGGCTGGCGCTCATCAAGCAGTGCCCCCGCCTTGCGCCGATTGAGCAGAATGTTTTCGTGCTCTGCAATAACAGCAACGAAGGTGGGCTCCTTGCTTCCTATTGATACTACTTAGAGCTGTTTTATGCACCTGCATAAAGAGCCATCACCTACGTACTTTTCGAGTCGGAGAAGCGGACTTTAGTACGACCAATGAAGCTGAAGTCAGATGCCGTCTAGACCATCTCCATGTCAATTAGAGATGGACTCGGTTTTAAAGCTGCGGCAAAGACCTCGGACATGAGATCCAGCACTCTGCAGAATTACGAAAAGACTTGACTTCTTTCTTGAAAGCTTTCTTCGAGTCGATTAGCTGTAGTTTCCAACGCTGCAGCAATGTCCACGGTTTTCCTTTCATATCCTTCCGCTTTTGACAACGATTCATGCTTTCCTTCTCAGTAAGTCAATTTGTCACCCTTGCCTTCAGCTTTAAGGACAATCCTAGGGAAGTCAAATTCTGAAGCACGTTCAATCTTAGCAAAATCTGTCATAGGCAATCTATCAGAGGCAATTCTGTAGATCTTCACTGCACCCAATCACGAAGTGCTATCAGCCGACATCATTTGTCACACGTCACTTGCAGAGGAGCTTCGTCACTGGGCTTCGGATCCGAGTAAGCCCGCTGGAGGCTTCCCCGTGGATAACATCTGCAGCAACGGGGCCAGTACGAGTGGCAGCGATACCAGCGACCTGCAAGCCTGGATCGACTCCCGTGGGGTCGCTGAAAACCTGCTGATAGTCTCGGGGGATGCGGTATTCTCGCCGCAGTTCAACTTCAACCGGATCGTGGAGCACTCTCTGATTAGGGGGACGGACACTGTCACCTTTGTGGTAAGTCCGCAGCTTCGAGAAAAAGTGCTTAACTTGGAAGTACCTCCTCAAAAATCGCGTTGTTTTCTCGAAGCGAAGTTGGTATAAGCTCAATAAGAGGAGTTGCTAAACCCAAGCAGGGGTCCGAGCTCTCCGTTGTTGACTTGCTCGGCGTTTCAACGTGCCAAAAATCGTTTCCTCATTCCAGCGAAGAAGACCGCGCGTGGCATATTCGAAGGCCTTTGAAAGGTCTCGGAGCAAACTTGCTACTTTGGAGCAGACCCTAGCTTCATTCGACGGACTTTCTGTCCGTATGGAAGAATCTACCAAGAACGTATATTGGCAGCTGTACGTGTACGTAGATGGTTCGCCCCAGGCTATGCTCGCAGGAAGGCCAAAAGTCAAAAATGAAACAAATTCTCGTCTATCTCAGCACACGGCAGCAGAACGAGTAAAATCACTGATTTGGGCCCGCCTTTGCAGCATTGCAATGATAAGCTGGCTTTGCCACCTGGCTGGCCGCGGCTGATACTGGACTCCGACGGGCAGGGCGCCCAAAATCCGAATCCTAGGGTACGTCCGCCCATCCTAGTTACTCGCCGACTCTGCGTTTGAACCCTCTTGCACCAAATCTCCAGGTCCTTCTCGAGCAAATGTTCTTCACATGTTATGTCTTCACTGTGTGGAGCCCGCTCGTCCAGCACTTCATAATGCTCACTTTATAGACTTTCGGTTCCTTTGATCAAGAAGCTCAACCTCGTCGTCCACAGCCTAATGACGTCACCGCATGCATGACGCGCGTCCTGCTTGACTGTGCTTTCGCAGCTCAAACTTATCCAACTTCGCTTCCAAAATACACGCGGAAGGCATACTTTGCTTCCACAACCACGGCTGACATCTGTTTTCATCTCCAGGTCGCTCAAATCGACCTCACCGGTGAAAGCGGCTCGGAGCTGACCGTCACGCCGTTGATCTTCCTGCGGGATACATCGCTATGCCATTTGCGGGAGTGCCAGTCGCAACGCGCTCGCAGCGAAACCTCGGACCTGGGGGAGTTTTTGCATTTTCTCAGCACCCAGGTAAACCGCATTACAGACCCAGTACGAACCTGCGATGCTTTCGATGTTAGCCTTGCCAATCGCAGGCGGTGTCTCTCTACCGTATTCTCTCGTCGTACTTTCGTGTCACCTTCAAACATAATCCGAGCGCTTGAATTTCACAGAAGAACGATGCAGAGCTTTCGTCATCACCAGTAAAACTAGACAGTGCTTGACGGATTGCTCATCAAAGCTACGCCGAGATTCGCTCGGAGACTCAACGGATACCTAGGACATCCGTCTCATCGCCCCGACAAGCATCTGCTAAATGGGCCGCAAAAAGAAATAGAAAGCTTCGCTGGTCGCCCGCACAAGAACATCAAAAGACGTCCCTTGACGCTCGTAGCAATCAATTTGCAGTTTTAGAATACCCAAACGTTAGAAGTCCTGAAACCTCCGTTCCATGATTGTTGCAGGAGCCCATCTTTGCTTTGGAGACAATCGGTCTCTTTAATGTATCCACGCCGGAGCAAGCAGAGTACGCGGATCAGTTTTTCAGAGTGAGTCGAGGCTCGCTTTTGGTTCATTTTGGAGTCAGCGCCAGCAGAACACAATAACTTCTTTCCTTGCAATTATCATTCCGTTCTACAAGTTTGACAGGTGTTCGTACGACTAGTATACGTGCTGCAAATGCGGTCTGGTGGACACATTTTCGTAAGCCACCGCTTGACCGTGCTGCAAACTTTCAGAAGGGATAAATACGGAAGGAAGAGCGTATGCGGCTGTTTAAGAAGATAACCTTAGCATCTGACCTCTGGTTTCGTGTACATCGTACGAGTTTCGCACCTTTCTGTTGGACGTCCTATGGATGCATCTTTTCCCGACTCATTGGTCTTAGTCCTCAGGTTCTTTCACAGAGTTCTCAAAGAACAAAAACCTTTTTCGGCTCACAGCAGGAGAAAGATTGAGCCTTCGGTTGCAATCTTTTGATTCTCTCGCCCAGGTTAAAATATAAATCGTCGACGCAGAGTCCGACGTGGTGAATACGTCTCCTTACACAGTCCCCTGTGAATCCAACCTTCTTCGGTGCCACATTCAATTTGATCCGACGTTATAACACCTTTGATGTTATATAATCTTAATCTAGATCTTCCGATCTCTGATCTGACGTTTCTCTTCCGTCAGATGTATGCTCGCGAGCTGCGCTTGCAAAAGGAGGGCGTCCGAAACATCAAGCACACAGAGAGCAACGTCCAGCTCAAGCTGGACGCGACGGCCGGCTCGCCGCTGACTTCACATGATGCCGGGCCGACGTCATCAAGCACCGGCCGCAGCCTGAGCTCCACCGAACGGACCGCCAGTCTCGGATCTCAGTCGGGGAGCAGGATCGGTGTGACAGCTGCTGACATGCTGCGGGTGCGTGAAGTGATTAAAAGGCCGTTTTACCTGCTCAATCAGTGGGAGAAATGCTCCTTTTTGAGGAGTCGTGTTTGTTTCGTCATCCATGCGAAAGTTTGACGAAGGCTAATGTACCTTTCAGCAAATCCTCTCCCTCGCGAGAGCAAACAAAAGAAAATAACGACCGATTGCAACGTTGTGATTGAAAGGCGAAATGAAAACAGGCGGAAAAGGACGGACCTTATGATGCTGCAGATGGGCGATATCGGCCCCCTTCCGCTGCACGACATCATTAGCACGTTCCGGGAACGGTATGCGGGCGCCCAGGCGGAACGGATCGAGAGGGAGCGGAACGAGCCGAAGCTGCCACCCCGATTCGAGGACGCAAGTGCGTGAGATGTTCCCTCTGCTTTTATTATTGAACTTTCCTGCATTTTACTTCTGGTGCTTGGTATGCATGACTCTGTGTAAATGCGGAGTCCGTTCAGAGGACCTCTTAAAGAAAGTTGCCATTGACTGGCGTCCGGCGATACTGGACCCGCCGTTGACGCCTTCCGTCAAACCCTCTTGCGGTCCGTTGTTCAGCCTGATCAATGTCTTTTCAGCGACGGGGTTCAAAGCTTCGGTTACGTTGCGAAGGCTTAGAGTAGCTTCTTGCCCCACGAATTTTCATCGCGACGGCTTGTGCGTACAAGCACCCAAACCGAGACGCCAGGAGGATTCCCCGCGCTTGAGATCGCAAATCGCAGAATCTCCCTATCATCTTACTGTTTTCAATCTACCATCGTCGTGCGGGTACGCTCCAGTGGAAGGCCAAGCAGGAGTACCCGGTGTTCTGCCCTTGGGCATACAAACCGACAAGAGCGCCAGGGGGATCCCCCGCGCTCGAAACTATTGCCTCACCATTATCAGCTTTTGTTTCTAGGTATGTTCCAGTGGAAGGCAAAGCAGGAGCACCCGGTGTTCACCACCAGCAGCAACGCGTACGGCAAGAAGGGGCCGACGCAGCACGAGATGCCGCTCAAGTGGTCCGGCGTGAAGGGCGAGTTCACGAGCACGCAGTTCGCGGGCGGGCCCAGCAAGGGCACCACGGGTTTCAACACGTCGGTGACCAAGTCCAAAGTGCACAAGCTGATGGACGACTTTTGAAGTTCGGCGTGCATGCGTGCGGCTTGCCTTCACTTCAACGTTGGTTCTAAGGAATGTATTCGGTTTTGATCTGCCGCGCTTTATATGAAATTGGACCGGCCGGGGCGTCGCATGTGGCGGTCAGCTGAAAATGCTTAGAATCCTAGTGTAACCCTAACTCCTCCCTAACTAATGATCGCGGCTGCCCATGCATCATGGAGTCTGCGCTCCTAGCTTTGGACATGAGTCTCTTATGGAAGGGTTGCATTGCCAGTAAAGTGCCGTCACTGCCATGGCATGTACGTGTAAGAATGCACCGTCGCCAGCTGAGTTCAGACGGTCCAGATTCGGTGCACACGGATTCTAAGATCCGTGTCCCTGGTCGGACTCGGCATACATCGAATTTTGATGCTCATGGCGCAGACTCCAAAATCGATTGCGGCTGCCAGCTAGCTAGATCCGCGTCCCGCTCAGCAAATGATGGCACGGCGGGACCAGAACAAACCACCTGAAGTTCCCTATAGCCAGTGCAAGTTTCTGCGAATGTTGAGGCCATGCTTTCATTGACGTACCGTCTTCGAGTGCGCTGCAGTCCTGCTACTATAGTCCTCGATGCAGAACATGCATATTGGCGGTTAAGCTGGATTTGCAATTGACATGCCATCATGATGACGAAATCCAAATCAGTGTGCAGAGGCATGCGATGGAATTCTAGGTTTGCCGGCCCTATCTGAAAGGATTCAGCGAAAGACATGTACTCGAAGGCAAGTTACAAGGGGGAGCCTAGCATGAAGCAAGGAGGTATGTTTCACTCAGGCTTCAGCATCTTCAGGAATGTCAAAAGGCTAAGCAATGCTTTGTTTTTCCCCCGATCCTTTGAGAATCTTTCGCTCTATATTACAATGACGACCTGAGATGAGAAGATTGTCCTACGGTCAATGCGCTCGCCCAATGCTCTTGATTACCAATTGAATCTTGACACTTGAACAACTCCTGTCCTTTTTTCTAGTCAACATGCTCGACCTGCGTTGCGCTTCAACTCGGCACCTAACGTTTCCTTTTCTTGCCCAGTATGGGAGCCATGTTATAGATGGAGTCTTTACGTTGCCGCCATTGCGTGAAGCTCTGCATCGACTGCCTGCCGGCCTCGAAGACTGCAAAATTGAGGGCAAAATTAGTTACGTGCTCCTGGAAAGTGGCTCTCACGCAGAAACGGAACGACACTCCTAGCTGGAGCAAGCTGGAGTGTGGTCTATCCGCAAAGTCTAGAACCTCTTACGGCGGCTACTCAAGAGTGGCCGCGTGGTCTTCAGCCAGCGTGGCACAAGGAGACTGGTTCGTTAAACCAAAGGCATTCATTTCGTGTCGGTCCTCAAGCCGGACTTGCCGCCAATTTCCCTTGCAGAAAGGAGTCTATGCTTGACTTGAGCAGAAGAAGCACTGTGACTGAATTGCAATCTGAGCAAATTCACTGCCAAACGTCCCAATACATCCAACGCCAAGAATGAGCATCAGTCTACCTTCACTTTCTTTCTGATAGTCAGCCTCGCCGAGACTCCCATCAACCCCGAGAATCTCGACGCCAGAGTAAGATTGCAAGCGTGAACCCCGTCCATGTCCAAGACCGTCTCAAGGCTCTCAACAAGCGTAAGTGATGTTCCTGGACGCTTCTCTTGTCGAGTTGTGCTTCCTACAATTCAGCATTTTCGAAGCCCTTCGTAACTCCAGCCGTTCAACGCCCCAAACCCTCCGAACTCGCAACATCTTAATCTCAAGTCGGGCTGAGGCAAGGGTCGAAGTCTCACTCCGAATCTCCTCTCGCGTCATGATCCTCTTGAGGGCTTGAACGTCTTCATCGGGCGCGAAGTGACTCTGCAGGAGCAAGTCCTTGTAGCGCCCCCGGAATGTGATCAGGAGAAAGTCTGCCAGCTCAGCGTTGTTGTCTCTGCGGCAAAGATAAAAATACTCTTATTAGCAATGGAGACTAAAGGTCAACATCGAACGCCAACAATCGATTCAACCTCGAAGGGTCTCCATGATCGAGTCGCAAGCGTGCTGGAGGTCGGGTGGAGTTTCTCAAGTAGTGGCCCGTAGGTCCTATGTCATGAGATACTGAACCACCGAAAGGGTTGAAAAAGCAGTCAACGCAGCAAAGCGTTGACAGGGAGAAAAATAGCGTATTAGTGTCATCGCACAACGTTTGCTGCGTGAGAGACGCACGGGGCAAGGCCTTCCTTTAGGACGTAAGCAAGGCAACCGTTTTGCTAGATTGTTGGGGAGAAAGGCGAGCCAGGGGGTTGGGGAATAAACACTCACAGGATTCTGCAAAGGCTCCTTCCAAAGGCGTAGAAGAAGGCGCTGCGCTCTCTCAAATTGACCACCCCCGGGTCCGCCTGGATGTCTTTCTTGACCCTGCAAAGGAAATGCAAATGTTGGGCAAGCACAAGGTGAGCACGAGTCAGGAAATTTGTATGTTTACGGGGACTGGGCGGGATGATACCGGATCGCTTGTGAGCAACCGCTGGATTCGTATGGCTCCTTGTAGAATCTTCCTTGAGGGGAGGCTGCTAATCTTCCGTTCTGAAGAAAAGGGGAGTGGGGGAGGCAAAAATCAGTAACTTTTAGCCGGATGTCCCTTGCATTCTAGTGCCAAACGAAGCTTGCCTCCTCGACCAGCAGCTTATCAAGAGGGTGCCGGGAGACATATCCAAGACATAATACAAGTTGCATGATGGCAATCTCACTCGGTCTACGCGCATCAAAGAAGATGCAACGGGGCCTTTGGGGGGTTGACAGCCAGAATAGACTGCTCCAACCTGCTTCTAGACGCTCAGTTTAAGGCAGAGCGGAGCATGGCAACAAGTAGCAGGGAAGCTTTTCGATTGTCTGGATCCGCAACTCAAACGTTGAGGAAAGTATTTTTCTCCCATTTAAGCGGAATTGAGCGGGCAATGACCAGATCCCTGAGCCTGACACAGCCTCTGGCTACGGTCTGCTTCTCTAACCAGATTGCTGTGTAGACCGTCACATGAAGCAGTGCCAAGTCTGAAAGGGCCTCAAGAAGTACAGCCCTTTTCCAAAAGCTCACCTCTCATTGAAGCATTTTGGCGTGCGGACCTCAACAAAGCGCTTCTCGCTGAGTTGCCCCTTAGTCAGCCACTGGGGGAGATCAACTTTCACCCCTTCCGCCAGCTGCACGGAAGAAAATTTTTGAAGCTTGGTCCTCAAAATTATAGACCCTATACATGCCTGCGGTGGTGTATCCGCTTTCGAATATGTCTAATCTTCTGAAGCGGGGATTTGTTGCCGGTGCATTTTGACAAGGGTTTATGTCTCAAAGCTCACCCCGAAGAGCCCGCACAAACCTCAATCAAAAAGTTGGATTACAAGTCCGCAGACTTGTTGCAGCAGCGTTCACAAGAACCACCTACAGCTGATTGACTTCCCCCTTTTACGCACTGCACCTTCTAAACCCCAAGAAAAGTGTATCCATAACAGGTTTTCAGGCTTCAGGTTCATTGTGAGCAGGTTAGGAGAAGGTAAACCACTGTGCTTTGCCGCTGCTCTGTGCTTTTGTGAGGGTGCACACGCAGAGAGCTGGGACTGTAGTGCTTGGTTCTGCCAGCAGAGGAAACAACTTGTATAGATAGCACATTGACATCAACATAGATTCAGATGTAAGAAACACCAGTGCTATACAGACTGGGGAAAGTGGAGCTACTCACGTCGTCATCGTCACAGCTTGGGTCAAGCGCTCTCCCGACGCCTGTGACACTTGTCAGGAATAGCACCGGCACTCTCTGCATGACATTGAGCCTCGCGTCAATTCGCAGACTTTTGTTCCCACCGATTTTGCAATGTATCATGCGTACGCATGCTTGAGATATTCAACATCCTTCTGATCTGACCTGCTGACCAAGTTCGAAGCCTCTGAGTGTCAGCTAGGTGGACGGGATAAGAAACCACATTAGGGTTTCAGATCTTGGTGCGGTGATCACTCTGGTGAATAAAAGCACCATACCTCTTCCTCTGCCAGGATAGCTTCTAGATCAAAGTAGTCCGCTCCAATTGCAGATGCCCCCATGCCAGCCTGTTGTTAACCTAGTAACAGACATCGGTGCACCACCCGGGTCATCAAGAGTTCAGTCTACACATCGGAGTTGGCAGGTTGAACAGAACTTAAAAATTATAGCAAGTGTATCTTCCTACCCAAAAAGCGCAGAGCCAGTCAAAGAGCTCTCAACCTCTGATGTCAGAACTCTACCTTCCTGTGTTTTCTACGATTTTGCGTCTAGGCTTGCTGATGGCATCGTCTAACCTCACGTTGTCGTATTTGGCACAAGTTAGACCTGTCCGGCTTGCTTGCTGCTGATGCATACCCACAAGCTACTTACGGTAGGCTTCTATTGCCTAGAAGTCACAAACCTTTCTCTGCTCAGAATCACTCTCTCCAGGCTCAGATGAAAGACTTGAAGGGCGCCAGTTGAAGCAGCTTCATCGGACATCCTTCTCCTAGCTCAGGTTTGAATTTGAACTTGGAACTTGGAGCGCCAGTGTGTGCAAGGTTGCGCTTTCAAACTTCTTCCCGCCACCCGTAACCCAACTTGAACTTGAAGGTATGGTTGGTCGTGCACATTAGCATATATGAGCCGTCCGATGAGACTTTTGTGAAGATGACCCGTCCGATCCATCTCGAAACATGGGTCTGGGGCCCCGGGTCACGTCACTAATTGCACCGTCCACGCGACGCCTCCGGGGGCCGGCCGCGCGGCGCGCTGTCACTCCGAGTGACAACTTGAATGACTGAGCGGAGCTCACTGGTGCGCGGCGACAGGCCGCCGCGTTGGAGATCATCAGATGGGCATCATTGCACGCTCATTGCGGTAGCGCTCATAGGCCAGGGCCTTCCTTACCACCCCCAGGCTAAAATCCGCACAGACGACAAGGATCTGCTGGGCTGATAGCCGTGTTCAATATGGAGAGTAGACATAACCGAGTTCAATCGCGACTAAGCTGCGACCGTGGCCTGGCATGAATAATAGGGGCTTTACGTGGCCAAGGGGTTTCAGGTCGTTGATTCCGCTAACTTTTTTGTCCACAGTTTTCTCTCTTCGGGGGGACACGGGCTCAAGTTATTCTCTCTGTTGCTTCAAAGCGACGAGATTATGGGCGGTGGCAAGGACGGCGGCCGTCGTTGTGTCGTGTCTTGATCCTGCAATTCTGCAGTCACACGACTTGCGATTAGTACATTAGTGGCACAACGTACCAACGCCGGCAGGGGTCCGAGCGCATGCAACAGGATTATTACAGCGGTCTGCGTGAAACTTGTCACGCCGAGCGGAGCACCCGTGTCCACGGTATTTCGGTGCGACACCCTGCACGATCAGTGACGTCACGAGTGCCGGATGATCTGGACATCCAAGCCGTCGACTCATGCGGATGAATTGAAATTCAGGGTGTCTTCCGATCGGCGGTCAAGACGTCACGGATCGTGCAAGGCAAGGCAGCGCCGAGATCGTGCACATCATTTTGTTGTCGGCGACTTTGTGACAAGTTTCACGCACAAAGCTGCAATGCGAGGCCGGTGCAAGGTCGGCGCTGTGGTGTGGCCAGTCCTGCTTGACGCCCAGAATCAAGTTCGTTTGGAGTTCCAGCGGTTGTTACCTGCACGACCTCGACAGAATGGGAAGTGCAAACAGCTCAGACATGAACTCTGAAACTTGTTTCGACTGGCTGTTTGAACATTGGCAACATGTCTTGTACTAAGATTCAGGGTTTTGTTTGACCGAACCAACAAGGGCTGAGACGACACTGTACATTACTCCTAATGAAAATCGAACCGTCTTCGCTTTTAAATCCCGCAACTGGCTTTCTAAGGCTGTTTGAAAGTCCGGAGGCAGCGGCGTCAAGGCGCCTGTGTAGCCACGGCCTGTTCTCTTACTGCTTGAGACACTTCCAAATCTTGTTCGAAACGTTAAGCACATTGACCAGCAATTACAGCCGACGCTTCAACGACGGTCTCAATTCGTGGGCTTCGACTTGATCATTTCCGCGAGCCAGTCTATGCCCTCTTCAACCCCCTCGCCCGTGAGCGCATTGCTGGCGAGGATGTTCCAAGGCTTGTCCTGCAAAGGACATGTTGTCGGTGTGTGAGATAATGCGAGCCTCATGCTCATTCTTGTCAAACTGGTCATCTCTGAGCTTGCGTTTGTCTCGAGCCCTGCTGAGGGAGAAGCTGCCACACTTGGACTTGCGAAACCAACAATCACACTGAAAAGTTTTCACGAAGTTTTCACAAAGCTTTCTTTCAAGCCTTTGACACGAATAACCCGTGACGCCCCTCGATGACGTCCTCTCGCTTTGAGTGACCATCTTAATCCCTGATAACTCATGAATGTCAGCCAAGCTTCTAAAAGCATAGCTCAAACTCATTCGCATCTCTGGTTATTGACCAAGCTGCCGTATCTGGAAGTCCGCTGCCCACCATAGTCCATCAATCTGCATTCATGTCGTTCGCTTTTGGACCAGCTGGAGTATTAAAGAACAAGCTCCGTAGCCATACTCGAGCGGCAAGAGCTGCCGAGAACTGTTCTCTTCAAAAGAGTTTGTGCTTTTCCTTGCAGCGAGACACCCTCATTACTTTTCATTTGTGCTAGACGTTTTCAGTGGGCTTCACACATGCACAGAACCTGCCGGTGCCTCTCGCGGAAACCCTTCAGAGCCTCCCTTCTTGACACGCTCGTGCAACTTTCTTCTAGACCCTTCCTGGACAGCACTCCAAAACGAATCCATAACTGAATGACAGCAGTTCTCCTGGCGTCAAAGATCAGTCAGCCTCCATGGTCCCAAATTTATAAAATCCCAGAAATCATTTTCCTCGAACAAGATGCAAAACCTGCATCCTCCACATACTTTGTTCTCGTCCAGTTGTAGGGCCTGCGCGCACTGCAGCGCCGTCCAGCACTTGGGCACGTCGCTCTTGTTCGCGTAGAAGAGGAACGGCACTTTCCGCAGGTCCGGGTGTCGAAGCATCAACTCTAGTTCGTCTTTCGCTACGCACATGCGGACCAGGTCTGTAGCGTCGATGACGAAGATCACCGCCTGCGAAGAAAGCGGGTTAACGGCAGGATTTGAGAACAGGTTTGAGCAGAAACAGAGGATAAACTTTCTTCATGAGGGTGTACGGCAAGGGTTGGAGACAGGTGTCCAAATGAGAAGAGGGGATCCGATATCAAGGTTTGTTGGCTGTCGTAGCCAACGCCGATGCTTTAGAGAAAAGGACACTGCCTCTTCCAAAACAGATGTCCTCTGGATGGATAAGATTATTAAGGAGGATGACCGTGTGTCCGAGTTTGCTTACACAAGCCGACGTAAATCTGGTTTCCAGACAGCAAGCAGAAGAAAGCAGGTATCGTGTCAACTGAAATTCCCAAAGCCCAGCCCCGTTGCGTGCTACGGAAGCTTGTCTGGAGATTAAGCTCAAGCAGGCGCTGGGAGAATTGAGTGGGCGTTGCTCCGTATGACTGAAAGGACGCGACCGAAGCAGGATCATGATCAAGCTCGCGCACAACGAACGCGAGGTCAGACAAGCTACGAATAAAGTAGAGGTCAGACAAAGTACATCACCTGCGCATCTTTGAAGTACGCTTCCCAAAGGCTCCGATACCTTCCAGCTCCGGACATGTCGAAGGCGGTGAACTGGATACCATGCTTGAGGAAGGACTCGACCTGGAAGCCGATGGTTGGCACCACGTCCGCTGTCTGCAAAAGCACAGCAGGTTTGTTGCTCTTGCTGGGGAAATGTCTGCCTCGACTCGACAACATTTCAGAATGGTAAAAACGGTTTGCTAAACCTATAAGCGTCTCCCTTACATCATAAAAATGAATTTGATTGGATACCTGACACGCGTGGGCCACCGATAAGTTGAAGCACAATCAAACGTTGGCGGCTTGGAACAATGTTGCGTGCGGCCACTGCCCAGAAAAATTTAAGACGAAAAGCTTGCAGACCGATTCATGAGCAGACACTGGCAAGCTCCAGATAGCGCTTGCTTGAAGCCCTGCATTTCTTGTATTAGTAGTGAAAATGTTCAAAGATGTTCCTGTCGATATTTACCATGCGTCAGATCCGAACGAAGTTTTTGGACTAGTGAGTGAGAACCCACATCAATCAGGAGAATTTCTTTCAGCAGTTGGCATCGGAGACAAAAGAATGTCTTGAGCAGCCCCGGTGCACGGAACTAGGATTAGAGAGGACCAACTGGCTTTCCAATTGAATGCACCTTCTGCATCACTGAATTTCAACTACTAAACATCTCGTGCACCTTGCGTGGCGCTCAGAACACGTCAAACTCTCACAACACCAGCTTCGACTGGGCTGGTGAGCGCGCCCAGCTTCTAGTGGTTTTCATCTTCCTTCACGGGCACTCTGCTCTGCTTGCAACACACTTCGACACAAAGCTTCAGAACTATGCTCCAATAAAGAAACTTACCCGAGCCTTTTTGGGCCTCAGCCGGTTTAGGAGGGTGCTCTTCCCACTGTTATCCAGGCCGACAATGAGCACACCGACCTTCTCTGGGCCCAAGCCCAGGGCCCTTAGGAAGCGCCTGAAAAGGCCCATGACTTAATTCCGAGTCTACCGTCAGTTATGTTGCTTCCTTGGCGGAAGCTGTTCTTGTAGAGCTGAATCATCAAGCCCCATTTTGGGGTATCGGTTATCGGTTGCTTGAAAAGTCTTCCGACCTACGCAGATGTCATGACACCTGGCATGACGGTGTCAGCCGTTCACTTCAGCCCAAAGCTCAGCCCAAAGCTCATCCCAAACGGTCAGCTGTAGGCCATCTTTGAAACTAGCTCATGCTGATCAGTTGCCCACAAATATCTCAAAGCTTTGCAGCCTTGCCAGTCTCTGAGGAGGCTCATGAGCTCTTAGAAGCCCATTGGACCGCCTGCTGCCTTTAATCTTTGGTGCTTGTCAGCTGCCTGGTTTGCGCGCGAGAATTGAAGTAGAATTGAAGACCGAAGAAACCTACTAGGAGCCTCTCAGTCTTACGTACGAGTAATCAGAGCTTGTATTGGCACCTCGAAAAGCAGTGGTGCTAAGCAATGCTGTGGCTTTTGGCTGGCCAGCCCCTATTACATTCTTGTTTAAGGTCCTTCAGGCGGGGTTCAAGCTGGGTTCAAGCTGGGTTCAAGCTGGTCTTTTGCTGGCTGGTCTTCAAAACACTGAGCTTATTTCCACTGAAATGCTTATATAAGGAGAGTAAGGAGCGACTTAGCGGACTCCTTCGTGAGTCCTCCCTTACTTGGATTCAATGCGGAAGCAACGTGGGCAAACCGGCTCTCAATGCCTTTAAGTGTATAGTTCAGTGGAGCCGATCATCCTGGTGCCAAACTCATCAAGGGTAATGATAGTAAGATAGTAATGCTTGGCAGCTCAAGCTATCTCAAGCAGATCTTTAGACTGACTAAGTTCTCACTCTGCTCGAGAGCCTGAGGGGCACACGCATGCATTATGCATTGAAAGAGTACACAGCTTCTAATCAAGTCTATGAATCATGCCATAGTATATAGCTTCTACTTAAACGCTTTCCTCGAGTCAACCTTTTTGAATTCATCTCTGAGGTTTGCTTTGCAAGTGACCCTGAACGCCGACTCCAGTCCTACTCTTCAACTGAGGTGCAGCTAACGCTATTTTTGCCGGGGGACTCCTGCAGCTAGAAGTTAGAACAAGCCCCCGAAGTCGTGTCTGTTCCTGAGTCAGATGCGGGCCTGCATGAATTGGTGAGCCATCTGACAGTCCTCACTGTCCTCATGAGGCAACCGTTTCCTGATTCGCTAAAAAGCTTTGTTGAAACATCGACGGTTGTCACGTGTCCGGCCATGTACCGATTCGGCCGGGCTCAGACCTGGCTTAGCGGCCGCGCTCGGACGCCGCGCCGGGCCGCGAGCGCGTCGGTCGTGTCGATCTCGGTTGCACTGATGCCGGCAGTAAAGATGAACTACTACTGAAACCCTTGGAGAGCGGCCGGCGGCCTCAACCTTGGCCATACTGTGCTGGTCGATCCATACACGTCTGGTCGATCCATATAACCGCTGCATTTGGTCACAGCTTTAACACGCTTGGCATATTAAGAAGAGTGAGATATAAAGTACGTACGGCAAACACTTTGGCTGCTCTTGAACGATCGAGCAAAGGGTATAATCCAACCCGAAGCCAGCGCGAGTGACTCAACATACCAGCATGACATAAGGTATACACACGTTATCAGGAAGCACGACTTGCTGAATTATTTTGCATCGATGACATGTACTATAACGTGACAACAGCATATACTGAGATGAATGCAATAAAGATGACCTCCGCCACCTCCCGGCAATGCAATGCGATTCGCCGTTCACGGTTAAGTTGAGGGTCCTAAACTTCATTCTCGACCACATGATATATGTAAGCAGTGTTGTTTAAGCGGGTCGCTTTCATGATATGAAGGGAATGCTCCCCGGTGTCGTTTACTATCAGCTCGCAATAACGGTGCTCTTCTGCACACCAGCAGGACTCAGATATCGACCACTAGTAGTGGCAGTCACTAATGGTCCAATGCAGCAAGGTCACAACCAGTGGGACAACATTCTGTAGTGTGTTGGTCAGCATACCCCTTGCTGCTTTGCGAGAATTGGTGGATCATTGGATAATCCAGCAGTCCATGGTTCGTTTTCCCCATGAACTGAGTAGCAATTTTTAAACCATAAGGCGCTGCAACCCTGCTAATTGCTACTTCTTCCTCTTACCAGTCCCATATAATGTCTTTTCAAGTTACTTAAACAGTCCCGGTTCTTTGAGATTGTTAATAATTGGAGTCTTCACTCCTCACCACTGTGTGGTTGTACAGAACTGCATTGCGCGTAAACGCGTCACTTAACTGTGGACGGGCGAGCTCGACGCTTTTGAGCACATTCCATTCACGATAGCTTATCAGCCAATCGCCAACCAACAAATCAATCGACCACTAAGAGGTTATTGGCGCTCAGCCCCTCCCCGACGACTGGCCAAGAAGGTGCCAGCTGCCATTTTCCGTCCACAACGAACTTGACTTCGTACCTGGAAGCAAGAGCGATGAGCTGACGTCAATTCCGGGGCCATTGATGGCTAGGTAACACTAGCGGAGGCCAAAATAATGAAAGAGTGTCGAACAAGAGCCGTGCCGGATCACACGATCTACGGTTCTGCGCTTAAACCCTATTCAAAAACCCAAATCGTGTTCTCAGAGCAGAACAACATGAAGATGTATAAAGATAGATTTTTAAGGGAAAGATATGTACCAGTTGGAGGCAAGGAGAGGAGATGGTACGCGTAACAGATTACCTCTCACTTGTTTCCCATGGTTTGTAGCCACGATGGCACCACCAAATCTACGCAAGCAGACGGACACCTGCGTCCCTGTCCGATCTGCCCATCAAAGTAGCGGGGGTCCTCATGCGGTAGCAAATGTCTCTAAAATCGCACAGAAGCACTTCGGTTCAGAAGTTTCTTGGAAGAAAATGCACTTGCTCGCGCACCTGCCCGGTCGAAGCTGCAGCACGCTTGAGAAAAGCGTGTACGACCCGGTCGTCTCGGGGGAGAGGTGCTGGCCCCGGGTCCAGCCGTCAAACGAGCCCATCAGCTTCACATCCTGCCAGGAGGCGTCACAATTGAGTCAGTCAGTGTGCCGAAGCACCGACTTGTTAACGGCAAAGGAGACACCAAAAGCATGGATAAATGATTACGTGGCTTTTCTGTGGAGATGCTTGGGGCAGCCAGAATGATGACTCGATCTCCACACGTCATCTTGCGCCAAAGGTGCCGGGCCAGATAAGAACAGCTTCATATTCTATCGCATACGGATCGTCCTGTACGCATGCTGCTAGGACACAATCAGAGACTCTCTGTACTTTCATAACGTGCGCCAGAAGCAGGAAAGCTGACTATCTTTTGTCACGAGACTTTGATCGCACAGCGCTTTGCAGAAGAGTGCGAACGACTCTCACTTTACCCGGCAGCAATGCCATGCCACAGACGGACTTGCGAGAGCGTTTGCGCGCTCTCATAGGAAGGTCAAGGTAAAGGGAGCTGCGAAGGGTTTGTGAAGCGCTATGACGTCACGTACCTCCGCAACGCCTAGCCACGTCACCGGCACCTCCCGCAACCGCACGACGTCCACTTGCTGCAGCTGCCCCGCTAATTGGGAGTGCAAGTCTGCGAAAAGCGTGCTGCTTACTTTAGGGCTTGTATTTCTGAGGTTTCACAATCAAAGTTTAGGGTTGTGGCACGGTGTTCGATGCCCGGCTGAAGTGTCATTTTGTTATGAGCTTATGTCCACCCGTAAGTATTCTGACGCGGACAGCTGCGCTGGATTTTGTATACACTCTTGACACAAGACGAAGCTCGTCCACTTTATCGAACGGCTGAGCCGTGTGATGCGATGGCGTAAGGTATGAACTGGCTGGTATGGAACAAGAGGAAGCACTGCAAAGCAGCTTTTGAGACTGGTGCTGAGTAGAAGGCCGTCTCGAAAGCGTCACCTATGTGGACCAAACGACTAAACCTTCTGATAAGCGGCATGAGCATTTTCCTGAGCGTGGAATTCCGCTCCGCTTTTCGGACGCCAGCAATGGGACAGCCTAAAATATGGTGGGCCACCCTTAGCTGTATGGTCTGAGGCTTCTCCGCCGCTGCACGATGATGTGTTCTGGACAAAAACCCAGGCCCTGATACGCAGACGTAATCCATCCTGCGACTGCGGAATGAAAATGAGAAGCACAGATTGGACTGAATTGGAAGGCAAACCAAGGAAAAGGAAAAGTAGGGGACAAGCCCACCTTCTAACCTGGACGCGAGATGCGACTGGATGTACCGGCCGTTGATTTTCCTGGTTACAGGCGTTGGGCCGCCGGCTGCGATCTCCTTGGCTATTTCTACCAGAGTCTGCAAGCAGAAAGTGTTGGTCGCACGGGGCCTGAGCTTTGCGTTGGTGACGATGGGGATGTGGAACATGACGGGATACAGCATTGTTTTTTACCTTTTTCTTTTTCTTATTGTTATTGTTATTGTTAATGTTATTGTATGATTATATTATTGTTTAATATTCTTATGAGTATTAATTTTATTACATATTCTTATCATTAAAAGAAGATGTCAAGGCAGAAGGAGTCGTAATAATGATCAAGGGAGAAGCAAGACTGCCCTGTGAGTGGTCTAGGTAAAAAAGAGACAAGAACTTGATAATGACGAGGAAAATTGGTACGAGCCCTCTCGGTTTGTCCAAAATTCTGCAAACCATTTGAACCTCGCCGATCATCAAGACCAACGCAAAAGGCCTGTACAGGATACTAAGACGAGATTGGATGACATTTCCGGCGTCAAGAAGAAAGGAGCATTGGAGGGTGCTGACTGACCTTAAGCTCTGTTTGCAGCGCCCCAAGAAACAACGTGCTCTCATTCACTGCCGCGTCGCGTGCGCTTATCTGCAAGGAAGCCCGTCAGAGGAACAGATAAGAGATGCCCAGAAACCACCTTGTTAGGGTGCGGTAGATACCCTGCTAACCCGCAAATCTGTTTTACAAGATCTGCACAAGGGTATTACGAGTGAACGCACAAATTCAAGCAAGATTTCTGATTAATCTCGCTTTGGAGCCGTATTCAGCAAAAGCAAAAACAGGAGTCTTACGTGAAAAGAATTGAAATCAACGGCTGAAAAGTGGGCAAGGGAGTTTTGTCACCAGGAATTCCTTTCCTAGTCACTGCACAACGTTAGTCTGCCGGTCCATAATTTGCCGGATCAGGAGTCTCAGATTCTGACGGCTTTCCACCTCAATGTCAGACGGCGCGCAGAACTGTGTTCAAGAGATTTACCAACTTTGGCCCTGTTAGCCGCTCAGGTTAACAAGGAAACACACACACTTCTGGCGGTCGGCTCGGATTAACTAAAACGTATTACCGTCTTACCAAAAGACTACTGGGGACGTTTGAATCCAATAGGGCCGCACAGGCTTACCTCCCGTTGTAGATGCCGGTTATACATGTTTGCTTCGCTCAGCTTCTGATTCAGGCTCTGGCGTACCTTCGTCAACTGCAAACACGCTGACAAGCGTCAGTCGAAGATTAAGCGGGTCTCGAGCCTTGGTGCCCTTTCTTTGCCCGTAAGCTGAGGCTTTCCGCTTCGTCGAAACCATTTCTCTGCGTGCAAAGCCAAAATAGGAATGGAGAGGGACGTCTCCCCACGAATGTACACAGAATAAACACTTGCTACCAATCATCAACGCGAAAGTTCTCGACATGATCCCGTATGAAACCGTCCCTTCGTTTCTATGTGATTGTCCTCCAGATACAGGTCTTCTGCAGTCACAAAACCTCTCTTAGATATTGGGGCTGTCAGACCCGATGCAACGACCGAAAGTTTCTACGCAGGAACGAACATCGGGTTTGCTAGATTGCGTCTCAGCTGTTGCGATTCAACTGACACAATCTCCGAGAGTACGAGTCCTCCCTCATTTCGAGCAACAACACGAAAGATAGGGGCCGTCGACCTGAAAAACAAAGACTCTTATGCTCAATTCAATACCATCTCAACATATAGAGGTTTTGTCATCTTACCTCGCTTCTGTCTACTTTTTCCAGATTCGTGCTCGAAACGCTCGCCCCCGACTCCCTCGACAACACCACATTCGGAGCCGGCCTCCTGCCCTCCTGCACGTGCGGGCGCCTGCCACCTGGCGGCGCCGTCGTGGTTCCACGTGGCAACTGTAGTGACGAACGAGAAAGAAGGTTCAAGCTGCAAGCTTGGTTTGTCTCTGTCCCGACAGGTAACAGAGCTCTGGAGAAGGAGGACGAGGACTTACACCTGTTGCCGGAGGCACCCACCCCTGGCTATATGCTCAATAATTCTGCTGTATGATCAACGGTAATTGTAAAGTCCTAGGAGCCCAGAGTTCGATTTGAACGGTCGAATAGCCCATGGTATCCAAGGCTCTGTCCGGAAGGGCAAAATGAAACTCGGGTCTTCTGCAAGCGCCAATTGTGACGAGTGGATACCTCGTTTGTTAACTTGCCAACTCGTTCAACGGAAGGTAAGTTGCTTATGCTTCGTTTAAAGGCTCAGACATGGAGTGGCTAATTTCGAGGCCAACTCTGATCTGCCCTTTTATTCTCGATCCCAAAACCTGCGTACACTTACTCCTCGTCCAGATCTTGAATACCATCGCCTTGGCTTTTACCGTCACCACAAGTGACTCAGTCGAAGCAGAAGAACACCGTCAGTGGACCTGCTGAAATCTGGGCGGCGGTAAGGCTCACCTTCTTCTCCTGCTGCGCATTTGCTTCCGCCTCCCTCTCTCCTGCCGGTCCCGCTGCCGCCGCCTCGAACGTCAGCCCATTTCCCGCAGAGTTCCGCTCTAGTTCCCCTACCGACATCCCCATTAGCTGTGCCATATTTTCCAGATCCTCCGCAGTGAGGGGCTCCGCTACCTGCGGCCCGGACCGTCTCGGCACCCCCCCACCAGGTTTGGGCGCCATTCGAAGGTCGGTTTCTCTCCGCTTGAAAGCCGCTTTGGGGCTGGACGTCGCTCCTTCATTTAGAGAGGACTTTGCCTGTGCACTAATTTGGGGTTGCAGAGGAGCCTCAGAGGAGACACCGTTGACTTCGAGAGCGGGCGATGGTCCCGCCGGTTGCGGGGTTCCGCTGTCCGACTCTGGGCTGATTGCGGTGGAACCCAAGTTCTGGCTATCTCCAGGGGTTTGAGCAGAGCTGGAACTAGAAGGGGGGTTGCTCCCGGTGGTCCTCGTCAATTCAGGGGCTGCCGTGACCCCTTTCACCTTTCCGCTGCTTTGCCCCACATCTAGTTGATCCCCGACCTCGCTTGCGACGCCTCCTCCGGAAGAGGAAGACAACTCGCCTAAGCTGCGGTCGATCAGCTGCCTCCAGAATTGGCTCTCGCTCATAACCTCCGTCATGTTCTGCTCCGGTGGGGACACGGAGGCCTTGTCAGACTCTGACTTGGCTTCTTGCTGCCCTGATTGGGCTGGCTGATCCCCGCTGCCCAGGGCCCTGCTGCAAAACCCCCTCCGGCCAACTGCTTTTGAGGCTATGCTGCTACCGTTCAACCCAGGTCGTTGTGATTTTGCTGAACTTTCCGGAGTGGCAGTAACTACTGAGGAGTGATTTTGCAAACGGCGAAAGTGGTTTGATTGGATAGGCCTGGCACTGAGAGAGTGATGCAAGGATAGGTCAGCTATCGCGCCCCTTGGGGGCTCTGTTCGGCAGTGGACTGGGGAAGTGATGCAGTTAGTGCCTCGTACAGCTCTGCACAATGCAGTTATGAGTCAATAAGAGTACCTAGATCCGCGTCGTCCAGAGAGCCTGGTAAGATCAAAGGTTTACTTCATGGAGGCAAGTGACAAATTAGAGGTTAGTGCCACCATGAGACAGTAAGTATAGCATCACTGATGAAGATTGCAAGCAATGCCAATCTAGGATTAAGAAGCATCAGCAAGAGGGATCAAATCAACCATGTTTTTGCAGTGCATTACTCTGGTAATTTACCCCATTGATTAAAAGAGCCACTGCTTTAGTTATGAACACTTATTAATGCATCAGTGGTTGTAGCTTCTCACATTGGCTTTGCTAGCAACGCCTCCATGTCTCTGCCAGTCAATCCTGCATCCAAGCAGGCTCAAATCAGGGAGGCTTGCTTCTGGGTTGTGCACAAGGTTCTGGCATCTGACCACAATATTATGCCTGTGTCGTAGATGACCAGCTGCAGGAGAAAGTGCATCTCTATGTCTACTACATTGCTTTAACCTTTTTGACTCCCCTCTTTGACTTCCGCTTACAGATATTGCTGATCAAGGTTTCTGCATGCATGCCTCACCTCAGACAGAATATGGAGCCGTATGCGGTCCTTTCTTTCTACTTGGCAATCTCAATGCGGAGCTGCAATCAATTTGTCAAGCGAACCCCAAACTTCCTTACCTCTGTTGCAAGGATATGCGCCGTTTGATCTGACGCAATGCAGTCAGTCAGCATCAGCCGTCTCCTTGGTCCTTTCCTTCGCTTGAGTGAGCAAGCTGCTAGATCCCAAAATGCGTGATGCGGGCTGCATTGGCTGCAGCTTGCAGGAAGATGCCTTCAAAATTCAACGTCATATGAATACAGAGAGAAGTGATCTACTGCGTCTCCTTCGATCTAGTGCGTCTCCTTCGATGGAGTGTAGGCTGCATCCTCATCATCTAGTTGGGTGACGATACCATTACCGAGATTAAGTCCATTATCGAATCATCTGACACCGTCCGATCATCTTGAGCAGATTTCAATCTCTTGAAGACGTCGATTCTGGATGTTGGCAACATTGGACGGTCAAGTTTCTTCAAAATTAGTTTACAGGCCAACTTGAAGGATGGCGGGAAAATGCGGCTAGATAAATTGTTCACTGTTGACAGTCTTGATGGTTTCTTTGATGATCCATCTGGACCATCATGGCCCCTTCAAATGCTTCAAGTTGCCAACAAGCTACATACCACATTTAGCACATGTCGCCCCCCATTTAGCTTTGGTCCGTTTGCATCCTCTGCGCGTACGCAAAGGGGTGTCTTTTTCAGCTTGCAGCAAGGCATGGTAAACGACCGCCTGCGCCTATTAGCTCAGCTGTGGCAGGAATAAGCTGCAGAACCTCTGAGCTGACTTTTTGCAAGTTGAGCTCCTTGTACCACCACCCGGGTCCACCCCACGTCATTCTGTTGGCACTGAGACCCAAGTCAAGATTTCTCAGCTTGCTGATTCTAATTTGGTGCACTTCAGGGCATGCACACGCTTCTGCTAACGTCCAACTGCACTGCCAGGTGCTTCAGAGGAGCGGCAGCTTCGATGGCGCAGAAGGGAATCACGTCGTTCTTCCAGGCCCCAAGCAAATCTTGCGCCGCAGGGATTGTCCGGACTGCTGCGCTCAGCTCTCCAGAAGCCAAGCTACTGGGGAGCACGACCCCTGAAGTGAGACTGCTGAAGAACTCTGCAGCTCTTAACGTGGCGAGCACAAACCCCCAGAATGTACTCACTGGAGGGGACGCACCAGCTGGAATCTCTTGTGGTGTTGAGAATCAGAGCACCACCTTTGTGAAGCACAGACTGCCAGCCTTGGACTTGGCTCCTTCGCTGGCAAAGCGTGCCAGGACTGATGCAAACCCCATCAGAGCTCAGACCTCAGCGGAGGGGCCTGCAAGCGGCGGGCAGCTGGAGAAGTGGGAGGAGATTAACGCAGAGGCGACGACGAGCGGGCGGCCGCCCCTCTCGCCAAAGTTCAAAAAGAAGGCTAGAGCTTTCGAAGGAACGCCAGCGATTCAGTCAGAGGAAGCGCAGGCTGAGGAGCAAATTGGCAAGGAGGGGCCCAGAGGGGATGCGCCTCTCTCAGAGGAGCAGAGACTGAGGATTGAGGTGAACAAGGCGTCTGCTTTAGCGAAGCTGGCGCAAAGGAAGGCGGAGGACGTTGTGGCTGCTGCACATGGTGAGGTCATCAAGTGGAATCAAAGGATCCTGGTGGAATGCATGCTACGTATAGTGGAGGCGTACTACGCAAACTCCATCCAGAGGTGATAAGTTGGTGCATATGACACAGGGCGATGGTGATGCTTGGTTGCAACTTTGTCAAATGTGCGCAAATTGTGTAAAGTGAGATCTTTTGGATTGCAGAACAAAACCAGTGGCTTTGCCCCTACCGCAACCTGCTTGCCTCCATAAGCGAGCAGTTCTTTTCGAGCTTAGCTTCCTAGGGAAAGCAGATCTGGAAGTTCGTAAAGCTGAGCACCTTGTTGCTTTAAACCCTCTCACACAAAGCATCTCAGACATGTTTGATTGGGAAAGCCAAGTGTTCAAGCTTCGGCCTTTAGCAAGCTTTTTGTCTTATCTTTCTCAAGTACTCAAGCTTTGAACCGGTCGAGCGAATTGGATTGTGCAAAGCTATATGACCTCAAGTAGAGTCTGCTATCAACATTGGCAACCGGATGAGTAGGCTGCTTACTTTCCGTCTCTCTCTTGTTTGTGCAGCAAGGGGCGAAGCGCTCCCCCGACTCGCTGACCTATTCTTAGACTCATCCTGGTTGGCGGCCCTCCCTGGAGAATTAGAGAAGGCGTATTTTGCGAACTTGGAGAAGTTTGTGAGTCAAGAAGTTTCAGGGAAGGTGCCAGTGTTTCCCCCCCAAGCCAGCATCTTCCGGGCATTTAACACCTGTCCATTTGATAGGGTGAAGGTGGTGATTCTGGGACAGGTAAGGATAGGCGATTGTACTTGCCTATGTTACGTTAGCCACCGTCATAAGCTGCCACTGTCTTCCCCTATGCGCCAGGAAAGTGTTCAACGGAATGTGATGCAACGAGCGCAAAAAGCCATGACCTTTTTTCCATAGAAGGCTCCATTATTGTGTTCAAACAACTCAACAATCTTGGGGCAGCGCATTGGGCATGTCAAAGACTCGAAGAATGCAACCCTGCCGTTGCTATGCTCAGGTATGACGAAAGTCAGCTCCACGTTGACTACGTTGAAAGTCAGCTGCTGCTCCATGCGTATTCCAGTCGCAGGCGAGCTGACAAACAAAATTATGACGCTCGATTGTATCTCCCCTCTGAACAACATCTGTGGTTCTACCTTTTTTTCAGGACCCATACCATGGCCCCGGCCAAGCAATGGGCCTCTCGTTCTCGGTCCCAGCGGGGGTCCGCATCCCGTCCAGCCTGCAGAACATCTTCAAGGAGCTGCAGGACGATCTTGGGTGTACGATACCGCAGAGCGGCGATCTCCAAAAGTGGGCGTCACAGGTACGAGCCGGATGTTCGTAAAATGTACTAGCATTGCAAAAGGTCCTGTCATGGTGCACCGTCGAGCAAGCTTCGATACGGGGTTAAGTGCTCCATTTCGAGACGAGTTGGCGTTGTCTCACGAAATCAAGGAAACTCTGCACTTGAACAACGTCCAATCTACAGAACGACCTTGATGTACTGCGGATTCTCGCTATCCTCCCGTCCAGAAATTTGAGAAGCTCAGGTCCAAGTTGGTTCCTTCCCAAAAAGGGCAAGTTGGTTTTCTTGTGATCTTGCATTCATACTTGATTACATCATGTTTCCTTCTTGTCGAATGGCTTTTGCGAAGCCCGCTTTCTTGTCTTCTATGAGCAGACTCGATAGCAAGACTTTCTCGCTCCTGTTAAAAAATGACAAGCGGATGGCGTTTCCGAAACTGGTCGAAGTCGACGACTCACGGCCTGCATTCCTCTTTTGCAAACACCAGGGCAGTTTTCTGCCAAAAAAGAATCACGATTTGAAGACACGCATCACCTCGGATGATCCCGGGACAATCCATCATGCAGATAAACTGTTTTATATGACTCGTCCAACAGCGCAGCAACAGCAGGCCAGCTTGGATGCAAAAGGACGCCGCAGTAGAACACTTGCCCTTCCCTTGATGTTCCAAATCCAAACTCGGCCATCAGCAACTCTATCGTGAAACACTCTCCATCTGCAGGGCGTGCTGTTGCTGAATACAGTCTTGACGGTGCGGCAAGGGCAGGCCAACTCGCACGCCAAGCGCGGGTGGGAGCTGTTCACCGACGCTGCGATCAGGGCGCTCTCCAAGCAGCGAAAGGGCGTCGTGTTTCTGCTCTGGGGCCGACCCGCACAGGAAAAGCTCAGGTACGGAAACTGTACGGTTTCGCTTGTAGGCCTTTGATTTCAAACCGTCAGCTCGAAGCCATTAGTATGTAGACGTTTTCCTCATCAGCGAAAGCGACGCTGCACACCGCGCGCCATAGTCGTGCATGACCGACGGACAAAATGCCGAACTATGAGAGCTTCCGCACAAGCTTCTACCACAATCTTCATACTTTCTCGAGATGATGCTTTGCGACCGACCAAATGAATCCACGCCAGTAGCTTTTGTTCCGTACCCATCTTGGATCGAATTGTAGTTCGAAATGGAGTGTTCCCGAGAGCATAAGGAAGACTAACGAAGGGCTCAGAGTCCTTCAATCTACCTTCTCAGCTTCTGGTCAACGGTTTTTCGTGAAGTGGCGTGGTGGAAGTCGTGCTCTGGCGATCATCGAACGCCTTCACTACAATAACAAAACTTGCCATCGACCATCACAGTCGCGCTTTCTTGACGGATTTTCTCTACTGACATTTGTCCCTGCGCCCGCCAGTTCTAGGTCGAGCTTCCGTCGACTCAAAGATCTGCTTTTTCCGTCTCCTGTGCTTTGAGATCAGGAGAGGTCTTATCTTTTCCCGTTAAGTCTTGAATCCTGATTTCGTCTTCTCCCTCCCTACAGACTGATCGACGCTACGTCGCACCACGTCCTGAAGTGCGCGCATCCATCGGGACTGTCTGCACATCGGGGCTTCTTTGGCTGCAAGTGAGTTCCGATCGAGAACATCTTTTAGAAATGTTCCTGCTTTGCTTCCGTTGCAATCAACTTGCTCCAATATTAACAACACATCAATAAGATGTGCCTTAGACACCATGACTGTCTGGCCACTTCAGTCGCTAGACGCGTCAAGTTGACATCCGTTCCGGAGGTGGATGTCTTTTCATTTGTTGTTGGCGAATATTTCGACACCTCCTTTTGTGACCGAAACCTAGCCCGTTCGAATCCGAGACTCACAAATGCAGCCACAGGAATCTCGCGTCTGCACTCTAGCCCTCACTTGAGTTCATAGACCTTAGAACCCAAAAAGTGGCGAGATTTCAATGATGCACGCCGACACAGTTACTCGAAAAACAACTAGTGCATCAAACCTACAACGTTAGCCGAACGCCTCTTGCAGACCTTCTTCTCACGCTTTCTTTGTATTACTCGCTTGTGCTTCTTGAGAACTCGTAAGGTTCTCTATGTCGAGCTTACTATACCCGACTAATAAGAAAATAATAATAATTATAATCGGCTCCTTGCAGGCACTTTTCTCAAACGAACAAGATTCTGCATGACGCGGGCCAGCTTCCCATCGATTGGCAACTCTGAAGTAGGGATACACTATTCGAGGAAGGAATCTGTTGAGGTTGAATCGTTGTTGCACAAGCAGAGCTTGGGCATCCGCGAGTCTCTCACGCTCTGCACGACCGCTTGCTGTTTCGCTCAACAAATCCCAATGTTCCTTAAACGCACGCTTCTGTTCTACCTAGATTGGCTAGAGGAGCGGTTTCTGACGATCAGCGGCTTGAACATAATGGCAAGCGTAGGATAATTTGCAATTGATCAAAACATCCCTGTGAGACTGATCCTTGGCATCGCTTTGCGCTTTCCACTGCATCATACTCGTTGGCGGCTGAAGGCAAACCAGCTTCTTACGTGAACGGGACACTTGTGTGTGGTGAAGCAGAATTGCGCAAACATCTGGTGTGTGCGTGTCGAAAGGTGTATCGATCATGCGTTCTCCTTCCACCCTCGGGTTGAAATCACCCGGAAGATGGTCGAGCGGGCACATGTTTTATCTGCTCATCAATTTTGCATGGTTGGACCCTCATATAAATGACAACGTGGAGCATCAATGCACTGCGAACGTACATCAGTATTTATTATTATTGACTGGTCAAAGATTGGATCTGCATGACCGTACCTGCATGAGCCTGAGTCTTGACATGTCGAAGAAATTCGCAACACCCTTTGTATGATGTTTAGCTCGCGTACGTGTGCCCATGTGATCAAATGTAGTGCATTGTCTGGCACAGCCTATAGTGCCCGGCCTGGCGGCTGGGTGACCACACAGTGGCCATAAAATTTGAACACTAAACCTCGGCGCTATCACATGTGTGAGTTACGCACAAAGGCTCCGGCCTCCTGCATGTGTATACGACGGTACAACCCATTTACAAATGAAAAACGAGCATTCGGGCGCGTAACCACTGAATGCAAAGCGTACGAAAACAACGGTACGCAGTTATTCGTATACTACCTGACGCTGAGGTTCAATGATCGATCTGATCTCGATCTGAGTTTGTCATATATCTTCGACTCAATCTGCAGGATAAGTATGCGATAGGAAAGCATCCTACACTTAATTGCTTTGCATCAAGAGCGAGTTTAGTGTATAGAAATACAAATAGAGACAATCGTCGACTCTAGCCGACCACGGCTCCGAACCGACGTCAAATCAACTAAATCATATAGATATTCTTAGGTTAATTGAGAATGCTATCTTATCGTCGGCCGGATACCTGGAGCTAGCGCTGCCGCACCATGCGGGACCCTCTATAGACTTTCGCAAACTGCTCTAATTGACACGAGTATGACTGCGCAAATGACAATTGTACTTGCCCTGCGAGATAGCATAAACATTGGTTTCTTGAAATATTGGAAGTTTGACGTTCACGCGAAAGCCATGCGCTTTTTGAGTCGAACAAGCATACCACATCCTGGATCTGCGGAACTACGAATCAATCCTGTTTCAAATCAAAATGATTAGTAAAGGCAACACAAACGTACATATCGGAGAGAGCCAGACGGGACGCAATGGCCAAACTGGTTATCCTCAACTGTGGTTCATCAAGTGGGCAATCCATCAACTTTATATCATACAATGGCGCTCAATATCAACGAAGCGAAGCAGATATATTGCCTCTGAAATAGAGGTCTGAGAGGATAGCACGCTGACGGAAAGCGCTCCAGACACAAGGAAATACACAGAGGAAGAAACTGCTTCTCGTGTTCAACCACAAGGTCGGGAAGCGCTCACCTTTCGTGCCCGGTCGAAGCGCCTGTCACCGGTTCGTTCCCCTGTGCTGAACCGTCGGCTTTTTCCGCGGTTCCCGGGGGCTCCGTTTCCGGGGGGCTTTTCCCCATTCCGCTTGCCGGAACGGGCGCTGGGGATTCATCGTACAGCAGCCCCTCGAGCGTCGCCGCCCAGGGGTTTGGAACCGGGTCGCGCGCGCGCGCTGACGCCAGCGATGACGCATTCATCGCCGGCATGTTAGCGGTGCGGAAGGGGATGCGCGCGTACGTGGGCGCGGACGTGTTGGCGTATCGGGTTTTGTTGGGAGCGTTTAGGTTAGGGAAGGAGGTTTGGGGTTTGGGCAGGGTTAGCGAGCCGTCGGCCATCGCGGAGCAGTTGAGGCGCGCGAAGCCGAATAGCTGATGCGCGCGGTCATAGGTTACGAGCAGGTTGTGGACGCTTATGCCTGCATGGAGATCGAAGCCTCGAAGCTGATTTCTCGGTTGCCAGTAGAATCTCAGGGTTGCGAACGGAGTGCGAGTTGACCACGTACGTCTTTCCGAAAAAGAAGAGAGTCATTCTGACGTTCAGAAGAGGTTAAGAGGCCGCAATCAACCGACCGAAAGTGCTGCAGAGATACGAAGGTGACAGATAAAAGAACGGGAAGGGGTTCATCGTGCTGAAATTCTCCAATTGCGGATGCACCTGTCAGAGTGAAGGACGAAAGGTGTCACGTTTCTTACCCCCGATCGTTGCTCCGTGCTGCCCGCTGGAAAAGATGCCAAGACAATAGGCGCCGCCCAAGCTGGGGTGCTGCAAGAAACACAAAAAGAGAAAGAAGCTCGGAGTTCCAGCTTTGCTAGTCTTGATTCGGGGGGGTAGTAGCGAACATCCTTAGGAACGTCACGATCCGGCACAGGAATCGTAACGAGGCACGCTGTCCGTGACTTCCAAGTGGAATCGCTCTTGACAACGAGTCAGAAGACGCGAACCGCTGCAAAGTCCTTTACGAAACACGCGCAATCCAGCGTTCCGGTCTCTCCGATCCCTCGTGGCGGTGAGAAGCATCCCTTTCGTTTCGATTTTAAAAGTAAGTGGGCCTGTGTTATCTAGGCTGCGGATCCTTCTGATAAGTGGTGCGACGGATGAACGAAGCTCGACCGACAAGACGGAACATCGAATAAAGTATAAAGAACACATCTCAATGAACGACACGATTTGGACCAGTATCGGAAGTTCTTGTTGCACCTTGAAGAGGTAGTTGTCCGGCGGAAGCTCCACCACAACTCCATTTGCGAAGACGAAGCCCATGGTGGGAAAGGGCGAGGAGGGGCCTATCAAACTCCTGCTCGGAAAAGCGAACGGATTAAAAACGATTGCATCGCTTTTTCTTGTTTATGTCTGTTCCTTCAAGCACTTGACTACTGCTAAGCGCTCTCTCTCCCGGGGATTGCAATGCACGAATTGTGTTCAAAATAGAGAAGTCGGACAGGGTTTTGCAGAATGTACGAAGAGACAAAGCAAACCCAAAGCCAAAGGATTCAAGCAACTGCGCATCTCATCAGAACAGATTGCGGTATTCAATTGAGACCCGAACTGTCTAGACGCAGGCTGTGTAACGCGACTTACGTCACTTTTCCCCAGCACGCAGCTGACAGGCTCCGCTTCGGCACCGGCACGAGCGAAAGTGGAATGGCTTGAAGGAGCTGCGGAAAGCGGAATTTTTGATGTTCAGTTATTTAGACTGGTTCAGAAGAGTTCAGGACTCCAGGTCCGCTCCATCTGAGAACTTGAACGAAAGCAAAGCCAAAGCAGCTGGTAGGCAAAGGCGAGCAAATTCCTGGGAAAAGTCAGAGAAGACCATTTGGGAGCAGCGATCGGAGTTTTAAAGATTGGAATATAAGACTAGTAGCGGGTTTGAGTCTCAACCAGGGGTTTGATTGACTAACCCGGGCCACCAGGGGGCCATACAACACGGAGGGGAGGTAAGTGTACGTGGTTCCGCTGTCGACCATCGCGGTGACCGGAACGGACCCGGAATCCAAGCTGACGGCGGAACCGCCCACCTGGAGTCCGTAGACGTCCGCAAAGTACATCGATTCCATACTGCAGAATCAACCATTCACGTCGTACGTCAGCGGTCTGCAATGACGTCATCCTATGCGGAAAAGGGAATTTGAAGGAGACAGAGCAGTGTCTGCAGTGGCAACGATCTGCTGGAATGTTCGGCTGAGAAAGTTCAAATGGCGACTGATCGCTCTTCCAGGCACTCATCTCAAGAGTGAATCTTTACGTACGAGGAAGAAAGTTCGTGAAATAAATTAAGACGTCTTGTAAACAGAGACTCTCAGGAAGACAAACTCAGAGCGGACTCTGAGGAGAGTCTGGGAAAGCACTTCGAGGCCTTGAGCTTTAGATAGTCTCGAAAAGCAGTTAAGTAATATAGGCACTATGGACATCCCCCCACGTCACCCCACCCCTCAGACATTGACGAATACCGACCCCTTCACCATTGATTTCAAGGAAGATAATGGCAAGCCGAGACGATAATGAGGTAACCGCACTGGGATGGGTAGGGTTACTTTGGTGGTTCGGGTGGGTTTGGGTGCGGAGCAGGTACCTATTTGGGTTAGGGTTTTTAGTGTTAGTCGGAGCTTATTACTATCTTGGCATATTAGTATCTTTCTTGAGAATGAACCGTTTACCGACCTTGTTTGCGGCAGCATCGGCACCCAAACGGTGCCCGGTAGGACGCCGACCGAGCCAAAAACCATTGCGCCTCCGCCCTCGACGCCCCCGAAGCAGAGCGAAAACGCGTCCTCTACCGCGCGCTGCTGCGCCAACTGAGCGATTATAGAACCGGGTCCCCGCCCCAGACCGATGATACCGTCGGCCGCCTGAGTGTAGAGGAGACCCGTTTCTCGAGTCTCGCACCTGGAGGGAGGGGGAGAAGATTTGACTTCAAAACGAGAAAAATGAGTACCGGAACCTGACAAGTTTTGTATGTCTGAGTGCTCAATCAGGATGCTCACAAAACAGGATTCGCAGGAATCTAACATCTTTGGTACACCTGAGGGCTCATTCTACCGCCAGAACTCAGCCAGTCCAGGTGTCAGTCACTGTCCGGCGATGTTTGACCTAGAATCTTCTATCGAAATCTCCTATTGCAGTCCGTCCTGTCTTTCAAGCTTTGAGCAGAATTCTTGACAGACTTGAACTTTTAAAGATATCAATACTGAAAGTACACTCTTACCCAAACATGATTTTCGAAGCGCCCGTAACGCCAGGCAACCAGAGAACGTCAATCGCGACCGTTCCCGATGTGCTGCTTCCCTCCGAGTAGTGCTGCTGATACAGGCAAGGGCTGTCGGGGGACGGACACGTGGCGGGCGTGGAACCCGCACACGTCGCGGCGGAGCAGAGCAAAAGTGAATACGTAGAAGATGCCCCGTGGTCATATGGAGGGCTCTGGAAAAGGAAAATGAAGGTTGAGTACCGTAGCTTATGATAGCGGAGAGAAATTGCAAACGCTGAAAAGCTTTCGTTTGCAGGGGCAGCTACTTATGAGCGGATACATTCGCAAGGCGCTTGGCACGACATTGTTGGTGACACGTGCTTTTGAGTGGTGAACATGCGTGTGGCGCGAGCGCGAGGTTTGTCGAACGTATGCAAAGTTTCAGGAGGGGCTTAGACCCGAATCGATAGCGTCGGAACACTTCGCGAGCGGCAAACATTATTGATTGGCGTGGGCTCCGTCAGATCTCCTGCCCGGTGCTCAGGCCTCCACGGATCGAAAGGGGGAGGAAAGGGAGTAAAGAGGAGCTTTGAATGTGAACAGGTGCAAGGACAAGGAGCAGGGAGCGAAATGGCCAGAGTCGCAGGCACTGGGAGCTTATGCGAGTCGGTGACCTTTCTCAAAGCTCGCTTTGTATATCCCAATGTGAACATCGAACTGAAGCTTTCAGCACGCGCACCTAAATGGACAGACTCCAGCCGCCGTCCGCACTTCTTTGCCTTCTTCTGTATCACCCACGGCAGCTTGGCGTCGAGGTATACAACAGAGTGTTTATCAAATTGAACCAGAGTCGGGAGCACGATAAAGGAAAACGAATGGCGGAAAACCAATTTGTTCAGAAGGAAAGCGGAATTCAAAATTCAGTGTAGCCCACCTCGTGACCCCTCCCACAGCTGACGCACTCCTTCGCTGGTACGTACATGATCGCACTCCCAGTGTCTACAATCATTTGGAACCGCTGCGGGGGGGTGCCGAGTGCGATCTCCGCAAAGTAATAACCCAGAGGAATTGTCGACCCACCCAGGGCGATTTTGGACGAGCTGATCAAAGCGCGCCTTGCCGCGTCAGCTGCCAGAAGATGCTCATGGTCTAGGCTCGAGAAGGGGGATATCGTTCCAGGGGGGGAGGGACTGTGTACGGAAGTGGGGGGGGGTGGGCGCTCGGTTTTGGCCCGGTGTGTGAGGCGCACGATTGGAGAAGCTTCGGCTTCTTCTAGCGCCTTGTTATGCTCAAAGGGACTGACAGTTTGACTTGGATCACGATTTTCTTTTGATGCTGGCACCGCCGCTCTAGAAGAATCAGCACCACGGTTGTGAAAGTCTGAACCTTTCGTACTGAAGGCTCTCTCGATCGATCCGTCCTCTCCCTTCATGTTGCTCTCCTCATCTCCCAGAAGACCCTCATCGACCCTCTCCTCAACTGACGCTGTTTCAGAATCGGTGTCCAGCCGTTTCAGCTCCAGCTGACGGTCCAGCAACCTCCTTCTACTCCAGTCAAAGAACGAGAATGATGCGGATGCAATCCGCCCTGCATCGGTGTCGATTCTGACTGCAATTTGTCCGCCCCAGCGAAGATCAATCAGTTCAGGAATCTCGTAGCTCAGGTCTGTGGGCTTATTCTGTAAATGTTTGACACCGCCATCCATGTAGATGTACCCATCGCTGGTATTCGCAAAGCAGTGTGTCAAATGAGCAGCAGATCCGGTGTCTTGTTGTTGAGAGGGGCTTGATGTCGAGGCGGCTGCAGCTTGCTGGTGGCTGGAATCTTGCAACACCTGACTGCTCTTGTTTGCTGACGTTTGCCTAAGAACAACCCCAGATGTGCGCAATGTCAGCCCAACGCTATAATCTCCCTGATCCATCGTTGACAACACTGAAGAACGACGAGCGATCTCGTTTGCAGCCTCTCTTGCTTCCCACTCAGCACCTACCGCTCCCCCACTTTCCCTGGCTTTTGCTTCGGAGTCTTCTCCCCCTTTTGAAAGCCCTGCCAATCCAAGCTTGACAGCTGGCGCCCCAACCACCGCCACTGGCAAGCAAACCACCAGGAGAAACATCGCTTTGAACCGGGGATCTTGCCATGACGTCAGCCTTACGCCTCTGCACGTCTCCCTCTGTGAGCAGCCCGCAGAGGGACCCATTCTAGTTGTTTTGCCCCTGGCTGCGCATTGCCGAAAGCACCACTTGCTTCCCTTCTCAAAGATGTAGACAGTGTCGACCGTTCACTTAGAGGTCCGAGATGATAACACTTGGTGATTCTAGTCCTGTGAGCGCCCTGTTGTTGATCAGATCTATCACGCAGGCATCCAAAATGTCATCCACAGTGATTAGCCCTTGATTAGCGCATATTCTAATCCCGAAAGTCTCGTTCTTTTAGGATTGCACTGCAAAAGAGGTACAGTTCTGAGAAGAACGAATGCCCTGAACAACAATGCCGTTGATCATGAAGGGCCCAGCCCGACATGCTAATTCCTGGTGGTTAGCACGGCTTGTTCACACTTGCTGTAAGTCTTTAAATCTTCTTCAGAAGGAGGACAATTCCATTATCGCGTTTCTTTTGTCCTGCAAAAAGTTTGGCGGATCTGCGGGTCGGCAAGAGATCGACCCTGAAGTGAAGTACACGTCCAGGTGGCAGAACGAACACTCTGCACCATCCTGGCGATCACGATTCACATCATGCATCATGGACCTGAATCTTGCCAAGGCGCTGGTGAGCGTCAAAACCCTAATTTTTCCGCGCTGATCTGAGCCGTCGTTCTGCTCAAGCAGTTGCATCGGACGGCCTAAATTTGTTAGAAATAGACCACGTGGTTCATTGCACCTGGTGATGACATGCGCTTGTGTGAAAGTGCATGATGATTGGAGGGAGCGCGCCCTGCTTCTTTGCTCTTTACTGAACACTTTCAAGAAAGCTTCTGCTGCTTCACAGTAAAGTCGCAGATCAGGCATTTCATGGAAGAAGGGCGCAATGCGCATTACTCGGTTCAAAATCAGCTCAAAATCAGGAAGGTCTTCATATCTATCCATGTCGATTGCAGGGAAGCTTTCGAAATCCATGGAAGTGCTCTGATGAGCTAGAGAGCGAGTCCCATTGATCTTTCTTTCTTCAGTTCGCCGTGAGCAGCCATGGCGCAAACTGATTTGGCACAGAACGACACGTCCAAAAGCAGCAGGACATCCATGATTCGCTCTTCCTCTCATTCAGATCTTGCAAGCGCCCCGGCTGCTGATGCCAAAACGCCTTTCCATGGGTCAAACGCAATGACTGTGCCAGGTGCTCTGAGCAGCGCTCCGGAGCTGAACTCCTTGGAAAGTCTCGCCATGTCTTGGCCACCTCCAGGGGGTTTGGTGGGGTTTCCTTCTGGACAGCAGGAGAAGGATGCAACTAGGGTGGGGTGCTTTATCCCTGATCCGGAGGGAGACGATTACGGCAGGCGGCTGAAGTCACGGATGGCAGTGCAGCGACTGGCGCCGACAGGTGGGCTTACTTCACATGGATCTTGATTTTAGCATCTTTCATCTGGTTTCTTCTCTCTCCCGGACGAGATACTTGTCGTGTCCGCAAACATGCGCTGTAAAGCAGGAAAAACAACTTGCTGATGTTCAGTAGATATTGCTTGTCCCCTTGCATAATCAAGCCCCTCAGCAAAATTTTGGGTGGTCAAGTTGCATTGATGATGGTCTGGTGCGCTGTGACCTGTCTTCAAACCTGCATCCTGAGTTGCATTTTTTGTTTAACAAGTAACGGGGTTACTTGAGATGTTGCATTGCAGCCGCTGAAACAGATGACTTTGACTGCCACTGCAATTGAAAAGTTCGAGGCAGCGGAGTTGGGCTCTCGAAGTCAGTCAATCAATCAGTATTCTTTGGTGCCCCTTCAACGAGGTGCAGGTGCAGGGGCTGCTTCTGATATATTGTGCTTGCTCTTTTATTTGGTTACATCAACTTTGCCTCACTTTCTAACACGCTTCAGTTTCAGTACAAGGAATCGGCAAGCAGAGCGGAGATCCTTTGAAAGCGGAATGCAAAATGCCCCTTCGGGAGCCGATTGGACCCTATCTACTCTCATATTTTCGTTTCAGCTAGATCTAATTTGGCCATTATAGTTTCCTTCAAGTTCCTCATCACAGTGCAGTCAAACGTATATCCAATGCACCTTCTAAAGAAGTGCCCCATCTAACCACAAGTGGTGTTTTCCTCGTGCAGCTAGCCCCAAAGCTCGAGAATGCGCGTTGCTCCTGCGCAGCACCTCCACTCTTTCTGTCGTACCAAACAGCGCCCTCACTGTGGCTCCTGCTCCCCCTGGTGCCGAGTCTTCCTCCAGCGGACCAGCCGCGAAGTCTGAGCAAGAAAATGCACTTCCTCTTCACCCCGCCTCTCTTGCGATACGTGATGGCTCGAGTTCGGATCCTGAGCGGAGGATGAATGGTGCATCAGCAAGTACGAGCGGCAGTACTGGTGCAGTACTTGGGGCCAACACTGTGAATGAGGCAAAGCCGGTCGCGGTTCTCAATGGGGGCCCCGGTTCGGCAGCAGCAGAAGTCCCCCCCTCCAGCGGAAGTGGCGTCGCAGAAGCACAGCCGTTGGACCCTGTACATACACAAGGAGTTCCGACGTCTTTCTTTCCACCAACCAGTACGCCTCAAGGTCCCCCTCTTTATGCGTCATCACATACTGGTAGCAGCACAACCACTGAAATAAGACGCATCCCTCCTAAAGCGCCAGCAAGCCGCCCGCCGTCAAAGCCCACTGCTGATGTCAGCACTTCAGGATCTGACCCCCCCCTCACAGCCTTCCGCGGCCCCCCTGGCTTTCCGGGCCGAGACCGCACCGCAGTTTCCGCCCCAGGCGCACTACCCCTCCCCCCAGACGAGTATGGCGACCCCCCCCCCCAACCGAAACTTACAGAAACCCAAAGAAACTACCGACAGGATTTGATACGGGCCATTCTCACCAACACGGGTGACAGGAGCCGCCTGCACCTGAGCAGCAGTGCGAATGAGCTCCAGGAGGGGGCATCGTCGGAGGGAGATCTAGCGTCCCAGGGGGGTACGAGCGAGGGCGAATTTGGGGAGGGGGATGGGAACGACAGCGAAGGGGGGGCGGATGTGTTGCGGAGAAGCAATAGCTTGCCACAAGTGTACAGAGAGCGGTATCTGGTGCCAAATGACGAAGAATTGGAGTATGAGCGGGAGGAAGCGGGGATTGGGAAGAACTCGCCACGTCCATCGACCGGTGGGTGCGCTCGATTTTTAGGGGATCTGGCTGCACTTTGTTAGCAAAGGCGGGTTTCTTTTCGTGGTTTTGGATGGTAGAACCTAAAGGGTTGCGATTTTTAGCACAGAAGGTCTTCAGATAGTCCCACTGACCACTTCCCAATATCCAGAAGATTCAGAAACGCTGCCGTTTCTGACAATTTTTGGATAGTCCCTCCAAACCGCATGTTCGAGTCATGCAGCTCCGCTGAGTCGTGCATTTCCAGCCGCGAAAATTTTTAGCGGTAAAAGACGCATTTTTGTACATGGTCCCGCATAAGCAGTCACTCCCGTTTCCACCTGGACATCTCGACACCAATCCTAACAAACGATCTGCACGACCCCTGAATTCCTATCTTCTGGTTTTGCAGTATCCCGAACCCTGTCGAAGTCGAACGGCGTATCTTCAAAGGCGCTCCCCCACAAGCGGCCGCGCCTGATCCTCCACCTCGACATCAACAAAACGATCATGATCAAAGACACGGCGCAGGACGCGGGGAGCGACTCCATGGTCAACGTGCTGCTGTCGGAGTGCGCGTGGGGGCGCCTTTTGCCGGGGCCATGCTGGATCCCGGTGCGCCTAACCCCCTTTCTGACCCTTGGTTTCAGTGTCGGCATTTGCAGTGTCTAGCTTTCTCCTTGCGTAAGCGTTGGCGATGGGTTTCAAAATTAGCGGCTGGGTTGCTGATCGGGACACGTGTATTGGCAGCGCTTTTCAAATGTTATCGAAGACGAAATCGCCTTTGAAAGAGGAGCCAGTAGTCAAAAACCAGTGAACATTATTTATCGAAGACGAAATCGCCTTTGAAAGAGGAGTCAGTAGTAAAAAACCAGTGAACATTATGAATCGTTTAAGCAATCGACCTAAGGCCTCAACGCGGAGATTGATTGTTCCAGCCCCATGAAGAGGAGGCAAGTCATCCCGAGCTTGTACAGCTGTCACCTGCTTTGGTGCTGGGTCCCCTTGCTGCTTTCTGTTGGGCTTTGTACACGGACTTCAGAATGTTGCACGTTGTCTAAAATACCGAATGAGGTCCACCATTTGGATCTAGGTACATTCACTTAGGTTGAGGACTGATCGTTGAAGCGCAAGTTGAAAGTGGCTATGCAAGCTCACAGGCAGACAACTTTGGGGCCCCTGCTGACAATGCGCTTATCTCCTAGATCAATTTCGACCGATGCCTGCCGGTTGCTTTTCAGCATCTCACTTGTTGAGCCTTATGCACCTCTTGGGTTGTATAGCATCTTTGCTTCTTTCAGATTCGTTTCTTCGGCGTCCTCGCAACGCGGCCAAGCCACGTGGCTAAATTCTGGGTTGACGGAGCATTCTTCTGCCACGTGGCGATCTTGCCTGTTTGGGGGGAGTTAGCTTCTGATATCCGACTCCACCTTGGCTGACGTGGCGTCCTTTTCTGTGTGCGCAGGTGGGTCGTCTCGCAACAGACAAGCCGGCGAACGACCCGGAGCTGATGACGTATCGGTCGTACCTCGACACCTTCTACCTGCCGTTGCAGCGAGGGTGAGCGTTCAATCGACCTACCCTTTTGTTCCCAACTACGTAAGCCTGTAAGCCTGAGCTGATGATGCAATTAGCCGTACTTATTGCAACTGCAGTGGGTATATGTTTCTCACACCCTGACAGCTTCGAAGTGAGCATCCGAGACTTTGAAGCTTCGGTAGTCCCAAGGATTGATGAGTGTAAATGTTCCCACGGTTCGAAGCCCCGGTTCAGGAGGCAGCCGTCGCTTTCCAGCTTTCAGCTCCAGTCTCCACGGCACGAGAAGAGATTTGTGTTGAGTCGAAACTTTGGGAGCGTCAACTGAGATAGCATTACACTTTACGCTGGAGGCTTCGTCCACCTCATTGGAAATCCGGAAGTCCGAAACTCTCACGGCACTCTGGATTCAAGATGAGCACTACGCCGAAACCGTTTTTTGCGTCGTCTAGTTTCTTAGAGTTTGTCGTTCTCGTTCCACTTTGTCCCAGGCCGCCCAACTCTAAATTTCAAATCTCATTCTGTAGCAGCAAAGTGGCGCCGTTCACGCGGTCCGGACTTCGACCGCGAATATGAGGACATTGTGTCATCAAGACAAAAACTACGCTGAAAGAGTGTTGAACTCATCGAAGATCCTAAGCCCTGGACCTTCCCACTTCTCGTCACACTACCCAACCACGAAGCCCTCGGACCGTGGTCTGAAGCGGTGAACTTGTTTCGCAGATTTGGTCCGGAAATCGACCGCGCAAACGAGGACATCAAGCATCGGCGGCAAGCGCTCAAGCGGTGCTTCACAGCGCCCGGGGAGCCAGGGGCTATGTTCCGGGGGGTGTACGATAAGCTTTTGGAGGAGCTGGTAAGCGGACGGGCTCTATGCTCGGTCTTTGGACATTTAGCGTAAGCAATTTTTGAAGAGAATGCGGAAGGATTGAGTGTATAAACGGAGCGACGTTGCTTTTTCGTCCCCTTATCGACCCGAAGCTTATGTGGAAGTTCTGGGCGTTTCAGCTTTTGGCGACGATGTGTCTTCGCTCAGTGTTGGGGCAATTGAAGGCGGCCCATGCGAAAGCCTTCCATCACGTTTTTCAGAAAACTTGGCCAGTTCTTCTAAAGCCATCCATCTAGGACTGCTGTTCGGAACATGAATTCGAAGCAGCCCGGACGGTAGGTGCAAACGGTTCGAACGGGACCCCTCTCAGACCTTCCATTTGGAACTGGATTTGTGCGGCCTGTTGCGACAGGGTCTCAACAGTTCAGCCTCTCCGTATCTTGAGCCTCTGAGAAGGCTCTAGAAGCTCTTAGAGCTTGACAGCAGACCATCCGATGAGCACAAAACCTTGGCCTGGACGGATGAAAATACATAGAACCCAAGAGCAGGGGGGTGTTGCCCAGAACGGGCGACTTTCCAAAACTAAAGAGGGGAGCGTAATCCTCTTGGTTAAGCGGGGAGGTTTGCGTAACCTGCCCGTCAAACAGCTGCCTCGCAACGGGCGACTTTCCAGAACCCCTAGAGCTTCTCGCGTCCGCTTCAGCCGGGGGCTCCTCTCTCGGACCACTAGACGCGCCAGCTTTCTTGATGGGGAGTACTTAAAACGCTCCGGACCGGGGGGGTCCTTGCAGCCCCTGAGCCCTGCCCCCCAGCCTCGGCCCTTTTCCTGCCAATAACCCGGTTGTTTTTCCCGCCCGGGTCAGCAAGTGGCGGACCCCAAGCCCTGTTGCGACAGGGCCTCGAAAGTTTAGCGTCTTCTTATCTGGTCTCTGAGAAGGCTTTAGAAGCTGCAAGAGCTCAATAGCAGACCATCCGACGAGCACAAAACCTTGGCTTGAAACAAGTGAAAATCCCAAGATTTTTGACCGTTTTGGTTTTCCGTTCCGGTGCAGCAAGTGGCGGAACCGAAGCAGGCGGAGATGCGCGCGTGTGGGCTGGGCGACGGCAAGGAGCTGGTCCTGCTGCCGTCCTTCTTCGAGCTGCTGAAACATCTGAAGAACTTGGTGAGCATTCTGTGTCAACCATTAGCACCTGATCAATAAATGACGACTCATCTTCATCCAACAATCTATGAGTTTGACCTGCATCGTAGTTTTGATCGTTGGAGTATACGGACTTTCCTTTCAGACTGCTCGCTCATCTGGATTGCTTTTTGAGAGAATCCAGGATCGCTTGCATATCTTGTCACAACGAGACCTTCGGCACTTGAGACGTTGACACGGGTAGTGGATGGGTTTCGTCCTTTTGCTTGTCGGGATCATTCTTGAGCGTGTTGGCTTGCCTCTTTTTTAACGTAGTAAAAACGCAAGTTTTAGTTGTCCTGTATTTTCCGAACTGTACGACGTCGTGAGCGGCTATGTGAGTGACCAGTCTGGTGCGTTTGTTGCGATTTGCCTGCGGTTCGACGATAAAACGTACAGTGAGGACCCACCATTTGACACACCATGGTGGCTTTTGCTTTTGGACTGCCCCGCAGAGCGGCGCAGATGGGCTGTACCGCATCGAAGTGGCCAGGTTAGATTCAGGGTCTTATACTGCTGCCACGCTGCTTGGTAACGTACCCTGAGAACAGTATGAACTATAGGCTATGGTCGCTGCCTTTCAATCAATCAATGAAATATACCCTTTAATTAGCCATATCTCGAGAACATCGCCTTTGAGAATTTCTAGGAATTTCCGCCCACAACCCCCTTCAGAGGCAAGCCCCGGCGCCCCTTGGGGGCTGTCCAACATGTATCTAGTGAACTCGCTGGAGCAGCACAGACCGAAGCCAGCATCCACAATACTCCGCACGTATACATTGAAGTGATCCCTTCTGTTATGTACCCTCTCGCCAACGTTGGAAGTATGTTGTGGACGCCCGAGAAGGACGTCAGCGAAACGAGCGCCCTCTGCGGCAAGAATTGCGCATGTCCAATTCAAAGTTTCGGCCGTGATAAAAGCGTTCTTCAAACGACGTCAGCGCCATTCTTTCGGACAGGGCTGCGACTGCGCAATCAAATTTTAACGTTCGGACGTAACGCCGCAAGCTGAGACTGTTTTTGCAGCAACATTTAATGTCGCTCTCCTTACACTTGCAATTGGAGCCTTTTGCCCATTCTGACTGACGTCAGCAATTATCATGCCAGGGCCGCGACTTCGCAATCGTGTTCCGGACATTCGGGAGTGACGTCATGGACGTCAGCCGGGAGCTGAATCTGTTCTGCGAGGGGCGCCATCCGTTCCACCCGGACGTGCAAATGAACGGCCAGGATGGGCCCACGGACCTGCGGCTGAGATCGCTCGAGCAGTACGGATGCTTTTACCGGCAAGGGTTTGGCTCGGAAGGTGAGGGGATTGTTTAAAACAGAATCATCTCTGTCAATGTTGCTGTGCCCTTCAACAGTGATCCTGTGGGCATATCGCAAGTTGAAAGTCTCCATTTTACCCCGAGTCAGGCCTATGTTGAGTTGCATGCATGGCCTGGGCTTACAGAAAGCGGGAATTGATTTTCAAAGCGAGACGACTCCGGTGAAAAGCTCAACTCACCGTTAATCGGAAACATCTAGAATAAACGTTGACCTTCTCCGCATCTGTACCCACCTTGAAGTTCCAAACACGCTCCACCAGTCGTTTCCCGGTAGTAACCTGATCTACTATGACCGCAATTGATCTACTGTCGCTACGTATCGCTGCAGTGACCGCAGTTTATCATTGATTCGTTACGTTTTGCTGCAGGCACGATGCTGGCGTTTTCACCTCCGGAGGAAGCGCTGCGGAAGCACATTGCGCGCCTGGACGAACTGGAGAAGTGCGGGGAGTGCCACTGGTCGTTCCGGGTAAGTGCCACTTGGCAACGATGTGCGCCAGGTTGTCCTACTTTGCACAGAAATATGAAGGCGACTGGAACGGAGTCGATGACGAGAGACTTCGAGTCGGAGGAAGGGATACAAATCTCGTCAAGTAGAAGGGGAGACACAACCTCCGACGGTCATCTTAAACCCCGTCATCTGAACCCTTTCATTTTGAGTTTGTGACCTTGAGGTTTCGTATCAGGAGAGGGGACTAGTAGAAGGGCTTGAGGCGATAACGTCGTTGTTAACAGTTCTCTGCTTGATCAGTATAACTCGCAGAATGATTTGTGACCATGTCTGACTTACAGGACATCTACAGGGCGATGATCGCACGGTGTTTAGAGGGAGGCAACATTGCGCTGGCGTTCAGGGACTACTATCCGGTGAGAAACCATCAGCTGACACAATGTTGCCCACCAACTCTGCATCCGAAAAGGGCAGTGGGAAAATTGCCTGCGTGTTGCCTAGGGGGATGTTTTCATCTCACTCATTGAAATCGATCTGAGTCGACGATGGACGACAGTTCCGAGTCTATGGGACGATATCTCCGGTGCTTGTTTTGCCGGCTTCAGTCGAGTGTGCCTGAGACTCCGTTTCTGGCCGTGCATTTTTCTACCGGCTACAACGGTCTGTCAATGCAGTGGTAAAACTCGCGTGCAGATCAGCTCCTTGCAAACGCTAACCCTCAAATGATGGTTACTTAAAGACTGGTTAACCTGTGGTTGCAGTGGTGGAAGGCGCATCAAGAACGGGCACGGACGGGAAAGTTGCTTCTTGTCGACCGAGAAGATTTTCACACCCGCCAGGTGGGCGCTTTTTCCTAGTACTTCCAGTATCTGTACAAATGTACCGCCGTCGGTGTTTCTGCGCTGTGAGATCTTTCTCTTCATTCGCCTTCGTCGTGTTTTAGGCGCTAGCGCGGTGTTTCGCATCTGATGCAGAAGCAGTTTGTGGCGTTAGGCCGCTGAGCATGTTGAGCTTTCCCAAATACCGCCTCCGTGCATTCGAGTTAGAAAAAGCTGCACAACTGCGGCAGCTGCAATGCATTCGCTGCCTGATTATTTGCCATGCTGACTCGTGCGGTCAGGTTCCTCAAGGGTGCTTCAAGCTTCGAGTCAGCAAGAATACTAAGCTTGTCGCCTTTGGCGCAAAATCCAGGGGCAAGTGGTCGACTGAGGCTAATCTTCGTGTCTCTCTTGGCCAAAAACACACGCTTCCATGTTTTCTATAGTCGGCGGCTGTGAGAGGTCAAAAGGTAGATAGTTGAGGGCGCCATACGCAAATGCTCCGAGCTCCTCTGTGGCATCTAACGCGCCGTCTTTTCGAGCTCTTCAGGTGTTCTTCGATGACAACATCGGGACAGGGTCGCCACACATTGTGAGTCCTTCCTGCCATCCATTCTCGAAAGAGTGTGTCTTTCCTCAACTTGGCAACCACTTTAAAAAGCCAAAGGGAAAACATCTCGCATAGTCTCTGAATGATTCTACACATGCGGTCGAACTCATAACAGATGATTGTCGTCAGTCGAGATGCGCCGCTCGCTTTCCCACCGATTGAAGGGTGTTTCAAAGCTGACGTCACGTGACGTTGTAGAAGTGCATGACCTTATATAGTGTAACCCTCTGCCAGGTGGATGTTAGGGACGTCTCGACGGGGGAGCCCATTCCGTTCACGGAGTCAAACGGAAAGTATCTCGTGAAAGTGGAGCCATTGAATGCGGTGAGACCTTCCAGCGAGTCAGACATTGAGTCAATAATTTACAGACGCGTCCTTAGAATCAGCGTTATGTAGCCGAGACGACCCGGTTCCTCGTCTGCTTTCTGGCTATAAGCATGATGACCTTGCGTTCTCGCACGCTGTTACTGTTAGTGCGATGGGTCTTTGAATGGGTTGCGCTGAGACAGCGAGTTGAAGATGTCAACTTCTAGATGGAATTTTGGGCGGAAAGATGCTGTCGAAACAGAGGTTTGAACGGTGTGCTTTGAGGGTTTTCTTGTGATGGTGAGGCGCTGTTTTCTTTAAAAACTTGCTGTGCTCAAACGAGACTCTGTTCGCTGTTCTAAAAAAGCTTCCTATGCTCAAAGGAGAGTTTGTTTGTTCTGCAGATCCTGGATCGGCAGTACTTCATCCGGGCGGTTCACCGTTGCGAGGAGTCTATAGAAGGCGCACGGGACTGGCGGGGCTTCCGAAACTCCCCCCGGTTGAAGAACTCCAAATGGGACATCGCTCGGCGGAAGCTGCTGTCAATCATTCGGCTCGGGTCTGGGCAGATCTAGCATGCGCCTGCGAAGGAAGCAACCTAGTGCAGACGCTCGACGACCTTATTAGTCGGCCCGTTACACTGAGGCCCTGATGCGCAATATGCAGATGGTCGGACATGAACGCGCGAAGGAAGGTTTGGCGTTGCCAACGGTCATGTTGTTCGTGATTGTACATTTCTCTCTTCTTAACTATGGCAGAACCGGTGGTTGAGGGCTGACCATGCATCACGACCTGCATAAGAGACGCGTACAACCGACATATATTGTCGATCAGTCTCCATTCTGCAACCAGCGGCCTTATACAATATTCAAGTGGCATTTAACACACGGCGTCTAGTGATGAACCGTGCATGATTGATTTATATAGACGGTGCTTTTGGCATACTATACAAAAAATACAATATCTGAACGATCGATTGTGATTGAACGTGGTTTAATGTCGACATGCAATTGAGAGATAAATGTGTGTCGCGGATCTTGCAATCATTGTCCTGCCGGGCGTGATTCATTTTGGTTACTAGCTAAGTCTGCGCACGGGAGCTAGCAGCTGCGGCACTGATGCATTGCAATACTACTGCATAGGGTACATGTGAAAGGAAATGCTGCGAGATACACTGACAAGTTGGAGCAGATGCCAAACTCACAGAAGAACTTGTCACACCCCGGAGCAGTGGATAGGGCGGTAAGAAGCACTTCATAAGTCGCCCCAGAAATTGGCTTGGCTCTCGGACGCAATTTGGATCAATGGTTTCGCAAAAATGCAACCGGCTGCATGGGATTCCTCCTCTATGGTGGTGAGCAAAAACTGCTTCCCAAAAGCTTAGCTGCTCGTTCTGCTGAACAGAGTAAGCTAATCGCTTGACCATGTGCGTAAAAGCTTCAATCTTTTGAACGTCACGCAATTGCGCGAGTGCTTCTTAGAGACGAGGCCACTGTCCCACACACTGCACGTTTTGGCCCCTTATTAACCGACCGTAGCCTCTTAGCTTCTGTAGCTCTGAACAACAAACATTCGAAATCATTTGTAATCCTAAGCTCCAGGCAGTTGTCCACTGAAAACGTGCGTCTCTACCCGTGTGCGAAACGCGGCAGTCCAAACGGGGAAACCACCGAGCCTTTACTGCAACAGATTTTTGCCGTCTTAAGCTTCCCGCACTGTGTCAGCAATTCAACCTATAAAAGCCTATTCACAAGTTGGATGCGCTGAACTCTGACGCGCAGTCAGAGTCGGCTTCTTGGTGCGCTGCGAGTTCACGCACAAGCCTAGGCACAGAATGGCGTCAAAAAAGCCCACGCGCGCTCAGAAGCTGAAGAACGACCGGGGCGGCTGGGACGACTCCGGCACCGCCCCGGCGGGGCTCCGCGAAAACGTATAGCGTATGAAGCTCTGGTACCCCACGTCCCAGCGCGCCCGGAACGCGTGCACCGAGTGCTTGGCTTCCCCCGGCCACCGGTAGTCCGTTGCGTTCGGCCCTTCCCCGCCCTCCTCATCTGACACGTCGACATACCCGGGGCCGAACCCGTGCCCGGTGATGTGCATGCAATCGGTCACCGCGAGGAGCGACTGCGAAACTTCGTGCCAGTATAGCGCGGCGGGCTCGTTGTTGCCGGTGCTGAGCTCGTATAGGCCGCGCATCATGCGGAGGTCCCACGCCTGGACGCACTCGTTGTCCCCCCCCGTGAAGCAGAGCGGGTAGCTGCCCCCCGGCGCGCACAGGGCCACGGCCGCGAGGGAGTCGTACGTGCGGCTCTGCAGACGCGTATACGAGATGGTTAGCGACTGACTTAAGTGCGACGCGTATCAGAAGTGGTCAGAGTTTGACTTGAGTGTGTCACGAGCTTTGTCACGAGTGACTTTTTTGACGGAGCAGACCAAGCAGGGAAAAACCGACATTTGTCGCCGACTGTAGTTCTCACGACGAATCTCAGAAGGCAGTTTTTAAGACCCGGGTCTTCCCAACTGCGATCTAGAAGGAATGTGCAGCTCTCGAGCCCGCAAAGTAGAAGGAAGTTGTCAACCTCAGACTTGAGAAAGGTCCGGGATTTGGGACATTCGAAGCGAGCTCCGCATCACCCGGCCATTAGATCCTTAAAACTTTCCTACTCGGGTCCTCCTCAAACCTGTCAGAATTGAGAAATTCCAATCCTGACGAGTCACACGAAAATCGAAAAGATCTGGTTCACATACCCATCTGGTCGGGCACTTCTTGTGGCTCTTTGATTGCAGAGAAACTGCTCAGAGATTCTATCAGGTCCAGATCCCTGTAACAGTCTAACCCAGGTTACTTCTACGTTGTCACGTCCAGATCTCTCTGAAGTCTACATCTCTTTCAGTCGACTGGGGACACCTTATAAAGAAACCCAGGTAGTCCTTTAAAGACTTACATGTGCAAACCGCGCTCTCCGTACGCACAAAGTCAAGTGACACGTGTTCTGGTCGGCACCCTCACAAGAATAAATTAGGATCGCATCAAGAAGCCTTTCCTTGTCTCCATTTGCATTGGGTTAGTTCAAAAGCTTCGGAAACCCCTCCAACTCACCTCAAGCGTGCAGACCGCGCTCTCCGTTCGCAGGTCCCAGATCTTCGCGGACGAGTCGTGGCTCGCGGACGCCAGCAGGTGCGGCAGCGCTTCGGACGCGTTCAGCTGCGCGACGATACCCGTGTGGCCGAAGAGGCGCGTACGAATCCTTGGCTGCGCAAAAGAGTGCACGATGGTGAGGGCTTCACTGATTGGCTTGAAGAAAAGAAAGGAGTGGAAAGGAGGGAGCTTAAAGCCGAGAAGGCGAGGTTGTATCTTGGCAAATGAGAACTGTATGGAAGAAGGGGAAGAAAGTAAGTATCCAGAAAGCAAGACTCAACCGGATCCTTTTGTTTCCTTGTCTGCCACATCCGAGGCCAAAGTCCTGCGAGGAACAAGGATACTTTGCTGGTTTGCACCAACACAGTCTCTCGACCTTTCTTCAAAGACGTCCTTTCAGGTAGTTTGGAATTATTTAAAAAGGAGGAGAGAGCGTCATCCCGGTAAGATCCAAAAGAAGATGAACTAGCTCGTTTAAGAAAGAAGACGAGAAACCGGCGACGCTTTTACTTTTTGCAAAGGTGTCTCAGAGGACCTCCCATCAGAAACACTCTCCTATTCATAAGACTGTTGAAGAAAAACGGGACTGTGTGTAGCTGAAGTTGAGCTTTGCTTCACTTCGTTCAGATGAAAGCGCACTGTACTCTCTCACCAGAAACTGCTGCTCGTAAGGTCGCCCGGGAACACGAAAGTACCGTTGCCGTAGTGAGCAGAAGTCCGCGTCATAAACCGGAACGGCAGCGGAACGCAAAATCCTAAAGAACATTGCCACCATGAAACACTTCCGGAAGCCATCCATCTTGCTGCAGAGAGCTTCAAAAGTAGACAGTATCCTTCAGGCTGGTGGGCGGGTAAATCACGGCTCCCTTAATTCGGAACGAAAAGGGAACAGGACTCGAACGGAAATGCATAAAAGGGAACGGAATAGAGCCTGAAGAGAAACCAGCGCACAGAATTGATAGACTGTGTACCCTTGGTGGGCGTTGAAGCCCCCGCCCCTTCGACGCGGAAGAACGGAATTGCTTCTCAACAAAACGGAACAAAGCGAAACCGGAGTAAAGGCCGGCGCATCCGCAATGGGCAACTTCGCAGTGATAGGTGGTGTATCCTAGGTGGGCAGGGGAAGCCACCGCCCCCTCGACGCAAAACAAAAACGGAACAGCTCCTGAAGGGAAACGAAATAAAGGCCGGCGCACCTGCTGGGCACAGTCGCAGAGATTCTGTTGAATCTATGGTGCGCCGGTGAAGCCATCAAACCCTCAGAGCGGAACAAGAACGGAACAGCAGCCGAACGGAAACGGGACGGATTGGGACCGGAACAAACGCCGGCGCCCCTGCTGGGCAAAGTCGGAGAGGTAGACGGAGTATCCTAGGTGGGCAGGAGAAGCCACCGCCCCATCTGAGCGTAACAAGAACGGAACAGCACCCGAACTAAAACGGAACAATGCGGAACCGGGAGAAAAACCTTTGCAAAACCATTCGGACAGGTATATGGTGAAGCCACCGCCCCCTCGAACATGAAGAGAAGCGGAACAGGACCAGAACGGAAATGGAATGGAGCGGAACCGGAACACAAAGGCCGACGCACCTGCTGGGCAAAGTCGCAGAGGTAGACGGTGTATCCTTGGTTGGCGGGTGAAGCCACCGCCCCCTCGAAGCCGGCCACGGAGGCGGGAAGCGCGAGGAGGGAGCCAAGTTTGGGGCCCAGGGAGAAGGACCCGTGGGCCGGCTGCCCCCGGGTGATGTCCACCGAGCACTCCTGGCCTTCCTCCTGAAGAGGGGAAAGCAGTCGGTGTCTCAGTCTTAGAATCAAGTGGAGTTTTTCCCAGTTAACCGGCTTCTGCACGTGTGAGAAATTCATCGAGCACTCCTGGCCCTTCTTCCTGAAAAGAGAAAAGCGGTCGGGGTCTCGACCTCAGAGTCCGTTCGAGTCATCCGGATTAACAGGCTTATGGACGTTTGAGGAATCCAACGAGCACTCATGGCCTTCTTCCTGAAGAGAGAAAAGGGGCGGGGTCTCCACCCCAGAACCGGCTGGAGGACTTTTGTATGAACCGGCTTCTGGACGAGTGAGACATCCACCGAGAGGGGAAAGCCGTCGGGGTCACAACCTTGATTCAATTGGAGTGCTTTTGGGTTAACCTGCTTCTGGACGCGCGAGAGGTTCACCCAGCACCTTTGCCTTCTTCCTGCAAAGGGGAAAGCCGTCGGGGTCTTGACCTCGGAACCGGTTGGATTTTTCTCAATTCTGGTTATTCTCGACTCAATGAATAGTAAGCCCAGTCAACACTAAGTGTTTCGGGGTTCACTAAACCCGCGATCCAAAAGATCACCCGCTCCGTTCCCATACCCAAGCGAAACCCCTGACTCACCCCACCCGTATCAGTCACCTTCACTGGGCTTACGTTTCACTGAATTGAACAAGATTTTATTCTGATTTGACCCGCTTCTGGACGAGTGAGAAAAGGCTTTCCAAGTCCATCCGGGATTGTTTGTTGAACCCAGCTTTGAACGGAGTAATTGTCTCAGAGCAAGCCCGCTCAGATTGTCCTGTTTCATGTTCTTGCTTCCGATGTTCCAAACTCACATGGCGAATTCAAAAACCACTAGAAAGACATCGGAACGAGGAAGGGTACCGTGATCATACAAGAGCGTAAACGGCAAGACGAGAAGCCAAACGTGGAACACGCAAGTGAGACGAAGCAGGTGCGGAAGCCGCCTGAAAGTAATCGGACTCTTTTCGTTAGCTTTTTACGAACCCTTGAGCAAATTATCACGAGATTCTGGTAGCTAAAACAGACCTGCTAGCTTGCCTCGGTCGATGGGGCCAGAACTAAGCCGGGGCAATCGCTTCGCCGTTTTATCTGGTGGTGGAAGCCTGCGCCAAGCGTGAGTGTGCGCTGTGAGTGCCGAAGCGACCCGAAAATCGTGGTGCGAAAGAAGAGGGGCGAAAGTAACCGGGGGGTTCGAATGGGTGTTTCCACATGCATATGTGACCGAAAATTCCAAGAGAAGAAACTAAGCCAAAGCAAATGCACCCGTCACACGCCCAGGATCGGGCGAGTGAGAACACTGCCGTTGTTGTTGGCAATAGTCGAAAGGAAGGAAAACTTAAAGGCTCTGAGTATGTTTCGGAAGTCAAAGACTTCAGGATCGAGTAGGTATCGACCCCCTTGAAATTTCAACTCTCGAGCTCAATCAACGCTTTTATACTGACCCAGATTGGCCAAACAGCTTCCTTCCCGCGCTGAACGCACGCCCCAACAGGTGGCACCGTGCAATATAGTAGTCGCGCATTTTTGGCTAAAAAGCGGAGGGAGTAACATGCCAATCTTATCGTTGAAATTGTCAGAAAAGAGCAGGATCCTTCAAACTGGCGTTTCTTGCCGTCTCCTGGCCTGCTCTTTTCCTGAACGATACTTTCACCAGGAGAGCGCTTACGAGGCACTTGTTGGAGGACCAATCGACGTACTTTCGCTCGTTCGTTACAATCGTAAAACGACGCCTCAGAAATGTGAGCGCTTACGAGGCAATTGTTGTCGGACCAATCGACGTGCTTTCCCGAGTCCTTCACAATAGTCCTCTGTTCCGGGGTCAGCTCCGCCTCGTCCTCATCATCCATGTCCTGCAGACGTCACTACACACTGTTCTCCGGGCTTTGAGATTCGTTGCTGAGGCCGGTTCAAAACTTGATCATTCAGCAGTTTAGAGTCTCTCGGTCCCACACTGACTGTGTGACCACTCTGGTTTAGAAGACGAGCTTTTTGAACTCAAAGTCGACCTATGAGGAGATCCGGAAGATGAGCTACAGTGGACGCGTCAGCACTTTTGGGATGTCTTTCAATTCGCTCTAGTTTCCGGTATTCCTCAATCCTCCTTTCGGCAATTTCTTCCTTCTCCGGCTTGTTGAGAAGTTTCTAGCAGATTCAAGTACTGGCCAATGCTATGCGTTGAATGACCTTTACACGACCCAACACTTGAGAAAAGCGTGCTCCACACCCGCACACACCCTAACCCCCCAACTAACCCGACCCGTCCCCCCGCTTGCTTCTTAACCCATGGCCGTTGAAACACTTAAAAATACCGAGTACGAGAACTCACGTCAAGCAGCCTGCCGCTGACGTCGCTCCCGTGCTCTTCCAGCCGATCGATCTCTTAGTACTTGATTGTCGCATCCTTGGACGCAAACACGCGGTCTCCCACCGCCGCGACGCCATTGGCTGTGCTCCCCATGTGCAGAGTGTATTTACACGGGAGGTCGTCGTGGTCGATCTTTGCCACGTGGAAGGCCTTGATTCGCTCGTCCCCGGCGCACCACAGGAGGTTGCGTGTCGAGTCAATGCTCGTGGCAAGGCCTGCAAGCCAAGAAAACATCGAAGTTAAACCGGATAAATAAGCAAAGGTAAAATGGAGGTAACCGGAATGAGACCGGTAGCATTAGTTGTGAGGTTAGGGTGGGTGGGGGCGCGGAGCAGGGACATTCTTGGTTTAGAGTATTTTGTGTCAGTCGGAGCTTCTTTCATCTGGCTCAATCTTGCCTTTCTTAAGTCCCATCAAGAAATGGCTTCAGTATGTTGACCCAAGTTGTATAAAGCCAGATTGGTGTTTTTGCCGTGTGATTGAAAATGAGAGAAAAGGGAGCCGCATTGTTTCTCTGGCTGAGGGGAAGCTTTGAGGTCAGAAATTCGGCAACTTGGACAGAAGAAAACGGGGTAAGAAGGAGATTGGACGAAACGAGCAATCTGATCCGATCGTGTGAACAAGTTATGGCTCATTTTGACATCAGACTCTGTCCGTAGCCTTTGCTTTGCTCGTCTCTGAGAGAGTTGGATTGACCCATCTCGCTTTTGACAATGAAATGCAGGTGTCTGACGGCAAATCCCTTTTAAATCAGAGTGGGTTTGCTTATGGGGAATATCGTCTGGCAGGGACCATATGCCCCAAGGTGACTGACTTGAAGCAATATATCAGTGCGGTACATCGGATTTGTTTTTAAAGGGAGTCGACCCTCTGGAAAGCGCAGGAAACATGTGGATCAAGTCAACGCAGCAACGCAAAGACTATAGAATCATTGAGCACTATGACTGTGCACGGGCGGAAGCAATCCGGCTTGATTCTCGCAAATGACTGTCAGAAATTCCACACGAACTACCCCCCAAAAGCATATGTTCTCCATCCCAGGATGAGACCCATAATTGACTCCCAAACAGCACGGTCAGCATTTACCACAATACTCGGTTCATCATCAGACAGAACCCAACCTGGTTGCCAGAACCCATTGTCTGCCCGGTAGACTTTTGGAAAGATGCCCTTCTCCCATGAGGGAATCTCCGGCGCGTCTTCTGCATAGTTATAGACCTCCATGTAGGGGGAGCCATGCCGATGTCCCATACCCCCCTGCCAGACAAGGAATCGTGAAGTTTACATTTTTCTGGAGATTCTGCTCAAAGAAAGAAACTCACAATGAGCTTATCCTGACTCATTTACAAGCAATCTATTCTGTCTGCCAAAAGTGAACTTCAGCAGAAATGTGATGTCATACGAAAGTATGCTCTGTTAATTCGGTGGGCCTCTTACCACAAAGCTTCTTTCATTACGAGATTACTATTGAGGGGAAGCAGATTGTGGATTCTTACCGGGCATCTAGATCCAACGAATAACAAAATTTCAGGACTATTTTTCTCCGCAAAACGCCAGAATTCTGCTGCTTCAGCGTGCGCTCAAGATGAACATCCTTTCCAGGATGAGATCTGGAAAGGATCAAGAAACCTACATTAATAGCAATGATACCCCCGTCAAAGCTCGCCCCCGTCGAACACTGCGGGACACACCGATCCCAGTACACGTCACACCGGCCCTGGTAAACATTCTCCGCTGCCTCACTCCCCACTGCCGCCCCCGCTGCATAATGTGGGTCAAACCGCGCCAGGGGGCTGCTTTCCTTGACTGGCGCAGGCTGCGGCTTGTCTTTTGGGAGATAGTAAGGAGCCCGGGGAACGCCCAACCCGCTGCGAATTGCAAACACGCAGTCCTCCTGGTCAACCATGAATTGTTTCACAGGATCCAAAAGACTTGCCACCCGCACGTCGAGCTCAGCAATGACGTCCTCCTTTGAGAGCCCCAGGGGGATCCCCGGGCCGATCGAGCTATCGAGGCGGAGCGTCCTGGCAAAGGCGAAGAGCCGCCCAAGGTGCTCATTGACGCCATCCTTCTTGGTTTCCTCTTCTGGTGAGTCGTCATTGGAGAATGGTGTTAGACTTGGGTGCTCCCTGTCTGACAAAATTACCTCAAAGAGCTGATCCAAAAGTGCTTTCGGGGAAGGGGCGGTGGGAAGAGGATTTGGAGCCGACTTCTTTCTTTTGGGCAGCCTTATGCTTACTTTCTTCTTGGGTGCCATAGCTCCTAAACACTTGGTTCCGTGTTGGCATTGGGGAGGGGATCAGAATGCGCTATAAGACCGAAAGGTCCATTTTGTTTGATGGATACGAGGCAGCGACGAATGGTCTGGAGCAGTGAATGATCTTTCGAAAAGTTTGAAAGTTTGATTTAATAGCCCTCACTTCAAGAACTTTGAAGAAGCAGCTTGAAGTTGATCTGCAGACCTTGGCCCTGGCCCAAGGTCTGGGCCTGGGCCTGGGCCTGGGCCTGCAGTCGAGTCTGCGGATTGTGGGATACAGGGTGATCCCCCATGTGATCTGAGCTCGTTGGATTTCCAGGCAGAATTTCCGTGAAATCCAAGAGCCCGGTCGATCATCCCGTGCACCCTCGTGTTCCCATTCTCATCCTGAAGGGGCACTCGGGCCGCGTATACCGGTTACTAATACCCTTAAATTTGGTAAATGTGTCAAGCCCAATGACATGATTCTTCATGAACGTCCTATCCTTTCCGGTGTGCTAGAAGCCTGCTAGAAGCTGGTGAAGCTGAGAAGAGGATCCAAACGCGTCTCATGCAAGAGGATCACCATGCCAGACAGCATTCCGTTGGCCTACCTGGCAGCCGCTACCATGCATGGCTTTCCGTTATTTTAACGGCTAGTTGTCGCTTCCATCTCAGTTGGCAGGAGTTCTAGATCTTGCCGCATTGCACCTGCTTGTAACAAGTTGAGACAGCTGTAAGATCTCAAAGCCCCTTGAAAGGAACGAACAAGGTCTCAGATTACACAGCATTGCACATTCAAGTTCACAAGTCGGTGCTCTGGAGCTACCTACTTTCTCACCCCAGCGTTGCAGCAGGCCCTCAGCGGGCCCATCCAGTATACAGGATTGCTCCACCGTTCTAAGCAACCAGCAAAGATGCAAGTGGTGAAACGCCTCGCTGCAGAAGGCCCTCCATAGAAGCATGTTCTTCGTTTGGCGCGCATTGGGAGGCCGCTCTTTCTGGGAAGCATTCCGCTCTCTCCTCAAAGCATTTCGTTGATGTGTTGAGCCAGCCGGCAAGCGGAGAAGGAAACTTTCTGGGCTGCTTGCCACGCCTCAAGGAGTCCTGGGCGCAAAGAGTCTTGATCATTGGAAGCCTCAGCGGAAAGCGGCAGCCCGAGAGACGCGGGTTGGCAGGTGGGTGATCGGAGCTTTCCTCTGAATAATGAACTTCCTTCTATTCCTTTTCTATTTCCTCCAAGAGTTTCCCCGGTTTGTAGCCAGGGTGCAAGGACACTTCTTCGAAAGGAGTTCAGGTTGCATAGAGGGTGGTACGCTTCTGTCATTGCCAAGGCTTTATCAAGGTTGTTGGCTCTCATGCCAACATTGCAGAGAGGATACAAACCCGTCAAGATTGGAGATCTTGAAGGCAGAAATGAGTCAGTAAGATGAGACTTGTGTTGGCTTCTGAGGGGTTTTCATTGTGGACAGTCTTCATCATACAAGCATTCGTTCAGTATCAATAGAGCTGTCCATGTAAAAGGTTCTGTCCCAGAGCTTATCAGTTCTTGAAATAAAACCTGATCATCGAGAGAGGGGGTTCATGGTTGTCAAATCAACAATCTATCTAGAATTGAGCGGTGGAGAAAAAGGTCATTCTGTTGTTGAAAGTTTTGGCAGGTTTGTTGGGGTCTCGAAAGGTCCCGTGCAATTAATTTGCCGGAGTGTTCAAAGCCAGGCGGATGCGCATGAAGATAGTGTCAGATTGCATTCCAACTATCAAGGACAGGTGTCGTCGGCTTTGTGTAATCGTGCTTGACAGAATCTTTCGATTGACACCTGTCGATCTCTGGGGCTGGTGTAACCAATTCCCAGATGCAGGCATCTGAGTCCATTGATGAAAATGGACACACAGCCACATACTGAGACGGTCGAGACATCATTTGTATGGAGAGAAGAAATAGCACTTTGAAAGCATAGTGTAGTGAGGAGAGACGTCGACTTCACCATTATGGCTCCAAATTGATGTTGAACAACAAATCAAATAAATTCAATACATACAAAGAACTCGGAGAGAAACAATGATACAGACCTGGTTTTGATGCTTCGTTGCCATTATGCACTTGCCTGTGCCCGAGATCGAAATGGAACCTCTATTGCCAGAGGCGCTTCCCGATGATGCATATGACAGAGAACCTGAGTTGGAGACCGCTTGCGATGTGTTCAATGTACTAATCAGACGGCACTATGAGCGGTATGGTCGATCTGTTGCATCAACCGAAACTAAGTTCCGGTGTATGTTCAAAGAATGTACGGGAGTGCCTCGTCAACGACATGCACAGCAAGGGAGCATATTAATATAATGCCTACAAAGACAATCGGGCTTCCAAAATCGAGAGGGCCTTCAGGGAATTACCCCCTCCCCTCTTTGTTTGTTATTCATCTATTTGTTTGTATAAGGAACTACCGTGCCCCTTTTGCAGAGCACATCATGTGATGACATACCAAGACCCTATGTGCACAGGAAGTCATCGTAGAGGGCTCAATGACGGCAGCTAATTCCTATTTGTATGGGTTGTTACCATGAGAAAGTTTTCAACTTAAGAGACTGGATAACGATGAAATATGCTCAGTGCTTTGTATTTTCCTGAGAGGGACATACCAGATATACATATGAAATGCGTCTTCCCGTGTTACGTTGCTATAACATACGTGCAATAGTCAAACGCAGCACATGCACAATCACAAAGCGTAGCTTTCAATTCTAGGGCTCAAGCTGACCACAAACACTAGCCGGCCAGGTTAAACATAAACACTCCCTCTATTTAAATTTTATTTTCAAATCATCATCTTATTGTATCCCTTGGTCACTTGTACTACAATTCTTCAATGTTTTAGTACCACAATATTCTCGCTGAAAGCGAGCGCAGCTTAGACTACATAAAATGCTATTATTAGTGTCATCAGACCGGTGCTAAGCCTTTTCAAGTTATGCATCCCTTCCTCCAATTGTGCACCGGATGTCTTGACACCAAAATTGACTGTGCGAATGGCAGTGTCGTTCACCAATTTCCTACAGAAATCTATGATGCAATCTGGCTCCTTGATGAACTTGATCCGTGTGTCAATGTCTACACAGGGTTGCTGTAATGTACCCAAGGCTGGTGTTGGCGTGCCATCTGCATTCAAGCACCTGTAGTTGTAGCATTGGCACTCTGGTGCCGTGGACCTGGTGGTTCCGTTCTGAAATGGCTCTGGACATGTGCTGTAAAACCTATTGTACTCTGGGTTAACTTCTTTACCATATAACCAAAGCACGTTACAGCAATCGAGCGCCCCCTTCCGAATACTACCTGCCTGCCACAGGTTGCTATCGTCATCTAGTAGATAATCAGTGGCATCGCTCCTCTTTCTTACATCCAATTTTTGAGTACGATCAGTGGTACAATACCCAAAAAGACTAGCTGTTGACCCACAGTTATGAAAGAACGTTTGCGTCTGCTCGTACAACACTATGTTGGTGCAATATCCCAACTCTCTCGACTCTGGGAGCAGCGGATAATAACGACTGTGGCCCCCATGGACCCCCTTGCACGCCGACAAACCGTATGACGCCAGGAAGAGCACGGCAACAACGGATACCCGCCACTGCAGACTATGTCTCCCCATGATTTGTCAAGGCGGCGCAGAAGGCGAGACAAGCAGTTCTTGACGTCAAATGGCTAATGATCTGGAGCAGCTCCAATATGGATGCTTGTATATGTCTGGTCACCCATTCACCCGAGAGAGGGTGAGTTCCCGGCATCCACGAACAAAAAGCGGCACTTTTGCCAAGACTGGAAAACACGTTGAGACATGGGTTGGTTTTATTAGGCCCCACATCGGAGCGCCAGATGCATCAGCGGCTCTTAACGCATTTTATGGTCGTGGAACATTGCCAGACTGGCACACAATGCTCACCGCACGATGACAAAACATCGGCACGATCGTACGGTTTCAAATGCACACCACCGTAATTAGGAAGGCTTACGGGGTGAAGTGCATTCCCCCATGACTCTACCGGTACCGTATCTTACAAAAGTTGGACTGAGCGTCCCAACGTTGACTTCGACGCCATTTATGTTGACAGAAGATTCGAATTCAGAGAAATGTGCGCTTTTAAAACAACCCCGATTAGGTTAGTCGATGACGTCATGTACAGTACAGGTACGCCACTCGATCGTGCAGAAATCTCATTGCGCTAAAAGTAGTATGAATTGCTTCTGGCTATGGACCGCGGCTTCAACGCCGTAGATTTTGTTTTCTTAGTTGCCACATGGCGGTCACAGCTGAGTCTCCGAGTTGTGATTCCATGAGCCCACGTCATGGTCATTATGATAGTCTGAAACGCGGCAACTAAATGTCTGACAATTCGATGTCAGGTGACTCAGGTCCCCGCAAGAGACAAAAGGTCAACCGCATGGATGTTGACCTACCGTAGAGACATTCCCATTCGCACTGAAATAATCCATTGCGAAATATCGAAATTAAGATGTGGGCATGGTGCGAAAACGCGAAGTGAAAGAAGATCCAAAACCAGCATCAAAAGGTGCAAAACAGGCCTAAAACACAGTAAAATGGGCTCGGTGTGAAATAATAAAAACTACCCCATAAGCTGGTGCGAAATGCCAGAACTTTAGAAATTGATTATTCGCACCATGCTGGTGTGAATGACAATGTCTGTACGGTATTAAAAGCAATAAAGAAACGTTTTCTTTCTCGGGGTTTTGATTTTGATCAAAACCCCGTAGAGACCGCCCGCGTGAAAGGCCATGAAGCCGCGTAAATAGCCGAAGCTTCAAGCCATCCACTTGGGAATTACGGACGGTTCCCCACTTGCCCGTGACTTCGGGAACTCTTTCTCAAGTCGGCGGCAATGATCACCGGTATGGTACCATCTACGGGTACCGTACGGTATTCCGTTCCCCCAATCAGACGGTGGGGCTAGGTATTACGGTACCCCCACACTTAAGTGGAAAGTGTCGACATCTGTTAAGACTGGCTGGGCGAAGGGGCGAGTGGCCCCGGTTCGGCTGGTTTTGGAACCTTACCTCATTTTTTGTCGACATCAAAGTCACACCAAAAAAAGGGGGACCCGCAAGATGTGTCGACATCATTGCAAAAGAGGGTTTCGGAGGAATTAGGAGTGTTAGGAACAGTGCTTGAGCCCTTATATCCCCTCCAACCCCTCAGCCTAACCCCACCCTTCTTCGCCTGGGGAGCTTAGAGTTTTGCAGTCTACGAGCGTGGGAGCCCCTGGTAGGTATGCGGGTGGCGGTGCTGCGGTACGAACAGAAAGAGATCAAGGATTTTTGGCAACTGTTTTGGTGTATGGTACGGTAGGTATGTCTAACACCCCACTCCGGGTCGGAAGGCCGGCGGGTGTGCACTGAGCATTTCTGCGAGGTCCGAGTCGAATTTGGAACGTCAGTCTGCGTCTGTGCAATGTGCAAAGATGCCTTCTTGCGTCAGCAAAAGCACAAGGGGCCAAGGGGACCAAAGGCGCTGGTAAAGCGAGAGTCGAGCGCAATTGACATGCCAGTGGACTGGACAAATTCCTTTGAATTGGAGCTGATCTTCAAGGAGCTCTTCTCTTCGTTTGCTGTGGTGGCTTTCAACGACGTGAAACTCGATCATTAGGCTGGTCAAATAGTGCATTGGACTGCAATCTGGCAGCATTGATCGTCTTCCCGCGAGGTGGCTACACTGAATTGAATCAGGTGAGCATTGATTTTCGAGCTCAGCGGGCATGCTCATAATCTATGTGGTTTGTCTGAAACCGGGCATCAGCCTTCATGGAGTTCTATTGCTCGCTGAGCCAACCTATTTTGAAAACCGGGTTTGCCAAAAGCTCGCTGAAACGCATGCCACTTGCACATATGGCATCGTTAATCAGGTTACATCTTGTCATATGAAAGGTCTTGTCAGTCAGCTGTAAGACTGCACTGCAGAAGCGACAGCAGGGCATTGTCCAGTCTCTTTCTTAGGTGGTCATCTTGTCTTCCGCCTTCATTACGAACGGTCTGATTGTGCTGCAGGGAGGGCTATTCTGTCTTCATGCTGGCCTGATGAAGTGATGTCTCAGAAACAAAGGCTTGCTTGACATTCTGCAACGGCAACAACCCGGGCGGCAACTCGCGTCAGGAAAAGTCTATGTTTTATTTCATAAACATCATTTAGCTCAATGAAACCGTCCAAATCAGGTCCGCCGATGGCAGGAGTGCTTCTATGTTGTCCCTTTTGACTGCAACGACTCCGTGTCTGCTACTAGAATAGGGCAGGCAGGGACTTGTCAAACGAAGCCTGCTTGAGAGTACTTGCAGACTTAAGCCTTGGAAGCGCATCAGATAGAGACAACGTCGTTGATGAAATTCCCCTGTCTCAAGAGGTTGTTTCAAAACCTTGCTTCTTGGAGCCGTCTAACTTCACATTATACCGGATCAACAACATACGCCGCCACAACAAGCAGCTGTGGAGACACGCTCCTTCTTGATTGCAATTCAACTCCCAATGCTGACACATGTCCTGACACCCCCCTTGCAGGACGATTCCGCTTGGAGCAGATTCCAGTCCCAAAACCTATGGCTTCCCTCTGGGTGTTCAAGTTCTTCCTGCTCCTCTTCCTTGTGAGCGATTCGCACTGCCTCACCATAGAGGAGATCGAGACCTTGATCAAGGGACCGCTTGCTCCTCAGCAAAGCCTCAAGCTGCCTGGCCGCGGACTGGGCGGTACAATCCCCCCCGCTCTGGGGTCGTTTACCAATCTCACCGCAATCGACCTGTCGGACAACAATCTGACGGGCCCAATTCCCCCCGAATTGAGCAGGCTTCGTCGCCTGGTGACACTCAAGCTCGCCGGGAACCGCTTGACGGGAGGGATCCCCGCAGAGTTTGGCAACTTCTCCAATAATCTCGCAAACCTCTTCTTGTCGGGGAACCGTTTGTCCGGGCCTTTGCCTCCAAGCATCGGCATTATCCCCCGGCTCGTGACGCTGGATGTTTCCCGCAATCAGCTGTCAGGGTCTATCCCGCCAACGATTGGCAACCTGTCCTATCTCGGGACGCTCCAGCTTGCCGACAACCAACTTTCCGGCAGGATTCCAGGCGAGATTGGCGACCTGGGGGGTGCGGTCAGCCTGTTCCCGACTTCAGGACTGAATCTGTCCTACAACAACCTCTCCGGTCCAATTCCAGCTAGTTTGGGTCGGCTCACCGGGCTTTATTATCTCGACCTGTCCTCCAACGGTCTGTCAGGAGCCTTCCCGTTCTCGTTTGCCAAGTTTCTCAAGCTCGAGTTTCTGGACCTCTCGTACAACTCGTTATCTGGGCCGTGTCCTACTTTTGGCAAGCTGCCGCTTCTTGGTGCAATCCTGCTCAGGAATAACGGCTTTTCGGGGCCCATCTCCAGCAGCATTGGCCAGTGCCCCATTCTTTACGGCCTGGATCTCAGGAACAATAGCTTCTCAGGGCCGATCCCCCCTGCCCTGGGCTCGTTCCGGATCATGGACACTTTGCTCCTGAGTGACAACCAGCTCACGGGTACGGTCCCAGTGGAGCTTGCAGGGTTAACCCGGTTAACGTTCCTGGGTATTGCTGGCAATAACCTGACTGGGCCCATGCCTGCGGAGCTCGCGGGGCTTTTGAAGCTGACGTTGCTTGACGTGTCACGAAACCCGGCATCGCTGGGGAACCTCCCATCGAACTTTAGCCGGCTGCACAACCTGACGCAGCTCAGTCTGCCGGGCCCTGACATCCCCGCGTGGCTCCGGTCCTCCAGAAGTCTCCGTGCCATTAGCTTTGCCGGCGCGCAGGGGGGCTGTCCTGTAAGGGGCCGCGAGTTGGATCTGTCGCTCCTCCCCCAAACCTGCAAGTATGTCTCACTGCGGGACCACTGCCCACGGCTGCGCGCGCTCAGGCTGTGGGACGCCTGCGACAGCGGCTGCGCGATCAATTTGATCGGAACGCGCGCGCGCCTCGCTCGGAGGACCCGGGAGGAGGTGTGCTTGGGGAGGGCCTCCGCCTTCCTGCAGGGCGACTCGCCGGACTTTCAAACGGGACGTGACGGCGAAATCTTCTTACAAAATCGCCAGGTCAACCTGTCCCTGTTCGACCCCGACTTTGTGGATCGTGTGGACTTGGGCCCCGACGGAGAAGCGTATACCGGCGTGAGCTTCGTTAAAGTGCAGCGGGGCAACCTGTGTGGCAATTCCGAGGCGCTCACTGTCATATTCATCCTTTACTCGGTCTTTGGGGCGGGCGCACTGCTGGGGTCTGCAGGCGCGTGGTTGCTGGCGCGCCGCCTACGGAAACAGGTCCCCAAACCCGAGCCTCGGCCTTCCACATGGGTGACATTCCTGAAGCGGCTGCCTTATGCAGAAAAAGTCGTCACTGTTGTATCGACGAAGGCGATTCCCACGGGGGTTTATTTATGGGGGGTCCTCGGGCTCGGCTTGACATATTACGACCTCGGGACGGATATCTTGGTGCTACGAGAGCTCTATGGGGCGTGGCCATTTTGGGTAGGCCTGGCCAGTCTCCTGGCTTCTGTGGTGGCAGCGGCGATCACGGCGACGATCGTGCTCCTGCACAAGGGGCTCCCTTCGGGGCACGTCTCGTTCACCTTTGACGCGTTTCTCCCTCGCAGTCTGCCTCTGAAGGAGCGAGCCCCCCCACTCCCGCTCTCGGCAGGGCAGTCCCTAGCCATACTCGTACTTTGGCCTTTGGCCGTGCCTTTGGTGCTGCTTTTGGACCTTCTGGGAGTTTTGGATCGGGTTGGGGTGCACATAAAGGCACAAGGTACGGTCTTCCTCATGGAGCCGTGGCTTGACGCGCGCGGCTTTCTCGATACTTTGCTGCGGAGCGTCCCTTCCGTGATTCTCCAGACGGTCGTTTATTGGCTGGGCAGTTCAAGGTCGACGAGGCTTTACTTCGATGAGGTCCTCTTCATCCAGTCTAGCACCGGTGCTCTGAGTACCATGCTTTACCAGATTATTGATGCTTCCTGGGAAGCCTTTTATTCTCCCAGGCCTGAGTATCCTTGGAACCCCGTGGCAAGGCGCTTGAGTAACGTAAAAAGGTCTTGGAAGGTAGACAAAAATGAGGATGTTGGTGAGGAAGATTCTCTGAAGCTGGGGGTTTCCTCGAATGCGGGCTTCGTCGATAAGAGTGGCGACCTTTACCCTTGAGATGTTCTCCTCGATGATCGATTCCCTCTTGTTGCGTGTAGAAGTTGGGAAATCAATCATCATTAAACGGTCCGGTAGATTGCATTCGGTAGATCGTCATCTTGCACTTTACGCATTCGGTTTATGCATGTACGAAATGTGCCTAGGTCGAACTCCACATGATGAGTGCCGTAGTCTCGCCAAACTCTGCAGGAAGATCATGATTTGAGAGCGACCGCAGGGCCTACCGTGTATCCGATAACACATAAAGGTTCTTAAAGAAAAACTTCTTATGGGGGAGGCGGGTTGAGGATCCCCAAGACCAAGCTAAAAACAAACAATATTGATATACAAAACAGTGTGTTGGCCAAGCCAACTCAATGTCAGAATTGAGTGCCCTCAAATGTCAATGATACGACCAGAAGCAGCAGCCGTGACAAGATCTCCGCGGCCAATGAAACCTGACATCACTAGAGGCCTCGCTCCTATTGGGGCGCCGAGACCGTGCCCTGGGGCGCCCGTGCGGGGGCCGCATCGCGGCTATGGATAGCGACCGCGTCGCACAGACCTGCCGCCCGCGCTAGTCCCGTTAATAGCGGGCCCGCCGTACGTGGGCGGGTCGGGCGCGGCCGCGCCAATCCAGGGCCGCGGCGCCCGTGTCAATCTGCATTGTATGCAGAATTGCAGCGAGTCCGACTCTACATTACCATGTGGATAACGGCACTGATAAGTGGAAATTCCTACTGCAATTGCTTGCAAGCTTACCATAGAAAACAAGACACGACACGACGAGCTGCATAGACGGCAGCTACTGGTACTCACTGAGCACTGGCGGATTGGCAATAACTTGCTCATGCATGCTCATGTCATGGACGTGTTACATAAGCTTCATCCAAAATCTGCATCGACTTTGGAAATACATCCTATTGCAAGCAGCTAGCAAGTAACTTCACAATTATAAGTGCAGAGATTGCGCATACCAGTTCATATTGCAACCGATCAAGCGGCAGACTTGTCTTGGGGATCTGGTCATAGAGTACAACACCTGGCAACATTCTGCACGGGGTGCTCTTTGTCAAGCACAGTACGTTCCAGTCCTTTGGCACCTGCCGTAGATATCGCGGCAAGGATACGTTTTGTCAAGACTGAGGGGCCGACACTGTCCCTCAGCGCGTCAATGCCACAGTGTTTTGCTCTTATTCAATCATTGGGGTTTGACTGCAGGGGGTCATGGCGAAAGGAAGAGACGTCACTGAGGACTATGACGTCCCTGAAGGCCACACAATTGTGGAGATTCTGAACTACCAACCTGACGCAAGCTACCGGGGCAAGTTTGACATCAAGCACCTGGTGAGCGTTTTGTTCTTGCAACCTTTGGTTTTGCAGCATGCCAGGGGGCTAATTCTTTAGTCATGTGTGGGCGACCCTTGCCGAGATTAAAGACCTTCTTTCAACATTCTTTCTTCAATTCACAGATGGAGATTGTTCCTGTTTATACTTGCGTCTCCTGGATTCAGGGTACTAATGAAGATTGAACGTAATGTCGTTGATGTTTCGTAGATTTGCTTTTTGTCGAATCGTGAATTTTGATCTGCCACAGGTCTTAATCAGAATTACGGTTTTCGTACCTAAACGACTCTATCAGGCAGCTGCTGGGCTGGCAGGCTCTTGTCAAAACCAGGCCCTGTCCTAGAGTCAACCTTCATTCATAACCCAGGTCAATCCAAGAATGACCCTCAAGTCTGCCAACCGTACTGAAGCATCCGACAGCTGTCAGAATCGCGCCTCCCTAGATCTATCCCACAGACAACCCCGCTTAGAGAAAGAATTGTTCCAACTCCAACAGACTCCCAACAAGTACCTGCATGTTTCTTCCTTAGTGAGAACCCCGCAACTAATGCTGCATTCTCACTTGCAGGTAATCTGGACGTTTGGAGACTATACGGTGCACATCACAAACGCAGGCATCCCGATCCACCATCTTCTCAGTCCCATCATTGGGCTCAGTGCTGAGGATGCGCGGAAGCGAGCCCCCCGGGTGAAGGCACATATGGAAGCCAACAAGCAGCGCGCCAACGACACCACCATCAAGTACCAGGAGACCGGGGGCCAGTGAGTGTAATATCCTTTGTTAAGTTTCCTTTATCTTTTTGCTACCTTCGTTTTCCTACTATAGCAAACGAAGTTCCTCAGGTGCTGCACTTCGGAGTCCCGCATGCGCCACTTTTAATCCGAGTCGTTCTCGAACTTCACCAAAATATGGACACTGTAGTGCCATGTGGAGCAAAGGGCTGCCACCTGCCTCCCGGCGCCAGCTGTCACTTGCCTGACCTTCAAATCTGTGGAGTCGCGAGAATCTGGAAGTTTTCCAAGCGGCGTGCAGCGCATGCAGTCTGAATGTCTCGTCAAAAGGTAAACCGTCCTTGTGCAGGGACACGCTTGCGGTGAATGCGATTGGTGTCGACTACATCCTGCACGACTACATTTGTCCACAGATCCCGAGGGAGCGGCGCGAGAAGTTTGCACGGCGTTACGCAGCCATGCTGCACAATATCCTGAAGCGGCTCGAGGTAAGTCTCTGCGACCGCCAAAGTCGAGAGCTCTTTCGTGATACCTGTCCCTGTCGTACGAAGCATGCTTTGGGAACAAGTCGTCAAGCGGCTTAGATTAGAACTTGGACTTGCAGGTATTCTTTGAGAGCACAATCTTTTGATACAGACCTGGTACCAGTCGCTCTCACGAAACAGCGTGAATCAGAGAACAGGCCAAATTCGACTCGCGACAGCTGTCTAGTTAGTGGGCACTTTCAGTTCAAGCGTTCTTTACAGGGTTGCATGTCTCACTCCCCGATGTTTGCCCCTGCAATAAAGGAATCGGCTGCTTAGAATTGAAGAAGACATCGGCATTTCTTAGGCATTTATTGACCTGCTCAACCTTTGGATTCAAAGAAAATAGTGGGCTGCTCTTCGGAAGAGGTAGCCCCCTTTAAATCTGCTTGTTACAACAGAGTCCGCTTTCCTCGATCAGGATTCAGGCGTGAGGATGTGTCACACATTATCCAATTTGTGATTCTGGGAGATCTATCCAAGCCCGCGACTATCCCGCCAGATTGCCTGTCAAATACTCGACACCAAACCTGGAAGTCCATACCAGAAGCCGACCCCCGGAACAAGAAGCCTAAAACTCCTTAATTCATCTCCCGTAACACAAATTTCAAGAAGCGGAGTTCCAGACAATCAGACTTGAAACTTCTCGTCTGTTCCAGATGCTTGCCGGGAGGGTCATCAGGCGGCTAAAGGCGGGCAGCCGCAACTACAACGACCTTCTTCTGCCCGGTCCTTTAGCCCAACCCGCCAAACCCGCGGGCCCAGCGCTGGTCATCTTGTCGCGCGTGCGCCCATCGGACATGCTGCGCCTCCCCCGGCCCTTCCCGCCGCTGCTGAACGCCTCCCCCCAAAATCCGCTGCTGAGAATGCCCCCCGCGCCGAACCTGTTGCCGCCGCTGCCCCCCTCGGAATCGCCACGCGCGCCAAGTCCTCGGCCAAGACCGTCCCTGCTCGTCGCAACGTCGAACCCGCTGATTCCGCTGACCCTGAGTCCGCTGCTCGGGCGCCGGAATCCGGCGCAGCCGACTCCGAAGGCGCTTCCACTGAGCCGGAATCCACCTCGCCAGCCTCCGACGCAAGCTCTCCCAGCCCCCCCGAGCCAAAGCGGAGACGGCTGGCGGGACTTGGAGAGGTTAACGGGGCGTTTAGCGGGGTGGTTCATGGCGCGGTTAGCGCAGCGGAGGCCGACTCCGAAGCGTCTGAAGCGGGGACGGAGAGGAAGTGGGAAACTAAGCCGGAGGGGGGGAAGAAGAAAGAGGGAGCCAAGCTGAATCACTGCGGGTGCTCAAAAGTAGACGAAGCCGACTTTCGGGCGTATGAACAAGAGGAGAGCCGGGTGATGGCCCTCAGCCTGCGTCTTATGCAGAGCATAATCGAGCAGCAGGTGAGTGACGGTAAAAGGACACCACAGGAACGGGATGCTAAGCCAGCTGCGGTGACAGTTCGTCACAAATCTGTTTTGTGTCGAGTTTTGCGTCGGAAGCTTTCTTTTTACACGGACTTGGTTTCGCTTGTCGCTTTGATCGGTCATCGGATCTTTCATACACGGTCACGAGCCTCGCAAGCTTTACTTAGGAGATTCATCTGAGAAGAGTCGTGTCCCCCTCCGGCTTCCTAGAAGGCGGCGTATCGTTATGCTTGTCCGGAGGTTCAGTGCTGCCGAATCGAATGTGTGTAAAAGTGTCCTGTCTTGACCAACGCGTTGGCCCCCCTTTGCTTCCGTTTTTCCAGCCGTGTGTTCAAAAACTCTATTTTTCTCGACAAGCGCGAGTATGCCAACCTCCTTGATTGGCCCCGATTTTCCTTGAGCAGAGTGCTTGCCAATCTCCGCGAGACTGCGTCCTGGATTTTCACTCCTGCTCCGACCCGTTCGAGATGAGAGTCCTTACAAACATCTTTGTGTTCTCTGTTCTTGTAGCCGGCGCATGAGAGGCTGTCGTTCCTACAGGAGCTGTGCACTAGAAACGGGTACGGATGCAATCTGGTGCGAGTGGCTCCACCGTAAGTCCTATTCCGCAAAGCTTTCCGTTGTTCTTGCCCGATGTGGTTGCCTCTTTCTGATGAAAGAAAACTTGACAGGATGCCTCGACCATTATCGTTGCATCTCTCAGATCCTTGTCAGATTGGGAAAGGTGACCTATGTCTTTTGCCTTGTTGACTCGCTTGATTGTTAGTTCGGAGTCTTATTTGCGATGAAGCAGCATATAAAAAAGGAGTTTCCTGTTTATTGAAGACTTGAGTTAAATCAGAAGCCCCCATTTGTGACCGTTTACCACTCCGGCTTGGAAAGCCTTCGGTGTGATATCGGTTCGCAAGCATAAAGACCAGAGCGAGGACCCTAACAGTGCCACGGCGTCAAAGCAGGTACTTCGTGAAAGTTGCTCTCTTTGCCGTAACCAGTCCTTTCAACTCGACGAGCTTTACCTTTAATGCTGCAACCACCTTTTCCATTGTATGTACACATCATCGACCAGAAGCCCACACCACTCCTCCTTTTTTCATTTGCTTTTAATTTGCTTTTGATTAAGTGATAATTGTTAAAATCATAATAATAATTAAAGTCTAAAATGTTATCTCCGCCCCAGGCCCCAAACGCCCCTCGAGCTGCTGCACGGTCCCCTCGCCCCGGTCATCGCCACCCTTGACTACGTCATCGAACACGTGGCTTCCGTCATCAAGGAAGCGCCCATCAAGTCCGCCATCGAGGCCGTGATGCAAGATGATACGGACGTCCGGAAGCTGTACAACTGGAAGGCGAACCTGTCCGCAAGCGGCGAGTACTGCTTCACGCACGACCCGAAGCGTCCGGGAAAGCCGCCCGTAGAGGACACGCCGTATGGAGCAGCTCCGGCGCAACTTGTGAGTGACACGTGTCGATATCTTCAGTTTCATGTTTCGGTCGGTTTTGAGGCTTTGGTTTCCGGTTTCAAAGAAATACAGCCGGCACGCAATCAGGAGGGGCAAGGCTCGGCGGTGTACAGACTGCGCCCCCGAGTGAGCGACTTGTGAATGATTTGACGGGATTTGGAGCAGTTTTGGGAGTTGTTGGCGATTTTAGCATCAAGAAACGCACCTGATCACATGTCGGTAGAGGACGCACCGCACAGGCCGTAAGACCAGCTGCGCTCAACATTCAAGTGGTGTGCCTGCATTCCATGCCTCCAGACAATCAATTTCTGGGTTTGGGTTTTGGGTTTTGGGTTTTGGGTTTTGGGTTTTGGGTTTTGGGTTTTGGGTTTTGGGTTTGGGTTTGGGTTTGGGTTTGGGTTTGGGTTTGAGTTTGGATTCTGGGGCTGGGTCTGGGTTTGGGGTTGAGGCCTTGATCGCTGGGAGTCCGGCGGGCGACACGCCATCTTCAGTATGGGAAGCCCACATACGATGTGCTTATAATGACAGGCCAACCTTTCGGGGTCTTTAGCAAAGTTGCTTTTGATAACGCTTGAGCCTTCTCTTGTGCAACCTCACACGCAGCGACGGTTCAAATAACGAGGTTCGAACGGGAAGTTAATCTTCCTTTGAGATGGACCGACGTCTGCGGCCGGTACCAAGGGCCGGAAACGCGCCCGCGAGGGACAACTTCAGACAAGCGCACCGTTCAATCCGCAAACTTTCCTTCTAAGATGACCATGTCCAAGAGAAGCAATGCTTGAAACACTTATCCAACACAAAACTCCAACCCCCAAGTCTTCCAACATCATGCCAGGCCCAAAGGAAATCACCAAATAAGATAAGCGCACTGGCACGACTACCATAGCAGGCCCTAGTCGAAAGAGTCTTTCATCGGCCCTGCTAGGCCTCTCTGAGAAGAAGTTTAAGGTGGGCGTAGGACGTGCACGTCCGTCCAAGATCGCACGGTGCTCGGAGCATCACCAAACCGACGTCCAAAATTGCGGGCGTCAAAGTTCTGACGCCGTCAGCACTTACGGGTGACGGTCGAAAATCCCAGCGCTCACTATAAGACCATCGGCATCCGCTGACGCATGCCGTTGCGCTTTCTCGCAGGCGGCACCGGAAGCGGTGCGAGCAGCTTATTCCCAGCGGCGCGCGCTCCCCCATCAGCTGGGGCTGTCTCGGCGTCCGACAGTGGAGCCTGAAATTGGCCCAGTCCGCGTGCTCCCTTCACTGGTGGTTAATCCACGGCGAGGTTAACGGTAACCCAGCCGCCCCCCTCAGCCCCGCGGACGACGAATTGGCGGCTCAGGTACGGTAACCTCTTTTAACAAGCAAGGTTGCCGGTCAGTGAACCGTCCCAGCTTTGGTGGGCTCTGGTTGTGCTCAATTGATTTAACGGCCAATTGTATAGATGAGAACCCGGGGGACGGGGGGGGAGTAGGGAGCTTAGGACAGGTATGGGTGCGGAGCGTTGTAATGTTTTAGGTTGGTGTTTCATAGTTAAGGGCCCTTGCCTTTTGTATCTTAACTTGAAATCATTCTGCTGATGATCCTTTCTAGAGTTCCCAGAATCTTTGGTGGGCTCTATGATGCCGGAACCTGATCGCTTAATGCAGGGTCAGCGTTAGCACTTGCTACGAGGGCTCCTCACTGTATTCTTGCGGCGGAGTGCCACGTGGCGCAATGAAATCGTGGACCTGTTGATCAGCTAGAAAACCGGCGGAATTGAACTTGACAGAAAATAAATCTGTGCTTAGCAGATCTTTAGTAACCGAGCCTCGTTGGAATGGTACTGCGGATCCGATGTCTGCTTGCAACGGTCTCGTGCCCTGCTGTCAAACAACTTCACCCTAGTCCCGGGCGTTAACGTCATGCTACCCGGATATTGTCTGATCCGAAGTCTTTGGGGCATGCAGGTGCGCCGCCTCGAGGGGTACTGTAACCGGGTACTGTAACCGGGTACTGTAACCGGCACCCTCTGGTCACTGCAGGAGGCGCTGAGGCAACTAGAGCTGGGAACGATCATTGAGTGCCGAGAATGGCGCTGCTGAAGGTGAGGATCTTATGTTAGTTGGCATTCCGCTCCGGTCCATCCTGTTCCGTTCCAGCCGAGTCTCTTCCGTTCCGCTTTGTCTGGTTCCATGCCGTCACGTTTGGGCGGTCGGGAAGAGCTTAAGGTAGCCGTAAAACCGTTCTTTCTCCGGTGAGTTTGGCACCGCGAGCGAGGTGAGGAGTGAGTATATGGACGACAATCACTTCCTTCTGCTCCTTCAATCCGTTCCGTTTCGCCGTCGTTGCTTCCTCGAGCAAGCCCATTTTGACTTTAGCCGTATGGACGAGCCCTGAATATCTGGACTCTGTAGTCCTAGTTCGCTCGTGCCTGTTCCGTTTATTTCAGACTTCATTCCGTTCGTATTTTGGCGGAAAGGCCAGTGGTCCAAAGGTGAAGCGGAACTCCGCTGTTGCTGGTGCGCTACGAGTGGTTGAGTCCCTTGTTGGTACGCTGCCTCAACTTTGTGTTGTTTGTGGTGCTCTGATCTCCATTTGTGTTGTTGTAATCCATCTGTTCCCTTCCTCTTAATTCCAGTCAGTTCCGCCCTTCCAACTCGTTATCCCTTCCCTTGGCGGAAACCCTTTGTAGCTTTCCGTCTCTGTTGAGGTGAAGGGCGCGATGCCGCGTCACGTATAAGCGGACAATACGGTGTGAATGCTCCGCGCTGATTGCTCCACTCCTTCTTTTGGTTCCCTTGATTTCCGGCTGGCCTTAAGACCTGCAGATTGGCTTCAAAGCGGTCAAAGCTTTCATGCCTTTCGGTTATTACTATTGTGGTTCTTTAAAAACGGGGTTCTGCGTTGGCCCTGAAACTGACGACCTTCATTAGAGTTGGGTGGAAGAACGACACGGGAAAGTATAGTTGCGCATACTTCTTGGACTTTCCCAAGAACACGTTGCCAGTCCTTAAAGGGAGGCTTTGCTCAGATCATTCTTTGGCGATCTTGCGTCAGCACGAGGCGCACTCAACAAAAAACGCAAGTCGCCTTGTATGCAACGCTGTCAATCAGTCAATCTTTGTAATTCGCCACTGGCTGCACAAAATAAATATCGTTTCGCTTTCTGCGTATTTAACGTCGCCTTCTAGATGGCCTCAAATCTATCTTCAACCAGTGCAAAGGCTTTACATTGCATTGCAGGGAGGGCAGGAAGGCGGGGCTGGGCGAAGGGCGCAGATCAAAGGCAAGGGGAGGCTGCCGGAATCAGCAACAGAATGTCGAAAGAGGGACCGGTGTAGATTGACTGTATTTTCCAGATCATTGTAACAAGCAGAGCATAAGCTAAGGTGATGCGGACGAAACGTCGCTTGTTAAATAGATGGTGTGAGACGAGGGGAGAATAGCGATAAGCTTTCGTAATACATAGCAATTGCGGACGGAAGGCCAAAGGACAGGTTGCAGCCAGTTTGTTGACTCTGCTAAGGCCGCAATCACCGACAGAACTTGCTCAGGGCCATGTGCGCGCTAAGGCAGCCAGAGAGCGTTGCATTTGTGCTGGTAGGGTTCGATCAGGAAGACTAGGTGCAGTGTAAAGTAATATACCGGCGCATGCTTCGACGTAAGACCCATATCGTTGGGAGTTACAATTGATACGATCGGAGAGGAATGGAACGGCCGCTTCTTCTGCCGCAATTGCATCAGTGACCTTTAATTGAGTCGGAACTCGGGCCCTTGTTATCATACCATTATATATGTACGTTCGTTCCATGGGTTCATAGCATCGATCCGGCTGCGGTAAGAATAAACTAGCCAGGGTGGTTATCAATTGACCACATGTGTGTATATATGTCTTGTCAAATCAGTTGACCATGACGGTGTGGGTAAAGACAGCCTCGTAACATGCATGTACCGGGCGCCTTAGGAAACTGATTTGACTCAGTAGCCTGGGCGTTTTGCCGACTCAGCCGTCAGGGCCCGTCGGTACATGTATAGGGCGGCGGATTCCAATTTTCATAGAACCCAAACACTTCACGGGTTTGCACCAATTTCCAAGCGTCCAAACCGGCCCAAAGAGTTGTTGACATCATGAGCGTTCAAGCGGCATGCAGTATGCGCAGTACGTTCGCCTTGCTCGATGTTTAAAGAGAGTGCCAAGAGAACGATAGTCTGGCCGTCCGACCGACACTGGCACGGCAGAATATCCCCAGACACTGCAAGCAGCAGACAATTCATCCTGCCACTGGTTTCAAGTATATAACTGTGATGGTTCAAAATCCAAGGGTTCGGTAGGATAAAGCAGACTGAGAGCTCTCGACTAGATATAGAGATCCACTCTCATTCAAGCCATGCGCTCGTCGGATCGGAGGCCGGTCAAACGCCCCCGATGGACACAGGCTTGATCTGGGAACTGAATGCGGCCAGCTTTTAGTCCAAATATTACTTGTGTCAGGGGATGCGACCACACTTATTGAGCTCCATTGAGAGAACATTACAGGTCTCCGTGGTCTATCTGTATACTACGCCTGTCCTAAACCTCTGTTGATCACGAGAGTCCCTTGAACCCAGTCCGGGGTGTCTCTTCCTCACGGCAGACTCGGTGATACGAATAAGCAGACGTCCACACTTGGAAACAAGTCCACTAGCATGCTATCCTACCGTTCTAGAAAGCCCAATCAGCTGACTGGGCTTGCCTTGGCCTCCGCAACCTCAATCAACACCTTCGCAGAACCTGCAAACATCGAGAGAATCGAATCATTGATGATTGAGCTGCTGCCACAGGGTGCTGATCACATTTGCTGAGCGCTTTTGCCACCGGTACTTTTCCCTCAGCAGGACCTTGCCGCAGTTATAAGTCATTGCCCGCCCTACAACACGTGTTGACCATCCACTTTGCCTCTTCACGGACTTTCTAAGCCGCGGAGCAAAGCGTACATTGAGCAAAGCGTAAAAATAACTCGTGAGCAACACGTCATCATAGTAGTCACTATCTCATCGTCTACCTTTCCATTAAAGCCAGCGTTTCCTCATCAGACAAAGAAAACGAACATGTACAGTCGTCATACTTGTTGGAAGTTGATACGGATTAGGACTCCAGTGAGATCAGGCCCAGATAAACAAAATTGTCAGTACGGGAGACAGCTACGTGCTATAAACGATTGGGCACCAGCTGAGGAGGTCTCACTGTCGAATTCACTGGATGGCTAGCGCTTTCCGACGTTGACGTGATCAGCCTCAGTGCTAGAAGGAACCACGTCGGGGTAAACATCAGCAAACCGTCAGCAGAGAGGCGATCCTCACCGTTGAACTTGACGAGGCGGGCCAGCGCTTTTCTCGGCCAGCCAAGGCGTCCTTCCCGTTTGCTTGTACCAAGCTGGCTGGCGCTTCCCGAAAAGGAACGAAGGTCGACGTGTTCATACGACGAAAGCAAAAACGTTGAGCCAAACTTCAGCCTGAGAGGTGATCCTCACCGTTGAACTTGACGAGGCAGGCCAGCGTTTTCTCGGCCATGCGCTGGATGCCGTCGCGGTCGCACCGCTTCATCGCGACCACCGGGTCGACCGCCCCCGCTTGGAGCAGCCGCGCCGCGTTCGACTCTGCACCCAAATAGGCGGGTTCTTCCGTTGTCACTTCGACTAGTGGTGATGTTTGATTGTCGGGTCTGTATATTTGTCAGTTGTGCCTCAAGGTGGTTCCCGGTTCCTCTTGTCTATCAGTGTTTTCGGTCGTGGCTCAATAAACGACGGTCTCTGGGGCATCGGGGAGCGGGATGATGGCGTTCGATTTTAAACAAACGAGACGCGCGTTCGACTCTGCATTCAAGGATGTTAGAAATTATGCATTGCGGCTCATGGGGATTAATCTCTGCTTTGATAGAAAGCGAAATCAAGGCGCCCAGCAGATCTACAGAAATGGGACGGCGCCTTCGACTCTGCACTCGGAGGTTTTGCGAGTGTGTAACCTGAGTCTCATGAGCGACGTTTCTTGGGGACGTCAGGAAGATTTCTGAGTCCACCAAACCAGAAACGACAAAGAGCGAAGTCTTGTTTCCTCCTGACGTCGACCTGAAAAGGGGCGCGAACGGTCTGCTCGCGTGTCAAGGACTTTTCTGCCGCGCCGTTTCGCTCTGAGGGATCCGCTGCATCAGATTCTGCGACGTTGTTCGGCCGTAAGAAGATTCTGAGGTGACAGCCAGACGAACTTACTAATGGCGGCGTCGACATCAGTTGAAGGATGATTGTTTTGAGCCAAAGAAGATTGCTTGGAGCGAATGAGTTGTGCCGTTTAAGTAGGATTCGCAGGCCGGATCAAGTATCGAGCGGCTAGCGCTCCCTCGTACGGAAACGACAGTTCCTATCGCCTTGAACAGGTTCTGTCCGATCCCTTCAATAACGACTTTATTATCTTCCTCACGGTGTACTAGTAGATGTTGTGACGATGAATTGAAACAGGTCGAAGCGCAGTGTTATTTTTGGGCAATAAATTCGCGGCGTCTATCTGTGCGAGGCAGTGGAGCGCGCGGTCTGCGCGCGCTTTCCAAAAGGCCAATCCCAACACAAACGCGCGCGCAGCCCACCTCTTTGCGCGAGGCTGTAGAGCGCGAGCCCCGCGTGCTTCTTGACGGGAAGGCTGGGAGATCCCGCCATCTCGACCAGGCAGCGCAGGCCGCCCTCGTCGAGAAACTGGTCCGCCTTATCGTCTGGCAAGAGAAGCGGATGAGCATGATTAAAGAATGCCGGATTTCGCCAGAGGAACATGGCAACAGCACAAGGTTGAGGGAGCCCAGGCTGCCTTTTACATACTCGAGATTCTTTACGGCCTCTTTTAAGCAGTCTGGAAGAACAGCGCCCGAAAGGTTCAGTACTACCCCTCACTTTGACCCACGTCGGACTGAGTAGACGGCAGTCAGAACGGTACGAATGCAGCCCAGAAGCTTTTCTAGTCCATTCGTTTGGTCCGGGAATGCTTCCGCTGGTTTGACAAGATGCCAGAACTCCACGAGTTTTTATGCATTCTCATGACTAGCAGGTCCCCAGTCTTGTGCCTCTGTTCGTAACATCATGAGGGACAAGAGGGAGAAAAGGAAGCGGTCCTCACATTTGACCACGAAGTTGGCGATGCCCCGGGCCACCTGCGCCAGGACGTCCGGGTGCTTGCTCGCGGCCATGGAGACGAACGTCCGCATGCCGCCCGACTGCACCAGCTGCTCCTTCAGCGCCACTGCGGAGCGGAACGGAACGAGCGGAAGGGAATTAAGGCCGGCGGGAAAATGAAATACTTCAAGACATAATTTGATGTCCTCCAATTTACAGCGGCTATGACAATAAAGGAATTGGCAGGGTAACTTCAAGAACATGCGACAAGGATCGCATAATCCTGACCGTTCCTGCAAGGCTAGAAACCAAACAGATTGCTCTTCGGTCTTTCTGTAAAGTCTTTCTGTCTTAACTCAATGATCCAAAGAATTATAGATCAGACACCGATATTCGAGATTTGAGAAACCCAGCTTCAAGGCTAAAAGAGCCGTTGATGCGAAGCCAACCAATGAAAAGGTAAGCTTACGGTTTCCGCAAAGGTTGGCGATCGCGCCGGCCACCATCCGCTGGGTTTGTGGGTCGACGGCGGTTTGACCCAGGTTAACCAGGACCGGCAAACCGCCCTCCTCGACTATCCGTAGTTGATTGGGCTCTGCAGTGGGTTAGCGAGGCTGGGCGTAAGCAGGCAGTCAATTTTGTTTTTGAGTGGTGCATTTGGTTTAGGCTATTTTCAGATTCGTTGACAGGCTGATACTTCTGTTCGTAACGGCCTAGCCTTATGCTATGGAGTCCAAATGCATTCTCCCCGAACCCACGCCAAGTTGGAATATCGCTGTTTTTAACCTTCCCGCAGTGTCCTCAAACGATGGCTATTGTTTGAGGTCATGCACTGAGAGGCATGCAAACGCTGCTGACCCTTCCCTTTCGGATCTCTTGCAAAGGCAGTTCAAGATGTGCATCCTCAACCAATTTGCGCTTCTGTCGAAAGCTCCAGAGAAGTGCCCATTCTCACCGCTCATGGCGAGGTTCGCGATCGCGCCGGCCGCCAGCCGGTGCGTCGTCTCGTCCGTAGTTCGAGTGATAAGGTCGAAGAGCGCCCGGAGGCCGCCCAACCGGACGATCTCTTGTTGGTGACTCTCTGCACATAGGCCTCGGAAACAAGTCAGAACAATCGCGAGCGGGCACTATTACAACTACATACAAGTTTTCAATTAGGGGACTTTTCTACGATTCTTATCAGCCGGTATGAGCTCTCGAAAGAGTGGTCCTTTTGCCTGCGCGGCGCTCAATTCGGGCTCAACTCCTTCTGATGACAGCGTGGCGGACTCTCACGGTCAATGCGGCGGAATAGCGAGGCAATCCACGTACTTGCTCCTCATGAGACTATCATTTGAAGGACGCTGCTAATGCAAATGTTCTCAGAGGATCTGAAAATGGTCTCCAAGGTCTCCCGCAGACAGTACCTTGAGCCGCCAAGTTGGCGAGGGCCTTTGTAGAGGTCCTGCAGATGTCGACGTCGTCCGACTTGAGGAGCACCAGCAGGTTGCCCACGCCGACTGCACCAAAAGCAGGGCCTCCAATCAGCTTTTCACCAGTTCACCAGTTTTTTTCACCAGTTCACCAGTTTCACCGCAAATCTAGTCATTAAAGACATGCGACAGCTCTTTGTAGATCTAAGGTACCTAAGCTCAGGAACTGACCGCCTCTGTGTCCCTAGCCATCATGGTCAAAAAGGAGACGCTTGAGATCAGATGCCTTCACAAGTTGGGGTCAGATACGTCCCATTAGATTTTCAACTTTGGAATGGCTCAAGACTCTCTGTGTGCAACCCCATAGATCCAATGAACGGGATCTACGGTTGCCGGGATATACGAGCGCGGGTTTCAATAGCAACGACAGCCCTGGATAGTTGGAGCCTTAGAATCGCCTCAGAGAGCTGCCTCCGAGGTTTCCAGATTGCTGACGTTTGTAGACCTCCTCCTGAAAGTCCCTCGTTACTTTTGTGTCAGCTGATGCAGCGATCCTTCGCACGAACGTTGGGATTACATTAATCGCAGTCACCACAACTTAAAGGTATATTTTACGATCCTTCAAGAGAGATAGGAAAAGGAAATATTTCGTCACTCCGACGTCGGGTAATTCGCGCGTACCTTGCTCAAAGAGCTTGGTGGTCATGGCCAGCTGGAGCTTCAGCTGCTCGACCTCCTTGGACTGCGTCCCGAGGGACGCTTTTTGCTCGGTGACTAGGGCGTTCAGCTCCGCGATCCGGCCGGGTTCTTCTACCGGCGGGGCAGCCGCGGCGTCCTTCTTTTCAGACTTGCCCCAGAAGCTCGACTTCTGCGAAGGAGGAGCATGAGAAGAAGCAGCCGTTAAGCTCAGATCGGCTATTGCAGACAAGATTTAATTGCTCGACTTTTGGCTTCTACATATGAAATGCAAAGTGCATAGCTGGGAATCAATGATATCGTTACTTGCAACTGAAAAGGCAGTATCGCCCCGGATGAACCCAACTTAATGAGAAGCTCCGCTTAGACCTAGTGTCGTTTGGATTAGGGGGGGGTAGAGCACCAAAACACTCTGTTGGCTTTGCCCGAAATTTTAATTGGAAATTTTTCTGGCTGCGGTGACTAGAGAGCTCACGGCCTTTGGAAAAACAAGGATTTGGGTAGCCGTTGAATGTAGCGCAAACAAATGCTGGTTTGCAAGAACACCCTTGACAGTTCGTCAAAATGGTTTGCTGACGTAGAGCTGTCTGAAGCTCATCAGATTTCATCAAATTGTACGCTCCTTCGCGTCCGTTCTTTTGACGCTTGAGAAGCTAGTTAAGCAACTTCATCAGGATTAGGCTTACCGTTTCAGCCAGAGACGCGTTCAACTTCTTGCACCGCTCCTCTGAGTCGGCCAGCTCGCGTCGCGTCTGTTCATGGGCGGTCTTCTCATCCTGCCACGTGGCATCCGACGCGCAAAGTTAGGCTTGGCCTTCGACGCTCGGGATTGAGAGTATGCACGTCTTCTGAGCCCTTCTTTTCTCTTGATTATTCACAATATTGACCGACAAAGAACTTGGAGTGGCCTACTTGCGAGCGGGTAAGTTGTTGCATAGCAACCGCACACGAATACTCAAAGAAATCGCTTGACGCCCAAGACGGCCTTCTGACTCTGAGAAGAAACTCGGGTTGTCACAAGATCATGTTTTGAAGGGACGACTGAATCCTTTTCACCCCTCACGAGTACGCACTTCAAGTTGGAGCAAGGAGATTTTGGAGGCGGAAAGCCCGAAAAAGGTGCGAATCGTTGTTAGTACTTCAGACAACAGATGTTTCCAAGGTTTTCTGGATTTCGTTACGCACCTCGATCCGTCTTTCCAGCTCCTTCTCTTCTTTGAGCGCAAACGCAGCCTCCTCTCTCCGCTTCTGCGTTACAGCGCGTAGTTCGTCTGCCAACTCATCGGCCCGCGCGCTGATTGCCTCCATCCGCTGTTCCGCTGAGCGGGTGGCTTGCTCCAGGACGGCGGCAGCGGAACTCTTGGCCTCCGCCAGCGCCGCGGCCGCGGCCGCCTGCGTATCCGCGAAGCGCGCGGCGGCCTCCGACTGCGCGCGCGCCAGCTCGTCGGCCGCGCGCGTGCGCTCCCGCTTCAAATCCTGCAGGCGGCGAGTTTCACGTTCATTATGCTGCAAAACATTCACCTTCTGCGTCGCGTAAAGCAAGCGACGAAATTTCGCACTCTTGTCAACCAACGAAAACGCTCTTGCACTGTTTGAAATCCTTCGAAACAGGAACAGACATCAACGCAAACTTTTCAAGGAGGTTTCGTCAATCGTGGAGGGATGTCAAATTTCAAAGGCAATAACATGCAGGGAAGCGAGACTCAAAGTAATGACCCGCGATCTCCGTTCCTAAACTCCTTTTCTGCTTGAATCAGTACCGCCCCGCAAAACGCAGGCGCTCTTGAAAGCTTACCTCCTGCCCTTTCCGCACTGCCGTGTCCAGTTCCGCTTGAAGCTCTTCCGTTCGAGCAGCGGACTCCGCCAGCTTGTGCTTGTACTCCTTGTGCAGCCTGCTCGTCTCCGCTTCGAGCGTCTCGGCCGCCTCTTTCTCGAGCCGTGACACGGTCACCTCAAAATGCGCGCGCTCCTCGGCCTGGGTCTGAGTCAGCGTGGTGACCGTCTGCGGAAAGAAGGAAGAAAACAGAAAAGAAATTATTTCCCTTCCGCCTCCCGATATGAACGGGTATCCAAGGCAGCTCGTTCTCAGTTAAGCGACCGTGTCTTGCCGAAAAGACACGGGGCTATGAAACCCTCTCTATTGCGAATATAAGCAGCTTCACTCCATTCTTTTGTGAACGTCCTCCCGGGAACTAACGTTTTCTCTGAGGAGTGCGTTATCCAACATTTCACAGACTATCTCCGTTCCTTTCGACCTTCAAGTACTGATCCACCCACCTCGTTAGACTGCGCCAGGCTGGTTTCCAGCTTGAGACTGTACCCCTCGAGCCGCTCGACCGCCGCCGTCAGCTTATCGAGCTCCGCCTGTTGCCGTTTCGAAAGGAGCCGGTAGTCAAGGTCCTCTTGAATCTTGAGATTGTTTTGCACTTTCAGCGCGCGCTGTCCGAACTGTAGGGTGCTCAGGGTCTCCTGGAAGTGCTCCGGGTTGGGGCCGATCGTGATGATCAATGACGTGCGCGCGGAACCTGGAAGAAGTGGGTAGGGGGATTAAGTGATGGGGTTAAGGGCCTTTACAGCGAGGTTTGAAAGCGCTGACGGTTTGTCTGGAGGAGGCTCAGAGTCTCCGGGAAGTGCTCCGGGTTGGGGGCATTCGTAAGCATCAACGACAATGACGTGCGTGGGGAGCTTGGAGGTAGTGGGTAAATATGGGGTTAGGAGATTCGAGGGCATGGTTAGCGTAGCTTGAAAGTGGGGTTAATGTGCCTTAAGAGTGTGTCTAGGAGAATATCAGTGAGATGTGGGCTCAAGCATTAGCCAGGGCAGACTTTGCGAGATTCATACAAATCTCAATTGAAAAACAATGGTTTCTCTACTCAGGTAGAGAACTAACTGTTGGCCTGACCTGTTTTGCCTTTGCTTCCCACGTTTTCGAGGTGCATCCATTGATCGGGCCGCAAAAACGGATGGTTTCGCAATGTTTGTAATATTCAGTATTCGCCGTCAGTGTCTCAAAGTGAAGCAGACGGAATAAGCGCTCTTACCTCCAAACGAATCCTTGAGCAATCGGGTTAGCTTGGACTCTCGGTAGGGGATGTGCCCCGGGTTTGGTTCGGTTAGGCAGTTGATGCACTTGCCGAGCGTGGTCAGCGATAGGTTGATGCTCTTCGCTTCGTCGGCCATGTGGCCAGCGCTACCTGGAACGGGTTCGAGGTCCTTGAGTTTGAGGCTTCGGAAGATCGACTGCCAGGGCTTTTTTGTGCAAATAGGGCCACCATTGTTGATCGTCTCGAGAGGTAAATATGGCTGAAAGAACGAATTAGGGGAGGACCGCTTGACAGCTTTGCAGCTCGCGTTGCTTTGTCGCCAGATGGAAATTTGTTTGCGACTCGTTTCTCGGCCAGACTCGTGAGTTTCTCGAGTCTGGCCGATGAGGCATAGCGGCTGATTTATCCAGAAAAGACGATCCTTTATAGAAGAAAAGCTTACAATCTCTCAGCGTTATGGCTATGAAATGGTCTCCACGAAAGATCCGATTGCGGGTGCAATCAAGCACCCGCGTCTCGAGCTAATCAAAGCGACGTGACGTTTATCAATGACCGGCGCATCGAAAGCTGGCCGCACCTGATTTGTTGATTCTTTCAGACCCAGCCAGATCCGCCAGGTAGAGCTTTCCGCGTCGGAGCAGCACAATGTTCTCCCCTTTGTCCGCGTCCTTCGGCTGCCGCAGCACCGTCAGGATCATGAGGGCGTGACTGCGACTAGAGCTGGCGTTCTGCAACCGGAATGACGGAAATAGAGTTGGAAACCGGAATATAGATAGGAGGCTGCTGAAGCGAAGGACGTAAGGTAGCCAAGGAAAGGCGGGTCCTTTTGAAGCATGCGGCAAGGATTGGAGAAAAGATGGATTCTCTGGTTGAGAGCAAGATTCATTTGCAGACTTCTGGGATAAGGATAGAACAAAGTCGTGAAACCGCGTCTCAAGTGGTTGGAAAGAGCGATTCCATCGGGAAATCCTCAAAAGCTTTGCCATGACTACAATTTTATCAACACAGTTACTTTTCTGATCTGATATGCCTTCCAATGCTTGTGTCAATGGATTCGAAAACATGTTCACGTTTGCTTGTTCGAAACGAGATGAGGAAGAACGCAGCCGCTTAGAAAGTGATTCTTAGAAAGTAGCTTACCATCTTCTGATTAGCCACGACCCTGCTCTTGCTGGCAACCTCCATGATGCTGATGCAGTGGTCCAGGTTGTCCAGCATCACTTCCTCCACGCCGGGCATCGTCACCTGCGCAAACGCCACGTGGCTGTCTGTTATTCGCCGCAAGGTCTTTCGACGCAGCTCGTCTCGTGGCGCTTTCAAGAACGAACGTCCTCCTGTCCGGGTCAGTCGCTTCACGACTGACTCAATTCAAAGTCGTTCGTTTATCCTCTTCTAAGGGAAGTGCGTGCCTATCTTATACAAATGGGAAAGAATCTCTGTCTCCAGTCATTCCTTTGAGACTGTTCGAAAGAGACTCTAATTTCGGGTCAACTTATACACCATTGCCACGGAGTGTTTCTCAGTCAGCTCGTCTTCAATCGTTCTTCGTCCAGCTGAGCACTGCATTGGCCCTGGCAAGTTGGCCTACCTCTTTGGTGTCCGGGTCTTCGTAGAGGGTGATGTTCGCATTCTCGGGTCTTAGCAAGTCTTGCACCATCTCCATGTACATCTGCAGCTCACTCAAAAGTGTGGCATTAACCGATTTTAATCGTCATTCAGACTGCTTCGTCAAAGAAAGCATCCATCTTCAAGCAGGTCCTAGAGTCTGATCGGTCAGCGGCATGACTGCACGCCTGTTCCAATCTCGTTGGTCTCCAGATGTGAGTTTATGCGTCGAAAGCGAGTATAAGAGCAAACTTTTGACGTGTGTTTTCAGATTCAAACCAAGCAGTATCTGGGGGTATCAAGAAGAGCGCAGCTTGTACGGCCAGACTTTTGCGATTCGTAGGGATTCGCAGTCGTGCGCAGCCCCACCTGTACATAGCTCAGCTTGATGCTCGTGTTATACTCGGTGTCAGCTACTGCCTTCTCGAAGAGGTCCTCCACTGCCCGCACCATCATGCCCCGCGCACTCTTGTCCTCCAGGCCGATGTTCGCGAGCGTGTGCGTCTTTCCGGTTCCCGTCTGGCCGTACGCAAGCACTGTCCCGTTGTAGCCTTGCAGAACGCTCTGCAATATCGACGTGCCAGATTTTATGGAGTGAAGGGGCTTGAATTACGGTATTAAGCCCCTCTAAATGGAGGATTTTGTGATTTTTGGAGCAGTCCTGATAACTCACGAAGAGTGAAACGGATCGTTGCCTTGAGCAGTTGAAGTAGCTGAATCAGATTCGAATGAAGATCTGCTAGGCAAAGTCGGCTCGCTCTTCAGGTAGAAGGCTCTCAGACATCATTCGAGCTGACCAAATAGGTAACAGAGCTTTTCGGTCGTGTAGCCTGCAAAACCGTTTCATAGACCGCGTGAATCAGTACATCGACCACCCCAACAAAGACACGGCCCCATTCGTGGCAATCTGCAGGAACAAGCTTGAAATTAAGCGGCGCGCGGCGTCTAAGAAAGCCTTGTTGCAAGCCCACCTGCCCTTGTGAGCCTCAGCTCACCTCGACAACCGGCTGCGTGACGGTCTCATACACCTTCTTCTGGCTTGCATGGTCCGGTAGAACGGTGTCATAAAAGTACGAGTCGGTTTCCCAGTGGTTCTTCTTGAGTGTCACCCGCTTGATCTCTGGTTCCATGAATACGACGTCCGCGAAGTCTTTGTCGCCTTTTGTCTCGTCCGCCGTCCGAGGCCGCAGCCGGACCACGACGCGGACGCGTCCGGCGAGCTGCTCTGCAGGTCGATGAGGGCTCGGGTCAGCTCATAAGTGGTTGGCATTGGCACTCAGCACTTCATTGAACATAAATCTGTACAATTGGGAAGTACATATCAGCAGGATTGGGAACCTCGTAAAGTCCAATCATCAAGGGTCAAAAGAAGAGATGACGTAGGCGTTGTAACTATTCAATGTTTTCGAGCAACTTGAATCCTTGTTTGGGCAAGATGCTGGAAACACCCTAGCTGAAATATGCTCCGCAGGTTCCTCCAACTTTCTGCCACCCGTGATTGGTGCCGTCATACCTTAACCCCCCTTGCTCATTTCTCACAGAAAGTCTTCGTCGAAGAAGAGGATCATTTGTAGGAATGTTCATGGCCCCTCCATGTCAGACCAGACTGACATGTGTGACATTTATGGACCCTTGAAAGTAGGTAGAGCTTCTTGCCAGGTGGTCTGATTGACAATTCGCCAGACCCTGTTGAAGGACACATAGGGCCCGGGGCACCCGAGGCTCCACTTGGCCTATCGAAAGTTGAAATACTTCCACAATGCTGAACCGCACATACTGCACAAAATCGATTGCCTAAAAGGTGATGGCATTCTGCTGACCTTCTTTCTTTGCTTTGGGAACTTCATCCCCCTTGGAACTCCTCCTTGCGGTTGCGGAGCCATCCTTTGGTGGACTCTGCACGCTGGCCCCATTCTGCCTCGCTGAATGGGGCCGCTTGCTAGTCGTTTCCTGGAAAATGCTGGGCCCCCTCGGTTTGCTGCCCGGCGAATCCTTGTTGAAGCTCTCTGTGCGCTTCATTGTGTCTGAAGGCTGTGGACGTTATGGCTGTTTGGTGCAAAGCTGCTAGCATCTGAGCTTAGGGACGAATTGTTGAGCAAGTCATGTCGAAGAAATGAGTTTTCTATATGCTGCTGGTCCTTTTCCATGTGCTACTCATGAGGAGCCAGATGCCAAACTTTCCTTATTTTTGTGCTGATCGGGCCAGGTTTGTAACCTTGTCCCGCCGATCACTTACAATCGGGTTACAATCCTTCGTCAAGCACCTTGGGCATGGAAACAAACACCGTCTCGAGTCTGGTTCTGCTTGCGTTGATCACATTATCTTGACAGGTGAGGAACTTTCGCATTTGCTATGCGACTTGGCAGCATTATGCAGGGACGCCCCACCCTTGAAACTTTCAGGCCGCCCAAGCCTGAAGGAAGCCTGCAACTTGAAGGCTGAAGCTGGTAGCGACGCTTCGCATCCAGGCGCTGACTCGATGAGAAGTAAGATCCAATCCTTCTAGTACTACCTTGCTCTCGGCTGAACAGATGTCAGATATTCTGGCGCGGAGACGGCTAAGGAAATCGCGTCCGAGTCTAGGCTAGGTTTTCTAGTGCCTCTGTGTATCTCATATACCGGACTTGAGTAGCGCGCGAGCATCGCTCGGTTTCCAATTTTAGCCAAATGCGAGCCCGGTGGTTTTGTAGTGACCGGTTGACATTGACATGGCCTATGTAGCTAGGTCCCGACTTCCTCTACGAGGTGCGTGGTAGGTATGTCCCCGGGCTGCCAACACGGTCGCAATGTTATGGTGTTATTTACAATCCGACCGCTTTACCGGTACGGAGAGGGTCTGTGTCAATGGTTCACATCCTATGCTCCTACAGACCCAAAAAGAGCATAGGACTACCGCAAGCAGCTAGAGGCGTATACGCCGATTCTATGACTAATCAGGCCACTTATACTACCGCACGTTCTTAAAATTTCAGGTTCTTTATAGGCAACGCTACGGCAACTTCTACCACGATTCTACATTGAAGAATGTCTATATGACTACACTGGAGCCGCTAAAAACCCCTCCGAGGTCCCTTGGCTTTTAACTTGGGCCCGCCTTTTGTGGAGGGGAAAAGGTACTCCAGTGTGGTTCCCTGGGAAGTGACCGGTTGCTCAAAGTGAAGGCTGAATGTCATGCGACCGTCGAGCATACTGGCGACGGTTACTTGGGTCCTTCGCGTTTTTGTACCCTAAAGCTACTCCCCACTGTCCCCAGCGTGGTACAAAGGTCATTCAGCGTGTGTTTGTATTTACAGTAGTGCCCCGGGTGCCAATCTACTGGGTTTCTGCTCAGGCCGAGCTTGCACTGCTTTGAGCTGACCGTCGCTTCGCCGGGGCCCTGCGTTCAACCACTGAGTTCTTAGCACGTCTGCGTGAATGCAGAGTTGGCCCCTAAACATACCTAATAGAATGAAGCTGGCTGGATGATTGTAGAACCCTGAAGATACTACTACGGTAGTACAGGCTTCGTCTCCCAAGGTAGAATACAGAGTTACTACTCATGTACATGCACGTGAGAGCGCAATCGCTGACGTCACATGTCGTCTTCCGAGTCAACTCGTGGGTAACACATGATGCACTGTCTTCTTTTCTGCCACTGCCACATCACAAACTTGGCCCCCCGACGAACTGGCGCCTTAAAGGCGCCAATTCGGTTTGCTCCAAATAGGCAACAAAGATTACAACACTTTGACACAACAAAGGCACCAAAAATGCTTCGAGGGACTAAGTGACGCCCAATTGACGCGTGCCTTTCGGACGTCAAATATGCTTCAGGTCCAATCTGGTGTTCTTTTGGTGTCACTTTGGAGACTGATGGGCGGAAAACATTACAACAGTTTGGTATGGGCATTGGTGGTGCCTTTTAGGCGCCAATCTGTCGGGGGGGGGAGTTTGTGATGCAAGCCTCATCATGTCACATGTGACTGGAGGTTCAGGCATATGGCAAAAAGAAGCATGCTTGGCAAAAAACAATACCGACAATGGACTCACATAGTGAGGCAATTCTGCAGGCCAGCAAGTTGGTGCAACATACTGCAATCACACACAGACTGCTGGCGTGCAGAGTGCAATCTCAGGAGTCTTACACTCTTCTCAAGTCACGGCATTGCCTCTTCCAATGCAGCATTGCCTGCCTCCTCAACACAGGGCAGACTGTCACAAAGATCGCTCTCAGGGCACCAAACGATTGGCGCAAGGAACATTCTTGCTCCTATAAGGGAGACGCAATACTGTTCCAACCACGTTTGGATTCTGCTAACGTCTGCTCCTTCTCGTTTCTCTTGCCCATGGATTGGCACAGTTCCCTGCATTGACCCAATTTGCTAAGACCAGTTTTTTTGGGGGCCACAATGGAGTCTTACTACAGCACGTGGCAGCAACCCCAGAGCGGCGCACCCCCGAAAGTCGAGATCACCTCGCCGGCGGGCGCCTGGCCTCGCAATCCCGTTTGGCATAACGTTAATCCAGATGAAACCCCGCGACAAGTTTCCGGGGGGCGGTCCAGCGGAAACGCTTACGTATGGTCCCCCCCCACCAGCCCGGCCTGCATCTACCGGGAGAGTCCCCGGCTAGAAAGTTATGCGAGCCCGACGTCGCCTTCCTGGGGGGGTCACCCGCAGGTTTATGATCAGGGGGGGGTTGCGGCGCAGCCATTTTATCCCCCGTCAAAGGCAATCCCGATCCGGTCGCCAAACCACCGGCCAGTGACGTCGCCCGTGACGTCACCCATCTCTCCGATGTCCCCCGCCTCTCCTGAGGCGTTCTCGCCGATCTACGGCCGCGGGCCGCCGAAGCCCAGCTACAACTGGGGCGTGCATGCAGAGGGGGGGCAAATTCGCCCCTGTAACTGGGGGGAGGAGCAGATGTCGAGCCAGAATCGGAGCAGGAGAGAACAGCCCACGTCTCCGCAGATGTACTATTCTCCGATGCTGTCTCCGCAAAGGGTTTCCGAGCGGAGTAATAGGGCAGCGTATTTTGGCTGGGATGGGGTTTTGGCGTCGGAAGGATCGGTGGTGAGCCCGAGGAGCGGCGTGGCTAGCCCTCGAATGGTGGAAGTTATCAAGGTCAATGAAAGCAAGCCTGGGAAGGTAGGTTGGCAAAATTATGCTCCGCGGTTCTACCTAGGTCTTGGCGCTCTTGAGGCCTTGGACGGTTCGCTTAACCGGTACATGTTAGCCGATATGCCCCTGTGTTCATTAGGAAGAAATCCTGCTCGTTTGACTGGCGAGAAAGATTTTTGGACTGCGCTTTCTCTCGAGCTGTTCAGCAGAAACTTCGAAGTATGTTGATGGCCTTTGGAGCTTAACTGCTCCAAAGGCCATAATCGTAGGTGTTATAATTGTACTGGACACATCAACAGTTGCACGCATCAAAGCAAGAATAACGAAACGGTGCAAGTTTGCAACCAATCAAAGCGTAACCAAAGTAGATACGGATTACTCTGATGGAGATCTGAGAAATAGCTTGCAACCGTACTGCCATTAAGCAGCCGATGCGTGACCTTGAGGTCAGCACCACCTTTGGGACTGCAGCCGTCATTTCAAATATCGAGAATACGAACTGTTACGTGGTCCAGAAAATGGAGCCCCCTTCGGCTACTCATCGTGCTGAGGCCATGTAGATGCACCAAGTTTAGTAGTTGCTTCTTCTGATCGCTGCCACGTGTCCTGCAACAGGAGTCCGAGAAGGCCCTTCCGGTGGATCCGTTTGGTATGACCGGAGAGGCGGAAGAGATGACGGACGTCGGAATCAAGGCGCTTAAGGCACGCAAAAAGTCATTCGAAGTAAGCGCGATCCTTTGTTGTTCCTGCTGGTAACTGGGCGTCGTCTGTAAGATGCTGCATGTTCTTATCAAAACCAAGGCGGAAGAGCTTGCAAGTCACCGTTCTGCCCAATTGGGCGTCTTGTAAAGATGCTGCATGTTCATGTTGGAAGCAAGGCGGAACAGCTTGCAAAGCTAAAAGAGGGAAAAGCTTACATGGTTCGCGTACTCTGGTCTGCTTCATGAATCGACAGCATTAGAGAGTCCTTGGTCAAGAAGCGACGGTCACACGAGAGCGTTGCTGCGACACACGCAGACAGAACCCACGCCTCGCCCCTTCTTAACGTCGCATGTCGTATAGGACGACGGCACGGTGGAAGAGCAGGGCAGCAAGATCCACCCCTGACACGTATTGGCAACGGAATTGTTCACTAAACAGACTGTTGAATGTTCATTAACATTTAGAAGCTCCGGGCACACAAACTAGAAAGCCTAAACTAGAACATCACGCGCTTTGCACCTTTTCCACCGAACCACCATTCTAACCCTACCCGTCCCTCGGGTGCCGATGTTAGTGAACACTTGGTTTGAGAACAATCCCGTTGCCAAAACCCCTCTGAAACCAGAACCTTCCAAACCTGCAGGCTTCCGAGTCGGTCATTGAGAAGGGCTGCATGCTCGTCGAGTTGCTCCTGGACAGGTGAGAGCCGCTTATCAATAACAAGACTTTACTCGACATTGAAAGTCACAAGCAGCCGAAAGGCGTAGCAAAAGCTTTCTATCATGGAAGACGTCAAGTTTTGTTGTGTGGCAAAGCGACGCGATCGGCCCCGAACCACAACCTTCCAAACGCGCACAGAACAGGGTATGCCCAGGACGACCGGTTCGAGTGACGCCATTGATTCGCGGCTGTGCGAGATTGGACTTTGCCACGCACATACTCGAGAAAGCCTTCAAACGCTTCAAATATCGTTTGATTCGCGTTTAGCACATTTACTATGTCGATTCCGCCAGCTTACACTTGAACACACCGATTCTCTTTTCGATTGTCCAGATCAGACGGAATCAAGCAAGGACTCGGACTCTTCGCGTCCCGATGTCCTTGATAATGTTCTGACTGATTACCGTCGTTCTTCACCCCTTCAATGTATTGCGAAGCGATGTATCAGGGAAACCAGTCGAGAAACACCGACAACGGTACCGTCTCTAATCCAGATTCTCATATCATTCTCGTTGCAGGGTTTCGTCGCCGTCCACTGTTTGCAGTTCAGTATCGCGTTTGGTCGCGCAAAGGTGAGAATGTGGTGGTCACTAGACAGACGCCACTCAGCAACATTACCACTCATAGTTAGCCGTTGTGGTGCGCTCTTTCCAAAAGGGTTCTCGTGACCATGCCCTTCACACCTCCATTCTTTCGCCTTAACGGGACCCCGTATGATTGCTTTTGGTAGTGTTCTGCACCTGTCGCGAACGTGCCGCAGCAATACTCTGCGTTACAGACTCTCGACCGAGAGCGGCGTTCTATTAAAATCCTATCGTTTCCTTCAAATCAGTCCTTCTCTCTACTAACCCTTCCTAACCCGCTCCCTAACCGCAGGGTTCCGTTGGGCGGCGCTCTCCCTGCTCTGCTCGAGGCCTTCGCCGAGCGGCGCTTTTCGGACGGCGAACTTTTCTTCGAGCACGCGCTGGCCGCCAGCTGGCAGCGTCCGGATGTCGAGCGGCGCTGTTTGGCGGACGCCGTTTTGGCGTTTCTGGACGTCCGGGTCATGAACTGCGGCCACGTGTACACGGGCACGCTCAAGATCACGGAGCGCGAGTTCGGCGACCAGGCGCGCGGCGCCGCGCCGGGGGAGGTCGCCAAGTCGCATGCGCATAAGACAGGAGAGTTCCTGACGCGGATTTTTATGGGGTGAGCGGTGCAATCCTTACATCCAAGCCGTTCTGTCCTCACCCTTTACGCAATGGTCGAGGCTGGTGGCAATTGCCAGCATCGCGATGTTTCTGAATCGAACCGTGATTATTCCGCGTCGTTCAAGCTCCTCATTTCCCTGCAGACCTTATTTGCAACCTGGCTTCACGCCTTTTGTCTGTCTCATAGCCAGATCAACATTTGCGATGAACAAACTATCCATCAAGGCGGCAAGATTTTCAAATTCAAGTTCGTGACGCGAATCTAATGATCTCCCCGCTTCTGATCGCCAGGCACAAGGGCCCCGGCCCGGCGCTGGTGGAGCTCATGTTCGAGAAGATGCCACGTGTCGGCGTGCGACGCGACCTCGTCGCCGGGGTTTTCCACGAGGTACTGGCCAAGAGCCGTAAGAAGGTTGCCAAAGTGCACTACGCACAAAGCTCGGGCGTCGCGCGCTGGTGGAAGGGGTTGGCCACCGGGGGTGACGTCAGCTTCGAGGAGTGGCTGGACCGCGATCTCGGCATGGTGAGCATTTGACGGGTCCCCCAACGTGTGGAGTTTTTACTAACTTGTATCTGTGTTTTGAGACGGGCTTCAAACGAAATAATTGTTGCGTTATCTCACATCGACCTCCCAAACAGAGTCAAAACACGTGTCTGTTTCATGTCAAGCATTCCGAGGTTTCTCGTGACGTTCTTCATTGCCACCCCGCTCCTTGTCGCCAACAAGAAGACCTTATTTTGAACCACGTGAAAGAACAGACTTCAAGAAAGGAGCAAGGACTGTCAGATAAGCCCATTGCGAAAGTTTTGGGAAGCCGTTCCAAGGTATGTACAGGTACTCCAAATTGAATTCCGGCAAAGCCTTGACCGTTCCTTTCCGGTGCCGTCCAGACCGTTGCGGAGGTCCTTCCGGAGGACGGCGGCCCCAAGGGCCAGCAGCGGAAGCAGGCGGCCGCGGCCGCGGGCCTCGCGCGCTCGCGCAGCTTACCGCATGAAGCGCGCGCGATGTCGCCCCCGGCGACCGCGCAGCGCCCCAACGACCGCCCAATGTCGCCGCCTGTGCCGCCGCGGCCGCACGAGCGCCCGATGTCGCCTCCCATGCCGCGGCAGAATGACCGCGCGGCCGCGCAAAACGCGCGGGGTTTAACACGCGGCGCGGCCGGCCTGGACCGCACGTGGTCTGCGCCGACGGACATGGCCAAAATGGAGGGCGGCCAGGAGGTACGGTTGAGATTCTCGATGCAGCAGATAGAATGGTTTGGATATTCAGGAGGATAGAAGGGCTGGACGCGAGAGTGGAAGGTCAAATGAAAGCTACCGGGGTTTGCGGAAGCAGAGTGAACATCACCAGGTTAACGGTGTGAAGCAAATAGTCGGATAATTACGCGCGCGGCTCTCAGAGGCTTTCCTGAAAGAGGCCAAAAGATCGCAGGCTGGCGCGTTTCTCCTCTGTTCTTCTGCCAGCCACGATGATACATCTTGAACGTTAGGGACAGTCTCCACTAGAATTTCGCTTTGAGGGCTTCTTAAAGATCGAATTTCCGCTGCCTGGTTTCAATCAATGCAGCGTGGACAGTCCAACGGAAGTGACGGGCTAGCAGCAACATCAAGCCCTTATAGAAGTTTGAAATTCTCTTCAAGGAACGTGCTGGCGACACCAGCGTCCCCAGATTGCTTAGGCAAAGCGACTGATCAAGTCTGGCGGATCCACTTGGCGTTCCTTACGCTGATCGCATTATTCTCCGTTCCGCTCAGGCTCCCCGGGTTCCGCCCGAAGACGCCACGGTCTCCATCACCGCGGTCCTGAGCGAGGAAGGGCACGTGACCTGGCTCTCGCCCCGGAAGGACGAACGGAGTGCCCGGTACGATCAACCGGTCTCTTCGCAAAGGGGAGAAACTCGCCCCGTCCGGTCACAGCTGACCGCGGCGATCGCCACTGATCGGAACAACGGAACCCCTCGGGAGAAGCGCGTTAGTGCCACCAAGCAGTCGGGCCAAGCCCACTGGGGGCCGAATATGAGTCAGGTTGCGTCCCCCCGCCAGGACACCGTTCCGGTTGGACAGCTTGGGATTCCGGCGGAAGCCAGGGTTGACGAGGACGAGTGGCGTCGGGTGACGAGCGAACTGAAGCGGATCGTCAGTCTCGGCCCGGGGCCGGAACGATTGAGGGAGATCGCGGAAGTAATCCTAGATTCCGCTGCGCAATCGTAGAGATTCCGCTGCAGAAGCGTGGCGGATCTTGCGAGGGTTTTGCGGAATGGGCTTTGCTGAGGGTTCCTTGCACGGGTATGAAAACCAAGCAGCCTGAAAGGCTTTGCGAATTGAGGCTAAGTGGACACTTCTTACGAGGAAGATGTTTCTAGGTGGATTAGCATAAAAGGTAGAAATTAGAACAGGCTCTGAGATTACGTACCTTGTTTGTTAGGCTGTTGTTGTTTTTTGGTATACATGTTGAAATTATTCGAGGGATCAGTAACCCATTTTCTCCCTTGATACTGGGTTGCTCGGTCGGACAGGTGTACGGTTGGCTCAGTCGTAGACGACCCATCTGAGCTTGCTACACCCTTAGAACCTTTGTGGGCGGACGGCAGAGAGTCAAGCACGCGGTTTACAGAATAAAGTTTGAAGCAAGCAAAAGCAGAGGACTGTAGTCGCAATCATAGGATACTGACGATCGCGCGCAAGAAGCACACAGACTGCTCGCAAATAAATGAGCGAGGACGATAATAAACAGTTATGGATTTAGAGATCATAGCGCGCGATTGTTTAGCGCCAGAAGACACATGCCCATAGACGATTTGTGACCTTGATGAAGAATGGGTGCAGAGGAAAGTGCGTTGCAGCTTCCTCCAGATCGACCACGACTTCGTGGCAATAACGTACGAACCAGCGTCACGTTGTGCTCTCTTGCCAGATATGTATCTTTATTGCATTGTGAAAAGTACGTTACAATCGTATAGAACGTATTCGATTGCTTACGTTTGTTCTGCTCACGAAGGAAATTGTGGAGCTCACTCATGTCGAAAGTACAGTGGGCCAGTCAAGTATTTTCAATTGCTATCCTCGCCTGTGTTGTGTCACTTTCCTCTCTTGACGCGTCGGCTGGCTTTCCCCTGTGCATTGGCTAGGGTCAGCCTGAAAATTCAGGGTGAATCCTTTGAAACAGTTGCATAAGCATCTTTGAATCTAAAAATGTACGCTTCCTCAAAAGTGCGCGATGGAAACGTCGATTCTAGACGTCACGTCGGCATGGTGACGTACGCCCGTCCATATTGTCCTCTCCCTCGGGACCTTGTCAGGATTCGCAATTCGGTACAAGAGAATCTAATATTCAAATTTCGCTACCGGGAGTCTGTCGTCCATGTCTCGGCGAAAACGCCGTTTGAGAGGGTCTCGATCGAAAAAGGATGCGTTGACGCTAAATTAATTCGTGTCATTACATGCATGCCGATCTTCAACCTATCATGGACTCACAGACTTCTCGCGCTGCAACGTCCAGCTTTCGCTGACAAAGACGGAGGCTAAAAACGTTGAAGACTTGTGCGAGATGGCCGGACGGCTTCCCCGCCAGAATCTCAGGTGAGCGACACTGTTATACTACGTGGATCTACGTGCGCTCTGGTCCGCCAACACACTGCTGGAGAGTCACCTGTGACTGCCGACGTTCCCCAACTCCGATCTCACAGGCATTTTTGGCCGCTAACGTCCAGGCTCTTAACCCGACTCGATCTCGGATGATTAAAAAAATATCCGGTGTTTAACCTTGCTCCAAGGCTGGTTACCGCCCAAGCCTGGTTTTTTGGACGTATAAACACTCCTTGCCCGGCCCATAACCATCCACGGTTAACTGCGAAAGGTGCCTGTGCGATCTGACAAGCTCGTCGCGCGCGGTCACATCAATCTGACCGGTAAGCTGGGCACTTTTCTGGACGCACTGGCCAGCGCAACTCTATGCAGCAGCCCAGTCCCGTCAAGTGACGCAGAGCAAAGTGGGAAGTGCGTGGCATAGTCATTTCAAAAGACGAGGGAGCGTGGCACTTTTAAGGAGTTTTTGATGTGATGGTTGGTTCTGATTGAAACTTTGGTGAACAGAGAGCCCGAAATGTGTTCGAAGCTTGTCTGTTTGAAGACGCCGGAAACCTCAAACAGCATGAGACAGGTAGTGACCAACGGGCAAGAAGCGTCCTTTGGCTAGCTCAGTTTGGTCTTTTCTTCTCGGACACATAAGTAGCGCCAAAAGCTGGGGGGGCTCCGATTCTTCACGTTCTGCGCTGCTGATTCTTTCGCTAGTCTCTCTCTCTCTTGCTGCGGGTCTGTGAGGAGGTGACAGGACCAAAAAGTTAGAACAACCAGGTCTAGACTAGGGGTCTGAGACGAGTGTAGCTGCCAGCTAGTGGACCCTCATCTTGCTTAACACTCTTGTTGTAACTAGAACTTGTGGCTAAGAAATGGACGCTCTCAGATTACTCACCCAGGTCTGCTTTATCTGTATGCTCATGTTTTGGGGGCTCTACTTCTTTGGTTTCCAGGATCCGCTCAACCAGATCATGTTGCTCAGGCTGAGCGAACTCGAGCAATCTGTCGCCGAAACCCGTGCCTCACAATCCGCAAGCGCGGTTCATGTTCTCCTTGCTCTTTCGGGAGAGGGTGCTGACGTCAAGCCTGCTAGGCGCTGGGGGTATGATGACGTCAGCGCCGAGCTTGTAGAAGCGCTCCCGCGGGAATATAAGTGAGTACAGCCTCCTGAACATGAGCATCTGATATTTTCCTGCTTTCCGTCCTGATATTGCCTCCCTCCCAGACTTTTGAAGGTATTGCTGATTGGCAATCAAAAGAGGGCATTGACGGTTTGCGCTGACAATCCTAGAAAATCAGGGTTTTGCAACGGTTCTTGGCAGGGTCAGCCTCTAAGTCTTCTCAGGTTCAAAATCATTGCCGTTGCTTTGTTTATGGCAGAAGGAAATTGTCGCTCTGCACTTCGGGGTTTGGGTAGGTTAGCAAAAACCCTGTAAAGGGCTGAGTTGTCTGAAGAGAAGAGGCAAATCTTGACCTTATACCCCTTCAAAAATCATGCAGCCCTCCTGCATTTTCTCTTTACAAGCGCATTAACGGCAACACTGATTCAAGCTCTTCTTAAGAATGACCGCGGCCAACGAACCCTGTCCTTCCGGCACAGTCGGAAGGTCACGTCAAGTGGAGTTTTCTTGTCGGCTTCCATTGGACCTTTCGGGTACTTTATGCTTGCTCCTGATCGGCCTTAGCTTTTCACACAGCCGAGCAGGACATGCGTTGGTCCGGTCCGGGAGCAAAGAAAAGTGAATTGATCTTTTGTAGAACATCATCAAACGTCGACCGTTTGTCTAACCCAAACGTACCCTCCCGGTCACAGGTTTGTTTCCCTTCCTCTCGACGATTTAAATGAGGAGTTTCTCGCCGGCCGTGCCACGCTGTTCATCCTGACGTTCCGGCAAGGCGCCACGAATACCTTGAACGGAATGGGCGGAACGGAGTGCCAGCCCAATATGCGCGTCCTCGAGTGGCTGGACGAAGAGTGGTGCAACCAGCTCTTCAACCTGCTGCATAAGGCGACGTTCGACCCGGCGGAATGTGGGGGGCTGACGGGATGGGACAAGTAAGTCGGTTGCGTCGAACGTCTGCTGTTCTGCGACACTGAGAAGTTTGCAAGTGAATCGATATGTTTCGCTCCTGCCGTGAAGCCTGCCATCGGGTTCCCAAATGCTCCTATCAGGGTTAAGGATTTAAACCGTTCGATCACCGACAAGGTTGGCATCGGAAGGCTCAAGATCAGGAAGCGGGCTCAAAGCGTTTGGAAAACAATGGCAGTTGTACGCAAACAGCTGTACACAAACCGCGGCGCTCCAATCCACATTTGAGCCGATGCCGATATTGATCCGGATATTTGAATTGCAGGACTCCCATCCTCAATGCAGTGGTCACTGGTTAACGAAAGGCTGGTGACCTCTCACAATCGAGGTCCTCACTTTGCCTTGCGGCAGTCTACTCGAGGTGTTCAAGACTATTCCTTCAGTCTTTCATAGGAGTTCTGCATATGCACGCGGAGGCAGCATTCAGAACTTGACTTATTAATTTGTCAAAGGGAAATTATCACTGATACAAGTCATGGAATTAGTTCTCTCTATGTCAAGCCGCAACTTCCACCCCCCCCGTATTTGACAGCCGGCCAGGGAATCTATTGTATCAGTCAAGGCGCTCGTTCTTTCTGTCCTTCAATCTCCGATGCGAAGCAGTGCGCGCAGGCCGTAAGGGAACGGCAAAAGCCCCGCGCGAGACTGGACACGATCCGAGAACTGACCTCCGTCTTCTTTTGCACGTCCTCAACGCAGCCCCTTCTGGGAAACTCTCGACTGCCTACCGTGGATCTTCTCCTATTCGTACGAGCAAAACTGCCGCGAGCTGCCGGACCCAATCCGGGCCCGACTGGAGCGCGCGTTTGCGCGCGCACGGCTCGTCAGCGGCCACTTCTCGTACGGCATCCACTCGGTCGGCCACCGCGGCGCCTTTGCTTACGTCACCACGCTGCAGGACCCGGTGTCACGTGTCGTCAGCTGGTGGAACTGGAGCATACAAATGGGGAAGGTGCGCGCGCGCGCGCCCGCGGCCGCGGCGTTCGACGACTTCGTGTGGGACGACGGGTTTCCCATCGGCGGTTTCCAAAAGAGCAATCATATGACGCGCGTTTTATGCAACCAAGGCACCGGGCTCATAGGAGGCGTCCAGTTGTTCGGCGAGAGTGTGAAGGAGGACACACCGCTTGCGCGGCTTGCCGAAGTGACTCTGGAGCATTACGAGTGTGCTTTGAAGAATCTGCAAAGCTTCGCACTTGTGTTCGATGGGGAAAGGAACGCCGAAGTTGAGGCCTTGACTCCTCTCATCTCTCGTCTGTTCAACGCGGAAATCGCTGTGGGTCCTGTCAAAGGCACCGACTTAAACCCTACCTGGCTTGACGAAAGCGCAGGAATGGTAGTGCGCACTCGATTATCAGAGGCTACCGCAGCGAAGCTGATTGATCTGAACAAGTGGGATGCTTTGCTGTACGACCAGGCACGCAGGTTACACGAGATTTCCGTGGCAAGGTTGAGGGACTTGGAGTGGAATTGGCTCTTAGATGACGAAGGGGCTCTGCTTTCTGTTTATGGGGAGTAGGTTCAAGAGTAGTGGGTCCTAGCAAGAAAAGTGCGGGATTTTCGACACAAGGTCTCAGTAGCGAGGTTGAGAAACTTAGGTTAGGTTGGCTTTAGATTCCAAAGGGTCTCTGCTTTATGTTAAAACATAACATCAAGGAACTGGGTCTTGAGGATAAATGTGTGGAAGCGTTGAATAAGGAGTGCGCCACGTATTGCTCAACATATGCGCGGCGCTCTTGGCTTCAAGTTTGTTTACCACAGTAAGGCTGTCGCGAACACCATGTCCATTTGCCTAAGTCGAACGGCTAAATGCTGGAGTGGTGAATTGTAACAGGTCACCTGACCCGTATAATCACCTGATACCTGATCCGAGGAGACGCCACGCACCCAATGCGCATTCAATGCGCAGCTAGAGTCCAAACTCCTGCCACCATCGGTTCCAACTGCGAACAAAGCGTATCCTTCCTGTTGGAAGTCAGCTTTCATTCTGGGAGTCAACTCGAGTTCTCAAGAGCGTATATATCATATCCGGTGGGATTTTGAGATTCTTAGTGTTCGAATCTACCTATGACGCCGTCCGCTTTTATTACCCTGTTTAAGAACCCAGATAATTAGCACGACTAGCTGTAGGACATGGAACGGCTGAATATGTGGGCTGGAATCCGGTGAAACTCCGGCCGTAACGCTCCAAGTGCTTTCGTCTCTTTTTCTTGCACTTTTCGAAGTTACGGAGAATGATGATTTGAGAATGGGGCCGAAACGAAGATGCAGGATCAGGAATTGGCACCGAAACAAGGGGCGTGCTACATGATTACGGAGAGTTGCGCCAGCCTCTGTCAAATCGACTTGTCTTACTCCTACCCGGCGCTAGCTGGAGGAACTTTCGGGAGACATATCATGTGGCATGTCAACACATTCAAAAATGACTAGGCCGGTCCAGTGTTGCAAAGAAAATGAACGATAATGAGGGGTCACAATTGGCGCCGAACGTCACCACATGACAGAACTTGGAGGGGCCAAGAGGCTGCGCCCCGCAGCTACTAGTGGGCAAATTTCAAGCCTTGGGCAGAGAGCCCAACGTATTTGGCGGAAGCGACTAATTAAGTCGACAGCCTGTAGCAGACTGGTTTGACATGCGACTTGATGCTGATCATGAGCACAGCAGATCGAGAGATGACGACTAGGACCGGAATCAACACCAGCCCGGGTGCTCGGGGATCCATTCTACCTTAGTGACGGGCCATGCCAGGCCCATGCCAGGCTCCCCGAGCTGACGTATCAAACGCAAGCTGCGGCCGCGCATTCCCGGCCGCCGGCCGCGACAGTCCGGAGATGCGGCGAACGCGGCCGCGCGGGGCACCTGGCTGATCGCCTGAGGCGCGGCGCCACTCACCTGTCTGTACGTACCCTCTAGCTCGGGCATAGATTTGTATTAGGGAGGTATTTGTTTCTGCCAGTGGCAGGAGACGGGGCGCCTTCGCAGCCACCTTCTGGCTTCCCAAGGGTAAGGTATATGAGGAGACGCGGAGCATAATTCCATGGCCACTGCAATTGCGCACGCAGCAAATGGCGCCACATATGGGGCGCCCAATCATGCTGGCAGCATTACTGGGTCGACCGCCGAACACTTAGTTGGCCCGCAAAGCAAGCCTTTCAGTCCAATCCTTTGTTCGCCAGCAAGACTCACAATGCCGAGACTTGGGACTTGTTCCGGCGCGCCATCTTTCGGCACCTCCCGGTGCGCCAGCATAAAAGCACCTTCTCTCGCACTACATCAGCGCGCCTCGCTTTCCGGTGGCTGGCGCCTCTCCACTCTCCCAAGAGGCAGCTTCTTGTCGAGCCGGTCTGTCCTTCTCGCCCCGGCGTCGCTCAGAAGGCCCTCCGGTAATGGTGGCAGGCGAAATGTCGTCGCCAGTGCAGCTCGCAGTGGGGGGGCGTCCCCGGGAGGAAGTCCGAAGCGGCAGAGTAACAACGGGAGGGAGGTTCCGCTTTTTTCTGGACGAATGGCGGACTTTGTGTCAAATATTAAGCGGCCGGATGCGACGTCCGGGGGGGGAAGTTCGGCAGGGGGAAGTGGGGAGGTAGAGTCGGACAAACCGTACAGAATCGGGGAGGCAATCAAGCAGGCGAGGGAGAGAATTCTGAGGGCGAGGCAGAGCAGTGCATCATCGAAGGTAAGCTTGATATCTCAATCGTGTGACACCACTTATTTGAGCACCACATCTTTTCATAATTCTTTCAAAACGTAGAGATATAACTAACGTCGCATTCTTATTGACCCCAATGAAGAAAAAATTGGGCTGTTCCTCGACGCCTTGACCGATGTGCCCAATTGTGGTGGTGGAAATAGCATTTGAGAGCTGTTTCTTACTGAGCACATTTTGAGGGGTAGAGGGTACAGTGTATGATAGGTTGGTTGTTTGTTTTGCTTGCACTTTAAAATTGGTGAGAGCCTTTCTTACTACCTAAGGAAAGAATTGTGTGATGCTGGGTGGTGTGATAGTGAATGAAAATCTGTGTTGTCGTAGTTCTGTCCATTTTGGATGTTCTTTGCGAGGTAGTCATACTCCAGGTGGTCAAGCGCCGTTTCACAAGGATGCAGCACTGGGGCAGAGAGTGTGGTGCGTCCTGCCGGTTTAGTATACAGAACTTCCGAGAAAAGATTGTTACAATGGAAAAGCAAGCCTTATGTTCCTGCCTTTTCAATGCAGGCTGAGAGTGCCTTCAAGGCAGCCAGCGAGCCTGTTCCGCCCAAAGCGGCCCCCAAACCGGAGCCGGTCAAGCAGACCGATCCGGTTGACAAACCTGACCCTGTCAAAACCCCCAAACCTCGGGCCAGGGCAAGGACGGCATCCCAACCAGAACCGGAGGTAAAATCAGGCGCTGAGGCGACTGAAAGTCCCCCCCCGCAAGCGAAGGCGCCGCGAGCAAAAGCAACGAGAGCGAAGGCAACTAGAGTGGTCCAGAAAAGCGTGGTGGAAGCGGACGCGCCGCGAAGGTTCATCTCGGGACCGGAGGGCGTGGTTGCGATTTTGGAGAAGCCGACGGCGCAGAAAAAGGTGGCGAAACCGGCGGCGGCGCCGAAAGCGGCGCGGGCAAAGAAGGCGGAGGCGAAACCGAAGGTGGCTAGACGGAGGGCGGTGACTAAGGCTGGGGAATCGGAGCAAGGGGCGGATGACAAGATTTTGGAGGCGGGAAAAGCGGCTGGAAAGGGGCTTGAGGTGTCAGAAGAATCGGCGGAAGATTCGGAAGGGCTACGAATCAGGGGCGCGGCGAGTGTTTCGACTCGTGGATCGAAAAGTGGGGCTAACGGGACGTTGAAAGAGAATGGGGCGACGAATGGGCTGGCGGCGAATGGGACTAGGGCGACGTTTGTTATGGAGGAGCCAACCCTAGCGTCGGCTGCTCTTCCCAGAGCGGCAGCTTCGAAAGGTGAGGGCTGGGTTATGACAACGGCAGGAGGGGGGGGGAGTGGAACTATTACCAGTGTGACGGAGAAATCGGAGACAGAAGCAGTGCGGGGTAGTCGAAGCAATGCGGCGAAAGCCTCAGTGTCTGTTGGTGGGAACGGGCACCCAAGTTCTGCGGAAGAAGGGGAGGCCATTGATAGTGGAACGATGCGGGAAGAAGGTTCGAATGCCAACAGGAACGCGGACAAGTCAGCAGAAAAGGCGATGGTCGCCGAGCAGAGATCATCTCCGCCGGAAAGCGCAAGCGAAAAGCCGACCAAAACAGAAAGCGTCCAGAACGGGAAGTCCGCGGATACCCCCCAGTCAGAAAAGCGCGCCGGCCAGGAGCCCCCCCCCAAGAATAGGTACGCTGCAAAGAAGGGGGAAGCGAAGAAGGATCCGAAGGAGAAGCTGGCTGGAATCCGGGGGGGCCTCGTTGATCGAATAGTGGCCAGTCCGAAAGTGTCGACGGTGCTCGCGGCGGGGGGGTCGGGGCTGGACACACCGAGCATGGTACGGCTGCTGAAAGACCTGAGCGTGAAGGAGACGGCAGTCAAGAAGCCGGGGCTCACGGCAAAGGTGAAAACTCTCTTTTTCACCTTGATTTCCTTCTAAAGACTCTCTTAAAACGCAACGCGGGCTGACATTTGGGGCTTTGTCTTCAGTCAACTTTGATTGCTGTGGTAGCTTGACCGTCAATGCATCCTCCCCTCCCTTTCTCCTTTCGTAGTTTCTGTTTTCGACAATGCTCCTTTGCATATCACTCACCTCCTTTGCGCCTCCTCGCGCACAGGTCAACGTACTCCTGCTTCTGAGATTGTGGCCCAATTACTTCGTGGTTTCTCTTTCGATCACTCCCTTGGTACAGAGCCTTTGGATTCTGCTTCTCCTTTCCCTTACGAGGACTGCCTTCCGAAAGCAGCCGGTCGCCTGTGCTGAATTACCTCGCTGTCTGCGAATACTGTTTCTGGGACCTTCTCTTCCGTCCGCGATTCACTTTGGGCTCCTAAATCAGGCTCCCTTCACTCTCCTTTTAAGAAAAGCGGTCCTCTGAGTATGTCTCAAGAGACTCTCGGAGATCAAGAGGTATCTCATGATCTGTCTTTTAATTCGACCTTTTTCACAAAAGGGGTGGTAAGGGGGTGGTAAAGCCCGCTTCCCTTGCGTTCTTACCGACCTTCGCCAGCTCTTCAAGAAAAAGGGCACTTTAAACTTATTTGCACTTGTGGGACAACATATCGAATTTCCTTCTTCTTCCTTCTTTTGACCTTGTCTTGGCTGCGCAAGAAGACCGCCATTCTCAACCCGGTGGTCTACCTGTCTGCCCCCTTAGATTTTCTTGCCGACTCTAGTTTTAGAAATGAACAGAGGGCCTAGTCAGATGCAAGAGCATCTAACCCTCTCTCCTTTACCGCAGACGTTCGCCTGGCTTCGGAAAAACAAGGCCCCACTCGACCCCGTCGTCTACACGGCCGCCCTCGAGTTCTTTGCTCGCGACGTCAACGCAAACTCTGCGCTCGAAACGCTCGCCGACATGCGCGAGCAGAAGATCCGGCCCTCCGCCGACCACGTGGCCCACGTGATCGCCGCGCTCCGGGGCGCGGGGCGCTTCCGCGAGGCCGCCGACGTCGTCGCTAACGTTGGCGGCCCCGATGCTGACGTCAGCATGGACGCGACGTGCTTCAACGGCGCGCTGCGGGCTTGCATCGACGGGAGACTCGGCGCCGAAAAGCTTTTTGACGTCTACGCGGCGATGCAGAAGGCGGGGGTGACGGAAACTGCCGACACGTACGATTGTGTCATCGACGGGTGTCTCTTGGCGAAGGGGGATCCCCCGGCCGTGGGGTGGGTCGCCGAAAAGATGCAGGAGAAGGGGTTTACGCTCGACCGTGCGGGCGCCCGAGCGATCGAACAGTTACTGAGCGGAGCGAAAGTCGACGAAGCGTGGGACCGGTTCATCAATTGGAAACCCAGCAAGGGCCGGTGGAGCGGGGCTCTCTACGTGCGAATGTTGGACGGTTTGCTGGCCCGGGGGCTGGCAGAGGACGTCAGCTTGCACGTCAGCGAGATGCAGCGGCACAAGCTCGAGCTCTCAGCCGACCAGTGGGAACGAGTGAAGAAGCTCACGAACCCCCCCGGGAGCGTGATCCCTCCCCCGACTGCAAGTGCGAGTGCCCCTCCCTCTCCTACTGTTTCTGCCTTCCTGGACGTCAACAAACCCCGGAGCTCATCCGAGCCCCCCCAGCAACTGTCTTCGAGCGAAGCCGGGGGTTCGAAAAGTGAACCAGCAGGCGAAGGAGGGGTCGGGTCACCCCCCCGAGATGCCAAAGTGAGCGCAAATGCGGCAAGGGGCGAAGCGCCGGGTCCTGTTATGAGGAGCCCGCTGCAGACGTTGTCAGACTCGCTGGTTAAAAGGGCCACGGAGGGTAAGCTGAGGGGGAGCACGGGGGATCCCCTTCAGCCGGAAAAGCGGCTGGTCATGAAGGAGGTCTGGACACCCACCGGCAAGTTCTTCACGGCGCCCCGGGTGGTCCCGAGTGCAGAGGGGGGGCCGGAAAACGCGGACGAAGGCGGGGCGTCGACCCCTGCCGTTTCGGGGGGGTGTGCGGCGATCCCAAAGAGCGGACCGGCAGAGCGGTCGGGTAGAAGTCCTTCCCCACTTAGGTCGCCACAGGGGGCGACTGTTCCGTTCCAGGGGGTAACGTCCGCCAGCTCTTCAGGGGGGGGTGTTTCGAGAGCGAGCAGTGCGGGGGGTGAGGACGAGGAGGTCCCGGGCGACCTTGCGCCGTACTGGAAGCTGATACAGGTGCAGATTGCGAAGGGACGGATCGAGGGGGCGGCGGAAACGTTGGACGACGTTCGGCAAATGGGGCTCGTTCCGACGGCGGGGATGTTTAAGGTGGTCGTGGTTGCATGCGGGAAGGCGGGATTGAAAGACGCGGCGTGGAATTTGATTCGGGGGATGCAGGAGTCGGGGCACATTCCCACACCGGACGTGTTTGAGGCGTTGCGTTGAGGGACGTTGAGTTGGTGATGCCTGCAAAAGTTTTCAGTGGGCTCTTCGATCAGGTTATGAGAACGGTGCGGTGCAGGGACGATATATGATGAACTTCATCATTGAAAGAGTGGTCATTGAAGTGCAGCTCGTTTTGCGGCGCGGGCCGGCGCATTGTCTGTCATGGTCACTTGAAAGGGCGCTCGGCACATCGTGGTCAGGCATGTCGAAGACTAGGTTCCTCAAACTCATGTTGTGCATGGTCTGATGTCATGTCATGAAAGAAGTGCCGATGTATCGGACATAATTCATTGAGTTCTGCCTTCAGAGTTCTGCAAACCACGTCCAGCTATAGTGCGGCTTTGAACTCGACAAGATTACAGATCGAGTGACGGTCATGCAGCATGCATGACTTTATATGCTAGCCCCTTCCTAGAGCTTGTCGGCAAGTGCGTCATGCAACCTACCTATACCTACATAGGTAGTACTGGAGCCATATTTTAAACCCCAATTCCGTCTTCAAAACCCTAGGATAACCCCGTCAGCGCTGATGTCAATTGTGCGTGCCTTGCCGTGGCAAACCCGAGGACGGCCGCCTACCATCTTTTCACCAATCATGATGCTCGTTACTGGCCATGTGGTCAGCCAAGTAGGTACCTGGTAAGGAGGAGCATGTAAACCGGTATGGTACTGTATCTATCCGGTACCGGTTCCGTGATTGGTAGACCCACTTTCTCTTCAGAAGCGCCAGCTGAGCTTGGCTGAGCTGTCATGCAGCAGCATTCTTATAGCACTTCTGCGACTGCACGGCTGCAGAATGCAGATGGGAGCAAAGTCATGTATCCAGGAGCAGGATGCATCGACTCAAGAAATACTGCTTTCACAAAGGAAGGGCGAGACTTACAAGGTAAGATTGCGTTCTCCAATGTGCCGCAAGGAGCAGGTGTTGCACTTTGGGCGTCGGCTGAGCTGAGCCCCGCCAATCTCCATGCAGAAACGGGTCTGAAGAGAAAAGTTGAGAGCGAGGAGAATAAAGAAGCCAAGACAGTCTCGTGGACTTTCAATTGATAAAGAGAGCTTTCATTGCAGGGTTTCAATTGAAAAGAATTTGAAGGTCTAGCTCCACTTCTGACTGCTGCCGTGGATTTTGTGACAGACAACAAGTCTATGCTGGTCTTCAGTGTGTTGACTAGCCTAGGAAAAGTACACATCTGCTCTTGCAGCTTTTGTGCACCTGATTGTTTCGTGTTCGCATCTTAAAAACTTTAATGCACCTTCCTTCTGCAGCTCGCGTGCGCTCGCTAGCTTGGACTGCAAGTGCATGCGCCTGTGTAGTCAAAGGCCCTGAGGTTTTGGTTTAGGAGTAGTTAAAGTCGCTCGCAGTTTGGGTTTGGGGAAACCAAGGGTTTAGCATGGCTTGCCCCACATTGAAGCGCGACCTGGCTCGCATGGTCAGCGCATGTGCACGCCTGGGGGACTTGGACTGCGCGCTTACGGTCATTGATAAGATGAAGGAACGAGGGTGGCAGCCCGATAGCAACACGCTGAACCATCTGCTATGGTCCCCCTGGGAGATAGCCGATAAGGGGCTGCCTGGGGGGAGTGGAAAGTGTGAGGAGAGGGAAAGAATTGACGGGTGCGAGTGGGGCGTTGTTAAAGGTGAGCAGCTGCTTAGCTTGGTTTTTTCGAATTGAATGAGTACTCGATAAAGAAAGCGTGCTCATCAACGTTGGGGAATCTCCCAAACAGGCAAATAAGCGCCCTAGATGGTGTTCGTGGCTTCTGATTCTCATCCAATAAAAGAGTGCAAGTTTTGCCAGGTGCTTATGACACTCCGTCGAGCATTGCCCTGTTGAGGAGTTGGCCGACAGTCAACTTCCATGTCAGTGGAAGGTCTTAGGTGCATTCTAAGCCGAGACTTCTGTCCTCCACAGAATCGTCCATATGATGTTCGACAGGAGCGTCTGGCGTCTGCAGGCTTCTTCTCCATTTCAGTTTCTTCTGCTTCATGCTTTTGCTATCGATCATCGGGCAAGAAGCCCACAAGAAGAATTGTTCCCAGTAGGAGGACAGTATTACAAAGGGCGATGAATCAAAAGTAGGGGGGGGCATATGAACAATCAGTTCCACCTCCTCAGGTTTGAAGGGCGTTCGACGGAAGCGCGTCAGGTGGGTCGGTGGCCCGCCCACTCTGCCGTCCGATTGCCTGGCGCGCAGCAAGCAGGATGCTCCGCCCTCTGATACCCGCCCGTGGGACGAGCTCCCAACGGAGTTGCTCGTGGGCATTCTGAGACGACTTGGGGACGAGCGGGGCGTGCTAATCGCGTCAGCGGTGTGTTGCGGCTGGAGGGAGGGCCTCGCCGAGGGCGTCACTGAGCTTTCCCTCAAGTGGTGAGGATTTTAGAGTGGGAGTTATAAGACTAAGATTTTTTGGGGGTATGTTTTGATGTATTGAAAATCTTGGACACGGACAGGTTGCGCTCGCGGAGGGTGTTGCTGGTCCAAGGCCAATTGGTGCTTTCAAGAGTTCTTCCTTATGCTTTTACCCGTTGTACGTGATGATTGCTCAGGTTTACTTTTATGCCGGTTTAGATTCAAGCTTCATGAGTCGGGACATGTTAGGACGTCTTCAAGAAGTTTCGCCCTCCGGCCAGGGCGAAAGCCTCTCAAAGAGCGAGCATTTCAAGTATATGCTTTTCGGGACGGCTAGAGGTTCAATCTGTTTCGGACGGCAACTGGGATGTGCCGTTGTCAACCTTCCCATGTTGCCGAGACTGCACTTCGATTACAATCTCAGGTCTATTCCGAATAGTTAGTGGCTTTGGCGTACGGCCGCTCTAAAGAACCTTCGTTTGAGGCTCTTGGTCAAGCGTAGAGTTTCGGCGAGTCAGGATTGTTGGTGTTAACAACTTTCTGTCAACCAACCAAGCTGTAAGAGCAACCAATTTTACCCAACTCACGCATAACCAATCCTGTCCCGCCAGGTGTCGCACCGCCGCTGTTCCGGCGCTCGTCACCCACACCGTCCCGCGCTTCCGTAACCTGCACGCACTCAGCCTCTGGCGGTGCCCCTCCCTCACTGACACAGGTAAGTCGCCCGGTTGGATGCATAGCTCTCTGAAAGCCTGGAGTGTTTCATCATCATTGCAACGGCTCGGGTGCCACGTGGCACGCTGGCAAAGATCACGATGCGGTGAGTCGCTCAGAACAATCCGTGCGTGCTTGATACACGTACAAGTATGACGTCAGCAAGGCAAGTACCAGTTCAGGTTACAAACAACTTATATCGCATCCCCGTACAGCTGTCGCCGCCGTCGCTGCCAGCTGTCATCATCTCCGCATCCTCGACCTGTCCCTGGGCTCCCAATTGTCGGACGATGCTCTGCGGGCGCTCGCTGGGGGCTGTCCGAAGCTCAAGAGTTTGGACGTCAGCGGATGTGTCCGGTTTACGGAGGGGGGTTTCGTGACGCTGTTTTCGAAATGCAAAGAGCTGAGAGCGGTGAACCTGTGCGGGTGCGTCGGGGGCGTCAGCGACAAGGTGTTGAGGGTGAGGGAATCTCAAGATGTTTCTACGTTGATATATTGGTTAGGTGTTTGAGACACAAGAACCGAGATACCTGAGGTGCAGAGATTGTCGAGGATTCAATGTCGAGCTCCATGGTCTACCCTCTTGTCAGCTTCTGAATTACAGCCCCGTAAAGCCGAAGCGACTTTTTTCGAATGTCGTCTCCAGTCCCACCATCCCGTCTTCCCTTCGTATTGAATGACGTCTCCAATCGAATCAACCCGTCTTTCATTCTGGTATCGGATCCTACCTCCAATTCACGAAGTCTTCCTTTTGTCCAGGCAATGGCATGGAACTGCCGGGACCTGCAGTCCGTGAATTTGGGCTGGTGTGACCGTGTGACTGACTACGGCCTGTCCGCCCTCGCCGCCGGGTGCCCCTCCCTCGAAGTCCTGGACCTTTGTGGCTGCACTAGCACGACCGGTAGGGGCTACTTTCACATTTCTTTTCCGCTTTTACTTTCCATTCTCCTCACCTACTGCGCGGAGCTGGCAGGCCCTATCACGATGTTTTGCACTTGGATTGGCCGCTCAAGTGAAACTCTTGTACTCTTTGTGATTGCCTGTTTCTCTCGAGCATCAGTAGCCCATATTTCCCTGCTCTCATTCTGGCCGGCGACCCCACCTCCAGACGATCTTGGCCTCTGCACCTGGGCGCTGTGTTCCTGGTTATTCCCTGGTCCAAGTCGTCACTCAGCTAGCTTCGCAGATAGTAAACCTCCTTAAATGATCACCTCTGCTACCTTTCATCATCTCTACTGTTATCGTACCACGTCCGCAAACCTTTCATCCTACCGTTCCCGCTTCTGGTTGAGAACGTCTCTGCGTGATTAAAGAAGCTGCCGTGCCTCAGTCCTTTCAGGAACCGAGTCGCAAAATTCACATCTGCAAACAGCCCCCGCAAACCTTGATTCGAGACCAGCCCAGCGTATCCCGTTAACCCGCTTCCGCGAATTAACCAAGCTAAGAATAACCCGCTTTTTCCAGACCGGGCGGTTGTCGCACTGGCCGGGAACTGCCTCCGCCTGCGCGCTTTGGGCCTGCACTGCTGCCGCCTCCTAACAGACCGCAGCATCTATGCTCTTGCTGCGAGTGCGGCTCAGCGGAAGGAGTTGAAAATAGCAGGTTGGCACTTCTCTTCGTTTGGACCCCTTCTGTCTTTCCTCTTTGTTCGTCAGAAGCTTGGGCCCGAGTAAATTGGCGCTGTCGGTTTTCGTGTCCTCGTCGTTCATGAGATTGCATTTAGCAACACCCAATTCTGCTCTATTTCTTCCAGAATATACTATATAAGCAAGTGAACCAGAACCGTTACTTACACTTACTCCATTAATCTCTGGAATCAACCTCTTAGGCCCGGTGATCCCCGTGCTGATCCTCTGCCCCTGTATGTAGGGGAAATGTCATTCTACTCGTGCGATTGTCATCGTCAACCATCCATCGTTAACCAAATATTTGAGCACCAGATGAATTAACAGGGACTCTCAGTCCCTCAGGCCTCATGCAAGTCTTCCCAGGCCGAGTCGCGTTAGAGAGATCACTTCCAATCTGTGCTGCAGGATCGTTGAGCCCCGAGTGCACCATTACAACCAGCACCTTCTCTGCTCGGCTCTCGGGCTCACAAGACGCCCGACGGCCGAAAAACGCGGGCGCCCCGCAGTTTGGGCTGTTGTCACTAAATGTTAGCGGGTGTGTCCTTCTCAAGGCTCCCGCTATGCAAGCGCTGTGCGACGCCTTCCCAAGCTTGCACACGTGTCCAAAGCAGAGATCGCTCAATGTAAGCGGGTGTTTAGCGTTGACGAACGTACGTTGCAAGTGCCGGCAGAAGGCGTTGTGACACGTTGTACATGATGTATGTAACCAGCCGTAGGCAACTCGACTTGACTCTGACTAGGGGTAGGAGAGTTGGTGAGTTGCGAGATTCATCTGTGTATATAGTGTAGCTAGAGATATTGTACATATGTTTAGTTGCTGTAAATTGTGAATTTATATAAAGCATAGATGCACCGGCAAGTAGTCAGTTTGTACATATGCTCAGCTAGAATCAATTTAGCTTTGATAGCGCACAGTGTTTAGTTGCCAAAGTTTCGTAAGCCAGTTTCTATAAATTCATTGAGCGGTTGGATACAAAATGTTTGATATTCTTATCTTGGCTGAAGTTGGTAAGACATTGTTCGGTAATGCTAGCTATAGTCATGCGCATACACTAGTGAGGCTTGGAAGGGCAAAACTTTCACCATGGAAAGTCACAGTTCGACCATACACCATACAATTCAGCAGACTTGACTCAACGTTGATTCCTTCATCGATCGAAGTTTTCTACTGAGCTAACCTCAAATTCTTTTTAGACAATGCGTTGCGCGCAGCAAATGATCCGGTCGACTCGCTTCTCAATGATGCGGTCGACGGCCAATTGCGCGTTCATGTGAGCAGAACGATCTGTACTTTCGTATATCTTCTTCAATCATCGATCCTTTGATCCACGAGAGCCGAATTCTGGAGAACGTTCTGTTCATAGCCGCGGGCCGCCAAAACATTCGATCTAGCTCGCCATATGCATGCGGCCCTCGGCCTGACCGCTAGGTATGTGTTCCAATCAGAATCAGCGAACGACGGTGTGTGCACTTCCACTAAGCGAAATTTCTGCTGCACAGTCAGATGCTATAAATGTTATATCTCAAGGCGATGACGTTGCCAGGAGCGGCAATGAACGGCGTGTCGTTTGTGCTAGATTTTATGTTCGGCAACCCTCATAGTATCCGAGTTTCTCCTGTCATCCTGGAAACTTTCAAACTGCAGATGGACATTGAGGCACCTCTTCCTCCTTAGGCTCAATGCGCTGGAACGAGCGCGGCGCACGAGCTTCACACACCCCAACTTCAACGGCTAGACAGAGGCCCCCAACCCCACGGTACCTCATGCTTATGTACAGTTGTGTCCCCGCTAGCGACAGCAGGAGACAGATCCACGTGGCGGGCGCTCCGGCCTGTTTGAACGTCAAGCCGAAAAGGCCGCTGAGCAAAGGGACCATGGGGCGGACAAAAATCACCGAGAACCTGCGAACGAACAATAAGAAAAAGTTCCTTCACTGAGCCGGGTTGGGTCATTTGCAGCTCTTCAAGAACCTTGATTCCTGGTTTTCACGTTACACGAGATCTTTCAAGCAGATTGACTCGTTATAACAGACTGTCGTGAAACATATGCACGGCCCTAGTGTTTTCCACTACTTTCCTCCGCTTTCTTGGAAAGCAGACAGGGCCTCAACCTAGCATTCGGATGCGGCGTTCGCTCAGATTCGGTTGTACTGGTGCAGGGGAGCGTCCCGGAGAATCCCTTCGAGCTTAAAGTGGCGCGAAATCCAAAAGCAGCCCAGAAGCTGATGCCGTGTGCGAAACCGTCAAGAATTGATATTGTCTGCATGGTCGCGAACCCGTTGGCTCCTTCAATGTCGCTTAATTACAGGGTTTTCGCCTACAGAAATCACAATCGTATACGATTGAACGGAAATGTACTTTCATTGGTCAGCCAAAAAATGATCGATTGAAAGCAAAGAAGTGGTGAGAGGAAGCTTGTTGCGCCTCACCCGACCGCGGCTGTCCGTATCATCCACTCCCGATGCAGCTGAATCCGCTTCCGCCGCACGCTCCACACCGCGCTTCCGGCGGAAAAGAGCCACGCCGGCCCCAGAAAGAACATCGCGATCTCAAAGCTCTTGTCAAACTGACTGTACGGCGCCATAAGCATCCCAGTCACCGATAATACGCACCCCGAGGCCAGGAAAGCGTAACCGCTGGCCCGGTGCATGGGCAAGCGTTTCAGCCGCATGCCGTCAATGAATTGTACGGGGCCTGTGAGGCAGTAGACGATGGCGCACGTGGCATGGACTTGCCAATAGCGTATGTGGTCGAGAACGGTCTGCGCGTACGTGCTCGGGTCGGGGAGACCGTCCGCTTTGTCTGCGTATCCGGAAAGAAACGGACGTCAGAATCCAAAGACGAGGCCGAAGCCAGACAATCACGAGAATCTGCGCACTACAAAACAGGGACCCGGTTTTTAAGCCCAGTTTGTGATACAGGAAAGAGAGAATTTAGCTCAGCGCTGAGCTGGAAAAGGGAGTTTTCCATCGTCAAGATGTTGGGGTCGAAAAGGGCGGAAAAGGCGTTGCAGACTCGCAGCTCAGTACTGTCTCCATTACAAGTCGAAAGCTTCAAATAATGGAATTTGTTCGATCCTCATAAGAAAACGGGACGGCCTGGCCCAAAGTACCACTGAAAATACGTCTACTTATCGTCTTGAGCAAAGGAATAACAAGAAACAGGAAAAGGAGTGAGTACCGCTTCTTACCGATGCTCATCTCTCTAATGGCAGGCTCCCTTGCGAAGACATAGACCTACACGGGATAGCCGAGGAAATGACTGATATTTGTGGCAGTACCCCCTGTCAACAACTTGAGAATCTAACCTTCTAACGTGTCTCATTTCTTCTCCTTGCAACACAATAAAACGAGACCCCTTTGTGAGACCATTCCCCAAAAAAAGGGACGAAGTAGGAACAAGTTTAGGGCCGATCAGAATGTGGAACCTTTCGGCCAGACTGATTTATCGATTCGAAGTCACTTCTCAGGGGGCCTTTGGAAGCGCATCTTTCAGTTGGAACCAGTTTAAAGATCATATGAAGATCGGCCATAGTCGGGGTCCTGATTATATGCAAATGTCCAGTTCGATTAGGCAAAGTAGCCTCTGGAATTTGGCATGCCAGTCAGCAAAATCCCTCTGCCCGAGCAAAATTTCGCAGGGCTTGGGCGGGCTTTAAAGAGGGCCAAATCAGAGCATCCGAGACCCTTGCGTAATAAGCACTCAAAGCCCTGAGACTCACCAAAGCGCCCGCAGAAAAAGGGATTGCGGCTATCACCACAATCCACCAGCAGATATTTGGCCAGACCTGCAAAACCAGATGCTCGCAGAACTCCCTCAACGCTGAACCGGCGCTTCCTTTCGGATCAAACTCCTTTCTAATTTGCGTTTGTGGCTGCTCAGAGTCGTCAATCAAGAGAGCTACTGCCGTCGTCTCCTCACTGTTTCCGGGAGCCATGTTTGATCCGGGAGCCATGTTTGATCCGCTGAGTGCCAATACTTCCGGCCGCCTGCGCCACTTAGGAGAGAAAGTGACCAGCTATGCGGAAATGTCTTCTTTCATCCGCAGATAGGGATTGAAGACGCTTTCAACGCACTCTAAGTACCGTGGATTTCCCCCAGGAATGTCTGTTGGGCGTTGACGATTTGCAGACAAAATCTTTTGCCCGCACTTAAAGACGCGAGTGTGCCTTTTTTGGACGTCGGAGAATATCGGTGTAGGTGCTCAATGATTGGTGACTGGGGGGTATTTGACCGCCCTGGCCTAAATACTAAAATTCCGGAAATAATACAAGATTTGAAGAGTCTTCTCTTCTTCTTTCGAACTTCATCTACAAGGGTGGCTTGGCTCAGTGAGGATGCGCCAGCCGATCTGTTGCTGAGAGCATGCTGCTGGGAGCTGCATGTTACGCAGAATTACGGACTGCAGTTTGGACTGGGCCTGTAACGAGGATTCCGAACAGCAGCGCGCAGGCTGGGCCAAGTACTCTGAACGTATATCCTTTAGCGAATAACCTGCAACTACAGTACTAGGTCGCAAGCAGACGCCTTGAAATGTTAGCAGCATACACTACTATTGCATGCAGAGTCGGATTTATATTAGCAAGGCCGGTTAAGGTGGTAGGACGGTAATTCAGGTTGGATTGACCCTGGTTTACGTTCTGGTTCATAGAATGTTCAAAACTAAACCAAATCAGGTTTCGTCTTCTCCAATGGCTTCGAGACACCCTCGGGGTCCTCTCGAAGCTCCTCTAACCACCTCGAAGTAGTTTGGGTCAGTCTGAGAAACCCTGCCAACTCCAAACAACCTGGTTCAAAGGGGTATTTCCATTGGATTTTCTGCCTGTCAACTGCCACGATAAATTTCCTTCGAACAAGAGGAAATCACCTTCGGGGCAAGCTGGGATGTCAAAAACATTTTTCCAAAAAAAATCTGACGGAAATGTGCACCGCCAGGGGGGAACATACCTGGTCAACAACCTGAGAAAAAACCATTTTGAGCATATAAGCTGGGAGTTTTGACCATTAACGGTGCACATTTTCGTCAATATTGTGATTTAACCGTTCGATAGACATCCCAGCTTGCCCCGATTCAGTTTTAGGGGGGTCAATGAGAATTCTATCATTTCGTTTTTCTGACGGCCAAGGGTTCATGTAGGGGGGTAAATGTTCAAACTTCCTCACTTCAGACTTTCCTCGACAAGTCGTCAGTGAGTTCGAGGTGGTCCCAGAGTGCTCGAGGGGGCCTCCTTGGTCCCCCCCGAAAGATGCAAAAGACGGGACTCGATTTGACCACGTTATGACCAAGTTACGCCCCTTCAAACCCTAGAAACCCTCTTTTCTGGCTGAATTACCGTCCTACCACCTTAACGGTACGTCGGTCGGTACGGTATTTCTTCTTTTCTTTATGGGCCTGATATGCGCTGATTTCGTGATCCAGGACAGTGTACCACGATAACGTGACGCCTGTGCCAGTGGAGATGGGGCTTTCCGAGAAAGATTCAAAAATTGGAGAGCTTACGCAATCGAGGGATCCCTCCCTCTTGAGTTTGAGATTGTACGGACGCCATCACCGTGACGACACCGAACGACGATGTGCACACCGAGCCGCATGCTTGAAGTCCAATGCAGGCGCGCCGCGGTCTTGCCGGCCGCGGCCGCATGATACATGATGACTCGGATGTCGAGCCCGGCCGCCTTTGTGTCCTTATGCCAATGGTCGTAATCGCTCACTCACATGCGGCATACCGCAGGTACTTCGCGTTGCCATATTGGCGTGTCCAATCAAGTCAGACAGATTGCTTGTCAAATTGTCCAATAGTACCGGGCGGGGGCGGTCAAGTCGTTCACTCAGACATAGGTAGTGTATGGAGCTATTGCACTCAGCGCTATTTTCTAATTAAATATCACAGACTCCAATTCAAAGAAAAGCTCCTATGAACCGGGCCGGCTGTCTATAGACAGCTTGTCCTGTGTATTGAATCATGTTCGATTTTGCATGCATATAAACACGCGCCGGCCAGCATGTCAGATGAGCTTGATGCTATAGCTTGATTCTGTACGAGTTGCGGGCTGACTAAGTGAAAGACTATCATTATTAATGGCAACCGATGTATTCGACATGAGCCTGAGCTATAAACAATAGGTGGTGAATCACGAGCTATTCTGTGCTCTGCAACGTGGCGACAATACTCAAACCATATGACGGCATGGCCTTGATGGCTGGCATAGCACTCACTCGTATACTCCCAGATCTGGGGGCCTCCCCACTTGTGCATATATATTATCTTCAACAGGAGCTAGGCTTTTCCAACTCAATAGCACTAGGCTGTATAGAACCGGCCAACATTAACCATGATGCGCCCTTTTGCTTTCCAAGCGGCTCGGAGCCGGAGTCTTCTCAGTTGGTCATGCTGTGCGACGAAAAACCAACCGAAACACAGAAATTTCCGTCCGTTAACCATGGATGATTGCGGGCTGCTCAAACGATCATGTCCAATAACCAGACTTGGGCAGGCTTACGGACCCGCTCTTCATTTGATAACGCGGGACCAGTCTGCCAACAGCCTGGTTAGCAGCCGAGAATCTCTTGTGTAAGCGACCTGGCTCAGTCGCCCAGCCGCTGGCCCATGAAGGAGGCCACCATGTCGTCCACTTTGGAGCAACCCAGAAGTACATTCCGATGGCTTGCGAATTCCGACAAGCTTTGTAGGTACGCATGCTTGAGACTTTGCGGAAGCTCGCAGGCCCATGTAGTCTTTGGCCGCCTTATGTCACTTGAACCTTTCAATCTGCGGAAAGGTGAATCTATGGTACACAGTGGAGCAACTACGGCCTTTCCCCTCTTCATTAATCACCGCTAGTGCGAACGGCTGACGTCACGACGTCTTCCAGATGTCAGCGTCATCTTGAAGTCGCGACTGAAGGGAGAAGGGACAGCAATAACTTTTGATTCGTTAATGCTTCCTGAGTACGTAAAGGGCCAAGACGCAAGAAACACGTATCCAACGAACTCTGGAGACACTGTCTTAACCGCCGCGATCAGACTGCCCGAAAGTACGCTGTGCTAGTCGAAAATGGGTGCAAGATTTCCCGCAGGTAGCAGGACTGATTCGTCCCTACAGCGACGTGTGGTATTCCCGGGCCAACGTAACGCTTTCACGTACCGTTATTTAAGACAGTGGGAAAGCGGGGGTGGGTCACGAGAGAAAGCTTGGAAAATCGATGTTCCTTGCCTGCACTGAGAGTCTTTTGCGATATGGACATTTGCAGAGCCATTGAGGAGGCTTACGTGCTGTGTGAATGTGACGTACTCCCGCAGCGTATGCAGCATTTTGCCCTCCGTCAAGTACAGTGGGTCGGTGGACTGATCTCTTTGTGGTGAAGGGCAGCCGAATGCGCGAGGCACTGCGCGCTGGACTCAAACTCGCGGCCGCATGCCGCGCACTTGAACCCACCTGGGCGCAAGGGAAGAGCAAGAGTTCAAAAAAGAAGCGCCGACGAGAAACTGTGGAGCGAGCTGTAGCAGAGCAAAAGAGAAAGCGGGGCAAGAAACAGAGTGGACAACAGGTCTGTTGATTCGTGCGCCTGAGAATATGCCAGCATTGCTTGTATTGTTTGTCCAGAAGGAAACGGATATCAAGAGGAGAGATGAAGTTTGCTTGGATCCCAGAGGATTTGCCTTGACAATTCCCGGGCCATCAAGCACAGGCGTCTCTTGAGAACAACATGGCTAAAGAAACAAAGCTGTAAGGGAGTTAAAGGGAGGGCAGAAGAAGCGACAGAGACGGAGCATGTTCTCGTACAATACAATTGCCTAAGAAGCTCCATTTTAAAATCTGCTTGCCCTGCCCTTTTAGCCCGGGAATGAAGAAGGGAAGCCTCAGCAGTTTCGCCGCTTCGGGAGTGGGCGAAAAAGAGCCATCTTCTGTGCAGAATCGCGACACGCAACCATGCTTAGGGCTTCGTTAGCAATGGTTAGACAAATGGGTTTACCTGGCGCGCCCTTCCTGAAGAAGGCATGTTGCATGGCCTCGTCCGCGCTAACCCGTTCTTCCGGGTTCCAATGCAGCAGCCGCCTCAACAGGCGTACCCCCCAGATGTCGATTTCGGCTTCCCCCCCAAGGGGATCCCTCGCCCGCAGCTGTTTGAGAAACGACTCCTCGCTGCACTGCCAGGCTAGTGCCCCGCCGCGACCTTGTTCTGAATCGTTGCCCCGGCTATTCGAACCGGGCTCCGTCGAACTGCGCAAGCTAAACCTGCCCCTGGCAATCTTCAAAACGAGATTTGGCAAGCTCCCGAGCCACCGAGCTATGTTTGATACCATATTTGATTCCCCCTGTGCACGTGGTTTCTCATCTTCCGCCGTCCGTCCAGTTTCCGTGGAAGGCGGAAAAAGGGCCGCCATCGGTGCGGGGGGGTAGATGCACAGCTCCAGAAAGGCCCTCAGAACGTACGCCAGCTCCTTACACGTGGCGTCGCGGCAGCCTGCCAGGTGGCGCTCCAAGAGCGCGCGTGTGCGTGCAGACACTTGGAAGACGTGGGGGTTGCCGAGCAGAAGTTCGAGAAAAAGAACGCCCGCGCTCCACATGTCGTACCTGCCGGTTGGGAAAATGTGGCTAGAATCGAGGTCCAGGTCGGTTGAGGAATACTTCTGCCCTCACCATGAAGAAGGCTGAGATTTTTGCTTGGGTTGAACGCTTTCGGACGAAGCACAGGGTTGGGCCCTTTCCCCTCGCACCCAAGATGTTGCACGGTCAGTCTGGAGTTCAATAGGTGCGATTTAGCTACAAAACGAAGCAATATTACTGAACTGCCTGCCTTCTTTGAAGTATCGAACTCTGTGTCGAAAACAACATCTTGGGTTCAAGAGGGGTTTGTCTCTTCGGCCAGCCTAACCACCAGACGGAGTCCCTGCCGGGCCAGGCCATGACTGGGTGGATGAGTTAGGACGCTTTATTACAAATCAGCTCGTTGCATACACCACTTGCACAAAATAAGCAGAGCATCGAACAATATACATGTCGCAGTAGTGTTCGCCCGTCTGCTTGACGGACCTCGTACCGAAACCAGTTCCTGGATATTTCCATACCCTAAATCGATCTCCGAATGGTCAAAAGACTCACTTGGCGGCCTTGTCCGGTCGCCGTGGCAGCCAGGGCTCCTGAGCGAACAGCGCCTCGGGGGGGGAGTACTCCGGGGTCTCCTGTAACCTGCGCAGCGACGCGGCGCGTTGCTATTCGGAACTATTTCCAACGACTCTCGGGCTTTCGTATCACAGACGTGCCTCCGTCTCGGTGTCCGTTTTTGCATTCCTGTGGCGGACTTGGTTGAGCACATGTCCATCGAAGCAGCGAATCGAGGACTGCACGTTCAACTCGGTACTGTCGATGTCTGATTCTCCAGCTTGAAATCTGACCTCATCCACCTATTATGCCAGTATGACATTTTCGAAGCCTCGAACTTTTCAGGCTTAGGCCTTGGGCTTAGGCCCTTGGTATAGACGAGGCATAATTTAAGGTTGTATGATTATTTGAAAGGTCCCTGCGTGCCTGTGAGATGGTGCGCCTCCGGCGCCATGCACTGTCAAGCCAAATGAGGTTAAGCTGAAGCGGCACGGTCAACTTTCTCAAACCCAGAATTCCAGGGTTGGACTCAATGAGGAGGGTCAGAAGTCCACGCACCTCGAAGGGCCGTGCACCCCAGGGCGGTGGTGAGCCGAGGGGCTCCATGCACAATAAAGCCACTTTTAGTTACGGTAACCCGACACGGCCAACAATGTTTAATTCAGGGGTTCCAGGGTTGAACACGTGAGTGGTAGGGTAAAAGTCCACGCACCTGGAAGGGCCGTGCGCACCGTAGAGGTGGTGAGCGGCGGGGCTCCACGCGCTGCCGAAATCGATGAGGCGCAGGCTCAGATTGGACGCCTGTTGCCAGGCGGACGGGTCCGATGCGCTGTGTGCGGGGCGGGTTACCAACAGAAGGTTATCTGCAAAAGGGTCAAATGATGGGTAAACCGATGCACACGTTGTCCTTGGGAAATACAAACAAGGAATAGGGTGACAAGTTGTGGTTAGCCGGCGGTTTTCACGGCTCTGGGATTGGAGCCTGCTGCCAATCGGACGGAGCCGAAGTGGGGTCCGCGGGCCAGGTCATCAGAAAAAGGCGAATTCAAACAAAGAGAGTAAAACTCGACATGACTCACGCCAAGCGAGACACTACAAAACTAACACGGAAGCACGGCAGAGACGAGAAGACCTGAGCAGAACAGACAGGCACCCAACAGAAATTCTTTTCTGGGCGCGTTCTCACCCGGCTTGACGTCCCTGTGCGTGACGTCATGCTGATGGCAGGTGCGCAGCGCGGCCAGGAGCTGCCACATGATGCTCTTCATCTCCTGCCGCCCGCGGACGTCCGTACGCAGCCACCGCCACCATGCGGACGGTGTAACCACGCCCAGGCCGGGACGGTCGCCGGACGGGGCCGGGCTGCCCAGAAAAACGCTGACGTGAGGTTTGGGACGCTGACGTATGAGTTCGGACTCGCATTTCATAGTCAGCATGTCAACGCGGATCACCAAAAGGTGCAGAAGCACAAGACGCGGACGGTGTAACCACGCCCAGGCCAGGACGGTCGCCGGACGTTGCCAGGCTACCAAGATGAAACACTGAACTGAATAAATCTCAAGAAAGATAATAACAAGCCAAGATAATGATAAGCTCCGACTAACACTGGAAACCCTAACCCAAAAAGATACCTGCTCCGCACCCATACCCACCCTACACACCAAACTAGCCGTACCCGTCCCAATGCGATTACCTTATTATTATCTCGGCTTATCATTATTTTTCTTGAGTTCCATGCCGGGCTGCCCAGAGAAACTCCGACATGAGGTTTCGCACGCTAATTTTCGGACTCTGATTCCAATGTCAGCATGGTAACGCGGATCACACAGAAGGTGCAAAAGCACAAGATGCCTCCCGCGCTTGTAGAAACCTCTGACGCGTTTCTGGATTAACGGAGTCCTATTCGACTTGGTGATCTCCAACCTTGATATCGGATGAGCGTCAAGCTGACGGTCGCTGGGTAGGGTTCTAACACTGAACTGAAGTTAACCCCCGGGCCCTCAATATGACACCGGGCAAGAAGAACTTGCAAGTTTGGATTGACAACATTGGAAGCGGTACTTCATTGTGAGAAGTTCGAAAATGAATTCTGCCGTTTGCAAAATGCACACCTGTCGTACATCCAGTCCCGGAGGCTTTTCCCCTCGTCGCGGAAGACCAGCCACAGCTCTCGGCCCGAGTGCATCTCAAAGGAATCTATGTACCTGGAAAAGAGAGGACGGCAAGATTCAGGGGTATTTGCGTGGGTCCGCAGTGCTGACAGCCAGCAAAGAACGCTCTCCTCACAGCAGAAGCTTTGGCGATCTTCGACTGGATCAGAAAAGGCCTTCGATACATGTGAATTTCTGTATTGAACTCTTCCACAAAATTTCATTTCGAATTGTTACTGAGATGCTATGAAACAAGTCTGGTCTTCGGCTTTTGAGAGTCGTCGGTCCATGCCCTTTCAACTTCCACGTCGTACTTTATAACTTGACTCTGTTGCATCTCTTTCTCTCTGTTTTGCTCTACTGAATAGGCCCCCAACGGCATTCACCAAGAGGTTCTTAAGGGCTTCTCAAAGACTTCTAGACTCGCTCATCAAGTCTGACTTGTTTGGAAAAAACGAGTACCCACTCGTTTTTGTTTTTCAATCTAACATCCCTCTTCTACCTGACCAGGTGCGAGTAATCGCCGCCCGAACCCTGGGCCTGCGTGCCGCCGCTTCCAGGGTTCGCGCTTGGCTCGGCGTGAGCTGTCGTCTGCTCGTGCTGCCACGTGGCGCTCGCGTTCATCAGCATCTCCCCAAAGAACTTTTCCCGCAGACCGCTGAGGCGTACCTGTCGTCAGATTATACTTCCGTTGTCCCAAGTCTGAACTTGATGACGAATCAAAGCCAGGCACGTTGTGCCCTTATTGACCAAAAAGATTACGAGAATAGACTCAGGTTTACGGTCAGAAACCCTTGTCCTCTTCATTATGGCGATCCGAATAACATGCTCTTCCTCCTTCGAACCAAGGACCAGTCAAACACGCTGCATTCTGACCGTTGACTGAGGCATTGTCGAGTACCCACTGTACCAAAAGTTCGCAGGCCTGCGTTTCAACTCTTGACGCGCTGTGCAATATGCAATTTGAAGATCTCAAACTAAGTATTGGATTGTAGTATTTGAATCCTGGGGGAGTAGAGCCCTGTACCTCCCCGCCCTTTTCCACTAGCAGCCGCTTGAGGATGAACAGCGTTCCCGCATCCCCATGGCAATTTTTTCCCTCCTCTCCATCGAAGTCCGATGAAGTGCTCCTCGCGTCCGTATACCGGCACCTGGCAGGAGAAGAGCCAATTGCCTTACGCAATACGGCCACGAGTTTTTCTGTTTTTCTTTTTTCTTTTTTTTTGGCACGTATTGTTTTACGGGTCTCAGACTGATATTTGATAATTTGGGAACGGTGCGGACATGTGACCGGTCAACTACGTCCGGTGTCTGTGCTCGAAAGCTACCTGCGGTTCCTATCTGCTTCGCTGACTCTGGCCACACGTAAACCGTCTGATCAGAGTCCGGATTATCAAGGGGGCTTTGTCTAAAGCGTAAGATTGAATCCTTCCAACGACACTTTTCTGCGGATGTCTCAGTCTCTGTATGCACCGAGAGGCTTCGTAAGGGTATTTTTCAAAGGCGATTGCAAAGGTTTCTTCCAGCCTCTAGCGAAGTAGCCAACAACAATCAACGTATGTAGTCACGAGTGCACCAGATCACAACGTTTGCTGACCTGCGTCCGTGGTTCTCAGACTTGTCCGGCACGCGAACGGCGCGCCAAATCTCGCCGAAGGAGCCCTTTGCAAAGTTGTTTCGGAGCAGGTATCGATACCTGCGGATGACACCGACGACATAGTGTGGTACTAGATAGCGAATCGAGGCCTCGACCCTGTCAGTTGTGTTCATAAGATACGACGTACTTAGTCAGTGAATCGTGCTCTCTTTGCGAAAAGAGAGGGCTGGACTTCCTGCAATCCCCTCCGAGAAACTAACTGCTGGCGTTTGAGCGAACATGAACGAGAGGCCAAGACCTTCCGGGTACGAGCTGTCGACTTTGTAGAGCCTCTCCTCTCAGGAACTAGATGTGATTCCTACTTGAGTTAAAGCCGACAACCGCTATGATAAGGCGAGTCGAAAGACCTCGATCCGAAAAAAGGCTTCGAGATTTGCAAACAGACGCTCGACCAAGAACCCTCACAGAGGCTCCAAGTAATTTTCTCAGCGACGCTCTACTCAAGAGCCCTCACCTGTGGTCGCCCTCCTCCCGCTGCACGCCCGCCGGCGTCCACTCCTCCCCGACCTCCTCCCCGGTGCTTTCCCCCGGGGGCCTCTTCCAGTCTGAGCGCGACTCCGTCCAGCCCCCCGGTTCAACGGGAACCGAGGCCACAATATCGAGAAAAGTGCCCAGTCCATCCAACGCTTGGGAACCATCTGGAATTGAAGCGCGTATTCGGCTTGAGATCCCGAGTCCTGGATCGATCGTGGCGACCAAGTGCCGATGGTACAGCTCGAGGGTGGTCGCCCAAGGGGACGGCGACTGGGGAAGGGCGATGTCGCCGTCCGGAGAATTCAGGCCGAGCGGAATCGGGTGCAAATCTTCCGCGGTGTGAACGGGCGCCTCGCCGGTGTGAACGGGCGCCTCGAGAGCAGAGCAGACGGGGAGGGACTCGGTGGGAACGGGCTCGGTGGGAACGGGCTCGGTGTGAACGTGCTCGGCGTGGACGCCCCCAGTGTAAACAGGGAAAGACGGGGAAGGGGCGAACGCCTTGGTGCGAAACGGCCCCTGCTCGGTGTGAACAGGCTCCTCTTGGGGGGGTCGTACGTTGCTTGGGACAGCAACAATGCTGGTGTCTGGGGCGGGGAGGGCCCGTAAGCCGGAGACCAGTTCGACCAGCTGATAGCACCAGTCGCTGCCCTCCCCATATACGACCTGCCCGCTTATGTAAACCTTGAAACCCCCGGCCTCGACGAGGGACGAATCGTCGACCTGGGCTATCGCCCGTCCAGCCGTCTCTTCTGTTACCGCTTCCTCGTCCAGGCGTTTCGTCGGAACGGGGTTCGGCTCATTGCTGACGACGTCGTCCGGCTTGCCGTCGTCATTGCCCCGCTTGCTGACGTCAGCACCCGGCTCGCTGACATCATTGCCCCGCTTGCCGGTGGCGCCATCAGCGGACGCGCCCAGATCGGCAAGTTGCTCCCGGCTCTCGTTCTTGGTCCCCGCTTTGTCTTTGGCGGCATCGCTTATCGCGTGCAAATCCACTACGACCACGGCAATGTTGTCCATGCTTCCCTTTTGGAAAGCTACGTCCCGCAGCTTCTCCGCAATTGCCCCGGGCAGAAGCGCCCTTCCGTCGACTTCTGGACGCTGGCCTACTGGGACGCCCGGTTCAGGAGCTGCACGAAAAAGCCAACACTATTTGTTAAGTCATGGTTCATGGTAGTTTTTAGGCGAGTCTTACCATCTCTAAGCGGCAGCTTTGTTGCTCATGAACGGCAATGATGCAAAAGCAAGAAAGAAAACATGTGGAGTACAACTCTGTATTCCGCACCTCTGGTCAAACCTAAACTGCCGCCCTTTATTGAAGGAGGATGAGCGATTTTTCCAGAAAAAGTACGTTGCTTTTGAAAGCTACCGCTGATGACTTTCAAACGGCAGCCTTCTTGACATAAGTCTTTCATCCTTTCAGGAATGACGGACGAGTCGAAGAGTCCCCAACCTCATTGCCCTGCCCGCCAGAAGCAGACTTTCTTGGACCTCACCTTTTAGGTTGGCTCTGGTTCCACTATGGTGCTTTTCCTGGTCGGGGGCTGCATCCGCTTGTAGACTCGTCTCACTCTCCGTCCTCACCCACCCCCCCTTCTCCGAGTCCGACGGCCTCAGGGGTATGGCTGGCCGCCTAACTTCCCCCCCAGAATCGTCAGAACCGCCCTCGATGCTTGCTACCAGATCGCACACACACTGGCCCCCCGGAATGTCCTCGTACACCCCATCTGACGCCAGCACCAAGAACCTGACGTCCGAATCGCTGATGTCGATCCATTCAGACAGCTCCGGATCCGGTATCATTCCGTACGGTTTCAAGTCCAGGTCGCCAATCGCGCGGCTCAGCATCGAGACGCCCATCAGGCGGGGGACGCCGTTGACAGCCAAAACGACCCCCCCGGATGCGCGCACCCGGTCGATCTCGTCTTGCCGGTCGAAGCGGTGGTTTGACGTCAGGTCTTGGGCACACAAGCCGCAATTCCGCTTTTTGCGGGTCCCGCGGCGGGTCGGGGCGGGGCAACGGGAAGGGCAGCCTGATGGAGGAGCGGTGGAGCAGAGAGTGGCACGGGAGTCTCCCACGTTTGCTACCTGGTTAGTGATGAAGAGGAGATTACAGGAAGGCTTGAAGATATCTTGGAGAGTGTTGATCTCGAGGTTATGCTCGGAGCCCAGACGAAGGAGAGTCGATTTCGGACAAGCCAGGCTCGTGCACCTGAATCCGAAGCTGTTGCATTCTGGGAATCTGTTTACTTGCTTTTTTGTCCTTTTCGAGCACGAGCTTTTTGCCCTATTCGAGCACCTCTTGATGACGGGAGGCTTCCTCTGAAAGAAGCGAAAGCGTAACAAACTTGGCCGCGAAGGAAAAACAAAAACTGCCTGAACTCGCCCTTTCGAAGCGGCACGCTTCCTTGGTGCTCCCTTCATTGTTGCTCCATAGCGATTTTACAAAGTTGCATGAATCATACGCGCTTCGAAATGAGAACCAAGCACAGTCAAGTCACTCAAAAATCGTAAAGAGACTTTTGGATACACGCACCTTGATCATATGCTCGAGAGGACAGTTTTCTAAGCCAGGCTTCGAGTGACATTAACTTACCTGAAGCCACCTGTTCCCCACAAGGACTGCCACACACGCAGTGGTCCCAGCATCAATCCCTTCCGACATTGCAAAAGTCTGAAACTCAGTGTCCAACTTTAGTAGCGCCCTCTCGACAGCCTTGCTCAGGCTCTCCAGTGTATGCGCCCCTCCTTTCGACAGGGTCCTTTCGGACAGGAGCTGCTCTACGGATAAGTCGTTTTCGAACAGGCTGCAGAGCTTCTTGTCTTGCGCAAGGTTAGCCACTAGCTCTGCTTCGAGAACCGGTCGGATGTGCCGGGCTGCAAACTCGCTGGCTTGAGCTCCCCCGTGACCGTCGAAGACTGCGAAAGCTCTTACGTCTAGTTTGCCAGACTCAGCTCCCCCAGCCTCAGCTAATCTTTGTCTTCCGGCTTCTTGATCAGAGTCTGACTCTGATAGAGGTGGACACACTTTAGCGAGCGGGATTGTAATAACGTCTATGCACAGGGCCCTATCCTCCATTGCGTCCCGGAAGCCTTGCATCAAAGATGTTCCGCAGAAGAGCTCTTCCCCAGTTTCTGATCCTGCGGTGATGCAAATCAGGAGTGCAAGCCAAATGAAGAGCGTGCGCCAGAGAATAGCAAAAGGAAGCATGTCGCATCGTCCTCGGGAGGGCGCCATCTGAGCCCCTTGCACTTAGGGAGTTGCCAGTGTTGGGACTTCTTCTTGAAGCCTAGTCTGCTTATTTAGAGGGTTGTTGCTTGGGGGGCCACTTAGGAACTCTTGCATCTGTAGCTTTGCTGAAATTCTGATATCCTGTCAGTCCGATGATCACAGTGTATCCATTGTGGGGCTAGGTGGAGAAGGCCATCGCGTTCTGCTTTGGGGTTTTATGAGCTCGTCACATGCCTGCACATGGTTAAAAAGGGAGTTGTACAACATCGTGCCAAAGGCTAAAACGGAGTTGATGAACAGGCATGAGGGGAAACTACATTCTCGTCAAGCAGTCAAGGGCTGAAGTCTTTGTGGTTTTGAAGGTGCATCACTCTAAGAATACTTTTGAAGGGAACCTCAGAGTCTTAAAATCTGGTGTACACTCTTAAGACGAGCATTTTGCAACCTAGATAATCCTGGCGGCCAAATTCAGAAAAAGCAAAAGTCCAGAGTAATGAACACTCAATCATCACTTTTGACAGCGGCAGGCTCCCTGCAAACTCCCAAGCAGTGGTGATGATGCGGTCTACTTTGAAAGGAGATGCCAGCAAGGCCAAGTGGCGTTAAATGTATTTCTTTTCTTGTTCCAAGTAATTCTGCTGACAGACTCTCTTATGATTATGTTCCCCTGCTTCTCTTCTGTCCAGGGCTTCCTGTTCAGCGTTGCCTCCTTCATTCTCAAACCGTTTCAAAGCCCAAAAGATCATCCAAGGTGCTATGAGAAATGTGGCGATTCAAGAAATAAATGGACATATCAGTTGATTTGTCCAATTGAGGTTCCAGGTGTGCATCAAGTGTCATTGCTATACCACCACCCAACAAAACGTGCTCACCTTCAAGTTGTGGCACCGCGCTCCGGAAACAAGCTTCAAAAAAGTAAGCTCTAAAGCCTACATAGCCGTGCCTTTGATACCAACTCGCTACGCTTGCCCCGAATCTGCTATCATAGGCTTACAATGAGACATCCACAATGTTGTACGCAGCAAACGCAATGCATAGTGCACGCGCGGCCGCCGCGTCGGACATATCTGGATCAACCACGTGGATCTACTGGCGGGTTTCACGGTTTGGGTGAGTCAGCCCAGCTTAAGCTTGCAGCCGTCGGATGGGATTCATCGACGTACAGAGTTGTCGAACCGACTGCTGACTTGTCCAACCTCGCCTGAAAATCCTACGTGGCAAATTACTTGCTGACTCACCCCGTGCCGCTTGACACCAGCTGCGTGCTTTCTGCGCGCTGAAGGGAGACACGACCCTTTGGTGTCAAATGCCAGGGTAAGTATTGTAGTCCATGCCTGCCAGTCTTGCGCGCCCAGAAACCTAGGGTACCGTACGTACATGTTTGAGACAGTGGTCTGCAGCCAAGCAAGCGCTCTGCTTTTCATTCTTCTTTGTATTCTACAGCAAGGGAGGTTCGCAGGGAGCTGCTGTTGAACTCGGTGGAAGCCATTGCAAAGCTTAAAGACGATTGTAGTCCAGCTTTTCAAGGGTTTCCGGCGTGTCCACCATGGCGCTGTATCCGGAGAGTGGTTACTCTTCAGGCCTGAAGCTGCCGGCCGGGGTGCGCATTCGCGGCTCCATCAAGCCTGGCTATGAAACAGTTCTGACGCATGAGGCTGTGGCTTTTGTTGCGGACCTTGTTCGCACCTTCCGGCCAATTGTGCACTCCAACCTGGCTCTAAGGGCTTTGGACCAGGCCAAGTACGATGCAGGGGGCCACCCAGGGTTTGACTTCCGGACTAAGGCCATCAGAGAGGAGGATTGGACATGCGCTCCCATGCCTGCGGCTATCCAGGACCGACGGGTGGAAATCACTGGGCCCGTGGACAGGAAGATGGTCATCAACGCGCTGAACTCTGGGGCTAAAGTCTTTATGGTGAGTTCAGTGTGTTTGAGAGGCATCTCCCAAGCAAGCTGCAATCCAGCATGAAGTTTTTGTCACGAACCACAAAAGGTTGGTGGTATTGCCTGACTCGATTGAAAGCTTTCTGAAGATCATTAACACATCTTTGCATACTGTATTGGAAGACAAAAGAAAGCTGGTACTCAGGGCATGAGCTGCTTTTACAAATGCAAAACAAGCTACTTTGCAAACCAGGCTGAAATTGCTGTTCGACGGCAGCTGGTGTTTCTGGCAGCTGGATTGTCTCATGCATAGGTGCATGCCTGTTCAGAGAAAGTAGTAACACAGACAATTATAATCAGCATCTGTGTAAACTCCCATCATCTGGGGCTGTTAGTCTGCACCAGGCAGCTGAAGTCACAGCATGTGCCAGTCTATGCAAGAACCTTATTGTGCTTCATGCTGGTGAATTATGGAACTGCTTCAACATAAAGGTTCATTGCTGTCCTCCCAAATACACATTGTTGCAAAGAGTTGTTTGAGTATTGTAGAGCTTACGTTGTCTTGTCACATTACCTTCAATCGTTATGAAAGCAATCTGGAGTCAGCACCGCTTGCACGAGTGGAATATCAGCAGAACCTTGTCACTCCTGTGAGTTCTTATGCCGGCAGCTTGTCTGCAGGCCGACTTTGAGGACTCTCTAGCACCGACCTGGAGCAACTTGGTGGAGGGCCACATCAACCTCAGGGACGCCGTGAATGGCAACATCCGCTATGAGGACCCGCGCACCAAGAAGGTTTACTCCGTCACAAACCCCAACCCCGCCAAAATCTTTGTGCGGCCCCGCGGATGGCACCTGCCGGAGGCGCATTTCGAGGTTGATGGACAGGCGATCCCCGGGTGCCTGATGGACTTTGGGCTGTACTTCTTCCACAACCAAGCGGCCTTCCGGTCGAAGCATGGAGGCGCCGGGCCCTTGTGAGTGGACTGTTGCCCAAAGATGACTGTTGATTGCATCCTCACTGATTGGGAATGCATATGCATACAAAATGATCTGCCATTGCAATGAGGGAGTTCAAAGTTGGATCTTGGCTGACGCATGAAAAGGAAAACAAAAGCCTCAGTGGTGGTTTGAAGGATTGGAGATTTCCAGCTCCCTAAGACCACAGTCAAAACTCATTCATGATTGAGATTGTTGCGATAAAGCTCCCACAAATCGAATTTACAGTCTATTCTTGTTTGAGGGTGGTGTGAAGTGATTCGTAAATGCGAGTGAGCTGTAGCTGATACAACCTTTGAGAGCTGCAGGTTTTCACATTCATGAACTCGAACTGTGAGTTTCAACTCTGTCAATACAGGGCTCTCTGTCACCACTCAGCGGTTTTCTCTACGTGCAGCTTCTACCTCCCCAAGATGCAGCACAGCCGTGAGGCTGCTGTTTGGAACGCAGTGTTTGAGCGCGCTCAGGACGCCTTGGGAGTGCCACGTGGCAGCATCAAGGCCACCGTCTTGATTGAGACCCTGCCGGCCGTCTTCCAGATGCACGAGATCCTCTATGAGCTACGCCAACACTCTGCTGGTCAGTATGGATATTCAAAGCTGCTTGAGGTTCGACCCTTTGGTTCCTGCAAATGACAAGAGACTTTTATCAGGGTCCACATATTCGCTCCTGAGAGTGTATATGGCTCAGGATCATCTGGGAAGCTTTCCGCTTCAGCATAGCCTTCAAGTTTGAGGTTCGACCCGCCACATATAACCAAGTCGCAGTCTCCTAGCGCCAGGATACAGCCTTTCAAGCTCGAAAACAGTACATTTCACCAATAAAGCACATCCTTTCGAAGCTCGAAATGCTGCTTTGAAAAGATCCATATCTAAGCAAGCTCCCTTACACTTGATTGTCTGTTTCAGGTCTCAACTGCGGCCGCTGGGACTACATCTTCAGCTTCATCAAGACCTTCCGCAACCACCCCGAGCTGGTGATCCCTGACAGGACGCAGGTCGGCATGACGCAGCACTTCCTGAGCAGCTATGCGCAGCTCCTGATCCAGACGTGCCACCGGCGGGGCGTGCACGCAATGGGAGGCATGGCGGCCCAGGTGCGCACGCTTCCGTGATATCTGGCCAACGCAAGCTCTCGCTCCTGTATAACCAGCTCATTCCGTCAACTTCTTGATTCGAAGACTAGAAGGCTCTATCTTGAAAGAAAACTCTAGAAAGAACGCGATCGCGCTTACTGGATTGATAAATCTGGTGACAGGTCTCTTGGACCTTTTACTTGCAGAACAGTGATGCACGGTTGGATTGCTTTCATTACACGGAGTTGGTTGCTTTTTCTACGTTCGACACATACCACTAAGTGATCTGGCCCAGCGTTCTTTTACGAACCAGTCAGAACTGCTTCTGGAAGACGCGGGGGTCAAGTGCCGTTGTACAGACATTGTGCTGCACCATTGCCGCGTTACTGCTTCGTTATATCACAACCTTTATGTAGTCACCTTCGCCGACAAAGCTGTGACGCATCGACTGGATTACAGACATCAGTTTGACAAATTTTCCGTTTGTAGTTCGGTCTCTTCCATCGCCAACTTTTCAGATGAAGTTCTTTAACTTCACACATCCTGGCCCTTACAACCTGTATTCCCCTGTTCAAAATTCAATCTCGTTCCGACTTCTATTCCATTTTCACCCATCGTTGCAAACCACTTCACTTTACGAACCTTGTCTTCGCCGATCCTCGCAGATCCCCGTGAAGAACGACCCCCAGGCGAACGAGGCTGCCTCCGCCAAGGTGCGCACGGACAAGCTGCGCGAGGTTCTTGCCGGGCACGACGGCACGTGGGCCGCGCACCCCGGGCTCATTCCCCTGGTGTACCAAGTCTTTGACGCGCACATGCCGACGCCCAACCAGCTGCACCGCCTGCGCGACGACGTCCAGGTGTCAGAAGCTGATTTGCTGGCGATGCCCGTGGGGAGCCGCACGCTGGAGGGGCTCAGGTGCGGAGGAACGATGTTTGGAACTGAGGTAGAAGGACGAAGAAGCTGGTTGTCAGAAAAAGGGTGGTACAAAGGGAGAAAGCATTGTGAAGGGGCGATGTTTGTTATTGGGGTGGAGCACGGAAGGTCTTGATTGTCAGAGGAGAAAGGTGGAAAGGGCGAAGGCTTGCTGTGAGAGGGTTAGAAATCCGCTGCGATGGCAGCCCGGGAACCGACACGTTTCGTACCGTTCGTAGTGGGAATCATCAATCTCGTGCTTATTCATACACCCCGTACGGGAGCGTCGCGACAGAGTTCCTCAAACTTTCACCCCCCCATCAGCCTGGGCGCATCCAGATCCTACTGCGGATTGAAGGCGGCCCTGGAGTCGTTCGAGGCTCTTTCTTGTAGCCAACTCCCATGCGTGTGCGCGCAAAGCTGGTGGCGCAATCCTGAGCAAGGGCCCCATCGAGACTCTGATTGGGGGCCCACCCTTTGTCTTTACCTGCAGGCTGAATTTGAGCGTCGGAGTGCAGTACACCGCGGCGTGGTTGACGGGCACGGGTTCCGTTCCGCTGCACAACTTGATGGAGGACGCGGCGACTGCGGAGATCAGCAGAGTGCAAGTCTGGCAGGTAGGCTAGGAGCACTCTTGATTCCACGCGGTGCTTTTCAGCACAGCAAGATCAAAAATTTCGTGCTTTCAGATGGTGCTCAACCTAAAGGCTTGTACACGGTTCAATCCTGCGCAAGCTGGAAACATGGACCTGCATCACTTGCCATGCGGGCCTGAAAGCTGGCAGCATCCGACGACATATTCGTTGTTGTACAAGGCTTGTGCTAGATAGTCACCCGCAGCTATCGATCCTCGGCGTTTCATACCCCACATCTTGATGGGTCTCGTTTGCAAAAAGCTCCTGAACTCTTAATCCCCATTTATTCAAATTGACAGAAAGTTTGTGTTAAAGAAGAAAGTACATCTTAATATACCCGATGTCCCTCCCCGGTCGCAGTGGCTGCGCCACGGAGCCATCCTGGACGGGGAGCAGGCCCCGGTGCGCGTGACCCGGGACCTCGTCGAGCGCATCCTGCGCGAGGAGGTGGCCATCGTGGAGCGCGAGGTAAGAAGCGCATACCTAAGTCTGCGCTTCGCACCGTATTCGAGGGTTTTTGTGCGTCCCGAGTGTAAACTTTGCCAGGAATAACACATGCTTGCTATGCATCGGGGCCTTCTTGAGATAAACTTGTCATAAGAGAAGAAGGATCCACAGTCCGCTCTATGGTGGCTCTTACGAAATATCCTTGGAAGCGGTCCATCGATATCAAAATGTGGTGTCTGTCACTGGCGGTGCTGGAAGACGTTCTGATAGGTTGCTCCAGAAAAATGCTGCTCCCTCCGCATTTGATCCATTCCCCTCTGGACAGAGGTGATTCTCTGGTACTCCGACGACCTTAGGCAGGATTTCAGATCCGCTTTTCGATTGATTGGCGATCGGGTTCTTACATTTCTGCCGCTCCGCTTCTGTAGCTTGGACCTCAGCGCTTTGCGGCGGGCCGCTACCAAGAGGCAGCTCAGCTCTTCGGGCAGCAGTGCACCGCCAAGGAGTTGGACGATTTCCTGACCCTGGAGGCTTACAAGAGAATCACCGAAGTGCGCCCCAACTCCAGGCTCTGAGTCCAACGGGTTAAGATGGTTTAGATGTAGCAGAGGCTTTTAGTTTGATATGGACGCAAGTCAGCATTTATGCCGACGGATATATGAGAGCACTCAAGCATACATAGATACAGCCGCAATACAAAGATACTTCACTAGCGACTTATAGCGTTTAACGAGCAGACAGGTTTCAACTATGCGTACTCTTGGATCATGACGAAAGGCAATATGTGTTTTTGCTAGACGGGAAAAATGTCGTTACATCGGTCATGCAATCATTTTAGTGACAATTATCACTGAACAGCCAAGATCAAAGCCGCCTGCATGACAAGTGGGGCAACCTGACTACTGTATACATGTGCTGAAAGACACCAATAGACCGACGTTTTTCTCGTCGGACGTTTGATCATTTTTGCTTCATTTGGGCTAAGCCGATGGAAAGGTTTGTATGAGACTGAATGCATCTCATGCTCCTCGCTCCTTCATGTCTCCTCGCTGTACTGCTGCTGTCGTTTTGGAGAGTGCGCCAGTCATGACGGTTTATAGATGCCCACCGTGGATGAATCTTATCCGTATAGACTATTTGTCTACCCTGCCCTAGACCTGCCTTTGGACAAATGCGTTGATAACGTTCTTACAGAGACATGATCCTTGTGACCCCTTTTCACCCCACTCTGAAACAGCCTTCCTGAGACGAGCTAGTACGCTGGGCGTGAGTGCGAAGCTTCTCATGCTGGCATGCATGGCTGAAGTATGCACAAGTATTGAAAAAGTGAGCATGCGGAAAAAGCGACGTACGTACTCTGCTTTAATATAGTAGTCAACTCTCGTTGCAAAATACGGGGCTATAAGGGCCGCGCGGCGGCAATCACATTACGTCCCCCCCCGAACGGCTGCAGACAGCATGCTTTCATGTTGTAAAAGTATATTCAACCCAATCAGGACGTAGCAGGAATGTGCCAGGACATCTCGAGCTCACCCACTCTCGTTCGTAGCCTTTGATGTGGAGACACTGCCAATTGACCCGGGGCATCGTGTTACCTGTACTGCTAGGTGCTCTCAATACACTCCCGTAGAGGGTATCAGTGATACAACTTCCGAAAGACCGCTGCAACAAGAGTTCTTCCTATCTCTAAGCGAAGAGGAAAGCCGCTGGCCGCCCGACTTGCCACAAGTACCACAGACTCTTGACCGTATCACGACATATTACGAGAGGTATTTCTCCGTCCACGAGCTGCAACTTCTCTTGACACTGAGGAGAACGAGCTCACCCCACATACGAACAGAGTTGAAACTAACGACATTACATTGACGTCAGCTGTCGATCCGCACTGTAGAACACAGATAGAACCTTCCGCTGTCCCCCGCAATCTTCTCACGTCAGATCCGGGGGCCAGTTCGCATCGACGGCTAACGTTCATTCCGACAGCCACCCGGCTTCATCCTCGCCCTCCGCTTCGGCGGCGGCTTGCGCGCGGAGGTGCTCGCGCCGCAGCTTGTCCCACATGTACGCGCTATACGTCAGGAATGACGTGGCAGCGACTAACGTCACCCCCAGCCCGACTGCGGCGATCAGGCGCAGCCGCCACTGGTACCTGAGCGGTAGAAAATAGATGAGCAAAGGTATTTCTTACCTGATTCTCAAAAAAGGGTTCGCCAAACTATGCAATCGACTGAATTTTTCGAAATCCGTAGTTGGCGGATACATACGCGTCAAGATACACTGAACTCACACTGGTAAGGGATTCAAAATTTCGAGCCCGCATAAGACATCAGAAGCTCTGAACCCGCAGAATCAAGCGAGTATGAACTTGTTCCCGAGAAGCCTATCTACCGAAGATATGGCGCTCGCAAGCTTTGCAAAGGCAAAAATTCCTCCACTTCTTGCACGAAGTCAGCCAGGTTCTGTTCACAAAAGCGGAAAGAAATCGAACTGGCCTCTTGCCGTTACAAAAATACAACCGGGAGACGATAATCCAATGCGAGCCCAAGCCCGCACTTCGAAATCAGCCTCTTTGTAACAGGAACGCAACGTAACGACATAGACCATCGCAACCCCATCCGGACCTGTCCGTATCCCGGAAGGTCCCGGGAAATGCAACGCAGAGGCCCAAAACCACCTCTCCAATCAGCCTCTTTTTTCCAAACAAAAGAACAAACATAACGGAGAGACAGTAAGCAAACGCGAGAATAACCCACCTGTCGGTATCTTCAAGGTCTCGGAAAATCTTGACGACGTACACGGACTGCGGCTCGCTCGTCCCGCGCTTCAGAATGATCGGCACCGCCACGCCGCGACGCGCGCTCTCAGGCACCCGGATGGCACCGCTCGGGGTGTTATTGGCGGTGCGCTCGTCGCTGACGTAGATGCTGACGTCATCCTGCGACCATCACGGGAGAATGCGTCATAAAAACACAATGAACGTGATCAAACAGTAAGAGGTAAGCTCGGTGGGCGCGCTAAGGAATAGTCGGCGTGCGCGCGCTTGTTGCTGACGTAGACGCTGACGTTATAGAGCAGGATCAAGTGATTCTTTGAACTTGCGGCTTGTCAAATAAGCGAAGCGGTGAGCTTTGGGGTGTCTGCGCGGGTGGCCTAGCTGCCAATGTGTACTCCTATCGTCATTTTTGATTTGGTTTGATTCTTGAAAGATGGCTTTGCTTCTCACAACGGTCGAGCCGGTGTAACAGTGGACCTAGGTTCCTCCGGACTAAGTTCCAGGTGACGGCGACCCAAGTTTTATCTGCAAATCAACGCAATCGCAGAGCTTCACATTGAAACCTTTGGTCGATATCTTCAGACGCGATTGTGATTCACCCAGAATCTCGTAGTCTTTCCGTTCCGCTAACCTGCCCCGGCGGAAGCACCGGCGTGAGGCGAACCTCCTTCACATCTTGCGGTACGTGCAGATCGTAGCGCTCCGTCTCCCAGTTGAACTCCGGCTCTAGCCGCCCAGCTGACGCCTTCAGGCCCGCCAGTCGCGGCGGCTCGCGCTCCGCGGCCGCGGGGTTTAGGGTTTTGGTTTCATCCTCCTGTGCTGCGTCTTTGATCACTGAGATTGCTGCGTTTTTCGAAAGATGCGCGTCGAAGACGAAAGGCCTTTTCAGAGGCGCAGGTGTCGCGAGGTCCGTCAGTAGGCCGCTTCTGTTCTCGTCCAATTGGGCGCTACTCCCACCGCTTGCGTCATTCTGGACGCTTTTTGCGTCACCTTTGCCTTGCGCAACCTCCTTGCTAGAAGACCCGGTGGACTCTACCGGACCCTTCGAATGACAGCGAACGACGTCTTCCTCGTTTCTTTCCGCTTCCTTCGTCCCGCCCACCTCTGGCACGAAATTTCCACAGCCCTTTTCAATCGCGCTCTTGTGTCCGCGCGCGTTGTTGTCGAGCGCGCGCGCGCGCAGCATTTCTTGGAGCCTTGTCTGCAGAGGGGAATCGAAACCGCCCGGGATGTCTCCATCCGCCTACTCTTCACCTGAGCTCCTCACCAGCCAGTCAGCAAACCGGTCCCTTAGAACCTCAAACCTTTCTCCCACCTTTTTCGACGGCATCTCTTTTCCCTCAGCGCGCTGAAATGCGCGCGCATTCTCCCGCCCGCTACCCAGGACCGCATTCACACCTTGTGCAGACTCGCTCGTTTCTGGGGGCAGCTTTGGCAGCTCTTGCGCAGCCCCCCAGAACGAGAAGAGTGGGTCTGTAGTAGCTAAAGCCTGTTGGCGCAGCGGGTCATGGCGCCCCGCGCGCGTGCATGACGTCAGCAGGACCGTCAGGAAGAGCGCGCTACAGGAGAGGGACACGGAGAGGCTGACTATTGAAAGAAAAACGATGAGAGGAGGTGATGCCGCCATTATTTACACGGAGCTGCTAGGTACCTACAACGAGACAGACTCGGACGCAATGCCCATCCCTAAGTTTCATTTGCTCCGTTCTATCAATGAGACTCTGTTGTCGTAGCTAGCCGCCTGGTGGCGCATTTGCTTCTGAATTGGCCTTGCGCTTCCCAATTACGCTTCTTGCAGCTACTTCGCAAAGTGGAGTTGGGAAGCCGACTCCAGCTCACCGTCCCTGCCTTGAATTTCGAACTTCTCAAACAGCTGTGGCCCGATTCTTTCTGGACACTGTAGCTTTCCAAGGTTTGTGCTTCGATGGTACGTTGTTTGACTTGCCACGTCAGCACCTGCGGCATCACTATAGGGTGTGGCATTTCGATCGATTAGATTTGAAACCAATTTTGTGGCAGACTTAGAATAGACCGAGACTTGATGGAATACAGGCGTTTGCAAGCATCGACTGGGATCGAACTTCTGCAATTCCTGTAAGCTCGTGACACAAAAATTCCCGATCGATTCGCCCGCCGAGAATGTCGACAAGGTGGTTGATATCAGGTTCTTCTGACCAAGGGTCAGCGAGGTGCACATTAGCGCTACGGTCGTCTTCAAACCTTTAACTCGCTTATGCTTATGCATGCGCCATCCATTGAGGAGCCGATGCTGGCGGCCTGTCGCAAGCCTTTGCGCCCGTCTAGCTTAGCCCTTTCAAAGGTCGAGCTTCAAAGCGCAGCCCGGTTAACAGTACGTTTTTCGGGTGTTAACTTCCGCTCGATTGTTGCATGGTTGCGGAACCGGAGAGCAGAGGCGCCATCAGCCATGCCTGATTCTTAGGAGATTTGGAACTTTCTTTGTTTCAGAGCCTCTTGTGGGCGACATCGAAAACCTGCCACCGCATCTCTCAGTTGCCTTTGTTGCGTAGACAGAGCAAGCCAGTTTTTGTGAGACTCGTTCGAACCTGTGCCGACCACCACATCAAACAGTCCTTTTTCTCTTGTTGCTTTGCAGACGATCGATTGCAGACAGGGCAGGTTTCCTGTAACCCTTTTGCTTAACCCGCACCGAGGACATGTTCTTCTTCGGCTTTGTCGCGAGCTTTCGCCCCGAGGTGCGCCGCCTGCTGGAGCGCTACCCGGCGCTGTGCCCGGTTTGCGCTAACCCGACCCTAACCGTGGCGGAAGTCGACAGGGTGCTGCGCATTTTCTTCCTGCCGGTCTGGCGGTCGAAGGTGCATGAGCTGATGGTCATCTGTCAAAACTGTGGGTTCACCATCGAGAAGAGCAAAATGGATGAGCTCGAGGCGCGGCGGAAGTTCTTCGAGCGGCAGGGCAAGAAAATGTTCGAAGAGATGGCGGACTTGAAAGGGGAGGCAGATCTGAAAGGAGAGCAGTGAGGCGTCCACGAGGATAGAACATTCGTTTAGTGCTGAGGTGGGAAATGTTTGTACGAGGGGTTTTGGAGCCGGAGGAAGTGAAAGGAGAGTGCTTAGAGGCAGCCGGATATGATCCGCACTCTGCTTTGCGTGAATCAAAACCGCGCTCGGGTACGGGAAAAAGTTTAATGTCAACCAACAAGAGGAACAATCATATAAAGGTAATCCATAATATACAAGCCGTAGAGGTCTGAGAAACAGTCAGTGTTTGATATCGACAAGTGAGATGTGAAATCAACAAGGCAGATGCTTCCGTGCACTGGAATCTTGTCGTACGTCCAGTCGGTGGATAACAAAAGAGAAGCTGAAACCGCAGTCAGTGTGGCTGAAGAGGCTTGTACACGACCTGCCGGGGGGCATAGGGCTCTGTATAAGCCAAAGCCGAATGTTTGTCAAGCACCATGTGCATCAAGACGTGCAGTCCGGCGGCCCGGCCCGAGGTCCATTCTATTGTGGTCAATTAAATCGCGGGGTTTAGCGAAGAGCTCCGGCCTGGCCTGGCACTATTTCCAAGATTGTGGCAAACCGACGTTGCATAGCTAGCCAATGCATCTCTTGCCACGGTCACACGTGAGCTCACCAGATCCTATCTGAACTCGAAGCGTCGATCCAGAAAAACCTGTTCTGCCGTTGGCGCGGAAGCTCACGACAATGTGCATTTTTGGCCGGAGTAGTCGATCGACCCTAAAAAATATACGCGCTGATTGAGCAATCACCGGCTGCATGCTGTATACTAGGCTGAGCTAAGGGCAGGTACATGCCCTGGCAGGAGCTAGACAATCTCTTGGAATCGTTCATGTGGGGCCACCCGTGATCGGCGTTAGCTCAAGGTCGGATCTAAGACCGTGAGCGCGGTCTAGCTGTAGAATCCGAACACCCATCACGACTCTCAGTCCGTCAGTATACATGAAGCCTGTTGCACAATATGCACCCGGCGTGCAATCTGGTATGTGCAGGTACAAGGTCAATATCGCAACTACTGACGATCTTGATCGTTGATTCAATAACTTTTCTTGGTTGAAGCTCTCCGTCAGGAAAGGATCAACGACCATAAGCAAGCACAACTCGGAGAACGCCATCTCAGTTCAATGCGCGCAGAAGCACAGAATATGGGGTCACGCAACAATATTGGAGTTCCGCCGCTGATTAAATGCCTTACTGATTTCTATGACGGATGCTGGAGCACAGCCGAACGCACTTGAATCGAAGCCCCTTATTTGCAAGATTGTCCTTTACAAATGCGGCAAAGCGATCCAGAGTCTGAGCGTTGCCCCAGCTCAGAGAGTATCTAACTTACCTTGGATGTATGCAGTGCCCCTCTTCTTTGACGACTTGCGAGCCAGATTGTCCAGTCAGGAGCCAGGATGCATCAAAGATTGCGCGCTAGCAATAAAGTTACGGTATAAGACACATCACAGAGCTTAACCAGGATCTACTAGGGGCAAAGAGGGCTTTCGGCTGAGGGTGCTCCCATTGTGGGGCACGTGCGGACTAAGTAATGTGGACGGCTCCGGAACCTTGTCCGGACTGATCTCCAGGTGTCCTGAACTAGACGTGCGGATCCGCCCCGGCGGCGGGGGCAGGGAATAGGGTCCCTCGCGGGTGGAGGAGCCTACTTGTGTTTCTGAGACCAACCTGCGCCAAAAGCCAGGGTTCTGCGTTAGTACAATCGAGCGCGATGCAGGGGATATCTTGAACGCTTTGTAGATTCAGGTTTGAAGGACGTTTCGCTCACCCCTCTTCGGCTCAGCCCCCTCTTCGTCAGCATGGGCGTGGGTAATGAAACTCAAACAAGTTTGGGTGCTCTCATCAGCAGGAGTGGTTCTGGCTTTCAATCCGGCCACCTTGACTGATTTCAGTCCCTACCTTCACAGCATGCCCTTGCTCGGCAAGGCAGTGACGTTGGAGCGTTCCCGCAGAGAGTTGCGACCCATGACAACTGAGAGCGGCCTGGCTTCAACTTTTGGTGCCCCGGTACCAGACAAAATAAGTAGAATCTATACCCGCCCGAGCTGCTAGCAATTGCTCCGTTAACCGCATGATTCAAACAATCTACCTGGAAAACCGCATCATTCACCCAAGCGGCCTGGAAATACTTATACAAAAGCTGACACGGCCACTGTATGCTTTTCGGTCGGCGCCAACCCTTATAAGCCGGGCCGGGACGAAGGCCCGCAGATTTATTCAGCACGAGCGTCAGAGTCACTCCCCAAAGGGCTTGACATAACCCGAGCTCACCAGAGAAGCCCACCTCAGCTCTCTCGCAAACAATTGATGTAAGCTCACATTCCCGCAGGAATATTTACGAACCAAACTTCAAGAGAAGAAGAGAAAGAGCTGACTTCTCACCTTGACGCGTGCGTGCCTGAAGGAACGGACGCTTCGCCGTCCGCTAGAGTGTCAAGGTCCGAGCCGGACGCTAGGGAGGGAAAGACGGGCGGCACAGACGTGGCCGGTTGCCTCGTGTCCATCTCGGATGCGAAATATCGTCGCCTAATCAACTGCATATGCATAAAGAAAAACTATCCAAAAACTATCCAACGATAGACGATGTTTGACGCCACTGGCGCTGCAGAAAGAGGGTGCGACAGTCGCTACTTGCGGAGAGTGTTTGCTGGCAGATCTGAACCGGGTGCCCAATCCCCTGTAGTCCACTCTTCGTCCCAAACCCTCCAGTAGACCGTCCGTTCGTGATGCATTTTCGCGATTCTCAATCTTTTAGACAACCCTTCCTTCTGCTGTATAACGCGACTTGTTGCTACATGTCAAGACCAGGCGCTGCCCTGACATTCGCCCACGATTCAGAGCACACATCAGAATCTCTAAACGGGCAAAGCGGGAACCTTCAATCGTCAAAGATCGAGAGTCCAACATTCAGGCTCAACTAAGCTCAACCACGGGAAGCGGATTGACGTCATCAGCAGCCAAGACGAGGTAACCCCCGGGATCAATAGCACCCCTCTAACACAACCCTTTTGAAAAATCCCTGTTGACCCACACATCTCAATCTTGGGAGCGCGTACCAGTGCTGTTCGTAAAGACGGAACCAACAATGGAAAGTTATGCACCGCCTTTCTGCACAATCCCTCACCTCGTAAAAGAATGCATTCACGGCACCCACGTCCAGCTTCCCCGTTTTCGCGCTCTGCGATCAAGTCACAATTCTCAGAAGCGAATAAGTCGCCAGGTGTGCAACTCCAACCATCAAAGGGGGGGAATCACGACTGCTCACAGCATGTGATTCTCGGAAGCAGACGAAACCGCATGAGGGAAAACTGAGGGGAAATGGACCAGGCAGCCCGAAACCCCGCTTCAAGGATCACGTTGAATCGGGGTTTCGGAGATTCGCGAAGCTCCTTGGAGCGCTGCCTTGATGCAAAACCGTGAACAGGATGAGATACAGCAACCAGAAGCAATCGGCGCGTATGAAGCTGGAACAGGAGTGTATTACTGAGCCTGCTGACATACTGCGGATGCACGGGCTAGAACTATACGATGATTCGGCGGAAGACGATGCGCAAAGGAACGAAAAGATGCAGAGGAGATGTGCTCAGAACAAAGCAGACCTCAAACGAACTGACGTAAGATGCCGACCACTAATTGTAATTTCTCATTGGCCATTTTGGAAAGAGAGGAGGCCAAAGGTTTTCGGCATACGAAGCTGAATGAAGGTAACGGCTTCAAGGCCAGTTGAAGAACATACGGAGCAGAACTGAGGTGACAGCTTCGACGGCCAGCTACGAGGAGAATCATCTGCCTTACCGTCAACAGTCCGGTCCACGAGCTCGTGCCGTCTGCTCGCGGCAGGTCATGCCCGTTTGCCCCGTTCACATACTCCCCCAGCTTTGCGGCCCATTTCGTTGCCTTTTTCGTCAGCGGAGCCGCGCTCTCATCATCTGGAAACCCGCTCAGCCGTGCTTCGAGCTGGCCCGCCATAGTCCCAATCTTCGACGCCACCCGCTTCAGGGGGCTGTTTGGCAGGGAGATCCGCCCCCCCGTTTGTGAATCCCATTTTCGGCTGTCCGATTTGTTTCCGATGATTAGTAAAGGGACTGGTAACCCCCCTGGAAATGTCGCTTCCGGAGAGGGGGCGGAAAAGGTGCCGAGAGAAGCGACTTCGGAGGTCCAGCGGTGCAGGTTAGTGCGGGTTCGCCGGTTGGTTAAGTCGTGCACGGCGATAACCCCATTTATACGCTGGTAGAAAATGGGCCGCGCAGCATGGTACTGGGGGGCGCCCGTGACATCCCAAAGTTCGATGAAGAAAGTGCGATGGGGGGAGGAGTCGGGGCCCCCCGGGAGCCCCATGCTGCCGGCACTGTACTCAAAGTACTGGAGACAGGAAGAGAAGTCGAAGTGAGCCCTTCCGTTCTTAAGAGTCCCTTGCAGATGCACAATATCATTCTCCTGGGATCTCCGTGGAGGCCAGCGAGGTGATTCCTAGAGACACATGTTGACAGGATAGACAGGATGCTAGCATGAGGGCTCCTCGGTTTTCAGGTGCACGTCACAAATTATTATCTGTCCAGCAAAGGCAGCTCGTACATTGAGTAAAGCTGAGGGGTAGCCTGCCGCAAGGCCTCAATACGTGCGTCGTTCTTAGATGGGTTGACTGAACGTAACTCGAGATGTTATGTCGATTACCGCATTTGACAAACTTTCTGCTCGGATCTGAGAAAGATCAGAAAGCGCCTGAAAAACTTCCATTCATACCGTCAGCTTTGAATTGTCAGTATGGGCACATAACAGCAATGGCAAGCAGAACTGTTCTGATTGCCAAATCACTTCACAATCGTCAAAAAAGGTTCTGAAATCCAGGTCATGATCTCAATTCTAACACCGCATCTACTGAAGATCCTTCACCGCCAATCTGAGAGGGTGGTTGAGATAGTGAACATCATAAAGTCCGCTTTCAGAACAGAACGCCAAAGAAACCAACTCGAGCTTTGCGACAAGATTATACATGAGGCAAGGCCTCAACATCTCTCACCTTTACACTGACATTACATCCTATGGTCACTCTTGGCCTGCTAATTGGCTGGCCTTCTGTCAACAGGTGGACAAGAGACGTCTTCCCCACCCCTGCAAAGGGAGCGTCAAGCTTACATCAAGTATCCGCAGATGAGCCCCTCATGCCTAAACTCTTCCTCTGCATCAACCTCCTTCGACTGCTTTGTTGATTCATGACACTCTCCCAGTCAGTAATTCCAGCTCCTTGAACAGGACTCTTCGTCCTAGTCTTGCCTAGGGAGCTTGAGCTTGAGCAGTGCAAATGCTGAAGGTGGGAGCGAGTATCAGAATATGCTACTTCCAATTACCAGATCCATTTTAATACCACTTTGCACATTAGGGTTTGAGTGCGGGCACAGCGCCAGTCACAAGATGCACCACAAATCGAAGTTGAGGCCTGAGCAACCCAGGACTAAGAAAAACCAACTTCTCAAGCAAAGGTTTGCTCTCGCCGAAGTCCTTGGCAAACTTCCTATCAGAAAGCAGATTATGAGGGTGCCAGTCTACATTTTAATCTGTAATTCTCCAAACCGATGAAGCTCAGAGCTGCACCTTATTGCGCTCAAATCAAGGGTGGCAAGAAGGAACTTCAGATCCACTGTTTCCTGTACTCACCTTCATCACCAATCACCAGAACACGCACATTGCCAGCTGGTCCAGCAAATGAGTCTCTGAGAGCCTCAGGGTAGTCGCCGTTCATGTTTCAATCTGTGAATTGTCAGAAATGTCGTCTTAGGCACACCTAGGGCAATGCTTAGAGCTTTGCATGACTTGCCCCGATGCACTCACTATGCTTAAGCAGAATTCAACATGGGGGACACAGCTACTCTCCTAACTCGAGTGTCCACTGATTAAAACTCGGTCTTCCGTGCATGACTTCAGCTTTCAAAGCGCTTGTCTTTGACATATGAAATTGCCCTCCCAAACGCCGGCTACAACATTCAATTCCGAATTGCGCGTCTGTATTAGTCAAATTGAAGATTCTGAACACCTTGATCCTGTGTCTGAAACACTGCAACTGCGCCTGCATGCGCTTCTGGTGATGAGCATTCACTGCCTTGTGGAAATTGTCAATGTCAGTTTTACTTGCTGAGTAAAGAGTTCGCTGTGCTGCAGCAGAAACCGCCAGAGCAGGAGAACATCAAAACTTGGGAGCAATTTTGGTCGCTCTTCACACATTTTAATAGACCAATTTCTTAGATTTCTAAACCGGGGTTCAATAATTGGCTTCCGGGGCCGAGCCTCGACCATCCGGAGAAGAAACGGCAATCCAATAATACCATCTTGATGTATTAATCCAATGGAAGCTGTCCTTGAGGGAGACTGCCGGCAATAGACCGGCCGGGGTTTCTCATGATCGGTGGGTTTGGACCGGGCAGTGCAAGGTCGGGAAAGAAAAGAAGGTCAACGAGCAGGGCCGTTGTATAAGGTACCATTAAAGCAATTCACGTCTAGACTCTGCCTGAGCCTGAGGCTGGAGAAGCAAATCGCCTGTGCAAAGTTTGGAGTTCTCCAAAGCTCAGGTCAGGGCCAGGGAAGCACCGTCTGGAAGACAAGAATCTGAAACAAGTCTAAGCCATCCCAGGGCGTGTTATTCAGAGCAGCTTCCGCTGTCGCACGCACGTCAGTCAAGGTTTCTGGTCAAGGAGCAAGCATGAGTCGAGGGAGTGGCGCTGGTTATGATCGCCACATCACAATCTTCTCTCCAGAGGGAAGGTTGTACCAAGTTGGTGAGCGCACCCAATTGCTCAGCTTGACGTGCTTGTGTCTGCCGGGTAGATACCTGGCGCTTTGCCAATTTGTTTGACGATTGTGTGATTAGGCTTAGTTTGTTAAGCATCAACCATGACGTGGTGTATACCTGTTCTCATGTTTATTATCTCAAGGCAAACTGCTTCCAGCATCTCATTGTAGCACACATTAACGGTGCATCGTGCTGCAGAGTATGCGTTCAAGGCGGTCAAATCTGCTGGGATAACATCTATTGGTGTGCGGGGAAAGGATTCGGTGGTGGTCGTGACACAGAAGAAAGTACCTGTGAGTACTGCCTGAGAGCAAACCCTCTCGAATTGCAATCAAGCTTAGCTTGAAACAGCAGTTCTTCAGCAATTGAGTAGGCTACATCACTTCGTTGCTTATTCTTGGAGACACCGTGTGGGGATTACTCGGAAGCTTTTGTTAGATGTGCTTCACCTCAAGTGCAGAAAAAAGTTGACGATATTTGGGGTGCACAAAAGGTGACCACTCATATCTCATCATCAAGTTCCAGAACCTCTTATTGGAAGCTTTGGTCTCTTATCTTACTACTTAAGGATCTGAACAAGTGGTTACAAACTTCACTTCCTTGATTGAGCAAGTGTACATGTCTTGATTGTATAGTCTTCGATTAGTACATCAAACCTTCTGCACTTGCATACACACGCATCAGTGAGCTATGTGTGATCTTGCTGCATTCGCGCTGCAGGACAAGCTCCTGGACCCAAGCAGTGTCACAAACCTCCATAGCATCACCAAGTTCGTAGGCTTGCTCGCCACAGGCATGCCAGGTGAGCGCCCGTCTATCTACATCTTTGTATGTTCCAATAGTACAAAGAAAGACACTCCTTCGGATTCTGACCATCAGAAACAGTCAGGAATGTTTCACGAGGCTGCTCGCTGCCCTTCGTGTGCCAGGATATGCTGAGCAATCTGCGCAGCTTATGAGATAAACAGATCACTGGACACATGCCAGGTGCTTAGAAATAAGATCACCCTTTTGTTTGTTAGTGGAATTTTACAGGCCTAGGCAGGCATATGGCCTTACATTAAGGGCCAATTGTCCTTGGTCCATTTTCAATCGATTAGCTCTTATCTCGTGGAGCATGTTGTTTAGGGTGCACAGATGAGAAAGTTTGCAGGCTGGTTGCTTGAAGCATCAACATGGCAGAGTAGATTGAACCTTGAGGTTTTGGTACATGCTGATTGTCCAGATTGAGCCAGAAAGCAGGTAAATTAAACCCTTCTGCATGACTGCAGCGGATGCGCGGTCGCTGGTACAAGAAGCCCGGCGGGAGGCTGCAGAGTTCCGCTTCAAGTTTGGGTACGAGATTCCGGTAGACTACCTGGCGAAAAGGTTAGTAAGGATCAGCATTGTTTTTGTGTCTGTGCGCTCACAGATCAAACCGAAGAAAGTGTACCAAACATGATGTTGCTGTTGGTGATCTGAGTAGGGCGACCTGTCATGTTGCACGCAAAACGACTTTTTCTCTGTTTCACTGAAGCACCAGAACATATCTACGGGGCAGGCTCTCATGCATCTCAGGTCCAAGGGTGGGTATTGCAGATTTCTATTCTTTTGCACAGTTGAAGGATAGACCTGAAAGAACGGCAGGAGTGCAACTCAGGTAGAAAGTTTCGCAAGACCTGAAATATCTTCTGAAACCCACTATAGTTGCAGGCTGAGAAAAGTGATGGTTTGATCTAGACCCAAATGGTCATCCAGCTGACAAGACTGGAGCTGGAACATGTCTCAGGAGACCAGATCGGAGCACTCGTTTACGATTCTCAAAAATAGTCTGAGAATCTTGAGTGCGTGGTCCCCTGACTACCATCGCCTCTTGCAGACCGTCAGGGCGCGCAGAGGGGCGCGCAGAGCTTTTCAAACAGCAGGATGCAATCATATTTGCAGAGTCGTCACAGGATTCACACCTGGCACTTACAAGGATGAGTTCCCAGTGGTGACCCAATCCATAGAGTCTGCTTCAAACAGAGGCAACTAAAGTCAACAGAGCACGTCCTTTATGCCGCAGGCTGGCGAACCGCACCCAGGTGTAGATGCAGCAGGATACACCCTGCGATGCAGAAGCGTCAACCGTATCCACTTCACTTGGAGACGTTTCCCAACAAAATCAATTCGACCAGCGTCGTTCTGTTCAGCAGGGAATGCGCAGGTGTAACAGCAGCAAGATGCACTTTACGATGCATACGCGTAAAGCGGATCAGAAAATAACGAGTCTGAGAGCACGATTACAAGTTACTTCGTCTTTTCCACCACAAGCTGGCGGACCATGCGCGGGCATACACGCAGTAGGAAGCACCTTGCGGTGCAGAAGCGTCTAATAAAATCGCTCAAGTCCCGAGCCTTTAACAAGAACGACTTTTTGTCCCAGCAGAGAGCCCAAAGAGACCCAAAAATGAAGCCAAAAAGGTAAAGGAGGGGGAAACTTGTGAAGATAAGAACAAATAACCATGTCTATCCCTGCAGGCTGGCGGCCGCGCGCAGGTGTCCACGCAGCAGGTTGCTCTTCGAAGCATCAATTTCACCGATATCGAGACCTTTTTCAAATCACATTTCCATTCCCCCACCCAGCGGAGAGCCAGAAGAAAAGAGAGTAAATACAGACAAAGAAGAAGAAAAAGAAAAGAGAAAGAGGGGGAAAGAAAAAGAAAACGAAAAACGTTTCCTCCTGCAGGCTGGCGGCCGCGCGCAGGTGTCCACGCAGCAGGTTGCTCCTTGAGACGCAGAAGCAACTGTTTGATCCATGTCGAGACCTTTTCAGAAATTCGTCTCCCTACCCCCACACAGCGGAGAGCCAAAAAACAAAGTCACTAGTGATGAGTGAAACATAAAAAGAAATTGTCTCCTCCTGCAGGCTGGCGGACCGCGCGCAGGTGTACACGCAGCAGGCATACATGCGGCCACTCGGGGTGGCGTCCATCCTGGTGGGCATCGACGACGAGGACGGCCCGCGGCTTTACAAGGTCGACCCCGCCGGTTTCTATGTCGGATACAAGGTACGCGCCTGTAAAATCTAGGTCTTTTTGGCCCTGGAATACATTGACACGGTTCAATTCATGTTCTTCTTTGTCTGACTTTCAGTTGGGACCGGCCCCCCTTCCACCATCTTTTTTTGGGACAGGTAGGAGCAGGCATTACTCGTCGTTTCTGTTCTGCTTTCAGTTGGCGCTATGATCGATGGCAAAGTCCACCGGGGGCCAGTTTCGTAGGTCTTGGTCTGGTGCATAGAAAGATCAACTTGACTGCTTCCACATTGCCAAGCAACAAAGCGTGTTAGGATGTGGTTGGATCGTGCTAACGTTTTCTCTTGGTTGCTCAAGTCGTCCTTGCCGAGGCCTTTTGTATCTCAATCACACTTCACGATCGTCCAAGTGGCAGAACCGCCCGATCTGGGTCAATTGTTGCACCGTCCCAACCCTGGGGGCCACTGAGACATTGGATTCTGGAGGTGGGAAACCTGCTCCAGGCAGCAGCGGGGGTAATATTATGTGATTAAGGGAACCCTTCGGAAAGATGTTCGACTGGAATCAAAGCCCGCCATAGAGTTCTCGGCCTCCTCTCAATGCCTCGTCCGTGACATTGCAGGCAACTAGCGCTGGCGTAAAGGACCAAGAGGCTGTCAACTTCCTGGAAAAGAAGCTCAAGAACAACCCGCAGTTCTCATACGACGAGACGGTACAGGTGAGGAGTTGCTCCCAACGCCCATTGCAGACCTATCTTATTGGGGAGCGTTCCTTTTACTACAATGACGCATGTTGCTTCCAGTTTTGCAAAACAGCATGTGAATCTTCCTATCCAAGGCTTCGTGACTTTCTTCGAGGACAAGTTTGGTGTAATTTCAGTCCGTATTGGTCATTTTGGTGCGCCACGATCTGGTGAACGCTATTTTTGAGGCAACATCATTTTGATATGTGCCGTCTTGCAGACGGCGATCTCCGCGTTGCAATCAATACTGTCCGAGGATTTCAAGGCGAACGAGATCGAGGTGAGGCGTCGCTTGTACATCTGCTCTTCAGTCAGAGTGCTGCATGGACTGGCTCGTTCTCGTTGTTTGTAGTAGTTTCATGCATACGAAGCCTTTTCATGCTTTTCAGCTGATTGTTTATTTCCAAGGAAGCTATCTCCGTCCGCACGACTTGCATACACGAAGCGAAGTCAGGGAATCTGGTAAATGCTAACCTGTCGTTGCATCAGTATCTCGTTGCACTCGCCACAGATTCAAGCCTTTTATTCAACGTCGTTGTATGGTTGGTTTTGGTCGTGCTTATTCCATGCTTTCATGTTTTGCGTCGCTAGTTAGGATTGTTGTGTCACTAGTAATGCAGGCTGCAGTGGAGTCGTGGTGGCTGATGGGCCCCTCCTGTTCTGCTTGAATTTCGAGACTTGTACTGCTGTCCTTGAAGCACAGCTATGCTGCTTACCGCTCGCAAAAAAGGCCAACTTTTGGACGGGAGCATTGTTACATCTCGAAGTGCTGCGAGGCCTTAGCCCGGTATCTGACTTGCAACTTATGTGCTCCCAGGTCGGTGTGGTCAAGAGCGAAGGTGATCGGGCGTTCCGGGTGCTGCCCGCTTCTGAAGTAGAGGAGCATCTCACAGCAATCAGCGAAAGAGACTGAGCTTTGAAAATGATTAGATTGGTGATAATTTCTACGGAACCAGGCTTGCGGTCTTGCGGTATGTATAACATGGCTACATGTCCACTGTAAGCGTTTCTTTCTTCTGCTCCAGCCTGTTGGTCTGTAGACTTCCCGACCATTGCTACCGTTCGGAGTCGAACATACATGGCATGAACACTGAAGCAGCGAAATCTAGTGGCGGTTTCATTTGTGGTGGTCTGTTCACCTGTGCGGAAAAGGTCGATCCATTGGTTGATGCATATTCTATGAACATTGCAGCTTTGAATTGGTATGCTGGTTTTTCAGCTTTTTCTGCATCGACTGGGCCAGGAATTAGTAGCACATATCATTCTGAGTTTCAGAGCTAGAGCAGGTTAATTATTGCGCAATCAGATTGCATGCACTCTGTTGGACTGACATGGGCCATTTGCATCTAGTAGTACTATTAGTCGACGTTTGGACCAGCGGGCCAACCCGCCACCGCGACGAGGAGAGCCGGTCGTGTCCTGCGCATGATTCAATGCGAAGGACGAGCCGGCAATATAGTCGGAAGATTGACATGTACTTACATATTTTAGTTGTACGTGCGCTTGGTCAGGTTATTAGTGAGCGCGGCAGCCAAAATAAAGATTCCGTCCATGTGCGCGCAGCTGTCTGCAGCATTGGCTGATCAGCCTGATGTCAATGGCCATGCCAGCCGCCAACGTGCACATTTAAAAGAGCGCGATTTCCAACTGCCGGAAGCGAGTAATCGACGGTTCGTATCAGCCGTTCCAGCACTGCCTGCGGTTTCGCTGCTGCCATGTGGCACTGCTTCACTTGAGGCGCCATGTGGCGCGATGAGAAGTGGTCAGCTAGTACCGGATTTTAAGGAGGGACCTGTCACCTTGCTGCTAGCGCTGCATTGCATCATGCATGGTGTCAAAACCAGGCTACCGAATCCATACATGCAGTTGGTTGCACTGTGCAGCGCAGCTTGGATCTCTTCTGAATCTGTTGGAAGTTGCGAGTGAAGAGAACCAAAGGGGTTTGGAGCTTCTCCACCACCTTCCGGACGCCATCAGGATAATCTTAGCGCTGAAACATCCAGTGAAAGATACCCCGCCCGTAAGATCTTAATGCTTCGTGCGCCTTGAAGTTGAAGTTTACAGCATTGCCTTCACAGAGTGCATGCAGAGCTGGACTGCTCGTCTCTAAGTACTGTGAAGCCCTCCCTGAACATCGCTCTTTCCTGCTGCTGGATTTCTAGTGCTGGAGATTCCAGCACCCATTTGCCACTCCGTGGGGAGGTCTAAAGCCAGCATGCAGGACTGAAGTTGCAAGGTTACACAGCTGAATGTGGTGCAACAATAGGTCCTGAATCTTCTGACGGTTTCGCAAGAGCTCCTTCCACCCATCCTAGACAACCTCCAAGAATCATGTCTGTCCCACTCATCTTCCCCCTGTGCTTTGAGTGCGGCAACACAGACAATCCCTGCCGCTGCAAGGTTGTCGGTCCTACTCTTGGGTTTATCATGTTCGTGGTATCAGGAATTGTGTGCTTCCCGGTAGGAGCGGTGGCCTGGTGCTGCAGTCATAAGACTGGGAACAAGGTGATGGCAGCGCCGCACAGCATCTGGATGGGGACAAAAAGCTGCATACCTCTCTAGCTGGGACTTCGGACAGAAGGTGAGATCTGCCATTGTTGACAGTCTCTTCATGCATTCCAGCTCGAAAGGTCTCGCTTCATTCGACCAGTATTTGCTGCATGGAGCAACAAGGCAGAGCATCAGTTGCATTACAGTGCTTTGATTGAATTTTCGGTTATGAGGAGCCTTCTTCAGTCAGGCAGTCAATGGCACAACTACCGCTTCTGTACGGACAATTATTGAGCGACAGCCTTCATGAATTGAGCCACAGCTTTCATGGGTAACATCTCAGGGCTTTCCTCTCAGTCAACAGACCAACTGCTTTGATTGTCGCTTGTATTTCCCAGATGGATTGGAAGTCCTACCACAAACTTCTGCATAGGAGTGTGCCCTCCATTGCTAGGTCTCATTGTGGAAAATCTACGGATCATTGTTCGAACTAGGTCGCAGCGTCAGTGCAGGAAAGCTGAGCCAGGATCATAACCAGTCTTCAAACTAGCTCACGGCGTCTGTGCACGGAAACCTGTACCATAGTCTTATTGCAAATTACAATGAAACAATCGTGTAACACTGATCGCAGGTCTTAATATAGATATCTTCAAACTTCATTAACGTCCTCACGATCGCCAAGTATTGCTTGTAGGTGGGGGTTCGTGGTTGGTTCTCGATTTTGATCGCAATGGTCGTGCGATCTGTACAAGGTGGAAACCAGGCGGTCATCCATGTTCAACAAGCTATGCTACATTGTTGCCTGTCAGGGATCTCGAGTAGCATGCAGTGGAAAAAGCTGCAACATGAGTTTTACGTTCTTCTACACAATCATTTCAAAAGTTATCAAATATCGACAAATCAAGACTGTTCATAGTGTGTGCCAGTAAGCTGGGTGTAAGAAAGTCGTTCCGCTTTAGGCCCGCCAGCCAGCGACATAGCCCTGATACCTACTTGAATTTAGCTTGTAGTTGACTGAGCCAGGAAGGATCTTGTACAAACTGGTTACAGAACCATGCGTTCAAGCGGCAAGCACCTATATAATCCCATGGCCGCCGTACACTTCCATGAAAGCTGCCGGTAGTCTATAGCAGCATGAGGTCTGAACGCTTTCCCAAACAACCGTGACTGCAGGGATCCATTAATTAAGGCATTTGAATTGTATTCCGTGTGATCGCCCCGCGCACACGAGGCTTGTAAGCAGAGCTGAACTCACACTATGAGTCTATCGAAAGGTAATGTCAGTGCCAGCCGGACCGCGAGTATACATGGCCGCATGTCTGGTCTCGGTGTATGTAGCTTGCATGATTTCAGGACGGTAGGCGATTGCATGCCTGCTCTAGCTAAACGCGTTGTGGGTATACCCTCACCGGGCCCACGTTCTGGTTCGAAGCCCATGAGAGCCATATCCGCATGCATGTTCGCCTGACTACTAGGCTAACGTCACACATGTGCAGATCGACTTTTGTATACGTGTGCAAACGATGAGATGCCCTATGCCTTTGATTCGCACGGGCTATAAGAGAAGTTCCATGAGACCACGGCGGCTTGTCATGACCACTATAGGTTAGCAATTTGACGTCATTGCAACGATAATAGATTGTACTCAATATAAGTTGGCAAAAATGCAATTAAGGTGTTTGCAAACGGTGCAGCTATGGTCAACCACACTGAATTGATCAACCACTACGTGCTCGCAATGTTAGTACCTGTTTACAGACGGCTTGCCGACCTTTGCCTGCGCCAAGTTTTAGATTGAGGCAGGTGGTACGTCAAAACCGTCCTTTGATCAGATCTAAAAGCTACAATATCGCACAACGCTACGCTAACTCCGCAAACAACAATCACACAAAACTCGTGATCTAACCTCTGTCTCTATCAGTTCACACACACACACCCCTCTGCAATCTTTAAAGCCTGCGTGGCCTGCCTATGTTACAGCAACACAAGCAAAGAATCATCACCTGTACAACACGAAATATCGACTGAGGTGCGACAGCGCCGCACTCAGAAGAAAAGGAATGTATGCTACAGCTAACAGTTATGCACTAACACACCACTCTCGCAATGGAAGCTCCTCGCAAGCAAAAACTAGATACGCCCATCTCAGCCTGACTCCTCGGTGAGGGTGGCTCTGATGCGATTGGGGCTGATTATTGGTTGACCGCCATCTTGGCAAGCGACCATTGTCTTCACATGCTCAAACTCGTCATCCTGCACGGGAAGCAGCGGAGGAGTCAGTTGCTTCTTACGCGTGGAGGGTTGGGTCTCCTGAAGATTCTGGGCAATACTTGGCATCCTTAGCAAACGCAGACAGAGAATCAGGAGCGGAAGTAATCAGGCACGGCCTTCTTCTGTACCTAGTAGCAAGTTCTTTGCACGCTTCGCTGAGCTGTCCATATTTTCAATGCGGAGAAGAAAAGCGGATTCCAAGAACTGATGGACCAATGCACCTTGACGATCGCGATCTGGATCCTTCAAAGTTGGGTATATTTCAATCGTGTTTGCGGGCCGACTTTAGTTCAAGCTCCACGCATCGAGGTTTTTGTTAAGGAGGAGATCGACCTCTGTCAATCGCCCGAGGTGAACTCCCTTGCTGTTCAACGACTCACAGCTACTTAATAAACCCGCGAAAGATAATAACAGCTGCAACGGGCCCTATACTTCTGTGGAGGCCCGGTGATCAATCCGACACGGAAACGTGCGGATCTGTCGCGCCAAGATCCTTCCACCGTATGGTAATTTCCGGTTCCAGAACTTGGGCGGACGATGATCATAGAGAAGTTAAAAGGAGAAGCCTGATCCGGGCGGACGAGGTGCCTTACCCGGATGTTGCAGAACACGTCGTATAGATTGTCCACTTTGGGTCGCCGGGTGGCTGGTCGGCGGCTGGTCTGGAACTCGTCAAACCTGAAAATGACGAATGGAGGACAGAATGAGTGACGTCGATTGAGTAGAAATGTAGAAACTCAATATACTCCAATAATAACGGGGCTAACGTATTCAAAGCTATTGCATACACAGGCGGGTCGGACACGGGAGAAACGCCTTTGCTGGGCGCCTGGACTTCTACGTCGGGGGTGGCGAAGTCAGCAGATGATCGTCGATCCACAGAAATTACGTTTTTCGAGACTGCCATTCAAGACCAACTGTGAGTCTACTACTGTTTGCGCAGAAATGGCCAGGGAGAACAAGCCGAGTACATCTCCTCGCCTCCTTACGGATTACAAGAAACGAAACCATACGGGAATACGAGAAACGAACCGTTTCAAACTTGGTCTGTTATCAGCAAGATAAATTCCTCCACTCGAAGAAAGAAAAAGCTCTCTGTGACTCGGAAAGGATCAACCACCGTCGCTTCCGGTCAAAACGCATTGCGCTCACATGTAGAGGTCCTCGCCCCGGTAGTACTCGACGGCGACTGGTGACGGCGGAAGTGACATCAGCAGCTCCTTGTTGGCCTCAGCAAACTCCTCATATGTATCAACTGCACAGACCATAGGGGGTTCAGCAGAGTTGCGAACTTGGACGGGGTCGAACTTTCCGGGGGATGTCGAGATTGGGAAAAAGGCGGCGGCAGTGCCCTGCGTTATACTTAGCCCGAAACATTTGATGAGAAACAGTTGATGGTAAACCTGCATTCAAAACGGGTCCTCAGGGCTGACCATCCGTTCAACTGCTGAAAGCCCGCATACCAAGCAACCGTCCTTAGCTTCAAGGAGGAGACAGACGGGAATTGGAAAAGGGTCTTGTTCCCGCAAGGGGGCAGAGGGGCGGGTTTGGATGATCGCGCCTACCTGCGTGGAACTCAATGAGCTCAGAAAAGTTGTAGGCCACCTTGGGCGAGACCAGGAAGAGGAAGTTTAGGATCTGCAAACAGAGAAGGCAAAGAACCCATCATGGATTGCTAGCCCACTCTTTTGTCCACATCACGAAGAAGCAGGGGGCGGTCTGCTTTTCACGGACCCTATTTGTCATGTCAACGGTCAGATATCAAGGGAGCCCGTTTGTACAGGCGCAAGCCTTGCTGAATCGAGGCACTTTCTACAACGGGGGGACAGTGCGCAGTTTTTAAAGAGAGTTGGCCGAGGTTAAGGACGTTTGCGATGCGTACCCAGTAGTAGAAGAACGCCGCGTGCTGTCCAAAGAACCTGGAAAGGGACAACGGAGGGAGTTTTGGACCAGCACGGGGAGACACGGATCCTGCGAGCGCATGGGTTCGAGAACCTTATGCCAGTGGAAAACACGGGCTGATAACTTTTGTTACGTTCCTTAGCCTTGTTGGGATTGGACATGCGATGTACACACCCAGGCCGTGTTCCGACAAGGTAGAGCAGGCTTCAACGTGCGGCTTCACAGAAGATTGTCTGCGGTCAGTATCCAACGGTTCCTGGTGATAACAGAACCCCAAAGAACTTGTTCAGAGTTGTCGACCGGTAGAGACCAACGAAACATCCTGGACGGCTGGAAGCAGCATTAAGATCACAGTACACAATTACTCCGTGACTCTTTGACGGAGATACTCTCGTCGTAGCATCGTAGGCAGTTCCGCTTGGCTCACCGGTCCACCCATTGGTTGTCTCCGCCCAGGCTCTCCATGATCTTGAGATGGTGCATCTCGTTCCACTCCTCTGCAAAGTGTACCTTGCGCACCTCTGCGCCCACGCGCCACCTACACAACATCACAATAGGAATCGGCGTACAGTTTCGTTTCTTCGTTGCAGTACAAATGGAATAGTGAATTGGCTTCAAGGGCTCCTCCTTTGAATGTTTTCCGAGGAGTTCAAATGGCGATTCGAAATCGGTTTTGGGATTGTTTCTTCTTTGAGTGTTCTCCGATGAGTGTTCTCCGAGAATCTCAAAATCGAGAGCCCTGGCCTCTCAGAAAGCATGTGTGCTTACAGCTAATCCATGCGTTCGACTTAAACGCAGATTTCCCGCTTGCAAGCGAGAGCACGTCAGTTTCAATCGCAGCAGACTGGATGCTGCATTCAGGCAGTCCAGGTTCCTCAGGCGTCACGGTCCTCAGAAAGCACTTGTTTTGCTGAAGCTCGGACGATGCAACGAGGCTTTTATTATTTGGAGTGCGTTGGCGTCCATGCGAATGGCCAGGCCACATGCGCAACTGGGGGGATTGGAAAGAGTGGTAATGAACGTCAGCTGAGCTGCCTCACCAGCCGAGAGTCTCGTAGAGGTGCAGCATGCTGATGTAGCTGAAGTAGGGCATGCGCGCCACTGTCTCGAGGAACCAGAAGCGCTGGATGGGCCGCCCGTTGAAGATGACGTCAAGTATCTGGAGAGCATGAGAAACGGGCTCAGCTCTTGGTGTTAGAGCCATCGCAGTTTTACAGCCGTCTCCTGAAATGTCCTCCGTTGAGACTGGCTTCTTCCCTATAAGTTCCGTTCAGCACAACGACCTGTCCTTACAGCTTTTGCGGCAACCAAACGCATTGGAACGGCAAATTGTTCCTCAGCCGCCACTAAGAACCCAACGCTAAGCCCGGAGTAAGCCCTGTACCCAATCATGATGCACATAACAAACAAAAGACTAAAGCAACGGCTAGATCTGTCACACGACGACCAATTTTCTCGTGCCCGGCCAAATAGGTTATACAACGACCAGATAGCTTACCAGGCATAGGAAGTAGTATGGCCCAAGGATATACCAGGGCGCCTCGACAGCGGGTCGGCTCCTCTCGCGCTCCCACACCTTGTCGTTGCTCAGCTTCAGCTGGCTCAACTTCTTGCGCAGCTCGTCCATCTCGGCATTCCCGGCCTGTCCAAAAAACAAGATTCAATCAGAGAACAATCTGCTTCTTCGACGAGAGTTGACCGGAGCATTACCAGCCTGTCATAATGACGATTTCGAGCAGTGCGAATGTTCCTCGAGTTCATAGAACTCTTTCTCGTCGCTTGTGACGTGGCAATTGTGTCTCTTACCTTGCAAACGAGAAAGAAATGAAAACACTAGGTTCAATTGGGCCCACATGTTACCTTCGCTGTCGAGATCTTGAGCTCCAACTTATATAAAGTCTGGGTGCTTGCGTCAGTAACGGTTTCTTGCCGTATCTCGGAGCCTTTTTTAAACTTCCGTTGCACTTTTCCTTTCTGAATGATTCCATCATCACTCCCTTTGTCGTACTTCGTCCTAGCTAGCTTGAGTTTCAAACGGTCGAACGACCTCCTCAAAAGTCCAATTTGATTTCGAGAGGAGTTTAGGACAGAAGCTGCCCGAGTTTCCTTTTGATCAAAGTGGTGAGATGAAAGATGCGGATTACAGTGTATGGTTCATGGCAGACGCTCTGGAGATTCGGATTGAATCGACGCTGACTTCATTCAGGTTCCCAGACCAGACCGAGATTGATGAGCTGCATAAAACTCTGAGCCAGCTGAAGCTGAACAACATGCGAAACTTCAACGATACTCACACAAGGACGAGTTGAAGTAGCAGAAAGAGAAACGAAGGATGTTTCGGATTGTCTAAGAGTTTCTTTCTCGATCAGGCCGATAATACCAAGATGGACGAGCCACAGACCAAAGTTGAGCTGGCAGGTGTCTTTCCACAAACACAAATGTGAGGCTTGCAATACGAAAACTAGGACTTCCAAAATACTAAGGCCAACACTTTGTGCATGCTGAACAAGCTGAAAACTACATTAGAGGGAGCTTCACTCACCGGCCCCTCGATTGTCAGCTTGGCATACAGTCCCGTTTTGGTGAGTACTCTGTCAAGAATCCTGGCTTGGTCCAGCAAGAACCGTCCCACATAAGCTAGGGCCAGTGCCACAGGACCCCTGTCAATGTCGTCTTCCTCAGGGTTGCTCAGCTGGGTGAACCGCACGTTCCTTCTGAGAGCCTGCAGGCAGTGAGAAGAACCTGCTTTGAGGAGCTGTGAACCGTCCCGGTTCGCAATGGGGCAAGCTTCAAAACGTATTGACTCCATATTCTCGCAGAATCACTGCCAAGCTGGTCGACCATAGATGAAAGGCCGTCTGAAAGAGTCATTGAAAGTACTTGATCGTTTGAGGAGCCGACATGAGACACATTCTGTTCGGAAAGTGCAGGTTCAAAGAACCAATCTGGCAGTATCACGCAAGGCCTGGTCTGAAGTGGTTCAACAGCGAGTGCAGAAGATCAGCACATGGTTGCGCATGATACCTTTGCTCGTTTGGAAACAGCTGTTTAACCTCGATGGCAAATCAACAGGACTAAGAAACAATCAATGCAAACAGGGCACTCAAACACAGTTCGATGAGGAAAACAAAGAAGAAGAACCATGCTCACCTTCCACTCCCTGGCAAAGTTTGTCAGCGCAAGGTCGATAACATTGCCTGGGACTGACGTTCCACTGGCAAGGAAAGTCGCCTGGAAGCCATAGTCAAATGCAAGCACTTCCTGGCCCCGAATCTTCTTGATCTTCCCTTGCTCAGATGGAAGAGTTGTGACAGCAATAGAAGCAGGCTCCTTTCCGGCCTCGGCAACAAACCCATCGGGTCCAATGGAGATCTCCTCATCTGCCTCGCTCTTGTCTTTGCTGTCCCAATGGGGGTCAGCCTTCTTTGCTGAGAAAGTCTCCTTGAAGTCAGGCTTCTCGGCTTCATCAATAACTGCCTTCTTCTCTGACTCTGAGGCAGTTTCTTTGTCCTTGAGGACCGGCGACACCTCAGCAGCGATGCGCGCCTTGCTGCCCCTCCGCAGTGCAGACTGTTTACTCTGCTTCGTTCCAAAGAGAGAGACCGCGCTTGTGAGTGCGTGCAGACTCGTGCAGCTTTGCACGCAGGCAAGTGAGGAGCTTGATTGCAGGCTGGCTTGGCAGCCGAAAGCTGCTGAAGTTGTGCTCCTCCTTGTAATGCCAACGTTGCTTCCAAACCCTAATCTGCTGAAAGTTGGAACAGCGGCCGCAGAAGCCATCTTGACAGCAAGCACCATGCCTGCAACTGCACAAGACCTCTTCCCCTCAGCTGTCAAAGATTGGAAGCCCTAGGATCCTTGCAAAGACAAGCTCTGCCAGCAGCTGCCTGCTGGAAGCTGGCGCCTTCTTCTCGGGGCCGCGGCAGCTGAGCTTTTCACCTTCAGGGCTTTAAGAATTGAGCTGAACAGTGAAATGCGTGGCATATGACAGATCTCCAATGGCAACTCTTGGAGATGAGGCAGGTACATACCAGGGTACGTTCTACAGCTGCCGGTACGTAACCGGAGACTCACTGTCTGACGTGCTACTAAGTGTCCAGCGTGGCAAGTTAAGTTAGAACTTTCAAACCAGAAGAATGGCACAGAGTCGCATGGACTGACACGTCGGACGATACGCAGTGCTTATGCACAACTACCGTCGCAATCCCGTGGGGATAGTCGCAACCCAGGCCGATTGAAATCCAGGCCCGAATTCTTCGGGCGATCCAGGTGGTTCAGAGTTGGGGCCAAAATTTAGGGTTTGACGTGTGTTTGAAACTTTCGTCAGTGTCGCCTGAGCCAGCCTCCCGACTAGTCCGGGGCCGGACATCCACATACGCCTTCGCAAACCGAGTGCAGCTGCTCTGGGCAGACTTGCCCTTGTATTTACAGCTTATGAGAGGAATTTTAATTACCGCGGAATGTGACTGTTACTGCTACTGTTACTGTTACTGCTACTGTGACTGTGACTGTGACTGTGACTGTAACTGTACCGGTATTAGTGTAACTGTTGGAAGTTTAATTTCTGTGCCCTGTGGTTAGCTACGTAAGTAGTTCAGTGTGGTTGTAGCTGTAACTGTAAATGTAACTGTAACTGTATCCGTCACTGTGTCACTGTGACTGTGACTAGGTTACTGTAACTGTAACTGTAACCGTGGTCCTTAATTTTGTAACTGTGCTTGTCAGGCCTGCTTATAGCTGCAGCGGTCAGCCGCCCGGTTATATGTTTGAGGCGACCGGTCGTACGGGCCCGAGTCTGGCCCAAGGGGCAGGGTAAAACCAGGCTGTGACCAGTAACCAGGGGTGTCAGGGTGTTAACCCGTAAAAAGTATAAACGGCCTGGATCGTCCGGCCTGGATCGGCCTGGATTTCAATCGGCCTGGATTGCTACTATCCCCCGTGACGTCTTGCAAATGGTAGCACACTGCTCTTCAACTAAAAGTTCTGGCTCTTCTGCATTGGCTCTCGTTGATTGTGAAAAAGCGTTGTTTGCTGACTCCAGTCAGTAAATCTTTTTATGTATCTAAGGGCTCTTCAGCAGCTTCACGTCCTCCAAAGAGCACATCAAGTACGATGGCGGATGCTGCAGGTGCGGAGGCTGGCGGGAGCGCCATTGCAGTGCCCGGCAGCGAGACGGACAAGCTGGCTGGATCGTTTGGAGGGTGAGTTTGGGTTGCGCAACTTAAGAAACAACGTTCTTTGCCCAATGGCAGAATTTGGTAATGGTGGCTTTTGCTGGTTTTTAATTGCTTACTTTTTCCACAGCAGCAGCAAATGTGGTCCCACTTTTTGCTGTCAAGGTGGCTTATTAGACCCTGTCGAAGTTATTTTTGATGCGCCACCAATTGTAGATTGAGGCTTTTAAATCCTGAAAGTGGTGCTGGTGCGATGGCTGGAATCAGTGCACCACCTAATACGAAGGGTTTTCAAAGGGATTGGGAACGTTTTTGCAAGCCAACTAGTGCTCTCAAGGCTGTATTCAAATGCATATGAGGTGACCCAATTGTCCTGACCAATCACGGCAGATTTCTACTTTTGCTGCTGATTTGTCTGGCATTCATTTGTACGGTAGCCTTGTGATCGAAGCTTTTTGTGAGTGTCCCGGGGTCCATTCCTCGGTTATTCATGTCTAACTTTTCAGTCAGCTTGCAATCCCTGCTCTCCATAAAAAAGGTGAAATGGGTGACTTTGCCTATAGGAACAGACTTGTCCGGCATCACCGGGGGGCTCAAGACAGACGGAGAACGTCTTGAATATCGTCACTCCCGCTCATGTGGAGTCCCGTATGGGTTTTGGGTTCTCTGGATTGTTACTATTGTATCTTTCGGACAAGCAAGAGGGGAAATGAAAAAGACTCCATTCTGGTTGCAAAATCTCACTTTAATGGATTCCGACTTCGTTGAGAGCGGCTTAACGTTGTCCAAACAGCGCTGTCTTTCTTTCATCGCTGAGCAGATTCCTCATTATTCCCTCTTCATTCATCTGCAGGCTCTCAATCGATGAGCGCTTTGCGTTAGCCCGGAGCGTTGGGGAGGAGTGCATCCAAGAGGACGAACTTTGGAACCTGCTTCTGAAGAAGCCCACGCCCCCCGTCTGCTACGATGGGTTTGAACCCAGTGGCAGGGTCCATATTGCGCAGGTTGGTTCAGCGCAGCCTCTCCCCTCATGTGCATCGCCTGGTTGTATGTATCTGAAGCCGTGCTGAATCAAGTCCAAATATTGCTTCCTGAACTTCTTACATTTCTGAGGTACTTGACAAAACTGCTGACTCCTAGTCGCCCTCCTGAGAGGAAAGCAAAGAGTCTCATGAATTGGACATGTGAGGCCGCCAGTTTCCTCAAAAGGGAAGCTTCGTCTGCATGATTCGGAGCCGTTTTGTGAATAGATCAGCTAGAAAGTTGATCCCACAGCTCGACAAATCTGTGAGTCAAGGGGAACATTTGGTCGGACTGCAGAGCCTGTCTCAGCCATCACTCAGACTCTTTAAAATGATCAAGGTGTGTCCATGGCTCAGCCCGCGGAAGGACATCGAGTGACTTCGATCGCCGTTTTATGGGGTGAAAACAGAGTTGAAGAGTCAAGCTACGAGATGACTTCGACCCTGAGCTGCCTATTTCCGGGTAGTGAAGGGGGCTGCTCAGGTCCCTAACAGTTCTCGGCTTCTTCCCGCATTTTGTGGAAGGCAGTGACATCAAACGCCGCTCCACTAGTGATTGTGATGACCGACCTTATGTCAGCGAAACTCTTAACTGACCGCAGAAGGTTTCTCTGAACGCGGATGAAGCCAGAAAACAAGAATTCGCTTCCACCTCCGTGCAGGGCGTGATGAAGGCGTTGAACGTAAACAAGCTGACGAAGGCGGGGTGCATATTCAAGTTCTGGGTGGCGGACTGGTTCGCGCAGCTCAACAACAAGATGGGGGGCGATCTCAAAAAGATCCAGACCGTTGGGCGCTACATGATCGAAGTCTGGAAGGCCGTCGGGATGGATCTGACCAACGTACAGTTCCTATGGTCGTCGGAAGAGATCAACTCGAAGGCACACGAGTACTGGCCGCTCGTGATGGACATCGCTCGCAAGAACAACCTCGCGCGGATCGTCCGGTGAGGCTTCGTTTGGAGAGCCTGGCGTTGAAGTGAGGTTGCAGTCCCAGTAGTGGATCGGGTAGGGTAGAATAATAGATTCTTTCGAGGAGAGAATCTCTAAATAAGTGTTCGTGTCGCGGTTGGTCTTTTTCGAGAAAGCTCCATTTTCTTACTTCGGCCCAGGTCGAGAGGTACAGCAGTATTGCCGACCCGCTGATTGTCTCCACGTTGTTCTTTGGAGCCTGCTCGAGTTGGACGTCAGGAGTGAAGATCCACGACGGTGTATATTCGGTACAATGCTGAGCCTTCTCTCGACCAAGCGTCCGCCAAAATTACCTCTGCCGGTTTGACGCTTACAGGCTTTTGCAATACTACCGTTCATGTTGCGATCGAACTTGGGCTAATTGTCAGCGATCCTTGGATCAGAACGACGAGATCTCTCGTTCAGTCCCTCAATAATTCTCACATTCCGATCGGCCGTTTCTTGCAGAGACCGAAGGCCGATCTTCGGGATCACCTGTATTCAGAAAGTAAGAATATTTGCAGTCGTCTCTCTTCAACCGTACCGTCCATGGTTGCAGGTGTTCGCAAATTATGGGGCGGAATGAGAAGGACGACCTGTCGGCTGCGCAGATCCTGTACCCCTGCATGCAGTGCGCAGACATCTTCTTCCTTAAGGTAGGTGCGGTTCATTCACGCTTCTGCTGCGTCACTGGCCGCTTGAGGTCGGAAGAAGAAGCAGAGGAATGAAGAAAGTTCCCTCCTGAAGTGGAGCACCTTGTCTTAAGCGATCAGCACCACGGGGGTTAAAGGTGTCGGACGTTACATCAGCAAAGGGATCTAGAATGCAATCGTTCTTCGCGCAGTACAACGGGGATATGGTAGTAGAGATGCGTGGTGGCTCCCAACTCTCACGAAATTAAGGACGCTAGTCAAGATCGCTCGAAATCTGGCTTGGACGGTCTACCGTGCCAGTAAGCAAAAATGGAAGTCATTGGACATAGGTATTCACTATTGTAGGCTGACATGTGCCAAGTGGGCAGAGACCAGCAACTGATCATTCTTGCCTCGGACTAGCGACGATAGTTCGCTTAGGTTTATATTGCCAGTACGCTCAAGTAGTATAATCAATTCCTGCAGGCGGACATTTGCCAGCTGGGCATGGACCAGCGCAAGGTGAACATGCTCGCGCGCGAGTACTGCGACGAGATCAAGCGCAAGAACAAGCCCATCATTTTGAGCCACCACATGCTGCCCGGGCTGCAGCAGGGCCAGGAGAAGATGTCCAAGAGCGACCCCAACTCGGCCATCTTCATGGAGGACTCCGAGGTCAGAAACTGGTGAAATGGAGCTTTCTTCTCGTCTTTCTGGATCTTTCCCTATAGTCTGGGGGGTTCCAAAGAGCGACCTCAACTCTTCACGGAGGCCTCCGAGGTCAGGTGCATTGAGTTTACACCTTTTAGAAACTGGCAAAGTGCTTCCATTTTGTCCCCTCGTCTTAACGAACGTTTGCGGACTTTGGGTAACTGAGAGCGACCCTAAGTCAGCCATTTCCAGGGATCTCTCCGAGGTTAGACGCTGTTGAGTTAAGGGCTTTTTCGAAACCCGCGGATCACGGTTTATGTGTCCCCACGTCTTCGTAAGTGTTTGCGAACGTCTTGCTGTCCAAGAGCGACCCCAACGCCATCTTCATGGAGGACTCCGAGGTCAGATGTTTTGGCTATCTCTCTCTCCTTTCTGAAGTACTCATCCTCTTCTTCGTTTCTTCGTATCGGACTTTTTGGCAGTACGAAAATGGACCTGATGGTCAGGACAATCTGAGTGGGTCTTGATTGGATTGCGGGGGCTGCTAAGCACCGCCAAATTTTGGGACACTTTGATGTCGCAGAGGCTGGTGTCTTCTTGCTGATCGCATAGGCTTTCATAGCCAAACTTCCAGTCTGCTTTGCAGGGGCCCGGACTATAGCTTGTCACGAAGCAAGCCGGAAACCAACAATGAAATTTGTATCTCTTAACTTCGTCAATACCGAAGATGGTTCCTAGCTTTGACCGGTCTCGAGGAGCCGTTTCAGCTGGTGGTTTTCCGCATCTGAGGATGATAGACTGTGCGGGCAGGGAATCAACACGGAAATATCCAGACTTGAAAACCCCGGACTTTCGCAGGCGGAAGTGAACGTCAAGATCAAGAAGGCGTACTGCCCGCCAGGGGTGATCCAGGGCAACCCCATCTTTGAGTACGTAAAGTTCGTCCTCATACCCTGGTCGGGGAAACTAAACGTGGTGCGAGCGGAGGAACACGGCGGGAACAAGTGAGTCGCAGCCGCTTGACATAAGTGCTGATTTTAACCACGTACTTTATCCTGACTTGCTTTTTTCTGCTGTCTCCTCTTTCTCGGGCGAGCGTTTCGTTCTGAGCGTTTTGGTTCTTGTGTAAGTTCCTGGTTTCGACATTCAGTTTCCAAAGCGGACTTGGACTGCCGCGCGAGGAGGAGCACAGTGGGAACAAGTAAGGTGCAGCCGCTTGACGATGCTTTCTTCTCGTCCCCAACGGCTACCCTGGTGTCGCTCTCTTCGGTTCGTCGCTTGGCAATGAGCTTGTCGCTTCGGCACTCTGGACGGACCAATTGGGAGACGCATAAAGCAGTACCGGTTTTATGTTGGATTTCGGCCATTTTAAATCAGGTCATACCCGGGGAATGCGTGCGGTTGTTTGAGAGTTCAGGTTCGGTACTGATGCGGAGCACGTGGTTCGTGGGTTCATGGGTTCAGGGTTTCAGTTTGTTTGAGCTCGGGGAATGAATCTATCATAGGCTTCACTCGAGACTTGTGTGCCATGGCGGAGCAGTTCGGAGCCAACTCTGTAGGCGTGGCCTGCTTGTCGCATATTCTCCTTTTGCGTTTCTCTTTCATGGCCCTTTGGACTCTGGCTTTGAGCGTCATCCTTTTCACCTTGGGAAGAAGGATCAGAGACCTACGGCCAGCCGAGTCATTGCGGCCATCCTTTTGTTTCTGGCCCTTATCGGGTTTCAACATCTCGTCGTTATGGGGAGGTTCATCGAAAGGGACGCCGCTTCTCCTGCCCTAAGCGTTGAGCTTGGCATTACAGCGGCGATGAGGACAGCGGTACTCGTTATCGGACGTTCTCGTACTCGGAACATTGCTGATGCTTATTTTGAATTGACGTGGCCCGCGTCAAATGTCAATGATGCTCACTCGATTACAGAAATTCTCGAGGGGTCTGAGCTCGGGGATGTGTCGGGCCGGCCTGCGAACACAAACGAGTCTAGAATGCGGAGTCAAATTGAATCATGTGCTGCTTTCACGAGCTGGCAATACACATGAATTTCGGGAGTTCTGTGCGGCCAACTTCAGTACCGACGTCGAAAGTTGACATTGAACAATGCACGCTTCATGTCGAGCTCGGGTGCCGTATCTGACGCACTCAGCCTGCAAGTAGCAGCGTTCTCCCGGCCTTCTCTGCAGTAGCGCGTTCGTCATTGAAGACGATAGATACGAAGTGCATCACAACAAAAGACTGCATTCCAGTGGGTGATCTCGTTTTGCTCATGTCAAAGTACGTTCCTTGCAGAACTTACACGGATATTGCGGAAGTCGAAGCGGACTACACGGCAGGGTCGCTCCATCCGGGGGACCTGAAGTCCGCGCTCTCGAGGGGGTTGAACGAGATCTTGCAGGTCTGGCTCTAGAGTTTTAGGGTTTCAGGGTTTTCTTCTCGCTCTTCATTCTGCAGCCCGCTGCTTGACGAACTGCACATGCTTCTGCAGAAGGCCAAAACGCAGGCCCTGGTTCTTTTTATCCACCCACAAAGCTCTACACTCCAGGAAGGATTTAGTAGCGCGAGGCTGCGCGACACGTGTCCGTAGTTGTTCGGTTGACTGTACTGGAGCTCTTCTGTAAAGCAGCCATCGATTCTCATCAGTGAGAAGTAGCCTCGAGCCAATCCAATGTGGTCATACAACAGCGCCGTTGTCAGGCCTCTGCCAAAGTTTCGGAAGCCAGATTGTACACTTGAGTGGGAGTATGTGTTGGTCCAAGTATTACCAGCACGTTTTGCATTGAGAGGCAGATTTGTCCAAAAATATGCGACCAATTTAGATGAACAGCGCGTGACGCTTGATTGCTTTCCTTCTGCAGCCCGTACGAGACCACTTTCAGAAGGACCCGGAGGCCAAGAAGCTGCTTACGCAAGTAAAGGCAAGCTTGGCAGCATTACACCGTCAAAAACCTGTGAAGAGAAGATGCAGATCTCCTCCAAACGTTCTAGGACCGGCTATCATTCTCGCTCTTAAGGTGTTGAGTGCCATGGGGCTTGCATTCGCAGTCGTCATATTGATCAGGGCCAGGCTAAGCGCAGGATAATGAGCAAGAGTGATGGTTACTGGTCACTGTAGCATCGTATATTCTGACCTTTCGTTCTGTTTGGATTTACCCGCTAAGTTAAATTGCATTGTCGCAATCGACGAACTGCGATCGAGTCGTGTTTTCTTAGATCCCTCCAATCGGATTCCCTGCTGTGCTTTGCTGCTCGGACGACGGGAGGATTGAACAAAGCCTCCTATGTGCAGTCGTACAAGACAACCCGATGATCCAATCCAAGCGCACGCGTTGGCGATTGGGGCGGTACCTGGGAAGCGATTCCCATCGCTCGGCCCAAACGATCTGTGCATCGCTCGTTTCCTGAGCTGGTCGAAAAGACAGACTTGTCTCAGTGAGCCACGAGCGTTGATAACGTCGTTCGCTGCCGTGATAAATGAGTTTCACTCAGGCCACGAGGTCACGTCGACTGCTGCGCAATTGCCATGCCATCCGTATGCATTCACCTTTATCTGATGCTTCGCCATCCCGAGGATCTGAGCCGATGTTACCCTCATCGCACCGTACATGTGTTCTTTGCCGACCTTAATGCAGCTTGTTTGACGCCTCTTGTAACGCATCGTAGCGTCCAACTTTGGACAACATCTTTGATGCAGCTGGTCCAACTTCTGGCTGCAGAATGCAAGTGCATGGTTCCAGCCTACCTGCTGCGTGCAAACGCAATATCTGCAAACATCAAATTTGGTGCATCCGAACGCGCAAAATTCGCGACCATATTTTATGACAATGCCCGCATGCTTTTATAGAGGGCAGCTCCCAGTGCCGATGAACAAATGACAAATCGACGACGGTGCTGGCATGCGATCTTAACATTAGCTGATTCAAGTCCTCCTGCCTGCGTACACATACGGCACGCCTTTCAGTGAAGCCCGTCAGGTTTCACTTGACCACATTCACATCGCTTCAAGTGCATCTTTTGTTACTCAAGGCATATCAGACGAACGTCACGTCAAACTCAATTGCTCACTTTACGTGAACCATTATTCCTCGTTCAGCCTACGATCAAAGTCTTGCAATGCCTTCTGCTCAAGGTTCCCTATCTCGCACGTTTCGCCTCCGGCCATCCCTTCTCCTTCCTTTAGCGCCGCGTTATAGACATCCCTCTGCCTGGTCAGCAGAAACTCCGCCACCGAAACACATACGCCGATACGAACCGCTTTTGATCCCCAGATTGCTGGGCAGAGAGTGCTCCGCATCAGCTCCGTACAGGTCGAGTTGGCGACCAGCCCGGCCAGAGGAAGCACCATGGTCGCCGCGAAAAGGAGCCCGGTCAAGGACCGGCTTGGGAATGGGTATCGGAAGGATGGGCCCGCGGAAGGGTGTGGGAAATAAGACCACACGGGATGAATCAAGCGCGAGCGCCGAAGGGCGCGTCCTCCAACTGAGCGCGGGGCAGAGCGCGCACACCAGGTGCAGAAGCGCGCGCGCGTCCCACTCCAGGTCGCAGTAGCGCAGCCGCGCGCGCGCGGCCGCGTGGAGGGTTCGGAGGAGCGCGCCCAGAGTTGGGAGCAGGCTGAGGGGGAGCCCGATGCAGAGGGCGGATTCGATTCGGGTCACGGGAAGCGAGAAGAAGGAACTGTACGTGCTTAGCTGGATAACGAGGAAGCCTAACGGGGGCGGCAGCGCGAGAAGGGTTGCGGTGACAGCGATCGAAACTTCTGGACCGAATCTCTGTGCGAAAGCAGAACGGGCGCACCAGCTTATCGTTCTAAACAAGGAGAAGTACAGCCCGGTGGTGAGAACCGGGAGCACGAGCGTTCTGATCTGCTGCCACACGCCGTGAAGAGCGTAGCTCAGGATGATCCCCCAGGTATCAAATCTACTGGGCGGTTTTGGAGGGGCGGGGAGTAGGACCGGAGGATTCCACCGGGCGCTTTTAGTGGCTGTGTTGTAGTAAAAGGTCCGCCCGGTTTTGGGGTCGTGCAGATTGTGCCAGTCCGGCGGAAGGCGCGTTTCGCGGGGGCGGAACTCGCAGAGGCTGTTTTGGGCTTCGGAGCAATAAGCGACTCCTTTGAGGAAGAGAACAATGGCGCCAGACAAAAAGCTTAAGCCGGCTGGAAAGAAAGGAACCTCAATGAAACCCCCTATCAACCCAATGTAAAGGCAAATTCCAACAGCGACGGCGGCCGTTCCGATCACCGGAGCGGAAAGGTCGCCCCCTGGGGGCACTTGGGCGGAAACGGAACTAGGGTCTTCGACGATCATTTCAGGCTCTTCGCAAGCGGGTTCGCTAAAACCAACCCTTAACCAGCTTTCTGCGTTCGGACCCACTTCAAGTAAGCTGTTTTCTTCTGCTGCTTCGCTGAATAGAGGGCATCGGCGCAAAAGACGAAGATCACAAGCCGGCCGCGCTTTCAAGTATCGGGAATTGCTTTTGTTCAACCAGCTACTAGCCCAAGGTTCTGTGCCCACATCTATTGCTGAGACCCCCTTTCCACAAGGTATGACGCGTTGCGGTCCAGACCTACTCACGGGAAAGTTTTGACTTGGAGAACACGAGCTGATGTTGTGCTGAAGTGCAAGTCCAACCCGCTTGGGAGACTGTCTCGAGAGCGCCCACAAGCCCTGCGCTGTGCCAGCCATCGCCACGGTAGCAACCCCCTTGCAGCTCATCAAGGCTGCAAACGAGCTTATAGCCTTTACGTTATTCTTCGCCGATTATGTACCAGAGCTGCAACCACCGCTTCAGTCGGTTGCAAGGGCCGCTCCTCAGTACAAGAGCTGCCGGAAGCGCTGTTTCGGCGCCTCTACCTGTTCTGATGTGATCCTAAGCAAGGCACAAGACCGTACAGCGTTATGCCCGTTCTTCTTTCTCAAACTCTACACCTGAAATGGTTCTCCCTTGCCGTGTGCTACGTACGCGCGGCGGTCGTCCGTCTGGTCCGTACCAGGGTTTGCAGGTTTCGCGACCAGTGAGGCCAGGGCCGGTCTCGCGGCCGGCCGGCGCAAGTTCCTCGCCCAGCTTAAACCCTGTTTGTATTACGAAGAGCTACTGGAGATGGACGTTCTAAGAATGATAAGGTGCAGCGCCCCTTGTGCAGGGCCGCCGCGCCGTCTGAGCAACACGCAGCTATTCTTTGGCTGATGCTGACCCTTCAAGGGGTTTGCATGCATTTTATCTATGGTGTCGTCAAGATCGTTTGGAGCAAAGGCGGAGGACGGCTCAAGTCAGCAGAAGCAACCTCGGAACACAGTGTGCAGACTGGACCACATGCTGGCAAGCTGCTTGACTGAGAGAGGAAGGCAAAGATGAGGAAGCCACAATCCCCGAAGAGTCGGCACTTGCTGATGTGAATACTCTATTTATGGCTTTTCCGACCAAACAGTGTCAGCTTTCCAAAATTTGAGACCCCTGCAAGAAAGGTCAGGAGGAAAAAGATGGAGACTCCATGGCTGGCACAAGTCTGAGTGCAAACGAGCCTGTCAAAAGGACCTGAAGGAGAAACGACAATGTAAGACGTTTTGAAGAACGTCTTACTTCGGTCTGTCAGGTCATTGATGGGCTCCTTACCTGCAAACCACTTTCTTGCGGCTGATTGGATTTTGCTGAGTCAATGTTTATGTCCTTCTCAGGTTCATGTTCTTTGGTCGTCTTTCCTGACGATCGTTCCAAGACACTCACGGTTTGAACTCGTAAGCTGTGGCCCCGGCTGTAGCCCTCACAGCGTTGCACAGTTTAGCCATGCGCAAGGGGTGATTGTAGGAAGTGAGAACTTGACAGCTGCTTATACTCCAAACGGCAAGAAATATCAATGGAATGATATCGTCTAAAGCCCGTTCAGAGGCAAACAAGAACTCGTCAAGCACAACTTGATTCCGATGCTGCGGCGCCAGTCTGGATGCACAACAGGGGTGCTTAGCGGGACACGGGTGAATATCGAACTTCTTGGGTGTCTTCAAGAAGATTCCAAGGGACACCTTGCTAGCGGCCGCGTATGGTAAAGCTGATCAAGCGCTGCTTTGAGAGAATGAGAAGCTCTTTAGAGGTGGTTACCCGTTACTGTCCAGAGGAGGCTCTGTTGCGGTGGTTTTAATCAGCTCTTTCCACAGCAAGTGTCTCTTAAAAGCTCACTCTTTGTGCAGGAGGCAAGCAGGAAGTTCGCCGATTATCAAGGCAGAGAGCAGAGAGAAAGAGGAAGACGGTTTTGAGACGGTAACTTTCAGACCCTTAGCCTTCTTACGATTAGTAAGTCTCTCACTGAAAGGTTGTGTTACAGCAACAGCTTGATCATTACCTTTCGCCAGGATGGACGACGGATTGAATGATCGAAACTGTGGGAATCACAGGCCTTTTTGTCTAAAGAAAAGTGAATGCGAATCAAGACTGGTGCAGCCAAGGACGCAGAAGAGAACCATACTGAAACGTAGACCCGAAGGAAAAGCAGAACGCTCAATTGGTTGTGCCCGCAGGCGACCAAGCAATACGCAAAAGATCTAGTGCCAAGTACGTCAGCTGAAGGGGCAGAGGCGTCCGCTTCGGCGGGAGGCGCAGGGCCTAGTACGTCAGCTATTCCGGAGGAAGGATATGACGCGCATGTATGGGAGGAAGGGCAGGACCCGCCAACGTCAAGAGCTGCCCGCTGCTACCTTTCCTGTCTAGTTCTTCTGTTGCAAGCCTGCCAGGATTCGGAAACCGTAGCAAAAGCTGCTGTTACATGATAAGCTTCTTCCCGTAAGGGGGGATGCCCTGCTAAGGAAATAGTGCTTGTCCCCAACTGGGTCATCAGAAGGTCAAGAAAGGCTGTTCATCTTGACGCAACTGAGGGAGTGACGGGTAGATTCGGCCAGTCAGTCGCGTTGTACAATCCCTTGGTTTTAACTTTCAAGGCGTCCCTTCAGTCGCAGGGCATCTGTTAGGTAGTAAAGGGGTCTTTTGATACCGCAAAAAGTCGAGATGAAGCTGAAGAGGGGCATGCTCCAAACAGAATTTCATTCGCATGGACATCCGTAAAGGAAGGGGAATCGGAGTTTGTCTCTTATCCTTCTCTTTGAACTGCGCCTCTTCAAACCAAACAGCGATGGTGCTAATTCTCAAAATGTCAGGGCTACCCATTTGTGCATGGAGCATACTGATAAGACGGAAGCTCATCACTTAAGGTCAAGGCAGACCCGATGCACGGTGTGAAACTATATTGGAACATCTCAGCTCACGACGCGCGCATTGGATGAGTCACAGTTTTGCGACATGACAAATTCGGGGGTTTTGCTGTGCTCGACGTTTCTGAAAGCAGGCAGAATAACGATGGCCGCCTTTGTGCAGGCCCTACTTTATTGACGGTTACGTAAAGTAAGCAGTCGAATCAAGCAGATAATTTCGGATACTACAAATTGGGGAGGGAGAGGAACGTGATGTTGCTAATGCATTTGAGCGACCAGGAAGTATACTACTTTGGAGAGTTTCGGCCCAACTACGGGTAAGTGATCAAGGAAAGTGAGTCTGTCTAGTTCTTCCAAAGCCTTGCTTCTCGGAGGAATATCTTTCCACCCTCAGCTTTGACATCCTGTGTTTAACGCGGGGTCCAAAGAGCTTGCTGGCTACCTTGAGTCAATCTTGGCTTTCGGCGTCAGAAAGGCCTCACACGTAGCACAGGCAGGGGTTATGGTGCTGAGGCAGACGGGTGAACCTTCTCAGCTTGTTGAGATTCTTGTAAGGAAGCAAGAACCGGTGCGTGCTTTTGATCTTCTTGCTCTGCAATTCTGGCAATTATGCTCCTGTGCCCAAAAGATCGAAAGGAGAAATATCAGGCAAGTTTGACAATTACGAGAGCCGTTGAACTCAAAATAACCTCTCACGTAAGCCCCTCACTGTCAAACGTAGTTCCCGTGCGCAAGCAGACTAGCACCTGGGTACACGGGCGATTCAGCCTGTTCTGCGCCTTGTACATACCCCAGAAGCTTCAGAAGAGAAGAAGCGTGATTGAGGATTCACAAGCAAAGCTCGTTGTGTCGTTCTAGAGCTCGTGAAGATTACCATGTTCTAGCTTCAATGGAGCAAAACAATCATCTAGCTGATCTCACCAGCCGTCTTCGGCTCTCCGATGTCACAACCGAATTAGGACTGTAAAATCTGGCATACACATCAGGTTGAGTCTTGGGGTCCGGACGAACGCAACCAGCTTCGGCCGGCGGTAACGGGCGCCGGACCGTGAGTCAAATGTCCTGAGACTAGCTCTTGGATAGGGACCGTCAATGTGCGGAAGTGTTGTCAATCTTTTCGACCGTCAAAGAACTGCAATTCAACTAGCTATGTGCCCGTCAGGGCAGCTGAAGTGCACAACTGGCATATGCACTGACAGCCAACTAAAGGTCGGCGAGGGCCCCTTGAGTGCAAAGCATCTGCTAGCTATCCACGTACTCACGCGGTCAAATCCTAGACATGCATTGAGCTAGCCCGGGCCGACCAGTCTTTCGTGTTTATCTGCAAGTCATACACGTACGTGCTATATGACAAGCTGGTCATCGCATCGGTTCCGGACCGCGGCACGCTCGATCCAACAGGTTTTATAATCAATAAATATTGTAGTGACTGCATGCGTGCCAACGCGCCATACATATACCGGCCTTTTACTTCTTTCTGGAGGGTTCGTCGTTGCTTGTTGGCTAATTGCTGTTCCCACATGTTAGCTTCCGAACAGCTACCTAGATTTGATGGCCCTCAGCATGTGCTGTACCGACACGTGGAAATGGCGAAGTAATGATCGACAGCCGGCCCCCTCATGTTGTGACCCACATCATGGCCGGCACGAGTGGTCAACAAGAATTACAATTCTGCATACGAAAGCTTGAGCTTTTCGCATCAATGCATGCAAGCGCCCATCCGCGGCGACCTTGTCAACTATGTCGCTGCACCGTTGTGCATGGTTCAACGAAGAAGAACCAATCGAAGCCTCGAGGGCTGTTTAGAAAGGGACCCCGCTGCGTGCATCAAGTTCGACCAGTATTTCTGATATGCTCTTGCAGCATACTCGTCTGACTCTCTCCCTCCTTCACCTACATGAACACCTCTAGTTGTCCGCTTACTTATAAAATCTACTCTAATTCGTGCGTGCTTACTGTGCTGTGCTGTACTTTGATCTTATAAATAGCGTTGGCGTCACACCGCTTTATTTGTTGCTCATTTATTTCGTGGCGTGCATCGCCTCCTGTCAGTCCCACATACCCGTGCATATATACTAGAGTCCGTAAGCGTATGAGGGTTCAAAGCCCAACCAAACTACTTTACAAAAGTGACCGGAAGATACCTTCCTACCCTATCACCCACCCTATGAAGACGGTTTGTGCGCTCTTTGCACCGGACGCCTTTCGATTTGATCACATCTGGTCGCCGCCCAAGACTGTCATTTAGCTTATTGATCGGCTTTCATCAGGCGACTCGGGTCGAGCTTGTCGTAAGTGGAGGCGTGCCGTCGTTCCACCCCCCGCGCCCGCCTCGCCATTCGCAGTTTAATCGTCGGCAGTCGCGCGGCGATCTCTCGCCAAATCATGGCCTGCGCGCTGCCTTTTCGCCGCCAGGAATCGATGTACGTGTAGTGCTCACGTATCTGCAAAAGGATATGAAAAGATCATCAGATGTCACCCAAGAGAATGCAGACTCGCTATCTGTGGCCGGAGTCAGTTCGGGAATGCGGGTGAGACGTTCGAAACTCTGCTTCACACGTTACCCTCTCACAGAAAATCTTCCCCCCGTAAATTCCTAAATTTGGAAGCAGATTCGGAACTGGAATCCCTCTTTCCACTCGAAAATTGAATCCCTGACGTCATGAGTCGGAAGCAGACTGACAGGCTCCTTTCAAGATAGTATATAGCTCAACAAGGGGTGCGGCTGCAGATTTCAAACGCCTCCTATGTTGAACGAGATACCGATCCTTACCCTCTTGAAGGGTGAAGAGGACAGCGGATGAAGACTACACGAGGAAAATCGCAACGTGAACAGGAATGAGATAGACTGCTATCATTTTGACAACGAACAAGTCTGCACGGCGAAAACATATAAAAGAAAAACGCAAGTGGGCTGCCCTGATTGAAGCGTCTAGGCACCGTACCTTGGCCAGTTCCCGTTTCCTCCGCAGCACCTCTTCGTCGGACACCGCCCGAAGTTTTGACACCAGCAGCCCCGGCTGGACCGCGTCGGCCTCGCTCACGAATATGCATGATTGGCTGCATGGCAACAAGTGTCAAGATTTCAGCGATTCGAGGCGTCGAAGAAAACCCGTTACTCGGCAGGGGGCGCAGAGCGTTGACGAGGACTTGCATGAACCGGCTTGGAGATCTCTGTCCTGAACACTCTAAACTAGCACTCAATGGCCACGGAACAAGAACCGGAAGAAGTCAGCGCAGTTTTAAGAATTGGGTCAGATGGAGGTCAGTTTTGTACGGAGGCTCAATTAATGAGCAGGTCAAAGGATCACAATCACGTCGAATAACATAGATAAGCACCCTCCCGCATCCTCCTCCTCGAACCAACGGCAGGCCACATTGAAATGAGGATTTCCCTGGACCCATGAGCGAAGCTCAGAGTAGATGCCCAGCCTTGTGCTCCCCTTTGTCTCCATCTATTTCTCATCCGCTCCTGTTCATCAGTGGTCTGAGAAGGGTTAAGTGTTCGTAAGGTCCTCTTGTTTTAGACAAAGTTCTACGATTACGCAGATACTCAACAGGTCTATTTCATAAGGAGCGGCAGCAGACAGTGCAGAACATAGGAGTAGCGGCCGCACCTGAGGTCGAGCTGGCCTTCAAAGGGGATCTCCAGGTCATCGCTTATGATGACCGGGATGCATAAGTTTACGATGGCGTCAAATAGTCGGGAGGACGACGGCGTGTCTCCGGCGGGGTCCTGTCAAGATAGCCCTGAACAGGTTAGCCCTTCCATCGGAACTGATTCGAACTAAACCAAGAACGGTCAAGGCATGGTCAAAAACCCGTTTGGGAAAACGTCTACGGCAACCCAAAAGCATGCACGGCACCTTCGGAGTCGTCGCTTGTGGTATAAGATGGATCCATCTTGTGGCTACCAAGAATGCATTGAACCTGGTCAACACCCTCTTCCTTCCAGATATTGAGCGCCAACCGTCTTTTGACCCCGCTAGAACGAGAACGACTTGATACCATGCCTGAGAACCGACTCAAGTTCCAATACAGTGTCAATACGTGACATCCGTCGGTTCAACTTTCAAAGCAGTGTCAGAAAAGGCATGAAACAATAGAGCGGGCGGAGAAGATTTACCAGGCAGAATTTTGAGCGCCGCATGGTGGCGGCCGTCAAGCCTATGGCGGTATCATTGAGGTCGCCCTGCCCTGCCCCGGCCCTTGGCCCGGTGATCACCACGTCCGGCTCGTTTATCAGCACCTCGCGCAGGCTGGAGCGCAGCTTACCCATGCCCTGCGTCAAGGGGAAAGATCAACAGCTTTTGGCGACTTTCACTTCCGAGAGGTGATTAGTTTCAAGGGACTTCAATGCCTCCGACGCTGTTTCGTAGATATATTTGTCAGGGATCGGGGTTATTCAATTTTGAATAACTCAAAAGCTGGAGAACCTGCGGCTTCCTTGTGAATTCTGCAGAAAAGCGCATACTTTGCCTGACGTCAACTCCTTCTTGGCTCCCCAAGATCCGCTAAGGAAACAACAGCGAGCTTGCCGCTGATACTCTATGTACTGAGAAACGGCATGCATCTGATCTCCTTAAGAAAAACCCCCGATTTGGTATTGGCGTCCCTCTTTTGCTGACGTTCTTGCTGAAGAGGACGGCAAAGTTGCTACTGTTGTGTCGGCGCTTTCATTACTGTGAGCAAATAGGGTGCTAGTCTGGATATTTTTGCGAACTTACCTTTCTGTCGAGGACTCCTGCGAAGTAGAGCAGGATGTCCGCAGTCTCCAGGAAGCGCTCGCTGGTGGCCATTCCCACCTGATCGTCCGGCAGCCACTCCACCAGGTGTGAATGCGGGACAATCACGTCTTTCTCCAAACTGGCCTGCAATGACCCACCCGTCATCATGACGTCAGCGAGGTATCTTCGCAGGTCGGAACAGCCAGAGACTGGCGAAGCGAGCTAGTAGGGGGTGGAGTCGAGATTTTGAGCGGAGCTCTTGGGAGGATCCTGTTCGAATTTGATAAAGCGAAACAGCCAATTAGGAAGACGAATGCAAAGTGTGGAGGCCATGATTGCTTCGACCTGAGTTGCCTGCAACGTCGATGACTTAATCTCTCACGTGCATAAAGGGGATTTCAAGCGACTCCTGTTCAAGGCGGTTTTACAGAAGCCCCTCACAAAGCCTGGAATTCATGGAAACAGACACGCTTGGATGCGTTGATACCGGATTCCTAGGCTGCTCCAAATGCATGAAGAAACCGGTCAACTTGCTCTAATGTAACCTTGGTAATCCAAACTGCAGATAAAACGCATTCTTCTTGAGCCGCCAGTAGTGCAATGTCGCAACGAACCTTGGACGAATGCTTGAAAACGAAGTCGACCAGTAAGTGGATGGCGGGCGCCAAAAAGTCGTCGATTCTGTTGAGTGCGAGCGGATGTATTGCTAACACCACGTGGTCGATGCCGCCCGACCGCTGCCACGGCGGCTGCGCCTCCAGCCACGACTTGAGCTCGGCCTGCAGGACGACAGCGTGACGTCAGCAGCCTGTCGATGACTTCAGCTTGCTCTCCGCAAATTGAGACGTCATCTGTGCTTGCTGAACTCTCTTGCCTATTGTCATGCCATATTCAGATAAAGGTTGTACTCGCTCCATTCCCAGCCCAGTATAGTCTCTAAGTTTTGGTGCTGCAAAAGATCACGCTTGTGGGCTCAACAAAGGATTGTTAATTACCAATGCTTCAAAAGTCTTCCCAATCTGCAGAGGCAGTGGACTACGAGGAGTGACGACAGGGGCTCATGATTATCACGTCAGAAATGAGAAAAGCTGTGAAACGTGTGTGGTGAGGTGGGGGAGAGCAGTGTACCGTGTGGGGTTTTGATGTGAGCGGGAGGCGAGGTGTGTAAATGAAACCAAGGACTCGTGCAGTGAGGAAGGGTTGTCGTGCGGTGTTTGAAGCCACAATTGCCCTGGTGATAGTGGACCCTGACACACCGAAAAAAAAACGGTTACTTTGACTGCAGACATGGCAAGTACTGTCAGCTTCCCCAAATATGACATCAGCCCCTGCTGTGAGTTGACCAGGGAGGACTGTGACATCAGCTCTACCTTTGGTGCACTCCCTTTAAAAGCCAGAAAATATCTCTTGGGTTTAGAATCGTCAGTTGTGAGACACCTGAACATGCGCTTTTACAGAAAACCAAATCGCAGATGGAACTGACAGCAGTAGAATTCACCTCGAGCTTGGCTTGAGACTGGGCTCCTCGAGACAAACGTGTGCAAAGCTCCCCAGTCAGAAGGGGCGTGAGACAACCAGCACTTGTACACCGCAGTTACCAGGAGAAAGTCCGCTCATCAACATGAAGATGGTTTCCATACAAAACAACGTCACACACTCGACATCTTTACAGCACGTCAGCAGTCGCTGTCACTTCAGTTGGATGTTCATTCAAAGACAAGGATTGTTTTTCACCATCATAGGCTCACCTGCAGTGCGTGGTCCTTCCTGTACAAGCTCCCACAGATGTCCTGAAAGTTGTGCCGCAGAAAGTGCTCCTTTCGGTCGCAGTTGAACGCCTGGGACGCCATGAAGGGGACGAGGAAAACATCGGCATCGTCCGCATCAGTCACTCGAACTGCCGCGGAGTTGCTGCGCTGGGAGTCGTCGCGCATGATGTCCTGGTAGAACCACCACTCCGACGCATACGGTGTTTTCTGCAGGATGCTATTTTGAAGTTAAAATTTGACACGTAGAAAGCCCCTGTGCTTGTCCTTCACCAGGGGCAAAGTGTTGCTAACAGACTTCCTTGATCATTCCAGAAAAGGTCGTCAGGCCCCCGCTTGAAAGAGGCTGTCCCCTGAAATGCTTAAAAATGACATATTTTTGGATAATGTAAATGCCCTCTGAATTGAGTGTCAAAAAAGGCAGATGTGCAACCTAGGAGGGCCAAGCAGGTCCAATCATTTGTAGCGGTGAATTAGGGTCTGCAGAAAGGAACATCCTGATGAGGCAAGACACTCGGGTAAAAGCTGCCATTTTGGGCACTCAAATGACTGGGGCTGGTCTTGTCACAAAGCTGGCGGTGAAGGCAACCACCGGTGGATTATTTCAGTCAATTGCAGAATGATATCTGCTTCAAATATGAAAACGCGAACAATGGCAGAATCAAGAGGGCACAGTTCAGCGTTTATCAGATTGATCAGTCTCCATGTGGCATTTAAATCTCAGGCTTTGTTTCATTAAGCCCAAGTGAGGCTTTTCCTTAGGGAAAGGAAGCTTTTGCCAGAATACACCTTCTACAAGGGGACTTCAGCCCAACTTTCCCACACCTTCCTTTTCACTGCAAATTGACTTCTATCCAATTCTGGGACATTCGCCCATGCCACGAAAAGCGGCCGGAACTTTCAAGTGACCAACGAGAGAAACGACTCACACAAAAGAAAAGACCTTGACTTTCTCACCGTAGCGTCCTCATGCTGGTAAAATTCCCTCGTGAAGTTACTGGGCAGGTCGTAGACAAACACGCGCAACGGCCCCTTTCCTCTCTCATCGCTCTGCCGCGCCAACTCCATGCCCCCGACACTTGACATTCCTCTGGCTGTCTGCGCCCCAGCCTTCCCCATACTTCCCTCTGCAGCCCGTATATCTCCCACAGTGCTTTTTACAAGCTTCTCAGCCCCAACGTTTCCAGAGAATTCCAGCTCCCCAGGACACTTGCAGCAGTCAGGGAAGGAAGCAGAGTCTAGTCCTGGCAACATCAGATTTGCGCTATGAGTGTCGTCAACATGCAGCTTGGACAGGAAGGATGAGAAGCAGAAGGCTAGGAAGAGCAGGGGAGTAACTAGGATGAGCATGAAAACTATATAATGTCGCCGGATCTGGATCTCAGGAAGGTCTCGGTACAACTTCTGTGGTGAGCCCCCCGGCATTGAAGTTGTTCTGGGAAGCAGGCCCATGACGGGCATGCCCATTGAAACTTTGACCAAAATTCTGAGCGAACTTTCCCTCAAAATAACAAGTATGTGAACTGGATGCTGGTTGCTGGGTTGACGGTTCTCGCACTAGTGGATCCAAGGTAGAAAACTAGATCACGTGCCAGAAGGTTTGAAGAATGACTGGGATATCATCCGACTCGTGTTCCAACCAAAGGTTGAGCTTTGCAATTGTGTGCATTACCAGAAAAGTGTTAGCTGTTCCCTTAGCTCCACTTGAGCAGCTCAAATTGCGCCCGGACTGCGGCAAGCTCTCCAAAATTTACAACTAGCTGAATCATGGTGCAAAGCCTGGCTGGAGCAATCGCCAAACTGCAAACCAATTGAACTCCCTTTTAAGTGCTTCCCTTTCAGCAATGCCTGTTGCAGGTTGCAGAGAGACGGATAGAACAGCCCAGGGCTTTGTTTGATGCATGGACGTCTTCCTGGGCAGCCCCCGTTGGTAGCTGCATGCATCGAACTTGCGTCGAAGCCCCGAAAGAGGACCCCTTCAAAGGTCTGTCCACTGCATTTCGCTTTGAAAGTTTCCCAGATCCAGCGTGAAGGAGCGCCCTGCCAGCTTTGGAGTTTGGTGATGAGCTGGGCACCTCCTTTCCCAGGTGCATCATGAACTTGTGCAAACTGATCACCATTTTGATATGCTGGCACGGGTGACGGGACTCGGCTCGGCAGTCCATCGTACGGCATATGTACGTTGCAGTAGATGCTTTCGCGTGCGATGAGGACACTCTGGCACTTGCGATTGGCGGGGAAGATCATCTAACGGTTAGAATCGTCGGGCGTATGCTAGCGCGACAAGTGTCAATGTCGCAAAGCCTCAGGCTGCCGCAGGTCTGCGAATCCTCAACCCGCCGGCCGCGATGCACAATGCCGCGGCCGCACGCCGTGTCAATATTAGATTCACGGAACGCGGACTTTAGACTCCAGAGCCCGCCTTTCTAGTTCCTCCAATTTTGGCGCGGGAGATGCCAGGCAAGGCAACCCAGACTCACGGTCCGATTCGAGAAAACCACTCGAATTACCACCGGCAGTTTTCGAGTAAATCGCTCGAATTACGGAACATTCATTTCGAACAAATCCTTCGTATTTGCCAATGCTGTTTCGAAGAATTTGTTCGAATTTGCGATTTGAAATACGAACAAAACTCTCGAATCTGGTACCGGGTCTTTTGCGCGATCTGTGGATCGTTCCGGGTGTATCTCCGCCGTCGATCTGGTGGAACATCGCGACCCACAACATCGGTCGCTGTGGACCGCCAGAATCGCGGTACATAAAGGACGGTACCCCTATGAGTGGTTGGTCGGGGCGGCGGGCGGCTGCAACTTCCCGGGTGCCGCGGACACTTTCCTCTAGACTAGTAGTTTAGGGACCGTGGCACCCGAGAAGTAACCGGGCCCTCGCAGTGACATTAGGGTCTCGCGGGCAACCGTGGGACAACCGGGCACTTCCCTAGGGCAACCGGGCCTTCCCGCCTTAGGGTTACACCACTGCGAGTGACAACCGAGCAAGTCCTTTTAGTTTTAGTGTGTGCCCGGGGCTTCCAGTAATTCGAACCTTTTCTTCGAACGGCGCTGCGAGAATACGAACGATTTGTTCGAAACCCGGCCGGCTGTTTCGAGCAATTTGTTCGAAAAGCTGCCGATGGTAATTCGAGTGGTTTTCTCGAATCGGACCGTGAGTCCGGGTTGGGCAAGGACGAGTCGGACTCGGGCTGTGCTGTGTGCAAATCTGATTCTCAGCAGGAGAGGAGTCAGGGTGGGAGGCTCGAACCGCGACCTGAAGAATGGAGCTTCGACTTGTGTGAAGTATCTCTAGACAGTCTTGCTGGCGAGCAATATCCCGGAGACTCTCTACCATGGGTTGGACACCGGAAGCGAGAAGGATCTGTTGCTAGTATGGACAAGAGGGGGAGGTCCATCCCGTTTGCCAGCCTCGACGAGTCATGTATTCCCGCGTGCGCTGTGTGCATGGAACCACTTGGTAGGTCACCCAACGCAACATTGCGACGAGCTTTGGCCTTCTCTTTTGAGCCTTTTGACATTGCTCTTTTTCTGGACCCCTAGTTTGGAATGGAGGTGCTGTATCCTATTGAAGTTGCAGACTTGTCTTCTCTGTATCCAGTTGTACTCTGGTTGCGATTATGATGCAAAGTCAAGAGCAGGGCAACTTCTGGTACAACATTGTTGCCCTGGGATCGTCCAGCTTCCTTTGAGCTCCTTCTGTCCAAGAAAGTCTTCTGCGCTGTCTTCGTTCACTGATTCTTGAAGCCTCTCTTCAGGCTACTCCAGACATTCACATTCTTACGATTCTGAGTATGCAGGACTTTACGGAGGACCAGCTTCGCTTCCCTGCGGTCATAACGGGTGTCTCCATTGCCTGCAGCAGGTAAAGCATTCCAACAGAGATACGTCTTGCCCCATACCCTCGATCATCCGTAGAATTGTTCAGTCGGCGCCTTTGTTCATGTGGTAATGTATTGTACCTTATGAGATTCCGTAACCCAATCTGGTCAGCTTGTTAGCTGTCCGTTCTGTATTGTCGGACAGCGCCTTCTGTTGCAGAAATTTCTTATTCCTTGAGCAGTCACGATTTTGAGACTGACCTCCACATACAAAAGGAAGTTTAGGGTTCTGGCTGTTTGAGCTGTGGCAGTTTGCAAGCCTGTAGTCTGCCCTAAAGCCTTGGTGTCAGGACCCCAAGCTTTGCTGCTTCGAGGGGCATCCTGCTTCTTGATTTTCTCTTGGCCTGTTCATCTTGACATACGTGTACACACAGAAGCAGATGAAAGGGAGCTGACGTTGATTCCGGCGACTTGTTAACAGAATCAGGTCTCTTTTGATGATTAGCGAGACACTTGAACCAGAACGAGATGAATATTCCCATAATATCATCCTTGCATGTTCTAGTGCATGGCTCTGTTCAGCCTGCCGGTTCCTTCTTTCAATCCCTCGTGAGCTATGGTCCTCCTGCAGTCTATTGCAGCTGCTGTGTAGCCCCGGCTTTCTTATTTCGGCTTTCTTATTGTATGCTCAACGGCTGAGACAACAAGCTCCCCAACAAAGCTATGCCTGGCTAAGATGAATGTTCGGCGGAGCTAGTCCTCTCTGTTAACATGTGTGACCCGGAGTTACCGGTCACATAGACCGTGCTTTACATTTGAAGATCTCTAACCAGACCCGTAACCCCTGCAGGTCCAGGCCAGCTCCCACGGGCCACTGTGTCCACTCTGCCGCAACCCGTTTGAGGCTAGCCTCGCGCTCTCCGTAAACACCGAGCTCAGGGACGCTTTGCAGAGGGCTGCCGTCGCAGCAGCACGCGCGGCGGTCGAAAAGGGACCTGTGCACGGTAGGTTATCGCCTCTGCGAGCCACATTGTCAAGTGCCTTTGGAAAGTCTGGTTGCTGGCTGTTACAGAGCTGTTGGCGCCTTGGGTGGCTGCTTGCTTGCTCAAGATCGTCAGCCTGTCTCTAGTTGTTACAAAACCTCTTTCTGCTTTTTTGTATTGGCTCAGTAAGTTGATGGACGGTTTCCAGTCTGCAGCGTAGTCAACTAAGCACCTCTAAGTTTGTTAAACTAGCATCAGGGCGAGGTTAGCGCTTTTGCACTCCTGTCTCTGAAAGCAGTTCGAGGTACTCGCTCGTTTTGTTCAACGAGAAAAACGTTCATCAAGAAGCTGCCTCAATCTCATTTGTCTTACATGGATGCCTTTTTGTCCTTACATCCATGCTCTTGCAGTCCCTAGACCTCCTGGAAATCCTTCAAAAACAGTCTGCTCTGACACGTTTGCACGAGCCTCAATGTACATATTTACGTTGCAGGGGGAGACCTAGGCCCCTGGCTGGCAGTTGACCACCACCCCCTGGCAAGCAAGAAGGGCTTTGTTGACCACGAGTGGGCCGCCGCGCACGCTGCCGAGGACCAGGTCTGGGGGCAGCAGAACCAGCCCCCCCCCAAAGGCGAATCCTCGGTTTGGAACATCATCAGGGGGGTCCTCGCGCTTGTGTCCGGCAGTGGGGGGGACAGCTTTGAAGACGTGTCGGGTGTATTCCGACAAGCTAGGAAAGGGGGGTCGAGGAGGGGCCGCAGCGATCCAATGGGGTTTGGGCACATTCCGAGTGCTCCTCCTCTTGCGGCAGGAGGGATGCAGGGAGATGATTATGAGGGGGGGGATGATGTGCGGTTGATCAAAGCGGTGCTGGATTCAGAGCCCCCTCAGTGGATGCCAGACAGTTCCAGCAGTGGCTGCATGCAGGCATGGTTATTCGGCCTTTTCTTCCGAGCCGCTTTTGATTTTGAAAAGGAGAGTGATGGAAAGGCGTGCATGTATGCTCTCCCTTCGGTGAACAAAAGCGCTAATGGATTTTCGGCTCACAACTCCTACCCGGTAGAGAGCAAGTTTTATCTGCTGATGTCTGCATCTCCCTTTGCACAGACGAAGTTGCCAGCTCCCTTTTGGAACACCCGTAAGAATCTGTCTTCTGCGTTTTTGCCTGCTGGTTGATTACAACCAAGGCCGCTGTGTGGCTAGCAGAGTAGGATACGTGGACTGTACATATGGGCACCGCCATGTTAGACCAAACCTGTCAGCAGCCTTTGTTCCTTGGAGCCCTTAACTGTCACTCCGCTTATCGCTTCGCTCTCTACTGTCGGCAGGTCAAATGAAACTCTTGTCCATTTTTAATAGCTGCGTTGCTTAGTCTCTTTCTTTGAGGCGCGTAAGTTCGAAAGACCCCCGAAGCTTCTGGACAAGAAGGATCGAGGGACTATAAGTCTCAAATGCCATACAACCGTGTCAGCATCTCACGACACAAGCGAAGCAACACTTAAGCTTACCCTCGTCTCTACAGTGTGGTTCGCACTTCCGGCCAATGACCCGCTCCCGCCACCACTGCCGCTTCTGCGGGGGCATCTTCTGCTGGTCGTGCACGCGCCACCGCTGCCTACTTCCGGCGCACTTCCGCCAGTCGGACCCCCAGCGAGTCTGCGACGCATGCAACGAGCGCTTGGAGCCGGTACAGGTGCGTTCGAACATCAAAGTGCTACGCGTTTGAGGATTTCCTGGAGGTTTTCGTCCCTGAGCCGTTTGCTTCATATGCTGCTCGTCATTCGTTTGGAACAAGTGAGACGCGTGCAGTGAGTCCCTGGACCCTGTAGAGGTAGGTCTTTTGATGCTTTGCAGAAGGACCTGATCATACGAGCTCGTGATTGGTTGTAGTCTTTCAAGGCCGCTGCCTTGGTGGATTGAATTACTTCGTGTGCTTGCGCTCTATCAACTCAAGCCCTTCGTTGCAAGCATCCGTTTGCATTCAGGGGCACAGTTAGATAAGGAGTCACATTGAAGAATCTTCGCAAGCCCTAAGCCCTTTCCTTGGCTAACCAGTCTAACAAAGGGTCTCGCAGAACGTTTTTTACCTCCTTCCGCCCGCCACCTCCAATTCGGCTCCGCGTTTGCTTCTGTTCACCAGATCGAAGCCGCCTTTCCTTCATTTTGCAGAGGCTCTTAGCTGGCCGTGTCAGCAATGCCGCCCAGGTCGCCCTGCATGATGTCACTGACCCCGGGAGCTCCCTGCGCGCGTGGCTGAACAACCCGCTCGCCACGAGCCTCCAGGAAGACATTTTCAAGGCCACCGCCACGCTGCGCAGCTTCGAGCAAGTGGGCAGGCTAAAGCCGGAGAAGGGCATACCGGATTGGGTGCTCTCGGGGGCCAAAGGTATGCACCGAGGCCGCTTGCGTCTGTCGTGTATATATTAGGGTTCTCGTGGGTATGCTGTTTGCGGATTGCTCGTGGTCGGGCTGCAGGATGCTTGTTAGTCGCTTCAAGTGGGGAGTGTGTAAATCTCCTTCCACAAATTGCAACATATGATGGGGCTTCACAACAATGAGATTGGTAATTGTGACAGTCGTTACTGCTCACATCCGGCTCGTTGTCTTCCTCCAAGCGCTGCGATGGGGTTGTTTCGACAGAGGGCGTAAATCCGTACAGCCTATTTGCTATTTCTGCTCTGATTGTTTTAGCTGGCTGATTTGGGCGTTCCCTTGTAGGGCTCTACTTGGGCAAACAGTCACCCCTATCAACTCCACGGCGCAGCTAATGTTCACGTCGTCGGATGCAGGATTGGCCATCATTACAGTCTTCAAGATTGGCATCGGTCTAACGTACAAGATTGGGACGGGCCTGGTGGTGGCGCGACGGGAGGACGGGACGTGGTCACCGCCCAGTGCGATAGGGCTGGCGGGGCTGGGCTACGGGCCGCAGGTAGGCTTTGCTGCTCGCCAGGTTTTGCGCTTTAAGTCCTGCAAGTTTCGGAACGGTAGTTAGATGCAATAGGACGTGTTAGAGACGCTGTCCTTGGCCTGCATTTAGCGCCACTTCGTGGCCGGCAGCAGGTTGGGAAGGAGATGGTCTGTGAACCTGTGTGGAGCGCACGCCGTGGATTGCGACGTTGACGTTGCGCCGCTGGATTGAGCCGCTCTGTTGAAGCAACTTGCAAGCAGCAAAGGGTATGCAGATGCGGCTGCATGTAGCAGTCCGCACTTCCACTGATGTCCCACATTCGTTAAGGTGCATTTCGAAGTGCTGATTTATTTTTCAATCGAAAACTGCAATCAAGGCCAGTCCGCTTATTTCTGTATCCAACTTAAAGTCACAGGTTGCAGAAGGCCGTTCAATGTATCACGATTTGACTGATTGAGTCGCTCGATTACCATTCGAGCATTGCTTGTAGAACGTCAGTCACCCATTATTGGAACTGAGAGAGAAAGCGCAATTATTATTGTTATTCTTCAGCTCGGCGGCGAGCTGACCGATTTCGTGATAGTACTGCGGACGCTCGAGGCAGTCAAGGCCTTCACCGGGCGGGTCCATCTGTCGGTCGGCGCGGGACTCTCAGTTGCCGCGGGACCCGTTGGACGCTCCGCAGAGGCGGACGTCCGTGCCGGTCTGTCCGGAACGGCGGCCTGTCTGAGCTACAGCTGCAGTAAGGGGGTCTTCGTGGGGTTGTCGGTGGAGGGCAGCGTTGTTGCGACGAGGACGGAAGCAAATGCGCGGTTCTACGGGGACCAATCGATGCGCGCCCGGGAGCTGCTTCTAAGCGACGTGGGCAGTCCGAGGGCGGCAGCGCCGCTTTACGCGGCCTTGGATGCGCTGTTCTCGAAGGTGGATCCGGTAGAGGACGACTGCTTTCCGGGTGACATTTATGACGACGAGGATGAGTAGGTAGAGTAGGCCGGAAGCGGTTGTGATACAACGTTATACTGGATAGGAACGCACCAGCATGCACGTTGCGTGGGCTGACGTTCTATATTGTGGAATTATGTAAAGTGGGCAGGTAGGATAGGCGCACGTGTACAAATATAGATCTGTGGATAACGTTAGACTGCAACTCATTGCAGAACGGCCTTGAGCAATTCGATAAAACCTAAAACCATCGCTGGGTGTGGTTGGTGGTAAAACCTCAGTGCATATTACAAGAAGCTGTAGGTCGCGGCAGGCCCTTCGGAAAACCTCAATGCATACAACAGTGCTTACAAAACGTAGCCAGCTCAATCAACTAGCGAGCAACGTATGCCTCACATGTTCGACCATACAACCAGGCAGCTCCACCGCGGAAGCGCACCCATCGGGCCGTATAAGGCTCACCGCGTCGACGAAGTCACCAACAGAATTCTGCCCAGAATGGAAAGAAAGTACAAAAATCCCCTCGTACACAAAGCCATTATTTTGGAACGAAGACATGATCTGTACAAATGGCTGTGATAGGTCTGATTTTACAGCTACATAAATGTGCTGCGTTCGAACCCTCTCTCCCGTAATAGCAACACGGGCATACCGACGGACAACTCTAGTCACAAGGTTTGAAGTTGAGAAAAAGAAAGGTCAAATGTGCAAATGATCAAAAGTCGCCTCGAGCAACGTCTGTAATCTTGTTGTTGAAGCACACAATAAATACTGGTCGCTTAGGAGCGTTCTATTCGACCTGGAAGAAACAAATGGCCAGCAAGCCGACTCTACTATGACCCAGACCTGGTTCTAAAATGTCCACGAGGTGACTCAGCAATCGATGGGGATGTTCCGAGACCTTCTTCTCGCTGCCTGTGACTTCAAATTACAAACTCTCGTTCCGCGGGCGTGGTGCTTACACGGTATGCTTGTCAAGCGAGTGTTTGCGTCTAGCAATAAATATGTATGCTCTAAGGTCTTTGAGCAAGTCTCTTATATATGCTGTCTGTGACTGTAACAAGGTGTTGTAAGCGGGCTTAGAGTGCGTATACGGTGTGCTTTTTGAAGCCTTCGGCCGTTTTTACTATTACATGATCAAGTGCCCTATGGGCTTTGGGCGCTTCTCGCGATGATTGATCCTGTAACCCAATGAGCTGATGCCCAAAGCCGGGGAGCACCTATGAGAGCCGTGCGTACGTTTACAGAATGCCGTTGCAACTTCCTAGCTCTATAACGAGCTTGGACCAGCTCGGATCCACGCTCAAAGAGCGGCAGCACTGGCGCCGCAAGTTCGGGCCCCGGAAAAGGCCGTCGCGGCTCGGCGCAAACGGAACCACGTCGCGCGTTATCGTCGCCTCCGATACGCGCGCGACCATATGTGGGACGCAGTCCGTCTGATTTTTCGGGACGTCTCTAGAGTACGTGCTGTTCATTTTATTTCCGGCGCTGGCCCCGACCCCGTCCACCCATAAATTTATCGGCGTCGCGCACTGGCCCCCGTCCGGGTAACTCTCGACCTCCGACCGCGTGTCGAACGTAAACTCCTTGATGCCCTTGCGATACCCGTAGGACTGGAACGTCATTTCCGCCCGCTCTAGATCTCCGACGCGACCCGCCCCGACGAACAGCTTCACCGAGTAGCCCCACGAGACGACGGCCGTGAACATGTTCTCGTGGTCTATGCAAAACGCGGTCTGCAGAAAGTTGATCGGGTCCGCGCGCATGTTGTTCGTAAACCGCGCCAGCGCCGGCACGCGCGTCATGTTCGGGAACACGGGGTCCAGCAGCATGACGTGGTGCATGGAAATGAACGGCGCGAGCGGGTGCGCTTGTAAAAACCCCGCCACGTTTCCGCGCAGGTCGAACTGGTGGAACCCCCGGACACGTGTCAGCTGCACGCCGAGCTCCGCGGAGCAGATGCGCACGCGCGCGTCGCTCCCGTATTGTTCCGGGTAGCGCCGGATACAGTCGTCCATGGTCTCGGAGAGCGCGAGCGCGAGCGGCCAGCTGACAGCGATGCCCCCCCCGCCGTAGGCCATCTCGTACCCGGCGATGACCAACTGTTCGCCGGTCTCGGAGGCGCTGCCCAGGTAGAGCATTTCGGTGTGATCGTAACTGTAAATTGGGAAGAGGGGGAGTGATCAGAGGTAATCCGCAGCTGCTGACGGAGAAGGGAAATTCCATTCTAAACACTGCAGAAAAAGCTGCCCAAGTAGAGCATCTCGGTGTGGTCGTAACTGTAGATTGGGGGGGGACTGGTCAGAGATGACCCTTCGCTCTTATCACAGAAGGGCCAGAAGAAGTTGTGTCCAATGATCGAGAAAGCTGCCCGGGTAGAGCATCGAGTCGGTAGGTCGTAGCTGCAAGGGGGGGAAATGAGATAATGAGTTTGTTTCCCCCCACGTTCAGGAGCTAACGGATTGTCGGAAAGCCTGCCCAAGTGTCGTAGCTGCAATAGAGGGGTGGGATAGTCAGGAATATCTCTAGCACGATTCTTACAACGCATTACTTGCAAATAGACCGTCTTGGAAAAACTGCCCAGGTAGAGCATTGCGGTGTGGTCGTAACCGCAGAACCGGGGACGAGTATTGAAGTGCTCGAACACTCGATAAACCCTTGTTACTTGAGCCTTGACCTTCTGCATCCGAGTCTGGGTGTGGGCAGATTTTAGGCGAGGGCTTTTGCCCTCCGAAGCCTGCAGCTAATCTGTGAGGCTTTTCCTCCTTCTAAAGCAGTTAGTATTGACCCGTAAGAGAAAGTTTCTTACAAAATACGTCTTGATCCAGCTTCGTACTCCGGAACAAAGCGCTACTTTTTGGAATCAGCTCACACGATAAGGCCTCTTCGGTGATCGCATCGCAGAAATCGAGGCGTTGGTCTGGGCGACGCTGACACTAGGTCGAACCAGCAGTGAGCTCGATGAACCCATGAGACTCAAGAGCAGAGCATTAAACGAACATTGACCGTCAAAAGTGCGACCTTGGAACAGCGGATTGTTCCCAAAGGCCCCTCAACAACACAAGAACCCACGTGGCAAACAACGGCAAAAGATAGCTGTCTGCAGCCTAACCCTGCAGACTCCTTCTGACCATATGCTTTGTGCGGATCTTACCCGTGACGTGTGCTTCTCGGAATCCCTTAGCACTGCACTGTGAGTAGGGAGCCCCAACGTGACGTGAAGTGACGTGTGATGTGAGATAGATGCCAGGGGCCCCTGTTTTGTTGCGTTTGTCGAAAGCCCCCTGGGAAGTTCGTCTGATGCTTTGTGCGGGTGTAACTGAGTGTGTGGAACGTGTGGAAATCAAGCGGATTGTCCAATTCGTGAGGCGTCAAGCGGAGAGCATTGTAGGAAAGATGGCAGGAGTTCGAAGTGCGTCAAGTGTGACGATGGGAGACCAGATGCCATCGCAACACCTCAGCTTTCCAAGCACTACTTGCTGAATATACGTCCAATTCTCGACCACCAGCGTAACCAGCCGCTTTCTTGACATACTGGGTCTTGTTTTCGCTATCAGTAGGGCACTTTGCAGGTATATTCAAGCTGCGTGGACGGACGAATGGAGGGCTTTTGCTGTTCCTAGGGGGGCGCCACTATCATACTAAAATGTGGAAGCGGTTTTCAACGAAGTGTCCCCAGGTGCTGGCACAACCCGCAACCAACAAAGCAAAGCGGACCAAATTGCCTCGCTTTGACATATCACTTAATTCTGTCTTCAATCTGATGACAAGTGTCTTCAATCGGATGACAAATGCAAGTGGATCAGTGCTACCATTTTCTCAAGGGCCCTTGAAGATCTTCTTTCTCCAGCAATAGGACCCTCAGGACTTGCTTTCACCGGCAATAAGATGATCCTCACCTAGAGAGCACCGCTGCAAGCGCGTCCGGATTGAACACCGTGTCATCGTCTCCCATCACGAACCACCGCACGTCCGGTAGCCCCAACTGAAACGCCTCAATCACAATCCTCGCGACGCGCAGACACGAGCGGGGGCCCCATCCCGTGTACGGCAAATGAGAGGTGTCTTCGGACACTCGCGCCTCGGGGAGCCCTTCGGACGCCCAGTCGTAGTCCTGGAGCGCGCCGTCCAACCAGACGAAGCCACGTGTCTTGTTGGGCTGCCACCAGGTGCGCACGAGATCCTTGCGCGAGGAATAGCTGTGGACGGAGGAACCGATGCCGAACAAGACGTTGCGCAGGGCTGCATGAGGGGCACGGAGTTGGTCAGAAAGAGAACCAGGTTTGTTACAGAGGGCGTCAAAGGACCGGTCCTACATGACGTCAGCAGCGTACGGCGTATTTAAATCGTCCGACGAATCTGCCCGCGTGACGTCGAAATCGAAAACCGGTGTGAGCCCTATCCGCGCGGCGTGCGGAAAAAGGAGAAAAGTTGCTCTGGCCGAGTTTCGATCGCTCACTTTCACGGTGACATCAAGCGCACATGCCAGTTGTGCTAGAGATTTCTGTGTGCCCAACTTGGATCCAAATGCACAGGTCGGGGCGGTATATGAAGTCTGACGCCCTCTTTAAGGCCAGACCAAATCAGTGGTGGTAGTAAGCATCATACTTCGAAGTATGATGACGTACGGTCATCTCGGGTGGAGAACAAGACAGAGTGAAGCATTTTCTGATCAGGTAACTGTGCACAAGATTGTAAGGGTAAGGAAGGGGAAATCGTGTCAAGGAAGGTTACTTCGAGTGAGCGGACCTTTCTCTTGTCGGTCCAAAGCAGGGAGTGAGGGGCGGTAGTTGAGTCTGACCGCAAAGCAAGAGGCTTTGGACACGATTCTGGAGCTTGTGCAGCTAAGGTGAAAAAGCATGTAAGGATTGGGAAATATAAGTTTGGTGTTCGGTCGCGCTAAGTTGCCGGAAAGGGAGACGTGAGGGTAGTCAAGAGCTTTCTTTCAACCATAAGTAGATACAATCTTGCGAAGTGAGTGTATCATTCAGCATTGTTTGGGAGGGTGGGAGGGCGAATTGAAGAGACTGTTTGTAGGGTTGTGAAGTAGGGTCTGCAGGGAGTATGGGCGTGCGATGCGCTGGGAGGGCAGAGAGAAGGGGTCCAATGTCATCAGAATGTTTTATAAAACAGGATGCGACAAGGCCCAAGATCGTTTATTCAGGTTCAAGGAGGAAACAAATTTTAAATTAGCCGGCTGAAAAGAAGCCCAGATGTGCACAAAGGGAGACAGGGAGTAAGCAGAGAGGCTCAGATTGGGCCGCACATTAGTGGGTACGGAGGCCTGCAAGACTTCCATTCTTTTTGTATGGACCGCATCTGTCACCACGTTCTCAATTGTGCAGCCAAAAAGTCATTACTGGGTATACGCTCAGCTCCTTTCACGAGCAGCAAATCCTTTTCGAAGCCTCCAGGATCTCTCAGACCCAGTTGCCACTGCGTCTAAAGCGTTTCTTCAATTACCCACACATGCAGTCAACCAAGAACAACCAGCCCCAGGATCTAGTCAGTGGTGATTCCCTTTGAAAGCATGTCAAGTCTGAAAGCATGTCAAGTCTGAGCAGACCAGTTGAGATCTGCTGTCCACCGATCGCTGCCACAGCTGCTGAGTAGGTAGCAAAATCTAGAGCCCACGAGCCCGCATTTTTGGCTTGTTTTGTACACTGAAGGATCTCAATTGATGGTGCATCTTAATTGACCACCTGGATAGGCTGCAATGCAGAAGCCCATACTTGCCATCATCAAAGTCCACTTGAACCTTGATGTAAGAATTCCACCTTGACTTCTATCAGAGAGCTCCTCAAGATAAAAGTTGGCTGTGATCCTGAAAATCTTTCACTCCTGACATAGCCACAGCAAGAACACTGACTGGTGGGCGTCGCAGTATTGAAGCCCGTCCAGTTCCCGCTGCGGATCCTCTCCTGCTCCGCTCCCGTCAGCTGCGGGGCCCCTTCTGAATAGTTGCCGCGGTGCTTCTCCTGGACCTCATGCACGCGCTGCACTTGCACGCTGATTAGAAACGCGTCCTCGTGGCTCATGAGGGCGGTTCCAAAACGCTGGCGCGACCAGAGGAGGTCGAACGAGCGCCCGGCCATGAAGGACGTGACCATCAGGATCAGCGGCAGGAGCTTCGCCCCAGTGGGCCAGGACTTAGTCATGGTTTGCATGCACCGGGGCAATAACCCACCCTGGTTAAGGGGGTTGAAAGGGTACTGGCCGGCTTGTTCTATACGGGCTCTGGTTAAGAACCAAACCTCCGTCAGGGCTTGACAGCTGGCAGACCGGGGCCGGCGCTCCCTACAGTGGGCTGGCAAAGCGGAGACGTGGTCTACTTTGCTGAAGCGGGGACAATGCTGCGAAAGCAAGCGCTTCCTCCCAGCATGGCACTCAGATGGCTCGACTGATCCTGCCCAGTGACAGTGGTTCGTATTTATCGAAGTTGCAAGCTGCCACCTTTGAGGGAACGAGGTAGCAGGAGATTGGAGGGATCCACTCTTTGTCCCTGAGCTTGCAACCCCAAAAGGTGGTGCTGCCAGGTGCAGGTCCCTCCCTAGGAGTCCCTATACCTACCTACCAACGTACCGTGACCAGAATATTCTCTCCCTCTGGCGCACTTTCCAAGTGCCTACCTAGCTCTTTCCACCACTGGGAGTCGGACTATTGTCGGATTGTAGGTAGCTTCGAAGTCCGTGAAGAGGCTCGCCAGAGTACCTACTGCGCAGTGCGCCTGGCTCTAGAGAGCAGAGCCTATCCAGGTTTGAATGCCTTGCAAGTTGCGCCTAACCGTTGGGCCCGAGTTGGCAACAACATCGGGACTCTCACGCAATGTGACATCAACGCAATGAATACCGGTCTGTCCAGCTGGCATCCGAAAGCCACCTGGCAACTTGCTGGCGCAATTTTCATGCCAGCCCTTGATCGTACGGAAGGCGTATGCCAAGCGTCAAATCAGGAGCTCAACGAGCATTAAGTGCGCGGCCTGCGCGGCAAGGTCGTTGTTCCGGCAATGACGCATATCGAATATCTCTCTCGAGTTCATGAAGGGTAAGGTCCATGAAGGGTAAGGTCCTTGGCCCGAGAACTCTAGTCGTTGCCGCTTCCGTAGAATACGGCGTCCGACCTAGTCGCGTCGGACACTTGCAGTCTTGCAGCGTCCGAGAATCGCTGAACCGCTTATGAAAGTGTGTAACGCCCTATGATAGGGACAACGGTCTTCTGGCTCGGCTATGCGCTGGCCAAGGCACTTGTAAAATACAGCGTATGTCTGCTCCGAAGAAAGTAGAAACCAGCCTTAATAATCGGGTAAGGTTACAGCAAGGCACAGCTTGATTCTACTATTGTATCTATTGACAAGACATTTTTTGTATGTAGCACCCCTTTGATTAAAAGCTTCCTGCCACAAGCCTCTCTCTCTCTCCCCAATGCTGGGCAGGGAAACTGGTTGAGGCTCTCTCAAAAGTATGGAGAGCTTTCACCTTTAAAATGGCGCTTCTAACAAGGAAGGGAGCTGAGGCTTGTATGCTTCACAGGTGAGCTACCTTTGCATCAGTCTTTTGCACTGCATATCTGGAATATGCTCAAACTTGCATGGATGGTTGGTGTGCGCAGGGGGTCCATCTGTCGAGATTGATTGAATGTGCAGCTCATACCTTTTCATTTCATCTCAAGACATTCTTAGGGTATGCTGGATATCTCTTCTTTGCAGGAGACTCTCTTAGCTTCTTACTCAAAAAGCAGACTGGTCGTAGATTGTGTACTATGCATGATCGTGAAACCTTGAGTTGTTCCAAACTTCAAAAGCAGGACGGGGGTCACCCTCAATGACTTGATCATGACAAATGTTGAGGCAGGGCTATGCTGGGGTACGCTGTGGATGCACCATTGGGATATATGAAGAGCGCCCCGATCTGGCTGTTTGCAAACTCGACTGTCGGTAGTGGTCCGAGTTCGTGGGTGCTCGCACTACACTTGACCTCTGCTCCAAAGCTTCCAAGGGTCTTCACTCCCGCTTGTCTCCCGCTCTGCAGCCCTGGAGGAGCGCTCAGCCAGTGGCCAACCAGGAGCTCCATGTGCCCCTTTGTCCACTCGTCACCAGCGCAACCTCGTGCAGGTAAGGCTCTTAGGTGTCATCGTTTTGCTGCATGAAGACTTTATTTGCTCCTGGTGTGCTGTGCTCATGCCCTGGGACTGCAACTCTTTGCTTGAGACTGCACCTGTCTGCTTCTTCCAGCACCAAGTAGACTATCAGTCAGCGGGCCTTCACGAAAAGAACGTCACCGGCATGATTTTATTCTTTTCTTTTCTGTCTGTTATTTTGTGGACAAAATCATTCATACATGCATCGTTAAATTTCCTCTTCTCACTGAGTGTACTTGGTCTCTCAGCAGGGACATGCTGGCGCCCCATTGTTGGACAACTGGTCTGGGCGGTCCAGCACGGTCCTCGTGTTGCATTTTATAGGTGAGTGCCCTTGGTTGCATTGAGGTTGCTCAACTTCAACTACACAGCTGATGCGTTATTGACTGCATGCGGTGACAGATGTGGAATGATGATACAAAATACACTGGCTTGCTGATTATTCCTGTGCACATCGCGATGGCAATTGTTTGCTTGCGCAACAGATCGACCGAAACATGCAGACAAAGTATTTCTTGTGCCTCAAAACACGTGCATTTGGGCCTCGTTGCTGTGTTCTGTTTTCAAGCTGCATCTGAGCATCGAGTCAAGGTGCAACTTGGAGACAAAAGTTCGATCACTTTTTCCAGGGGCGTTTATGTGGAGACATGTATTCAGGTGCATGCTGACCAGTGCGGGGTGCGGGGCCGGCGCGAGGAGCAAAATTGAATAACATGCTTCTTTGCTTTTGCAGGGCATCGAGCGCGAGCGTGTGAAGCAGATGGAGGCGCGGCTAAAGAAGGACATCCACGGCGAGGCGAGCACTGTGAGGGCGCCGTCAGCAGGTCACGGCGGCCAGCGTGCGAACGCCGCCTGAGGTGGGCATCTTGAGATGGAGGTGTATTACATTTTAAGCTCCTGAGTATTTTGACCAAACCTGGGGATGAGACCCCTGGTTTGCCGGTCGTCGACATGTTGGTTATGCTGACCAGCATGCGCAGCCGCACAAGATGAGTTGCGCGGATTTTAGTACGGGTCTTCACTTGCCCTCCCCTCTGGTCGTCCAAATCGATTAAGGCTTTCTAAAGCCGGTTTTTCTGGACGTGATGGATTTTGAAAGCAACAGAAGCTCTCTTGCTTTATCAATGATGTGAAAAAGAAGTCCTTTGTTCTGAGGAATGGAGTCCTGGCGATCTCTCTGTGTGTCAGCGTTCTGCATCAATGAAATGGAGAGCCATTAACCTCCTGTTTCAGGAAGTGTGGTTTTCTGGCTCATCCCTCGTCGCAGCAATGTTGACAAATTCAGAAAAATTCAGTCGCCTTTTCTTGGATGCTTTAACCACCTCACTCCCGGGTCGGTGTCCCAGAACGATAGCTTACTCGTGAGCCCCGCTTGCGTGCTGCCTGAACTCAATGTTGCTCACTCTGCACCGATATCGGTGGGCATTCCAAAGACTCTGTGTGAAAGGGGAAGTATTGACACTTTCGCTCTTGGAGTTCACGTGTCAATGGAGCTGCAGGCGGAGGGCGTCCGGCTGGGGTACTCGCGCGCCTCACTCACAGACGGCAAGGCGCCTAAGAGCCCCCACTTTGACGCATCGGCGCGCAACATCAGCAGGCTGGGAAGGATGCTGTGCTCATGTTCAGTTGCCAAGTAACATGCCTGCAGTAGCTCCATGTGACATGGATTTAGAATTGAATTCTGGGCTGTTGTACGTAAAGTCTTGTTGTTTCTATTCTATTCCATGATACGAAGTAAACAAAACTACCTATGAGTTGCGAAGGTTACCCACTCTTTTCAGACCAACCTCGAGTGGTTTGAAAGCTGTGCTTGTTTGATGTCTACTCGATTGATCAACCCGCCAACAAGTTCTTTCAAACCCAGTGTGCGAGCTCCTTAGATGCTTCAAATTTCCTAGCAAATGATGCCGTCGGAGATGGCGGCTGAATGTCAGGCAAACCGCAACGTCCACTTTTAAGAGTCCCTCCAGGTACTTCCGTTGTCTAACCTCCCGTTGACTAACCTCTGGCTACGCTTGCGCCCAGATGGGCCGTGGCCGGACCACTAAAGCTACAGTCATCGGCTCCCTCGTGCGCATCGTCTTTGTGCAAATGCATTGAGTACCGCGACAACTTGACGAGGGGTCCAGCTCGGGGACAATTTTTGAAAGAGCGCTCTGGACACCAGCCCTAACGGAGACTGCTGAGAGCGCCCAGAAAATCCCCCGGGTGAAGAACCGGACGGTCAGTCACGGGCTGCCAAGAACGCCTAGGGGGATCCCCCAACTGCCGACATTGCCCAGGAGGACCCCCCGGTGAGATCGGGGAATCAGCCAGCCCAGCCGCAGACCGGGAGATCCTATTTGGGGAAAAGCCTCCGGCGCCAACCCCTCGACGGAGCCTGAGCGGGAACTACTTTGCAATGACGACATCGGGGTGATACGAGCGATTGCTGCTGGAGAGTGGGGCCGAGTGCCGGAGGTTTGTGGTGAGGGAACGATACTGAGGTCGGTCGGCTTAGCTGCGACGCTGGCCGCCCTTTTTGAAGGCTGATGGAGACTGCTTAAAATGGTTCGAATTAACAAGCCAAAAGTTTGTAAATCCGTTCCGCAAACATTCCCTCTCTCCCGTATGTCTCCCGCGGTTCAATCTTCTCCTTTTCGACACTCGTCTGAAAAAGAGGGCGCCTTTTGTTGCAAAAGCTTGTCCCTGATGCAGCCTTGCAATCATGACGGATCGATCTCAGAAACCGTGGTCATTCTCTTCACTGAAGTCGTGCTCAACCGGGCTTCAACAAGAAAATTTATCTCAAACAATCTCGACTATTCGGACTAGATTCTCGCAAAGCTCAACCATCAGCATGGGGATACTGCTGCGTTCCCTGTTCCTGCTGCCTTCCCTGTTCCTGATTGGCCGCTATTTGTTTCGAGGTTCCGTTCATCTCCGTCGTCGTTTTGAGCCAAATCCCTGCCCCTCTTAATAGTCTACTTCGTCGTGCCTACTACGCCGATGTATGAGGTATCCGCCACCCGACAAACAATTGACGCTCAACGGCTTGACGTGACACTCGGATTTGTCCGCATACCTCTCTTCCTTTCATCTGAGCGACAACTTTCTCTGGTGATGGTTTCCCCCTCCGTCGACTCCGAGAAGATCAACAAACATCCCTACCAAAGGAGATTTCTTGGGGGTAGACTTCCCTTCCGATTGCTGAGCGACGAAATTCTCTGCAGTTGTTTTTGCACAGGTTCTCCGCCCCTGCTAACCGCGAGGAGATCAAGTTTGTCCTCAATGGCCTAGGCGAAACAGCGGCGGCCAAATCATCATCCCCCGGGACCGGCCGCAATCAACGCCGTCGCTTACGAGCAGTACGCCGAGATCAACGACCCGTGGGTGCAGAGCTTGTTGAGGAGAAAGTGAATCTGTTATAGCCGCTGTTAAGCACCAGTAAGTACGATTCTGTGGTCCATTTGATAATGGAGTATATAGTGAAGAGAATAGAGGTTATCATGACGCAGAAGCGCTATAACTAGTAGGGCGGGTTGCAATTAGATCGGGACGCTCAGATACTTCTCGGGGACAATGCAGCAGGCGGTCCGAAATCAAATCTGCACGTCTGACACCCATGGCCACGTTTCTGAACCTCGAGAATGTTGTGTTCCCTTGTCCTCGTGCGTTAGCTACAGAGGTTTCCCACTCGTTTCATAGCATCGCACCACTCATTGCATATGGCTATATGCCATTCCGATCATTCATTTGGGCCGCCGTTTGGCACTCTGGGCGTTTACTTACACATGCGCCGAGATCATTCACAGACATGCAACCCGCTCCGCCATTCACGATTTGATTATAAACCATCCTCCCATTTGCATGGAACTTTCTGCCATAGCGCTGATGGGACAATCATTCTTTCCTCGGATGTATCTTGGATGCCATTCAAAGCGAATAAAGTTGTTGTAAGAACGAACAAGCTCGATGTAAATCCTGCTCCGCCACGCGCGTATGCCATCTACACAAGAAGGTGTACATTCTTGGCTGTCAAGCGTGCATGTTTCGTTTCAATTTTTAGAATCCAGAAAGCTCCCATGAACTACACATTCATTGCATTCTTGTTTGAGTGCATCAACGACGGCGACTAGCAAGTGATCACCAGAGTGCATGACAAGACCGATTTAGCACGAGCTACTTGACGTGCAACCCCCCCCCCCTTATTATGTACAATCTCCCCACAAACAACCTATTCCCTTTAACCTCATGGGTCCTCCTACCCTTCCTTGTCTCTCTCCTACCCTCCCACTACCCAAGACGCATATATCCTGGACGGCTTCGTTTCCGCTTTGGTACGTCAGTCGCCACGTATGCTCCACTGCCGCCTGTAGCAGGAGACGACGATTGGTATCAAAACGCGCCACCGATAATGACACGACCAGGACGCTAACTTTAAAATCTAGGAGGAAAAATGACATAGTAGTGAACTCAACCCAAAAAAGCACTTGCTGGACATTTGTTGTCTGTAAGACCGTTCCAGGGTTCAGTCTCATCTCGTCCAGGGTTCAGTCTGATCTCGTTAATAAATGAGCAAGGTCACCCAAGGTCGCCCTGAACACCGCCGAACGCTTACCCGAAGTCGCCCCATGGTTTCTTCCCTCCCCGTCGCTGCACAGCTTTTCCTTCCCGCTCCTGGTGCGAGCTGAAACAAGAAGGATTGGAGATGAGTTATAAACCATCATTGGCGGATCACGGGCGGCAAGGAGGAGCAAGGGGTCAGGTAACGAGAGTCGGCTAAAGCGAGAACGCTTCCACTACCGTAGATCATGTGCAGATCGCTTGGTGAGTTTTTATCGAACTGTTTTGTGCTCACCCCCATCAACGTTCAGTGTGGCGACTGCCTGGCTCTCCTCGTTGTGACTCTCCTCGGTGTCACTAAGGACCAGCGGGGCCTGTGTACAAGGTCGGGGCGGATTAAAGACAACGAAGAAGCGATTCGGCGGCTATTAAAGCCACCTGCTCGAATGAAGCAAGACTACTTGCGCCCCTACCTAAGTCAAAAAGCTGCTCCACGCTCACCGTTGCTCGCGACGACAACTTTTTCCCAACCCGGATCGCGGGCGTCGCGCGCGTCGCGCGCGTCGCGGGCTTCGCGCGCTTCGCAGCCGTTGCGGGCGAAGCGGGCGCTGAGAAAATACGAAGAAAGTCGTCAAAGAGAAGCGTCATTGGAGGCTCAAAAAATGTCTCCTCTTCTTTCGCAGTGAGCACCTTGGAGCTCTTTTTGGCCTCCAGGAAAAGAGCGAGCGAATGTCATTTGCAGCCCCGACCAATGCTCAATGCAGCCCCGACCAATCCTTCCGCTCTACTGCGAACACAAATGGGAACACCAAAGACAAGTGACGAAAAGTCTCGTGGCACAAAACCCCGCACCTTTTTTAGTCTTCGCGCAATTGTGCACAGAAATAGAACGGCTCACCCGAAGGGCCGGCGTCATTCCCCGCACTTCGGTCCTCGTTCTTGCGCTTCTTCCCGCTTCTCCTTCCAGAACCTGGATAAGTAAAGAACGAACCTTAGGATCGTGAAGAACGGACTGAGATACGAAAACCATTCTCGCAACGGCTCATCCGAAACCTCATGAAAAACGGTGACGTTCTCGGCAGGAGTCGCGCTAGATCAAGCTCTCTTGCGTTCACAATCTTTCCCACCCCTCACCTGAAGCCCCACCGCCATCCCCGTCCGCGTCGGCGTCCACGTCGGCGTCCACGTCGGCGTCCGCGTCGGCGTCCGCGTCGGCGTCGGCGCCCTCCAAGAACCCTGCATGATTTAAATTTCTTCTGTTCTCTTCGCTTTCCATTTTTCGACATAGCCACCCAAAGCTGATCAACAGGTTAAGGCTCTGAATCGACGCACTTTTGAATATTCTTGTCATGAGGCCGCTTTTAATTTGAGTATCTCTGCTTTTAATTCGAGTATCTGCGAAACACCTGAGAAGTTGCGGCGCCGGTGTCCGTCAGCAGCAAATCTCATAAAAAATACAACTTGATCACCCTGGTCTTTTCTGTCTTTTCCGAGCACCATTTAACCCATTATTTTACATACCCAGCGCTTTTTCAAACGTCGCGAAGTCAAAACGAACGGGCTTTAAGCATAGCCAGCAGTTTCGGTAAGAGAAACACATAGTCCTCGAGACTCTCGTCAGAGAAACAATTGAAGAAAGTCCTTTGGTCCCAAGATTTCTAATTTCTGATTGGAAATTAAACGGAACGCAGCGGAGCAAAAAGGAGCAGATTGCAGCGGAACGGAACGAAGCGGAACAAAGCGGAACGAAGCAGTGCCAGAACGGTACCATCAAAACGACGCGAAAGAGAGCGGAACGGAGCGGCGCCAAATGGACCAGATCGGAACGGAGCGGAACAGAGCGGAGGGGAACAGAATGGAGCAATTCGGAAAGAAGCGGAACGGAACGAAAAGGAAAGACAAGGGTCGAATTTGAAAGACGACTCCCGGTGAAGTGTAAAACAATGGAAACGGAGATGCGTCAGAAGGAGCGAGAATTTTAGCGCGAATTTATGCGAATTTTGTCAACTAGAGCGCAAGAGCGGGGAAGCTGAGAGAGAACTGACCGAATCGAGAAAGCTGACCTGCGTACGAATTTGGGACGTAGTCACGTCCCACGACCTCCATGTCCTTCTCCCCAGGCCGGCAGATGTGGTACTTGAGCTCGTTTAGGTACTCGTCCTCCTGAGAGAAGTCGTCGTAGATGACATGGTGCGTGCCCCGCACCGCATCATGCGACACGACAAGGCCCGGAAAGAGCCAGTCCTTCATCACGTCCTTGTGCGATCCCTTCTCCCACAACACCTATAGGGACCCAGACTTGTTGTTACGACCTCAATATTAGTCGATTTAAGGTCGATTTGAGTTATGAGTCGAGTCGATTCATTGGGTCGCAGAAGAAAATCGTGAGTAGACACGACATCAAATTCCACATTAGCACAATTTGCCCCCCTTCTAATTCTCGTCTACAAATGAAAGAAGGAATCAATGCCAGAACACGAAAGAGTATATTTCAATGCCTTAACGAATTGTAGAGAAGAACAAATTGTAGAGAAGAAGCAGAGGTCTCTCATCCCATGGCCAGAACCGACTCGTAAGCAGAAAATCACCTTGATGCGTTCGCCCACGAGGTTCCCCTCGACTTTGCTCTCCAGCTTCGGCTCCTCCAGTTTGGGCGTTTTGGACGCATACCACCCCGCATAGATTGCCAGCTTCCGCCGGTCTCTTGGCCCGGGCCGCTTGGCCTTCCTTTTCCCTTCTTTTGATTTGGGTCTTGGGATAGGCCCGCACCTGGTCTCCCTGGAACAGTTTTTGATCCGAACCAGTTCCCCAGCTCGCGATGCCGAAGTTGAGTGTGTTGGGGCTGCCGCCATGCTTCGCCAGAGGCCCCTCTTCGGTTAGAACGCAGTAGTTGAATCTCCTCAGCGCCTCGGCGCTCTTGCAGGATGTGATAAGGGGCGTCCAGAAGCGGTTGTGCACGTTGCTGTTCTTGGCGGTTCCCCCTTTCTGCATCACGACAAGGAAAGCTAATTCTTCTCACCAGAATAGGGGTTGACAGCCACGATGGCGAAGACCAGGATCTGCTTGATGGCCGTGTCCCCATTCGCCAGCTTCACCAGGGTCTTCTTTATGATGCCCGCAGTGAAATCCGCCCCAAAGCCGTTTCTGTGCAGAGCTCGGTACTTTATGAGCATGCTCTCCGTGAGCAACACCCCTGACAACGGGTCTTCTTTGGTTGTCTGCACTATGCAAAGCACGCGGTTCGAGAGGTCCACCGAGCGGGGGATCTTGGACCGTTCCTGGTCCCTAAGCTCCTCCTTGACCATTCTCAGCCCCGCATACTGATCAGAGCCCCAGGGCCTCTCTGCGCGTCTCTGCTCCCACCGAAGCTGATTGATCACCGCCCTGGTCCTTACTGCCCCCGAGAAGTTGCCCACTGCCACCTTCCCAGGACTCGCCGCGGACAGCAGGTCATTGTGCGCAGGCCGGTTTGCAGCTGCCCTCGCATTGAGTCGCGCTTCACCAGAGAGTCTGCCATAAGCAGCCGACAAACCCTTTTTGTCTAGAGTGTGCTCACACAGACAGTGCAGAACATGGCCAGAGAGAAAGCTACCCCCCTTCCCGGTTTTCTTCCGCTCAAACGGTGTCGGGGAACCCCACACGTAAACCCTGGGGTCTAATCCTGTCGGAGGCTGCCGGCTCTGTCCCTTTGCTGGCTCAGGGGGTTGGGAGAAGAAACCCCCGACCAACAGCTTGGTTCCACAACCAGGTCCAGTGCAGGCAAAAAGGGCATACCAATCGGGCGTGTTCCCATGAGTAGCCCTGACCTTCTTGCTGGGGTCCTTACCGCTGGTGGACGCATAGTGCTGCAAGCTATTGCTCGAAAGTGCGAGATGCTTCTTGTTCAACCTCTGCTGCACGAATTGCAACACGGCTTCCAGCTTGACTCTCCTTAAGGAGAAGTCGACTAGGGTGCTCACGTCTACATCGCTGAAAGTCAGGGGACTCTGCTCGAGCAGGGGAAAGAATCTCCATTTAGGAACCCCGCCTATTTCAACATAGACAGCTCCCTCTGGGGTATACACAGAAGCAGGAGGGGTTTCCAACCCAAGCGCACTCGCCAGCAGGAGATCCATTGGAAGCACAAAGTCTCTTTTCACATCGATCCCCATTGCCACTCCTTCACATGCTCTTTCAGAGCCCAGATCTTCAGACGATGGGGCGTTGCCACCTTCAAGCTCCATGCTTCAGACTTTGAAGTTTGCGAATCAGAGAAACTCCTAGGGTACTTCATCTGCCGCCATAACGCTTTACCCTCACGCTGCTTGGTCCCATTGCTGAACCAGTCAATGCGAATGCGTCTCTTCTGCACTTGAGTTTGCTTTGTGTGCATCACTCTCTCTTTTGTTTTCTTGTTTGATTGTTGCCTCCAGGATTTCTGCCGGAATATCCAAGCTTGGGACGCTAATAAAAGATGGTCGCAACAACAGCGTTATGTAAACCGTCTCACAATGTTCTGGTTTTTACCTACAATGTGCCAGCGGCATGAGAGAAACGGTTGATAGAGCCGGCAGAATCCACTTCCAACAAAAAGGTCATCGCATGATCGTATGCAAAAGTCTAGCTATCATAAGCTGGTCAATGCAAAGACGCTAGCTTGTATGGTATGGACCTCGTCGACCTGGTCGGGACCGCTTGGACGGGAGGAAGCACGTGATCTCGTAAGCACGTGGCCTCGCTTTTGAGCTCAGCAAATCCCCGGGCACTTCGCTTACCCTTCATGGACCTTACCCTTCATGAATTAGATCGAAATATATCGAATCCCTACAGTACGGCGAATTCAATTCGGCCCGACCGGCACCAGGCCTCCGAGTACGTGCACTTAGGTGACTGCAGGTGCGAGGCCTTTGGCGATGTAAGTGGTTTTGTAAGTCGCGTTGATTTATTCACCATTGCTGGAGCGAGGGATATTAGCATAGCAGGGAGTCGGAGTGACAATTGAGGTGCTGTGGCCCTCACATACGACTTTGAAATGGCTTGGCCAACGTCCATTTTCACTATCCATATTGATATTGACGTTATCATTGTTGTTTTAAGCTGAGACTGTTCGAAGGGGTGTGACAGACCACGGTAAAACGATGACTGTGAATAAAAGGTGGTACGTTTTGTTCCGTTGTGAGCTTCATGTAGTCTTCTTAGCATTGAACAAGCTGAGCACCGCAGCGCTGTAAACATAGATCCGATAGACATTGATTGAGTCCCGAGGAATCCCAAAAGAGCCAGCGGATCCCGCGAGTAGCAATAGAGAACTTTTGACTTTTGTTGCAAGCAGAGAGTTCCTTCATGGAGTCTTATATAGCCCAAGGCTTAGCATCGCTGCAATTCTGAGGCGAGGTAAGATATTAACCGTCTTAGGACCTGATTTAGTTAGTATATTTCACTACGTTAAGATCATGCAATACGAATCAAATTATAGTTTCAGCTTCCATACGATGGATAGATAGCCACGCCCTCCATCCTATCTACTAGCGTTTGCTTTGCCCATAGTCTACCGCTACTTTGGCTCCGTAAGAAATGCTCGTCCCTTGATTGATGTGCCAACTTTACACGAGAAACATGTGTAGCCTGACTTAGACTGTTGTGATTAATATGTGGCCCAGACTCCAAGTATGAACGAAGCTGGTCCACCATAGGCCTTGGTATTCAAAATTAAGTAGGACGAACAGAGTGCAACATCACCCGTGACCCAAATAGCCACACCCCCAATCAGTGCTTCACATATGTTGTTGATTCGAAAGGGCTCCCTCACATACCGCCTCGTATTGCGCACTTATATGCGCCTACCCACCAGCCACCTCCGCTTCCAACCGTTAAGGTGCCCCACAATGGACTTCCACCAACCAAATTTGGCTCTCCAATCAAGCGTTCTCAGGTTCTGGATGCCCCGCTGATCCCCACCAACAAAACTTGGCGCTCCTATGAAACGTCCCCAGGTTATGGATCCGCACAGATTGCTAACGAAACCTGGTGCTCCTATTTAACGCGCCCATGTTTTCACTTCCCGCATCCTCCCACCAACATAACCTGGCGCTTCGATTACGCGTTCTTCAAACCCATACTCCCCGCAGCCCAAAACCCTACAACCCGGGAGTCTTAAGCGCGCTCCGCCTGGTCGCCATGGCCGATAAGTTGCAGCAAGAAGCGGATGGGCGCGAGCCGCTTAAGGTGCGCGCGCTCTGTGCGCGTGCGCAGGAGCTCCGGGTCTTCCTGGGGCCGCAAGGGGCCGATCTGCCACCAGTGCTTCTTGGCGTGCGAGCGCGCGGCGCGCATGTCGGCCTCTACGGTCAATTGGGCGTCCTCCTCGGACGGCCCACCTGAACGAAAAGAATCAGTGTTTGACGAAGTCTTTCTTGTTAGCAAATTCGTGAAAGAGTGAGTTGAGTTTGCGTTTCTGACATCACAAGCGGCGCGCATGTCCGCCTCCACGGTCAACTTAGCGTCCTCCTCAGACGGACCGCCTACGAGGGGTGACTCTCGTTAGAGAAGCGTTGTCTTCGTTGACTTAGCGTACTTTGGGCTTTCAAGGTTTGATGATTGCGACGTGGTTTCAGATTTCTTGGTTGTGAGCTCTCTTAATGTCACGTGCGACTGCGCATGTCCGCCTCCACGCTGAACTCGGCGTCCTCTCCTCTCGGCCCCCCTGCCTTGGAAACTTCCGCTATTAGATAATCAAATTCAAACCTAATCTGTTCTGGCCGTTTCGAATCTACCCAGATGAACAAAGTGCGGTCTAAAGAAATGATTGATCGGGGAAATGGCGACAGCCTCACCGAGCGCCCCTTGAGCGAACTGAAACTGCTGCCCGACGGGTCCGTCAAATATTTGTCCAGAACGGAATCGAAAGGAACGAAAGCGGGAACGGAGTGGACACAAAGGGAAATGAACGCGTGCTCGTCGAGCGCTCCTGGACGTAGTGGAACTGCTGAACGAGTTGGTCGACCTGCTTCTGTCCCAAGGAGCAGACAAAGATCTCGAAACTTAGCGAATGAAACGGAATGACAGACCTCATTAAAACGGACCGGAAATGGAAATGGAAACGGAACGTGGGCTCACTAAGCGCCTAGGACCATGTGGGAAGTGTGGCACGAGGGGGTCAAGCTGCCTTTGCCGACAGATGCGAATAAACGCTTTCTAAACCCGACTACTAGAAGAGAACGGAACAGGAATCGAAAGCTTAAACAAAACGGAACGAAAACGGAACGAAAACGGAAACGGAACGCCAGCTCACGAGCGCCTCTTGGATGCTGCACAATGGGGTCGACCTGCTTCTGTCCGCAGGAGCAGACAGAGATTCAAAAGCTAACAATCAGAACGGAATGGAAGAAAACAAACGGAAACGGAGACGGAACGCGGCCTCATCAAGCGCCTCCTGGACCATGTGGAACTGCTGCACGATTGGGTCGACCTGCTTCCGCCAACAGCAGCGGAGAACGCTTTCAATAAGCAATAATCAGAACGGAACGGAACAGAACTCAAAAGCTCCGAACGCCAAAGCGGAATCGGAACGCGGGCTCACCGAGCGCCTCCTGGACCACGTGGAACTGTTGCACGATGGGGTCGACCTCTTGCGTCTCGCTGGACTTCCAGGGCAGCAAATCGTCGATCACGGAATCGTCCGTCTTGCCCAAGACGGCCTTCTCCATGTCTTTCTGGAAGCGCTTGAGCGGGTTCAGGATGCGCAGCGACTGGATCTTCCACTGCGGGGGGAGGACAAACGGGTTAGAACCACCCCCCCAAAAGCAGCAAGTGAATCGTCTTGCTGCTACTCCTCGTCTCAATGGATAAATTGGCTGCCGAAAGGTTTTCATACATGGGTTTGAGGATGCGCAACGACTGGATCTTCACTGCGGGGGGAGGGGAATGGGGTTAAAATCGTCCCCTCAGAAGCGTAAACCTGAAGTTTCTACTTCGAACTACCGGGTAAGGGAAGATGGCTTAGAACCTCTTCTCGCTCTCAGAACCAGATTGACCGCCCAGAGTTTGAAGTTTATGGGTTTGACGATGCGCAGCGACTGAATTTTCAGCTGCGGGAAAGCGGGAAGAGACAGACGGTCAGGGGTTCGGTTCCGGGATGAATGCAAATGTGATAGCGACTGGATCATTCCACAATAAGATGGTGTAGGGGAGGCGGCTGAAATCAACTCCCCGAGAACGATGACGTCGGGTAGGTGTCTAGTTCAGAACGGCAGCCGAAAGGTTTGATGAATTTCATGATGTGCAGTGACTGGCTCTTCCGCTTCGAGGTAGAAGAAGGGGAGAAGAAATATTCGCGTCCACAGGAAGAGTAAAGGTGGTACCGACTGAATCTTCCAACGCAGAGCCGAGGGGTAAGAGAAGCTCTTCCACCGCCAAGAGCAGGAGGGGCGAATAATGTGCGACCAGTGCCGCTTGATTGAGCGGGGATCTGTTGATACGGAGAATCGCTTGTGTCTGCCGTTGCGTGAAGTTCGCAAACGCAATCATGTGGAGGATTATGGAAGAGAAGCTCGGGCAGTAAAAAGCAAAAAGAGGTGACCAATCTCGCCAAAAGTAGTGGGTTGCGGCTGACCAGAGAAGAGTGATCTCAAAGTTCAGCATAAAAATACCGAATTGATAGGGCCAGGATTTAAAGCAGACTCCAGGGAACGAAAACAATGCTCCACAAAGCAAGTTCTTGTACAAGATGTTGAGGCAACCGGCTCGATACCTGGTATTAGACTCTGATCCGACGAACCCTGATCATACTGAAGGCGGAGTCGATATGCTGCAAACAACGGTCTCAACTGTGCCCGAGGTTCTTGATACGCCTCATGCTAATCAGAGTTCAGAGTTTCGCCTATGCTAGAAAAACCTGGCAAGCTGAACGTGGTTATTACTAACCCGGATCAGCGTGAAGGCCGGAATCGTGGTGCTGACAATCAGGTACACCAGGATCCCCTGCGCGATCTTGTGCTGGCGCCCGATGACTGCGAGCGACGACCGTATGTCCGCGAGCTGCTCCGCAATTGACGGGTCGTCTTCCGCTGACGGCTGGCTGTCGTCACCGCCCCCGTCCTCGTCCCCGCCTTTGCTGTTGTTATCGCCGCCATCATCGGCAGGCTGACCGGCACCCTTGCTGACGTCACCTGGAACATTAGAGGATCGTGGCGGGTCAGAAGAAGGCTTGGGAGCGGGTTCACTGATGATGGCGAGCTGCTGGTCAACTGAGCAAGGAGGTACAGGGCAAAACCAGAGATGGAAGGGTTGTTGGGCTCCAATCCCTGTTAAGCAGATACTGTCGCAAGTGAGATTCTCTGCCTGTGAAGGGTCTGGCGGCTTCGATCAGGAGCAAGTATTTGCGGAGGTATAGGACAGGTCTTTCACTCTGCAAGCGAGATAATTGGAGCTTTCAAGGTTGCTTGTTATGAAAAGCGCCCTTGGCTAAGGCCCACACCCGGAAATTGAACAAGAAAATTTTGTAGAATGAAGGCGTTTGAATTATGGGGGGCACAGGAAGCAACATCATTTAGAGCACCTTTTGGGTTAGTCAAGTGGTTTGAGTGGTCTGGCTTTTAAGAGGTGTAGGTGGTTTGACTTGATCCCCAAACTCCTATTTCAAGCGTCCTCAAGTCGATGGTCATGGTCGAGGAGACTGATCAAGCGAGGAGGTACTGGCTATACTTCACTGGAGGTACAACAAGAGAAAGTGTCCAACGAACAGAAAGTCCAGAAAAACGTAGCTTGAACACTGAACTTCGAGCTTGTGCCTCTTAAGTCAAAGTTCCATGTCAACAGGCACTTTTCAGATGTCTCCTGGAGCACGTTGCTGCTATGAACGGCTTGTGTTGTTACATTTGAGGAAACCAATGAAAAGAAACGGTTCACGCCGACGCCGACATGAGGGATGTGGGCGCAACTCGGAAACAATCATCAAAACCGCCAGTTCCTCACCGTCTGCCGCATCTTGCCCATCCTGGCCCGAGTCTCCGTTTCCACTCCCCTCCCCATTTGCGTCCCCTGATCCAACTCCTCCGTTCAATGGCAGATGGCTCCCCTCTGCCCCGTTCTGCTGCGCTGGGTCTCCAGTTTCATTCAGATCGAGTGCCCCCGCATTGTTCAGTTCAACTCTCGGCGGGGCCTCGCTCTTGCACGCACTCCCAACCTCTGTTGCCCTTGCCAGCTGGACTTCTTCATTGCCGACCGAGTTGCTTCTCTCAGCAATCTTGTTGCCTTTCCTCTTCGCCGGGGGTGCCGCTCTGCCAGGCCCCGTCTGAGGGACTACGCCGTCTGCCTTGCCCTGATTCTCGACCCCTTTCTTTCCGTTCAGAACTCCCGCTTGGGCAACGTTTGAGATACTCAGAAGCTCCTCTTTTGGCAGCTGTTTTCTGAGCAGGTTAACCAAACCCTCCACACGGAACATGGTTTCGACCGCTGCCTTCTCATTCTCCGTGAGAGGGCCATCAGAAGCTTGCTTGCCATCGGGTGAAGTGTCGTGTGTCTCATCCTTCTTCTCTTGACCAGATATGGGCGGGAAGGTAGGCAGTGCTCGGACCTTTGCTTTGAGCCTCAAGGAAAGGTTAATCTGGAAAACAAAAACGAGGGGGTTTGGCAACCGGTCTCTTGCTTCCATTGTCTCACAAGGTTGGAGTGGCTCGCCGTTCAGTGAAGTGTGAAAAAGCGCGAACTAGGAGAACCGTCTGACACCATCTTTGGGAGCCGGATAGAGAGGAGAAGGGGACAGGAAAGCTACAGGCAGTACGTTGTGGATTTCTTGGGAGTCGAGGCCTCCTCCTCGTAATCAAGAAACTCTTATGTCACATCCTTAAAGTGGGTACCTCTCAAAGTCAACCAGCTGGCTTCGAGGCCAAACCCAACTGCAGATTTCAGTGTGGTCCAATATGACATCATCAGGCCTGGGATATCTGTAATGTGATGCCCACATTTCAGAAAAGGATCTGAACCTAGAAACGACCTCTCAGACTAGTCACAAATCAGTAATCTGTATCAACAACCTCTCTGTTGAGCTGCCACAATGTAGACTGCCAGCAGCTTTGAGCACTCAGCCGGTTCTGCTGGCGTCCTCAGGAACATGTTTGATTCAGATTTCTTGATCTTAACCCAGCCCTTCATTATCCAGCAAGAATGTCGTCCACCTGATACATAGCCTGCAAACCCTAATGACTCTTCTTGTTCTACACAAATCTGCCCGTCAAGTTCCCTGACCGTAATGTGCTTCGGATGCCACCTGTCAACAAACACGTCCTTTGAAGTAGTCTTTTAGATCTGAGGTCCTGCCAAAGCAACTTATGTGTGACTGTTTTTCCAACAGAGGAGAGTCAGGCTCCAAGATTTCCTCTCCTATCAATGTACACTGGGTTAGAGTCAGCCCACTTGCCCGACACATCTAAAGACAAATGATCACCAACACTAACTTACCTGGTCCGACAACCAAGCGAGGCCTGCTTTCATACTTTCAAGCTCTGCTTCCTCAAAGTGCTGTAGCTCCGAGCCCAGGCTCTCCACAAAACCAAGCTGCATCTCTGTCGCAGGCTGCTCTACATCTGCCCGGTGTTCAACGCCCACCTTGTGGCTGTGCATTGTTTGAGAAACCTCTGCTGCATCAACCGTTCTGAGCACTTGCGCCATGGCGCAAAATGCTCGGTCACTGTTCAAAGTTGTCGTTGGTCAACCTTCGCAAGCCCCCAATGCACGGCGCGTTGGAAGAAAGACGTCCCTGCTGTCTGATTTGGACACAGCAAGGCAAATGGAACTTGGAACCCCTGCTCCTCAGTTTCTTGTCGTTGGGAGCAGGCTTGCGACAGCAATATTGAAAGCAATTCCAGTGGCAAAACGCCGAGGCAAGAAACGAGGGGAGTGCAGAGCCTGGGCATTCGGAGCAGAGGCCTTGGTTCGTGACGTGCCACCTGTCGTTCACCCAAGATGCCCGCTTGGATGTCAGCTGGCGTGCTTGCTGCCCCTCGATGCATCCCCTGGAAGGGGCATCGCTGCTTCCCGTGCCGACGTGTGGCAGTCCCATTGAGCACCGGGGGGCC